CACGCACAGGATTGGGGATGTAGTGAAAAATGAGGGATATAAGATGGCTGCGAGAGTTGTTCAAAGAGTAATAAAAGGGTATCGCTCTACTTCTGTTCTGACTACTGTTATGGACCTAAGCAAACACTGTCCTTGGCTCCAAGTATAGAATTTACACGAAAAAGAGAGATGTTTATTTGATTTGTGATATTGAATGATTTTGTTAATGGTATCTATTGTAATACAATGTAACTTGAGTGTTACAGAGGTAGTTCCCACTGACTCCCACGCCAGAGCTCACCGAACTGTATGTAGTCCCAGTTTGGACTACATCACAGTAACAGTTAGTCCTATTCAAATTCTTAATATGTACTTGCAAGACCTTTAAATAGATATTAGTCAAGGGCTTCTCAAGTGCCCGACAAGACTCAAAAGTTTGTCCAGGATTTCTTTATACAGATTGGACGGAGTTTCCAAAATTAGTAATCATCGACAAAGTTTTGTCCAAACATTACTAATTTTGGAAACTCCGTCCAATCTGTATAAAGAAATCCTGGACAAACTTTTGAGTCTTGTCGGGCACTTGAGAAGCCCCTTAATATGTTATTTTATCTCTTTACTTCTATTTTATTACCTTTAAAATGAATCGGTCTACTCTTCTGAATCATTTGCTGTTTAGAAAAAGCTATGATCAAGCATTAGACAATGCTTGTAAAAATTCTTTGACTTCCCTTTCTCCAAGAACAATTTATATAAGGCAGCTATAGTTTTTTACTGTTTTGTTTTAATAAAAATATTTCAAAATAAAGAATACAAAAAATAATACAGAAAAAATAAAAACACTTTAATGGGATTTTAGAAATCAAGTACTTCAAAAGTATTTTGCATAGTGTATAGTTTCAAAATTGTTTTGTGTAAGGTCTGGGTGATGGGTCTCGTGGAACGCCCAGTTGTAAGATCTGGAGTCGTGAAGAGCACCTAAAGTTTAGGGTTTTGACCAGTGTTAGAGAAGCATATTATTAACATATAATAAGCTATGCTTATGTATCTAGTTTATTTCTCTGATTTGAAGTAACTTTTTAAGTAGCAATAGTAGGAGTTTGTTTTTTAAACTTTCAAAGGAAAATTACTTATAGTTACTCAATATAACATGTTAAATATATGTTTTATCAACAGCTTTGCGTTTGAGAACAAAACTCCTTGATATAGTTAATTTAGCTAGAGAAATTTAGGATAAAATCGTTTAATTAAATGTAAAATACTACTGCAGAGAATTATTTGTTATGTTTATATACAAAACTATGTCTGAAGATTAATTTTTATCTCAAATATTTGCTGTAAATAAATAATATATGTAAGCAAGTTAAATATCACTGATATATTTCACATTGTATATATATATATTAATGTTATAAGTAAAGCAAAGTAAAATATAAAAGAAAACAATAGGTGCTATGAAAGTGCTGTTTGTATAATTACATTTACTTCTTTTAATTTAAAAGCGTGTATTGATTTATGAGTAACTACCACTGAAGAATTGTAAAGTATACAAGTGTTTTATATATATTATTTTGGCGAGAAAGACACTTTCAAATTTATGAACAATTTCATACTTCTTTTTAAATTAAATACGTATAACACTGTCTTTATAAATAAATAAAAAATAAAATAACTGATCTTTATTACAAACATTAAAATTTTTCTTAAAGTATATACAGCTATAAAGATACTTGTAACATATCTATATTAGATGTTTATTTTTTACTTATCCATAATGATTTTATTGACTTTCTCAACCAGAGAGTATATTTCTCAAATTGACATTTCCTACCAAATCTGTGCCTGATAAAATGATAAATGTTCTGTCTTTCAATACTACTCAAATGGAGATTGAAAACATTACTTTCCCACTGCAGGAGTGAGTGTCGGATTTCTATTTATGAGCTACTTCATACTCCGAAAATTCGATTTAATTAAAAGTCCGCCGCTTCTCTTAGCCCATTCGTTTTTTATCGTCTCTAGCTCTTTAACGCACTTGTTTTCAGCAAAAACAAATTACTAGAACGCAAGATAAGCAAACATTTGGTTGAATTATATAAATTACAAGGATATAAATTTGGGTCAATTCAAGCTGCGGTTATAATTTATTCGTTTTTGGTTTTGTGGTACATTTTTTTAGCTTTCATAAAACAGGAGATGTGCACTGAGTTATATTCAAGGTTGTGGAAGGATAAGCATGCTAAAATCTGAAATTTTGATTAGAGCATCTCCAGCAGTCCCTTTTTTTGTTTTCCTGCTAAAAAAAAAAAGATAAAAAGTAGACTTTAATTTTTATTTAGAATAAACTAAATCAAACTGTTGGGCTAAGTAACATTTTTTTAGCTAAAGTGGTGGTATTTGGCTTTATATATATTAAAAGCTATCTCACTGCTGAAGATGTTCAGAAAGCCAGAGTCAAAGGCGAAATGTGTAACAATTTTTGTATGTAGAGCTTGCTACAACTTTAAGCGGTGGAAATTTGTGAATATTTTACTAGGAAAAATGTAAAAAAGCTAGGCACGTGACTTTTATCTTTTCCATATCACTGCGGAAAATATAAATCAGTGATCACTGAATATTAAACGCCTGTACAGACCTAGACTTTAAGTTTATGGCTGGTGTTTTTATATCCCTCATCTCTTTTGTGATCCTCATCTATATATTATCACAACTAAAATTCGACAGAGAATGACGCAATACAAAAACAAAAACAAGAAAAAATTGTTTTGATTTTTCTACAACTTTTCAGTGTACATGCAACTCCCGCCAAAACTAAATCATCAGTCAAACCTCCGTGTTTCCAGTGACTTCACAAAACTGCCAGAATCGACACTAAAAACCACAGAATCCTCCTTTTTTTCCTATTGACACCAACACAAAGCTATTAAAAATTACACAGAGAATGGAACTAGCCAAGCTATTTTTTTTTGTAATGTGTATTGGAGGCAATCTATTTAAAAATGAGGAAGCTACACAAAAACTAAATCTTATTCAGCTTCGAATCTTTTAGTGTGTAATGTAGATTTAGCTCCTATATGCTTAGAGATAAATTTGAAATGAACACCCCATATAGCACGAAGTGTATAATCGAAGATTAAATGGATATCTAGTATGGCATTGGCTACGCGAATTGAGTGTATGTATGATCTATTAGGTTAAATAAATGGCGAATAAGGTGTCTAGTTCAGGGAATATTCCCTGGGTGGCGACGAGGACGACGAAGATAGCCCCGTGAGTAGCCATATACGTATGCATAGCTGACCTTCAACTGTTAATACGCTATTGATTTAGATACTAGCGCTTCAAAAGTGATGGTGGTAGCTATAATGATTGAATATTAGAGATTGAGTGGGATCAGTTTCGTGGCTCATATTAGCATGAGGAGGATACTGAGAGGATATATCCAGAGGTCTGCGATATACAATACAGTGGATAATCTAGTGGCTGAATTAAACATACCCGAAACTAACAAATAAGCTAAAGTATGCCGAGTTGCTAATGTTGTTAATTGGGATAGATGATGAGCAGTAATAACGTTATGCTAGTGTTATGCGATTCCTTGCAGCCACAGGATAAGTAGCGAATGTAAGTACGGTAAGGCCAAGCTGTAGTTAAAAGAGGCAGTAATTAAATGTTCAGAGAGTCTTGTTCACTTCTATCCTATGAGGAAACGTGGAGCTCTGATACTTGTCTTGACTGTGAGTACTAGACGAAAGCAAATTACGTTATTTAAATTTTCAAATAGCACTGTATACGTTTAGTCTATAATGGAGGCAAAAACTTGATCGTTTAAATCAATTGGAAATACACTACTGAAATGAAAACATTAATAAAAGAAATAATTTAAAAAATACTTGTATATCTTTAAACAATGATGGGGAGCACAAATTTGTTACTTGATCCTTGATATCAAATACATAAAAAAGATATAGGTGTCGGTGAATTTCTCAAAAGCCTTTTATATCTTTAACCAGCTTAAATTATTTGGCTTCAACTACACATATACTTCTTATATAAAGCAAGTAGTACTGAGTGGTCAAAAATTGTTGTATACCTAGAATCCATACCTAAAACTAAAGTTTTAATGTTTAGCATTAAATATGACTGTAAGGTCCTATAGAAACAGCATAAAGTAGTTATTGAAACAAATACATATGCAGGTATATGATACTCGAGCCCGAGATCTTGATCGTTGGGCTTGTCTGTTTAAAATAATATACAAAAATAATTTGTAGTAATATATTCAAAGAAACTGGTATACCTGTGACCCTTGATAGAGATTGAGTTTTTTAGCGTTGGGTTTTGCTGTCGAAATAGTAAAAAAAGACAAATAAAAAAAGACAAATATAGCTGTGGCCCACAATAGAGAGTAGAATACTGATACCTGGTATCGGCTGTAAAAAAAAATAGTAAATACAATTTTCAGTGAGAAAATTTTAAAAACTTCTATGTCTGAAGAGTACCTTAAAATCATATAAATCGTATTTGGCAAAAAGTAAAACTAATAGATTAAAAGCAGATATTCTATTGGCTATTAAAGCTACCAACTCGGTATTTTAACATCTGACGTTTAAATATCAAAAGCTACGAGTGCGTAACTTTCTACGTGGATGGAGATGTAAATTCTGCCATTTCCTACAGTGAAGGCTATAATTTCTTTTTTTTTTGACAATAAATTAGAACTTTTAACGACACTATCTTGTATAGATTGAGAGTATTATAAAGAAAAGGTAGTAGGTACTGTCCTTTAACCAATAATCATATGAGATGTGGCATGATTTTTTGAACCTTATATATTATAGCAACTTTAAAGATTTATTATATTTGCCAAGAAATGAAAGTAGAAAGAATAGTTTCTTTCAAGTGTTCATCATTCAATAAATAATAAAGGTATGCTACGGAATATTAGGTGACAAAGAATTAAGATATGGATTATTTTTACCTATGTATGTATCCTTATTTTTAAAAAACAAACAAAAATACTAGTCCTTTTTAGTGGCATGAGCGTCTAAAGGAGTATTACATCTTTTGATAAACTTCAAGGTATAGTCATGTGGCATACAATTGAGTCCTCTTGAAACTGAGCCTTTGGATATTATATCATCTACTAGCCCATCTTGTCTCATAGGAATCTCGATGTTGTACCGTCCAAGAGCTCGCACACACATATTAAAGACTTCTACTTCGACCTAGCGCTTCAAAATTAGTCTTTTTGCATTATTTAATATATACAATTCTTACCAAATGTATTCCTACACATATGCGCCTGATTGTTTTTATTTTTGAAAGGAGTATGATAGCCATATTTTATGCCCTCTAGTTAAGACCAACTTTTTATGAATGTTCGTCCTGGCATTCTTACCTTCCCCATCCAAAGACATACATATCGCGCTCTTGTACATTTGCGCGTGAGTTAGCTGCCCAGGTTTTTGTTCTTCCCAAAAAACGCTCGGGTATGAATTGGTCAGCATCTGTTTGATTGTTTGGATACATGTGCATTGCATGCATGCTGGTCATTACTACTGTATTTTTTGGAATAAAATATCCAAGACACTCAACTTTTTATATGTATATAAAGTTAAATCAATATACAGACTCATTTGCATGAATAAGTATACTTACTATCCTCAGTAACAAAACGGGGAATGCCGAAATTTGTTATACTTCTAAAACGTATACACTCTAGTAGAACAGCGCGTATGTATGGTACATTCTCTCGATCTGAAAATGAAGGTAATCGGCCATTCTGTTCAACAAAAGCATCTATCTCATAACACACTCTTTGTTGGACATCTTTGTATTGTGCCAGTATAAGAAGGAGCCAAGTTAAAGATACAGATGTTGGGTCTCCACCGGCAGCAAGTAAATCGCCTAATAACACAATTTTCCATCAGCTTACTGATTCAAAGTTATAAGTTATTAAAGGTTTCTAACATACTCATCATAGAGACCAGATCGTCGTCGTCCAGACCATACTCTTCTTTGAGTGCGTAGGCCTGTTTTACCAGGCAATCAACCTCTCCGTGAGCGGCCTCACTAACCAACTTTGGCAAAACAACATTACGTAGCTTGACTACATTTGCCATACCCTTTCGCTGTTTCGAAAATTTAGTGATCCATGAAAAGCTGGGTATAAATGACCCGATATCTTGTTCAGGACTGATGTATTTTACAATTCCATCTGCAATACAGATAACATCCTGAAGGAGGGGATCGTCGATTGAATCTACCGTTTTTCCGAACAATGATTTCAGCATTATACTAAACGTGCTCAGTTTCACAAAGGAAAGAGGACAAACTGATCCATCTCTATTGGAAGCCTTGGCTAGCTCATCGACCACATTATCGGTTATAGACTCAATAACTCCCGAAAATTTTTCGATACGTTCCGGCGACAGCATGGATTGCGCTTTAATTAGCCAGAAAGTAAGAAAATACTTTACTGTGGTAGCATTTGATTTCTAATTACCTACCTATCTTGCGCGATTTCTGCCATTTTTTACCCGAATCAGTAAATGATAAGCCTCTAATTACTCGTATTAATCCAAGAATAAGTGTCTTATTTGACTTATGTGAGAGAAAGAGAGAGTTGTAATGATTACTTTGCACCATCTGCGTATATTGTGTGGGTAAAAATATGTCTTTGTCGTCCAGAAGATTTAGATGCGTTTCGAACAAAGATCTCACTGGCAAGTAGAGGATCAGCAATTACCACCCAGTGTTGAACACCCATGGTAAGATGTAAAATTGGGCCTATATAAAAAAAGACTTTTTTAACATTCATTGTTTTTTATTATTTTTAGAATATTACCATATGTCTTTAACCATTGATTAACTTGTGCAGTAGGGTCTTCGCTTAATGAAAGCATATGGCCTATTTGATTTACAGTCAGTATAGTACTCGTTTTTCTTTTATTCTGATAATTATTACCAAAATATAGATATTTCTTTGGAGGAACTGGTATTTTTTTGAATCCCTTCTTGTTCCACTCATCTTTATTTAAAAAGGCTTTGTAATTCCAGTTGAATACTTCATATACTAGCTTAGAAGCTAGTCCAACTGCTATAAACCCTGTTACGGATATCATGGCATTCTCTCGGAAGCTATTCATAAACCAGGATCGATCCATTTTTTGAAAAAGTAAAATAGAGGGAAGGAGAGTAATATAAGATACGCCTTGTTTTATTTTGACTTTGACCTTTTTATATATTCAGGAGTGGATTAATATTATGAGTCTATCTAACAAGATTGCCTATATTTTGAATCTCAAACCAAAGGTAGAAAGCCGTGCAGATTTATGCAGTATTTCTTTTAAGTTATCTTGTATTAATAAACAAACCTCATCTCCTTGAGCACAGCTGCTTTAGTATCTTAATAATTTTGGGTTAATTATGGTACATTTAGTGTATTGAATTGAGTACAGGAGTTACGTTGGGGTTTTGTCGATGGAATATACAGTTATTTTAAGGGGTAGAAATACGTTTAGCCCTTGTTTACATGTATCATTTGATGATTTACCAGTAGTTAATATCCGCTATATATAATTATAATATCCGTTAAGCTCAACATGTGTGTATGCTAAATATATCTTGCAGATTATAGTTAATGTTTATATTATTATCATTGTATGCCTTATAATTGATAACGTATAAACCAATAGGATCGTAAATGTACTAATTAATACAATATTTCTTACATGTATTGTGAAATATTAGAACCAGTTTTATTGCATTTTGAGTAAGCTAATAGTATTAATCCCATAACTGAATATCCAACTACCTTAATTATGTATACATAATAGTCAATGCAATTTGTTTTTATTAGATCAACAAATAAGACTATTCAAATATATAGCTATTTCCGAATAATGGTTGTATAACTATATATATATATATATATAGTTATGCGTTTTATCATTGAGGTCTGGATATCATTTCTCTAATATTACATGAATCAAATAAATCGAACCTAGGTATTCTCATTCCCTTATATTTATTGTCCTTACTGAAAAAAGACTGCTGAAATCTTGATTCCAAAGATTGAACCCCGCATACGACTTTTACACAAAACACAAGCAGACTCCTCATTTCAATATTGACGCTTTCTTTTTTGTTGTCTTAATTCTTCTACAAAACCATATGAATGGCCTTATAATACGCTAATATCAAAGCATCATATACATAGACCACAAGAAAGAAAAATAAAACTCAAATGATATGGTGCCTGCCTATAATAAACATTATAATCAGCTTAAGAATTCCAGGTGTGGTCATTTTAACAAAAAAAAAACTTAAAATCAAGCCGCCAGTGACAGCAAAAATTCATAAAGAATTCAGGACACCATCCAGTGTTTTTGGACAACAGGTGGAGGAACTGAGAGCCAAAACAAATGGAGAGAGAGATATAGAGATATAAGAATGATTTATTGCTTTTAAATTGACGAATAAGGTCCAGAAATTTATCTTTTGACAACACGAGAAGATATATCTTAATATCAAAATGATTTATCTTATCAAAGAATACCGCTTACACAGTATCACCGTAGACTAGGTGGGGAATTCCTGTCGCCAGAGAAAAACGAAGTTTGTAGGGGTATTTCTTAGAATCTAATATACACATTTGTGCGTATGTCCTCGTATGGATCCAATAAAAAAGGTACGGAAAAATTACTTGGAAGGATTTTATGAATGCAGGGATAAAGACCAAAAACACTATAATCCAGGAACCGTGAATTGATTTGGAACTGCGATATGAGTGACTGTGATCCCGATGTCGCATGATATGAGCTAAACACACTTCAAATGTTTTTTCCTCTTCGTGAACACACGCACGCTCTTAAACTAATGACTGGACTAGACGCCAAAAACATGAGTGATGATTCCGATCATAAAGACATTGAAAGTCTCTCTAATGAGTCTGCTTCAGAAGAGACTGAAGAGGTGTATGAGGTTGAGGCTCTCCTAGACCATCGCGTCTCTGCAAAGAAACAAGTATGCCTAGAAATCTAAAAGAAAAAAGTTTCTTTCGCAATTGAACTCTACTAATCATGCTGAGAATAGAATACAGTAGAGTACCTAATAAAATGGCATAATTATGGCGACGACCAAAATACTTGGGAAAACGAATCCAATATGTGAGGTTTAGCTTTATGCTTTATTTTTTTATTTATTATTTTTAAAAAAAAACGACTTTTACGCGTTTGAATACATAGTCTAACTATTAGCATTTAATAGTTTTTCGGAAACACTCGTGGATGAATATTGGACTTCTAAAGGGTCTTCTAGAGACAAGTTCTTGAAAGCCGAAAGCGAGAAACGAAAAAAGAGAGTAAAAAAACCCAAGACCAATGTTGAGGTCAAAGATTCCAAACGACAAAAGGCCATTTCGACATCTTCAGACACAAAATTATCTGAAAGTCGTAAAAAGAAGCCAAACGTCAATGGTTTCCCCAACTCTGTCAGAGAACCACCGCCAGGATTGACATGGAATGATGTATCCGTCGTACAAGAAGTGTTTTCGGATCAGTACAAAAAACTCTTCTCACAAGTGAAATGGTAAGTTGATAAATATAAATTAAAATAATTAACGCGGTTGTGATCTAGGTCGAATGGGCAAATAACTTTCTGCACTAACGAATCACTGCGCAAAAACTGTCCTATTCCTGTAAGTTTACTAGTATAAAATAATATATGTATATCATATAATTTTGAAAATGATGATAAAGAAGCTAAACTATTGGCTGTTTATACAGTTATTGAAATACTATGAAGCGCATCTGGAATTCCAAGCCTATTAAAGAGAAAAATTGAAATAAGATGGTAAAGAAGCATGTCTATTTTTAAAGAAAAAGAAATAATAAGAATAAATAGACTTCGCTAAATATGAAAAAAAAAAAACAAAAAAAAGAAGAATAAAACAAAAAGAACAAAAAAAAATACAGTTACTTACGATATTATATATATATATATATATATATATATATTCCCACATGTACATGCGCAAAATAATATTTCAGTTAATTGGCATCTTTGCGACTGTAATAAAAATCCCAATTTATGTCAATGATTTGCACATATATAAAATCCCATTCTTGCCTTCAATTATTCTTTTACGTACGTTTTATATTCATGCATGAACTCAATAACAAAGGCTTCAAGATGGAATATCTCCTTCTTGCCTAGACGCAGACGATATTGCTAAATAATAAATACACAAATTAGTCAATTTATAAACCAGTAATAATATAGTAGATATTATTCCAAGTAAAATTACATGCTTAGCTGCTAAATCAATTGTAACTCTCTTCATTTCTTCGTCCAAGTGTTTGATCAAATTCAGAGTGAGATACTTTCATGAATTTCAAGGTTAATTAAACACATACACACACAAATTCATAGATATAATATGTGGGTTATCATTCACCTTAATAATAGCAGTGCCTTCAATACAATGACTCAACAAATCATACAATGCCCCACGAACAGACAATACTCTAAATAAAAGGACGTTATTTTTTAATAGATCACTTTTACATGTATTGTTATAGCTATACCTCGAAACTGCTTGTTCTTGAAGAATTCCATCTGCTATATTTGAGATAGCATGTTCCCAATCCAGGGTATCCACCCGATTAATCAGCGTCAAATCAGGACTATTATTCCTTGTATTAGCGCTTTTGCATACGGATCCCTCAATATATATCTATTAAAGAAATACTTACTGCTGAGACGCCATACTTTCAAAAGATAACAGAGCAGCTCTGAGATTGCATTTGCTGTGCTCTGCAATTTTGACTGCCAAATTACCCGGCAGGTTTACTCCTTCTTCTTTAGCCACCTTTTGAAGGACCTTGGTAACATTCTCAACTGTAGGTCGAGAGACACGCAATAGCAAGCAACGGGATCTTACGGGTGCAATAATCTTGCTAAGACTGGTACAGCACATAATCAGACGCATATTCGAAGTATACTTTTCCATAGTTCGACGCAAAGCTGCTTGCGCTTCTCTTGTTAATTCATCGGCTTGATCAATAACTATCACTATATAATGATAATAATGTTTGTTTTATTATAAGGATATTGTATGTGGCCTATATATATATATATATAAGTCCGTAAGCAAGACTTACCCTTAAATTGATGTTTTGCATTAGTGTCGATCTGTTGAGATTGAGCAACATCTTTAATGACATCCTGCATAATGACTTGATCGTAGATCCCTAAATCGCTAAAGAAGTAAAAATTATCCTGATTCTTTAGAGCTAATCCAAGGTTTATTCCAAGATAGAAGTAATATATGTATATAAATGTGTATGTGTGTATTACCTTGGATTAAGCTCAATGTGAAAGTTGCTCGAAACAACAGTAAAGTTCAGTTTTCGGCTTGCTGTTGTAACAAATGTTCTTTGCTCTATTTTCAACTATAGAAACATGAAAGATTACGGTTGTCAAGGTGTATTAATTAATTAACAGATAAAGGCAGGTAATCTTCCTACTATACCTTTTCAACAGCTGGTCCATAAATCGCACGCAGCACAGCTGTCAAACGTGTTTTTTTGCCTGCGCCAGGAGGTCCATAGAACAACAAATGTGGCATGTTGTCGTGTGAAGCCTGTGTGTGATTATTATGGAATGGATCGAATGAGCTAGTCGTTTCTATATCTTTTATTTTATTTTTTTATTCGAAAGAGGTTGTTTCGCACTTGCCAGTTGGGAAAGATGTTTTGAAAGTCCATTGTGGTATGACATTTTGTCCAAAGTAGTTGGACGGTATTTATCTCCCCAAAGACTCATGATACAGACTTAAGTAATTATACAAATGAATGATAAATAAGGTACGTTCAATTAGTCAGACGCGATCACCTTATCGAGACAGTCTACTTTGACTTGCCTTTTTTTTGTTCTTGCTTATCTGTGACTTGCAAAGACTATCCGAGTAAGTCGATTTATGGGTCGCAGGGGCGTATAATTCGATATATTTATTAAATGTAACTTGATGCTTTAGAGGCTAATATTTACATATGGTGATTGAAGATACATAACTTCTTTTATAAATACAATTACTTTAATGTTATATATATATATCAAGGCAGTACAAAAGCACCCTATTAACTGTATATGGCTATATTGATTATTATTCTATAATATTAATAAATATATAACTCTAAAACACACCAGTTATACATGATATTATTTGAAAAAGATGAGATTCTGTTAATCCCCTATCATTAATAGCGTTTACTTGATTTAAAATTTTGTAAGTCTATCATGAGTATATATATATTACCAGTAGGTCTAATGGCGTATATTCATCATTAAAGTATGGTGTAAAATGCAGTCTATCAAAAGTAATATGATAAATCTCATTTAGTTAAGAAACCTTTTTAATTATGTAAATGTAAATGTAAGTGTAAATGCATTTGTAGTGTGTTTTTATTATTTTAAAATTTGAAGACAAAACGATTTCATATAATACAGGAATTTTGAGGATGTTAAAGGAAACAATGGAAATATTAAAAAAAATCAGACGCCACTGCGCTTCAGCAAAGTAACATGCCCATCAAGGACAGGGAGTGCTTTTCCGGGAAGAGTGGGCTTAGGCATATATCCAGCCTTGATGAGGTATGCGTAGTAAAGACCCAACAGGTTATCACCCATCAAAGGACATTTAACCTTTTCGTGTGCAAGAATTGCTTGTGTGTTTGTGTCGTCTAACTGGGCACTCTTGGTTGAGGTCGGGAGATCATCCAAGACAAAGTGGAGAAGGGGGAAAAGAGAGTGGTCTTGTGACTGAAGTGTGTACTCCATCAGCTTGTTACGCCAGTCAATATACTCGGTTTGCTTGCACTCGTATCCAAAGGTTAACAATGTTTGGAACAGATTGTTAAAGGTAAAGTTGGCAGGGTGTGTAACTTGGAATATACCACGAGAAGCAGAATCCTGATCGTAGAGGGCGGCAGAAGCTACAACAGAAGCCACATAGTCCACGGAGCATAGGTTGACGTTGTTAGAAATTGAGGGAATGTACTTGAGCTCAACGCAACCCTTAATAAGACGCCAGATGAAATCATCAGTATTGGTAACACCAGTGTGAGAGTCACCAAGAATATAGCCAGGGCGAATAATAGTAGCAGGCATTCCACGCTTTCTGGCTTCCATAATTAGCTTCTCAGCAACCCACTTGCTCTGTCCATAGCCGGAATCCAGTCCAGTACGGGAACCTTCAAGAGAATCGGATTCTGGAACCTTTTGATTCTCGCCAAAGCCAACGTAGTAAGCGGTGTCTAGTACAGATGTCGAAGAAACAAAGTGGAAAGACTTTTGTTTCTTCTCAGATGCCAGACGCATACCCCAAAGAGTACCGAGGACATTGGGAGCCCGCAATTGCTGATAAGGATAAACCCAATGAACAAGCGCACCATTGTGAATAACGCAGTCAGCACGAGTGGCCAAGTCATTCCACGTAGCTTCAGAAAGACCAAGACGCTCGCTTCCAAGATCACCACAGATACCTTCAACTCGTTTATCGGTCTCCCAGCTATCGTCCCAGACCAAATGTCCAATTGCAGCCTTCTTGACACGCTCATAAGCACCAGCACTATTCTTGGCACGAACGACACATACGACACGGGTATTCTTATGCTCCAATATTTTGGCAAGAATAAATGCACCCAAGAAACCAGTGGCACCAGTTAGCACAAATGTACGGACACCTTTGTTTACAGCAAGAGGGGGATACGACTTCTGGAGGTAGTCAGCAGCCAACACATCAACATCTGCTGCATAGTTGATGACTTCCTTGGGCTTCACGGTCTCGTTGTCGAGCGAATCTTCCGCCAACAAGGTGTCATTACGTTGCAAGGCAGTAACTTCACGAGCAAGACCGCGAATAGTGGGCTCAGCAAACACAAGACCAAGAGGTGCTTCGACCTGGAATTTTTGGCGGATCTCAAACACAAGGCGGGTAGCAATGAGGGAATGCCCACCCAAGTCAAAGAAATTGTCATCAAGAGCAATGACCGGATCAGGAGAGGGAAGAAGGGTTTGCCAAATGGAGTGGATGATACGTTCATTTGCTGTGTATGATGATAGTCCACTAGCAACAGAATCAGCAGAAGGGGCTTTTACCGGCACGGCATTTCCATTAAATTGAGCAGTGTCAGGGAAAGGAAGGGCATTCTTGTCAACCTTGCCGTTGGGAGTAAGGGGCATTCGGATCAAAGGCACAAACACGGCAGGGATTGCGTACGAAGGCAGCTTCTGCTTGAGATAATCACGCACATTCTTTATCAAACGGCGGTAGCGGTGACGAGAGCGGACGTCAGCACTCTCTCCTTTGTCTTCATCGTCCTCAGCGGCACTAGCAAATTCAGAACTCATGTTCTGAACTGGAACAAAGTAGGCAACCAAGGTCTGTTCTTCGTTCTTGTCACGACGGACGAGTGTAACATTCTCACGGATCATAGGATGCTGGGACAAGTGAGTGTCAATCTCTCCCAGTTCAATACGGAAACCGCGAATCTTGACCTGATCATCAGCACGACCAGTGCATTCAACATCACCGTCAGGTCTGTAGCGACCCAAATCACCAGAACGGTACATACGATCACGTTTGCCCTTCCAGAATTCTTTCCATGCATCACCTTGAACTACGGCCTTAGACTTGATTTCTTGGTTAGGATCGGCGACAAACCAGTTGGGAATAAACTTTTCTGCGGTGGCTTCGGGCAAACCCAAATAACCTTCGGCCAGACCAGGTGCACGTACATAGATCTCACCAATCTCTCCGACACCACATAGCTTGGTGCGGTCTTGACGATTGACTACCAGCAACTGAACGTTGACCATACCCTTACCAGCGGGTATTACTTCCTTTTGAGAACTCAAGAAAGCTGGGTGCGAAGCTCGCGAAGGAACGACGAAGTACGAAACAGAGCGCTGAGTTTCGGTGGTACCATACATGTTGATAACAGCAACATTAGGAGCAAACTGCTGGATACGAGCGGCATCACGCTTGGTCAAGATGTCACCAACAAAGAAAGCATTGCGTAAGGTAGGAATATCGGTCTGAGCATGCGAAGAAAGTAACTGGCCCATGGCAGGAGTCAAATGAGTAATTGTAACCTTTGTGTGGTTCATCCATTCGGCAAGACGGCCAGGAATACCAATATCTTCGGCAGTAGGAATATGTAACTCGGCGCCAAAGAAGAGAGGAGTAAATATGTCACGTTGAATGGGATCGTGAGCAATACCGGATAGCATGGTGAATTTATCGTTTTCAGTAATTCCAAACTCCTGTGCCATCCAGGGATAGAAATGAGTGAGTGCAAAATGACGACCACGAACACCTTTAGACAAAAAATGAGTTAATAAATTTGTTGAATTTCAGTAGGTTAATTAACTTACCCTTGGGTATACCAGTACTTCCACTAGTAAAACTAAGAGTGCCAATGCTGTCAGGACCAATGACGATATTAATATTATCCGCAGCCTTGGAACGAATTGGATCAAATACATCCTTGGCATCACCAGGTAAAACACCACCAGACAATAGACCATTGGCATCGATACGTAGAGCAGGGATTTCGCAAATTACGTTTTGTTCCTTCTTGATATATTCACGCACGGACTCGGCAATAGAACAAGCACGATCAATGATAATTAAGCCGCGAGGTCTTGCTACTGACAGATAGACTTCCTGACGAGCAGGGGGATAGGCAGGGTCTAAACATACACCAATTTAACAAGAAAATTAGCTCATAGTTCAGTTACTTGGACTAATACTTGTTTTCAGCTTACCAATAACACTAAAGGTAGCACCAGCTTTAAGTACACCCATAATGGCCACAACAAGATCCACACCACGATAGGCATAGATCATAACCACATCCTCACGCTGAATACCCTGCTCAACAAGATAACGGGCGACGAGGTTAGAAGCATGGTGAATGTTCTGGTAGCTGTACGATACGCGGCCTCCATCTTCAAGGGACTCAACAATACATGCGCGCTGCGGGTGTCTCTTGGCGTTTTCACTAAAGATATCACTGATTGCACCTCTCCACAAAGACCAATGTAAGTCTGCCTTGGGATCTGGCAAAGGACAGTCACTTTCCCCCAAATCAGATATGGGTATTTGGCCTACAGGCAGATTCTGCTTGGATGATGTTTCTAAAACTGTCTTGATTTGTGATAAAAGGTATTGGATACGTCTAGGGGAAAATAATATTTGGTTGTATACGACCCGTATAGAGATGGGACGCAAGAATGAGGTACGTAAGGAGGTGCTGGCTTCGGGTGAAGTAATGAAGATAGTAAGATCAGCATTTGCAGAGGTAGAAGACAGCTGCTTTTGAGATGGAGTATCAGTCTCGTTATAGAAACGAACTCGGAAAAGAGGACGCCTGCTGTCGGGGTCAGTGTGTGTATCCATAAGCTCACTGAGCTTCTCAAAAGGCACCTCTTCATCCAGAGCTTCTTTTTCAACCTAGATTAACCAGCTTAGGCTCATGTCTTTTTTTGCATGACACCAACAAACCCCCCAAAAAAACAATAGCAATACTTACTGTGTGTACCATCTTGATAATTTCCTCAAAGCTCTGGGTGGGATCCACATTGAGCTTGAGAACCAAGGGATTTCCGGAGAGGGATGAGGTTCCGACAGCAAATTCTTCATCACCAGTATAGCGTTGAAGAAGGACAGCAAATGCACTGAGAAGAATTGTGAAGGGAGTGGGGTGCTGACCGTCTTTTGTGGCTGTTCCCATAGATATCTGGAGAATACTCAAGAGAGTTTGCTCTGGGAGATCGATTGTAGCCTTCTCTTCTACAGTACGAGCAGGCAATGGACGTGGATAATCGGTTGGGACCAATAGATCTGTGAGATTCTGGAGACGGGTCTTCCATACTTGGAGACGATCCGTGTTGGCCTGATTGCCAGGTAAGTTTTGGGATGGCATGATATATGAGATTGTTATTAAAGAGTATGATTATAAAAAAATAGACAGAAGAAAGAGAGAAATTTAGAGTGGTTGGGTGGCTGTTTATAAGCTGTTTTATATATTGATGGTGATTCGGATTATCTATGATGGGTTATTTTCTACATCCAAGATTTCCTAAAGCGGGAAATGCATTAGATGGAAGATCAACCGTCACTTTTAAGCGGACACTTAAAGTAAATTGTTCATAAGTACGCTGAATTTGCATGAATTCCAATCCCTGCTGTTTACTAGATTATATCTTCGGATACTGATTGATATTTTGTAATAGGAAACAATCATAAAAATAAACTTACCACACTTGAAAAATTTACAGGTTAATTTGTATTTGTGTTTAAAGAGCAAGGCCGGTTGTAAGATAGATTTATTTCTTTAAGACAACGGTCAGGGTGACAGGTAGGGAATGTCGGAGTATATGTCCTGTTATGGAAATGATCTCTGATGTGATCATCTACAGCCAATGATGGTTGCCAAAGAAGAATTTACTGGGACGAAAAAATGAAAATGAAAACAAAAAAATAAAGTCATGGTCAAAAGAGGATATTATTGGTATGCCCTATCAACAATGTCTTTGTTCTATTCTATTTATCGCTCTCGCTCTCGCTCTCGCTCTCTCTATTCCACTATTTATTTTTAAGGCAGTTTATATCACTTGAATTTGTATTTAAAAAAATCGACATATAAATTGAATGAAAATTACTGTGTATATATGTATATTAAACGTTAAACATGGAAATTTGGCTAGAAATTAAGGTACAGGATATGCTAAAGTCTTTAATAAGTTTTCATAGTTTCTGTCACTGTAGCTTATAATGTAAATTTAATTAAGAGATATTAGTAGAAAGAAAAAAAAGATGGAAGTAAAGTGGGACAAAATGAAGTCTATAATTCTCTTTTGTTTAAGCTTCTGTATAGTTGAGATCCTCATCTACAGCAGCAGCTAATTTAGAGTATTGAGTTTTACTCAAAGTACGATAATAAATACTCAGTACAATTGCAAAATAAATCTAAAATGAAATGAAATTAATAAAACAAAATTACCTGTATTTCTTTTCTTTTAACTTACATGCACAACACGAAGAATAGCTAGGATAGTAACGCTAACCATGCCCTCCATTCGGAACATGGCATCGTAGTCTTCTTGAGTCAAAGTATCACTGGCATTAGAAGGCAAACTGTGATCGGTGTAGACAAACCACTTGATAGCAAACATTAATGTGGTTGCTGTACTGACAAGACAGTCGACCCAGTAGAATATGGTGTACCATTGGATTAATTTGTAGTTTTCCTAAAATAATTAATTATACAAAAAAGGCGATTTGTTTCATTGGATTAAATCGTCTGGCCAATTATTTAATTCAAATATACATGGATAAACCAACGGCCCGTACCTTTTTGTAACCGTAGAGTCCAGCTACAAAGGCACCCAGAGCACCAAGTGTGTAGATGTAGACTAGAAGTGCATCAGCACTGACATATTGCAGCATAAACAGACCGAATGGTGCGCAAATCTTGTTGAGCTATAACCACAATAAATCAATTGATGATCACTTAAGGATTTTGTCTTACAATGCCAAAGATTGTGATGATGAAGACACCTAAGTGTGAACAATTAGAATAATGAGTTGATTGCACTTATTAATAGAGATTATCATAGATTATTACCTGTCTTGATGGGAATAAATCCGCAGCATGTTCGAGACTTAAAGATTGCTACCATGATGAAAGATAAAGGAAACAGGAATTATTTATATTTTCTTTCTTTATACAAAGGTCACAAGCGAAACATCATGTGACTTTCAAAGGCATCCTCCAAGAAGTACATTTAATTTTGATATCTAGTATATTATATATGTACTCTAGATATATTCTAGTCAATGTGTATTGTATTAGTTTTAACAGTTCTTCTGCTATTTAATTCTTATTTTACTCTTTATTATGGAACCAAATGAATTTAAAGCTCTAGAAATAAAATGAGTACTTACAAGTTTAAGTTTTGTAATTAACAGTATGGGGAAAAATAGCAGAAATTTTAAAAGGTACTATAAGCATTTTCTAATAGTATGCTATTCAAAAGAAATCTATATTTTTTCGAGGTCTTAGGGGCTGTTTTAAGGTTGAGTTTTGGTTAAGTGTTACTTCTTTTATATTTATGTATATATGTATAGTTTTAATATTCCACTTTTGTCGCACCGCATTTTTGCAATGAAGGCAAGGCATTTCTCTCTTCCTCTACCTTTGCGCAGTACAAAGAATTATAATAAAGTTATTTACCACATTATTCAAAGGATGTAATGGGTTACCAAATAACATCTTGAAGATATTTAGCGATAATTGTGCTGAAGATTTAGCCTTCCTTTTTCTATTGATACTCTTCTAAAACCTGGTTGTATTTGTCTCTCACAAATATCCTCTGTGGTATCTTCTCTTGGGTTTACAGCACTTCAAATGTAAATAACTTGAGAGAGCCTATCAGGAATTGTGACACCATACTTAAATTAGTTAAGGATATGTTGGAAGTTAAAGACAGCAACAAAGTCTATTACAAAAATGATGCTCAAACTGTAACGAAGTCATGTTCTACAAAAAGAAACTATTGGCACACCTAAAATTATTTAAAAGAATATTGACAATAATAATAAAAGCAAATGTTGTTTGTAATATTATCTTAGAAAACTATGACAGGTTACATTCGACGTTTGTGGGAAATGATTTTGGCAAGATTTGGGGACGTGCTTAAACTTAAAATAAAATTGGCCGAAAACACGAAGGACAGTGTTCTGCGTACTAAATTCACCAAACAAACAAACAAAACTCAAATCTATATTTGCTAAGTAGATATCTCACCCTTACACCTTTTATTTGCTCATTTTGTTGGCTGTGAGAAGCAAACCAGCTTTTTATTACCAAGACCTAATCTAGACCAAGATCGAGGCAAATATTACGTGCTAGACGTTTATTGGTTTGGGATTGGTTTATATAGGAGGAGAGACGAAGTTTGTGAAATAAACGCTGATTACTGGATCGACTTCTGGGGTTTGAGTAAAAGAAGCCGAGGATTGAAGAACTTTTTTATCTGACTAAAGGGTGGAAGGCCAAGTCGGAAATAGCGTTGATTCGGTTTGAAGTCTAGAAGATAGCTTGTTCAAGTGGGAAGTTGTAATACAATCTTTCAAAAAAAGTCCTCATGACTTTAAAGCCCGCTTACTCATCTTTATCTGCAACCTCATTTCACACTTACGTTAATCTATAACCTTATAAACATGACACCTGCAAATTCAAACCAAAATAAAGGCAACCGCTCCCATAAGCTTAAAAGGTTTTCGAATACTGAGAAGTCCATCATGATTGGGATGCATAAAGCTGGAATGTCCATTCCAGAAATCTCCCGCTCCGAAGGCATACCTGTGGAATCTCTTCGCAGTATAATAAAAAAGTATAAGGAAACTGGCTTTGTCGAAGATAAGCCCCGTTCAGGAAGACCAAAGTGTCTTGATTCTAGAGGCAAGCGTCATTTGGATAGACTTATAAGAAGTGACCGACACCAGTCTTTATCGGATATTGCAAGAGGTGTTAGAAATTTCACTGGTCATTACATCTCTGAAAATACAGTCAGTAAAGAACTGCATAATCTGGGCATATTCTCTCGTGCTGCAGCAAAGAAGCCTCGGCTAACTGAAAAAGACATGGCCATTCGTCGGAAATGGGCAAAAGAAAGAATGAACTGGAAAGAAGAGTGGAAGACAGTTATATGGAGTGATGAATCAAATTTTCCTCTTTTCAGAGTAAATGGAAAAGTTCGCTCATGGAGAAAGGCTGGCGAGAGGCTTCGCACAGACTGTGTTCAACAAAAAGTACAAGGAAATGGAGGATCTGTAATGGTATGGGGCTGCATTACCGCTGAAGGAGTTGGACCACTTGCAGTTGTTAAGGGCACCATAAATGCAAAAGTTTATGTGGAGATTATGGAAACTGTCTTTAAGCCATACTACCATGCCCTATCAAACAATGGCACAAAGACATATACGTTTCAAGAAGATAACGCGCCATCCCATACTGCAAACATATCAAAGAAATGCAGAAAAGAGCTTGGTCTGGATGTTCTTGACTGGCCATCAAGAAGCCCAGATTTAAGTCCAATTGGAAATATCTGGAATATTTTGGATGGCCGTGTTCGCGAGAGGGCTTGCCCACCTACGAACCTGAGGGAGTTGGAAGTAGCTCTGCAAGAAGAGTGGCAAAAAATAGATAGAAAAACATGTGCAGATCTATGCCTCAAAATGCATAGCAGATTAGTAGCCATCAAAGAGAACAAAGGTGGGCCTACCCCATATTAAATAAATAATCATATTTATACCAGACAAAGGTCTTTCTCTAAGCTTCATTATAGTTATGTTCTGGCTGCCTCTATTACATATATAAAGAATAAGAGAAATATAAAGATAGACCTTTGGACTTCTATTCTCTTCGGAGTTTAAAGTCATGAGGACTTTTTTTTGAAAGATTGTAGATAATCTCCTCTCAGTTAGGAATGGTGACCTTACCGGAAGTTGGTTTGTTTTAGAGTGGAGTTGCTAACAATATCTGTCTGGGTGGTTCTTCTGAACTCTATCACGTAGTTTTGTTGATTTTTGAAAGGCTCGCTATCGAAGCTGTAACATAATAAATATACTTTTTAAGAGACTTGATCATCAATAGAAATCACACTACTTGGGACCAAATTGATAATATCCTTTTCTTTACAAAGAATAAATAAGCTGAGAAGCTAAGCGTTACTTGGTCAAATTGATAACAAATATCAATATCAATGTCAAGATACACATGTGGGCCTTTACAGCAAAACGGCCTTTTTTTTTAATATGAGAATCGCCATATATGGTGTTTGGTGTCTGTATCAATTTGTGGTTCTGTTTCAATAAAGGATTCCGAGTACGGCTACAGCAATAAAAAGTATATGTAAAATTTGATAAACTATTATCCGAATGTCATCAATAGAACCAAGTCCTCGGAGCTTTGTGTACAAAACGAATATTTGGACGCAAGCTGCATATCAAAGTCAATATATATGTATACACGCACGTAAATAAAAGAGAACTTTACATATATATATATATATATATATTTGAACTTGAATACATCCAAAGAAAATTGTTTGAATAGCTCCATCTGTTATTTTTTTTGTATATTCATGGCTTACTTCAATACCATTAAGCGCTCGTTTGCCGATGTGGATCTCTCGAATGGAATAGACACTAATGAATTTCTGGAGGCTACAGAGGGAATGGTAAAAATTTTTGGTAAGATTAAAAGGAAAACGGCTTTAATCTTGATGCTAAATTCTTTAAATCATCTTAGATGTAATTGGATCTACTGCATTTGGATTTGTTCAGAACGATATGAATGGGAATATTAAGGTAAAGAAAAAACATTGTATTTTCGTGTATTTATGATAAGTATTAGAGGTTACGCCTTCGATATGAAAGCAATCCTGAAAAGAACGACACGCTTGAGCATCTTTTGGAAGGAGAGTCTGATGAATCAAAACGGTTGGCCACAGAAGGCCTTCTTTGGTTGATACGGTAAAATGACTGAGTGTTCGTTTATTGTTATTAAAACAAATGAATCTATTAGTGCCCTGGATTTTACAGCAAAAGGATTGACACGTAGTTTAGATAATCCTGACGAAGAATTAACATATTCGTTCAGTGTTGCATATGAAACTACTTTACGCCAATATCACAACTTCCTGGTTCGTCCCGTATTTGCTGTAAGTAGATATGCATTATATAAATAGCCAGATTTTTATTATATATTTTATTTATTTATTATTTGGTATATATATATATATATATATATATATACGCGTGCTTGTGAATCTATGGATATCAATAGTTGGCAGTAAAGTCTTGTCCTTACCGTCAAGACTTTTATAAGCGTATCGACATTATAGATGATACTGCCATTGGTTTGATGAGGGAATGGCTGGCTGCTTTAGATATTTTGGTGAATAGAGTTCAGATACTCTTTCACCAACATCCAGAATACATCAAAGGAATGTAAAGAAAAATACAAAAAATATGGAAAGATGAAAAAAGAAAAAAAAATATGTGATCGTATCGATGCTTGATGGTTCGTGAAAAAAAGGAAGGTTGTAAATGGAGAATTAGAGAGAAAAGACTTGGTTTTTGCGCTTCTCATATTCATCAAATCGAAGAACAGCGTAAGACATGTAGTCGAAGTCTATGTCGGAGATTGTGGCCTGGATCATGGCCCATAGCCCCCAGTAAAAGTGAGAAGCCAAAGAGAATCCATTTACTTCGCGGTAGAGGTGTTCGAGTGTTTCAGGTGTGGGTTTTTCTGCAAGATGATTGATAATAGGGTTTTTTTTGTTTGTTCTTTAGTATTATATTATACAAATTATATAGTGTTACTTACTGCCGGTGCTTTCAACCAGGTACCATTCAAACCACTGGAGTTGGAATGCACGGTCTGGATATCTCTTATAGTCACACTCAAACCCAGCAAACTCATTAAAGTGGTTTCCGATATCAAATCCACGAAATGCATAACATCCATACTCATAGTCAATGAATGACGCTTCCTCTACAGACCATATGTTATCAGACGAGATCACGAGATAGAGTATATATGTCACACAAGGTGTTACCTTTCTGGTCATCAAAGATAATGTTTCCGTAAAGAAGATCATTGTGAGAGAAGACAATAGGGGAATCAAGCTTTTCCAGTCTTTCCATCAAATTTTTAAGCTATACGATTCGTTATTTACACAGACCGACTTTAAAGGTATTTACTTACATCAGTGCTCAAAGCTTTTTTGTTGAATCGGGAGGTAAAAATATTGTGTGCCTTGGGATCAGTGTACTTTTCAGGTACTAAAATAGATGAAGATTGAGGGCATCTCTTGATCAATACTTGTTCTTATCCAAAAATATAACTATATTCCACCGCGCAAAAAATATAGATAGATAAATGTGCTATAATCAATTTACCTTGCTCAAGCCAGTTCCACATGGTATCCCACAAGGTCTGTTTTCTCTCGGTACCTTGCTTGTTAGCGTCATCCAACTGTACCTGGTGCCACTTGGCCAGACGCTGAGCAATCCATCTTGCGGTTTTTGGTCGCCCAAGATCTTCCACAGATGCGACTCGACCCTTAATATACCCATAAACCAAACCATTTTTAAAGCGACCATACAGCGGAGGACACATCTTTTGAGTCGAGAGTGTGACGATGTTCTAGATATGTTTTATTGTTGTTAAATACAAATACCAGAAACATGTTTTTTTTATGTTCATTACTATATTCAAACATACCACAATCTCCTGCTTACGGTCGATAATTTTATCCGATCCCTTTCCATAAGCGCGGACCAAAACTGACATATCAGTAGGTTGATGGGTTACCTTGACCACTACAAGATTTTAATTATTCTTTTTTCTTAATAATTTCTATATTATTGATGTGTGTTTTATAAGTAACTTGCATTGGTTGGTAATCCCGTCCTTGCACTGGACAAACTTGATATCTTGTCTTTTCCATTTAGGGAACACTCCAGAAATCACTTTGAAGGCACCTTCAAACAGATCCGAGATGAGGACTTCAACATCGATGTAAGGAGTAGCTTCAATTAGACGGTCAGTTGAGTTCATAACAGCAGTTTCGTTTGAAGTGGATGAATAGGTGATGTTTGGTGGCATTGTTGAAATAATAAAGAGAAAGAGAAAGAGCAAAGATAAAAAGTGGACTCTCAAAAGACACAAAAGCTCTCTAATAGCTAAAATGGCAGGGGCGGTGTCTATAAAAAATTATATATACTTCTTTCACGTGATTCGACAAAGATCAATTATCTGATTTGGTTTTTTTTGTGTTTAAAGTACAGACATTTTTCACCGATACAATCAAAGCTTAACAATGCAGCTTTACTTGTCGACCATTGTGGATATGTTTGGTTAGAACTTGGTAGAATAAATCCACAAAAGCGTTTAATCTAGTCATGAGTAAGCATGTTATTTTTATATATATAAGTGAAAAACTTGGAGTTACTATAATTGCATACTATGATTTCAATTGAAAGGATTTCCTTTGTTTTACACATATTTCGCCTCACAAAAACAGCTCTTAATTAAACAAAGTTTCCAGGCTTACTAGTAGTAGGTCTTAATCTGTATAATTCTTTGTATTTTGCTTTACATAGGTGATTATTCAGGGACTAGGCAAAGTAAACTGCTATAAATGGTTAAGAGTTGATAGCAATTTTTTTTCTGACAAAGATATTCTTGATATATAGTGCGATGATTTTGATAATGCACTTCCTTTATTGCACATAGTAACAATAACTATACTTCTATATTTATTTATTTTTGAGTGTGACTCTATCTAAAGCTACATAAGACCATGAGATACCTGTAAAATAGTACTGGATTAACCTAGGTACAAAAAGAAAAGCACGAGCAATCTATTCTTTGTGCAATTTGGAAAATACAAAATATTGACGAGTTGCAAGCCCCCAAGACAAGTCTAAATAAGGTACACAACTTTAGCCTTCTTTTAAGTGAATTCCTTTTAATCGATACTATATTACTTGTATAATAAGAAATGATGGTTCGTATTTTTTCTTGTAATATTGGGGTGTGGTTATAAGAGCTGGAGTGGTGATGTTTATTAATTGGGTCTTCGTTTAAAAGGTTACTGATAGTAATACATTTCCCATAATTGTTTAAGATAATGTAGCTTGTTTAGAGTAAGGAATTTTAAGATCTTCATCAATTTGGTTTTTATTCAAAACATCGAAACGAGACGAAGAAAATAAATATAAGAGAGCCTCTTTTTAAAAAGAAAAAAAGTCTAAAATATTGATATTTATTAATAAGCAAGGCATATTACTATATTTCTTAATTATGAATACTAATTATGTGGAGATACTTACTGATTCTTGAGGTGAGTAACTTCACTTCTCTATTAACATTCTTGGCACACATACGCTTATTATATGCCTCAATATATCTTTAGATCTTGTAAAATATTTTTATAATTGTTGTTTGGGCAAAAACAGGAAATGTATTATCCAAAATGGACACCAGGTTCTTTTCAAGTGACTTGGACAAATAGTTGGAACCAAGGCACCCTGCACATTTAATATGTTCCTCAATAGTGCTCGATCCAATTGAATTCACACTGGAACTTGATATCTACCTTTTTTTACAACCCCCTCAATTGTTGTCTTATGATTAGCAAAACCAGGCTTGGAAGCCAAGAGGTGGCAAGCACAATAATAAGTATTCCCTGTCTGGTATTTATTGTATTATAGCATTCGTACCTTAGATAGATTGTTCAGATTAAGTTCTTTCTATATGTCATGTTCCTATAAGACTCTTTGGATGTCAGGGTATTATTTTTTCTTCACAGTTGTCTTCCTTTTTTTTAAAGAGTAAATAATTTATTGAAAAGGCGCCTACCTTTTTAGTTTTCGTTCAATATCCTTTTGTATAGGACATTTATAAGAAGGTCGCTCGAAGACCTCAAGTCTATATACTCCTTATTTCTACTTAACAATAAACTTGATCTTGTTGATCTATACATGAATTTCTAAGTATTATTTTTAAGTCCCAAATTATATTATTCGAGCATATACAGAGGTTATATTTTAGGTACAGTGCGGCTGGTAGACATTAGGGCGTTTCACCAATTATGGACTAAGCGATACTTCAAGCACTAGCCAATAATAATGAATATCGAAAAAAAAGCTGTAGAGTCCCATTAATGTCTCTTGACATATATTTTCCCTCATATGCGTCAATATTCATATGTACAATACGCTTGATTAGAGTACCCATAAATATAGTGCCCCTGCCCCAATTCCCCACAAGTACGTTAGACTTTTTAATTTGGTATTAAGATAGCTACTCTTACATAGATTAATTATGTTTTATTCTTTACTTTGCTTTTATATGAACTTGGCCAAAATTTACGAAAATTGTACTTTATGTACAATTAATAGCGAAGTTATGACATTAGAATATCTAACTTTTTTTTTAGATGCTTGGATGCTTGGATACTCAGTTTTCATTTTTTGTAGATTCATCACAGCCAATCATTTTTTAATTAAACTACCGCTACATCCAACAGTCAAGCATCTAGAACTGGTGAAACCCCATATTAAATAATAATAATTCTGTGACATCTTCTCTTGTCTTTTATATTTTACTATGCACAAGACGCCATTTTCAATAGCCTATCGTAATTATGCGACACGTTCACCATTTACCATCATGGAATTACGGCCTGATGCCTCAATTACAGCAATTAAGAAACGCTACTATGAACTAGCTAAGCGTCTCCATCCAGATGCACCTGGCGGAGATCTTGAAAGGTTTAGAGAACTATCCAAAGCGTACGAGTTCCTTTCAAATCCTATCAAACGCGATACTTTTACCAAAACCGGTCTAGGATGGGATGTACCCACCTCACCTGATCCATGGAAGCCCTCTCAAAATAATAGACCATCGTCTTACGAGGCATGGTCTGCAGAGGAAGATTTCTTTTATAAAAACCCACCTTCTACTGTGACACCCAGGTTTACCTCTAATACCAATTTTTTTGCAATTCTATCGGGTGCTACAGTCTTGGGAACAATGCTGTCTGTATGGTACTTCTCTTCGTCACGTTCGAGACTAATGCGTGAAGCCGATCGGCATCACGCGCAGGCCAGTCGTGATCTCGAAAGAGCTCGTACTGGAGCCCAACTGTTTGGTAATCAGCATGCAGTTAACCGTATGTTAGAACGGCGAATCAAGGGAGTACAACAAGATAAAGATCTCAAACGCGACAATTGATACACACACCAATACTTGTATATTGTTCTTTTTATATATATATATTTCAATGAATTGCTATTTTGCTTATAAATATATACACATGTTCTTTGATAAGAAAAATACTAATCAGCCTTAAGATTCTTCTTGTCCATCTTCTCGACTTCGAGATTATACCGCCTGGAAAACACTTCGATATAATAATTTGCGCCGTTCCAAACACTTGCAGCAAACATACTGATAAGAAATATGGTGTGGACCCAAAAGTGGGAATATAAAAAGCAGGTTGGAATAGTAGTGAGGATATTGTATGCCAGTTGAAGAAGCATAAACATGTAGAGTTTGTACTTTTCGCCAAACATAAAGGCCGCTTTTTGAATGAACCCTTTCTTGCCATTAGTGTCATTGAGTAACCATGAATATGATGTCAGACGAAGACCGGATTCGACCTTTTCTCGTCTACCAACCATGATGAATAAAAAGTAGAGTGTCTGCCACACAATATAAGCCGCGTTTGAGTAAATCATTGCCTGTGCAAAACTGATGTGAGGTAGTTGGGCAAGGGCCGGGAAACGGGTGTCACGTTGAGTTTCAAAGGCTGTGAGACAGTCGGCATCTCCATCACTGCACAGAATCGTCGGCATCCAGCGAATAACATACGTGATAAGGGGAGGAAACATGTGTATGCATACCGAAGTGACTTTATCCAACGAATGGAACACGAGTGAATTTCGCCACGTAATTATAGCCCAAGCAACAGGACCATTCGTAAGGCAAAAGACGATGACAAACAGTAGCGGGTTCTCGGGTGCAGACCAAAGAAATAACATCACCAGGATGTTGACATAATAGCACACGTCAAACACAAAGTAGTGCCAGCGTTTTGAGCGGTATATAATGTAACGCAGGGCAATCAATATAATGACCTGAATTGTGTAGAATAGCGGCAACCACAACGGCACACGTACGGCCAAGGCAGGAGTAACGCACGCATTACTAACACCAATAACAAATGAAACCTTATCTCTCAACCGAACTGTCTTTGCGTCTCGATTCATTCGCTCATCAATCTTTCGATATTGTGATAGTAGTTGTTCCTTGATACGTTCTCTCTGGTCTTCGAGTTTCTTGTTTTGTAGTTTAAGCCGACTCTTGGTCTTGACAGTCCACTCGCTTGATTTTGCTCTGACCTCTCTCTGCTTTTCATCCAATTGATGAGTAACTTGCTCGAGTGCAGCCGAGAGAATGTCGATCATGTCAAAGTCATTCTCGGACATGTAGTCTGACAGTTTCAGGTCATTCTCTAAACCCAGGAGAGTATCTCCTAATCGATCCTCGCTATCGGTACTAATTGAAGATCGACTTGGCGGTGATGAGTCTGGAGAGGATGTGTTTGACATTTGAATGTAAAATATAAAAATAAGTGTTAATTTTCTTAAAGAAAAAGAGGAGACGAGTTTGAAGAGACTTGATTGCTCATGGAGCACAGTCTAATGACATAATAACTATTTCACGTGATGGCAATCACTTATTAACACTATCACGCTTTAAGATCAATTGGACTTGTGTGACCTTGTCTGTGGCTGGGATGTTCAACGAGATAATCCCTTTTCGCCTCTTTCCCTTTTCCCTTTTCATTTATTTATTTTTTACTTAAAAAAAAACCGACTGGTGACTTGTAGGTACTAGGATATTAGCTTAATTTTTAGAACCTGGATAAAGAATATATACCCTATTAATCTATGCGTCTTTGGTTTACACTTGCTTATTTGTGTTGTCTACTTTGGTAGTATAATAAGAATAAATTTTACCTGCTATGCGTAAATAAAATAATTCTATGAATTAATATAAAATAAGTTGAATCTTCATTGCACTCCTCAACTTAATATATATATATGTACTGTTGAGTAATTTCTCCATAGCGGGTAAAGACAAGAATGGAATATTCGCCTTATCTGAGCGAAATTTTATTATCATAATCATGTTACCCATCTTCTCAGTATATTGATAGAGTAATGGAGGAAATAGAAGAGAAGAGGAAAGAAAAGAAAAAGTTTTTTCTCCATCTACTTTAGGCTTTAAATCTACTCAAGAAACTAAACCAACTCCACATAATACATGGTTTAGACTTTAGTTGATGACAGTATTTTGCAAATTAAAATACAAGAAAACAATGGGAGTCTTATGTTTTTTTTTAAAAAAAAAACAACAAAAAACATCATTTGGTATGAGACCTGTAGATTTACTTTAATAGCTATACACCGGGAACATACATTATGTGCAAGTAAACTATTATGGTATTCGCTGCTTTGGTTTGGAACATTTTACTGCCTTGATTATTTTCAGGTACAACGTTTATAACCGCTGTAAGATATACAATATATAAGTGCATAACGTTAACCTTGTTCTTTATTTTGATCTACGCATCAATCAAATTATTTTTTCATTGGTTGTACACTTTCTCGCCAATATTTTGTTGTCTAAGCTTTATACCAGGCTTTACAAGACGAGTATATTTGAAAATCGTAGTGGTTCTAAAACTAAGTATAAATCAGTCTCGGGGAAGACTTGTTTCTTGTATTTGATGGTCAAATGGACTACATAATTACTATTGCATCTTTGATTAGTTCTCTGCACTACGCAATTAACCAAGAATTCTTTACCTTTAGCAGACAAGCACAACAAGACTTACATAAGTGTTTGTTATCTGGGCATTATGTAAACACTAAAATAATCGAGTAAAAGATACTTGCTCTCATCTCAAACTGCACCTCTAAAAAACATAAATATGTCTATAATTAGAAACAATAGCCACTGTCCAAGTCACATTTTCCTTTTTCTCTTTTGTTTTGCCTTTTTATGGAAGCAAAAATACAATTGCGCAGTGAACGGACTGTCAAAACATAGCGAGGAGATTAATCCCAGTGGAAGAGGTGTACAGGACATTGAGTGCACTCTTTCCTTATTGATGGTTCATATCACTAACAACTCCGCAGGTAATAAACTTAGAACCTTTTATTTGTTCTTATATATATATAATGGAATATAATTATATTATTTTGTTATTTAAAAATAGAAAAGGAGCTGCTTATTCCTGCCAAGACTAAGCCCATCTCAATATAATAGACTCGATTGATGAACGGTTGACAATGACTGATTCTGCTTCCCAGTCAATGGAGCACATCGTACACATGGATTCTCGATCGACCCCATCAATCTCACAAACCTACAACGATCCCCTCCTCAGAACAGACTTTCACTTCGGTAGCCATAGTCCGCCTAATGATGACACTGAGTTGCAGACAATCAACCAAGGCGATATGCAGGCTTTTATGGAGCATTCAGGAAATGAAGACACTCGCGATCGCCCTTTTACAGCTCGTCTAGATGATCTTCTCGAAACAAATGAGAAAAAGCCTATGCCGCGACGTAAGAGCCTTTATGGAGGACAAGTATATGTAAGATAGAGTCCAATTGATACAAAAGCTTGCTCTCTCTTTTTTTTTTCTCGCAAAACGAAACTCTAATTGATTCATTGACCTTGTCTCTCTTTGCAGGACCCTTTAAAGGTAGAGAAGCATATCGAAAGGTGTGAGTTTTATTCTCCAGATTTAGGTTGTATAAAAAGCAATTCTTTGCGGAAAATGATGGAAATGCCAGTCCGAACCGAAGAAGAAAAGACGGTATCAGAAGTGCTTGTAGAGACATCCAACTGGTGGATAAATATGATGTCACCCACAGACGATGAGATGCGATCACTTGGAAAAGTAATACAAGTTCATCGACATTTTGTAAATATATAGACTGATACTTTGCTAGTTGTTCCGAATTCACCCTTTAACAACAGAAGATATCCAAGCCCAGGAATCGAGAGAGAAATGCGAAATATTCCAAAACTACATTTTTATCAACTATCGCACATTCGAGAGTGATTACGTTAGCCCAAATTATCTTGAACCGATCAACTTTTATATCCTCCTATTCAAAAATGGTGTTCTTACTGTAAGTTGCTCCGAACACTATCACTATCACTAGAAACTTAATATTTACTATTCAAACTTAGTTCCATTTCCAACCTGTGCCACATCCTTACAACGTCCGTAAACGCATTCACCATCTTAAAGATTTTATACACATAACACCTGAATGGATAAACTATGCTATTATCGATGATATTACAGATAGCTTTGGACCTCTTATACAACAAACTGAACTAGAAGTGGATTCAATTGATGATCTTGTTCTAGTTTTAAGTGGATCTGAGCAAAATGACATGCTACGCCGTATTGGAAGTTGTCGCAAGATAGTCATGCACCTCCTTCGCTTACTTGGAACCAAGGCAGATGTCATTCGTAGTCTAATAAAACGTCATGATGACAAAGCAGTTGAGCTTGGCTATGGTCCTCGTACTCGCGATCGGTTAGGTTCAGAAGGCAAAGTTTACCAAGAAGTACTACTTTATTTTGGCGATATTCAAGGTAATACTTTCTTTAAATAATGATAATCACAATGATAATGATGATAATGACATCAAATGTCTCACTTTAATCCACAATAGACCATATAATCACCATGGTACAGAATGTAACACATTACGATCTTATTTTGGGTCGTGCACATAGGAACTATCTTGGACAGATTTCAATTGAACTCTCGCAAGCTGGTGCAACCACAAATGATGTTGTAAATCGTCTCACTTTCTTAGCAACCATTGCAGTCCCACTCAACCTAGTGGCCGGTCTGTTTGGTATGAACGTTAAAGTACCTGGATCAAGTGAAGATGATTTGGTGTGGTTCTTTTGGATTGTACTTGGAATGGGGTTTTTCTCAGCAGCCATGGTTGGCTATGGTAAGCGAGCTGGGTTTCTCTAAGTAGTTCTCCATTTGCAGCAATATACACAAAATATATGATAGATAGAATATACTTTTTGTGTTTTATTATCGCTTGTACTTCACTTGTCCCTTATTCTGTCGCTTTTCCATCTTGGCTTGGCGCTTAGACTTGCCATCAGTCTCAGCTTTCTCAGTTTGAGGTTCTTTGGAGCCAAAGTAAGACATGGCCATAGGAAAGATCTTATAAGCAGCATAAGCTGGGATCTGTGCAAAGAAATAAATGATCAATATATACTTTCAAATTTATAGAATTAAACATGTGTATTAACGTACCACCAAGTACAAATACCAGCCTTTGTTGGAGATAAAGGCAGTGAGGAGATGTGTAGCCCATGTAATATAGATAATATCAAACATGTAACTGTAATATATATATATGAGTGTATATGTAAGTATAACCATAAGACTATCATATTTTAAATACTTACGCGGTAAGACCTTCGGCATTAAGATCATCGCCACTAGCTACGAGTGCACCTGAAGCATCATAGCGAGATTCGGCTGAGCCCTCCAAAACACTATAGAAGAATAGAGATACTCCCAAACTAAGAACATACAAAACCATCTGTACAGTAGTAAAAGTCTGCCAGTGGTAGACAATGCGCCACAGAAAGTATGTCACCTAATGCCAATATTAATTAGCTAATTGTAATTTTGCCAACCATCAATTATTTACATTCACAGCGATGAAGCCTTTGCGCAAGTTCGAAATCGTACGCTTGTTTGCGGCAGCAATCTTCTTGGATGATGCGTTGGCCTTGATGAAACATAGTTGTCAGCAGCCATTGTCCGTTTATTCATCACAGGTCCACATACCATAACGAGAAGTTGGAAAGAAGAACAAAAGCCCAAGACGGTGTTTAAATGATGTCCCTTATTCTTTCTCTTCTTTGAGAACTCAGCTCTCTCATTCTTCATTCCCCATGGCCATCTTCAACAAACTCACTGGTCTAGCTCAACGAGCTAAAGACGGAGCAATGACAAAGGTTGTCTTGGCCAAAGACAAACGCCTCGAGCAATCATTCTCAGAGGCTCTAGATCTCGACAAAATCAGGCTAGGAAAGGTAACTTTGGATTGAATCCCCTTGACACAACAAATGAATAATTGAATTGACAATTTGAAAGATGTCGACCTACGGATTACCTGAGGTGATATCTACAGTTGCTTATGATTCCGTAGCAAGCCTTCTGGCAGTTGGTAAGAGACAATAATAATGATATTAAACACAAACATGTATGCATATATACATATATATGCATATCTATATCTATAATTCACCATATTTTATATCTAAGCTGGCGGATCAACACAGTATTCTATTCGAGTGTTTGGCAAAGGGATGTCAGCTAGGCTTCAACTTCACACTCTAGCACCTGTAAAATACATGCAATTCAAGATCGGATCTCCTATGCTTATAGTCATCGATCGCGACAATAGAATTAGCTTAATGGATCTAAAAACAAAGCAACCTAGTCATGTGTTGGAAGGCGATGGAATCATCACCTGTTTCGAATATTGTGTGGGCACAGATTGGCTCTATCTTGGCTATGCAGATGGTTATGTCAAGGTACTTGACCTCAAAACAGCTTCTCTTTCACCTTACCGGATTCCTGACCTGTGGCATCAACAAATGCCGCCTGCCACTCACGATCGCTTCTGCAGTATAGTCACTGCTATCCAAATACATCCCACTGATCTCGACCTTTTGTTGGTCGGATATCCTTCGGCAGTTTTTCTTTGGTCTATCCGTGAAAACTCCGTCAAAAGAACCTTTAAGCTTCCTTCTCAAGCACGACTCACTTGTCTAAGTTGGTGCCCGGAAGGAGATCGTTGGATGGGTGGCTATGATGATGGGTGCATTAATATGTGGGACATGCGCTCAGATACCCCAATATTCTCTCGAAAAGTATTCCAGGCACCTGCTCCATCCTCGGCCTGTGAGCCTGTCTATTCCTTGGCCTGGTATATTGATGATACTTTGCAGAAATCATTTGTAATCGTAGCGGGTGGTTCAGAGATTCCAGGATTATTTGGACTACATGTATTAGAGATAGACACCAACACAAAAGAATGTCGTAAACAAACAATTGTGCCTTCTCCTGTGGATATTTCATCTTTTGTGTTAATGCCCCGTGATCCTTATTTTCTTGGTGCACGACATCCTCTTGGCGTACTCGTACTTGGATGCGATGGAACACTTAGGGCACACAGTCTTGCCCATGGTTACCCACTTTTAACCTTACCGCCTGCTCTCCAATTCCTTGACCCGCCTGTTTCTCATGCATGCCCAGTTCTCGTCAAACCTGCTGCGTTTGAATTGCTACGTCCTCCTCATATTCCCACTCAGTATCTACCATTGGCTGGAGGAGTAGTTGGTAGTGAGCACACATACCGCATATCATCCAATGATATTCTTATTACACTTCATCCCGATAGCTCCATATCTTTTTATGATGCTTCTTACACTGCACTTCGTCCATTACCACACCTTACTCGAAATTGCCGACATGATCTTCAAGACCCTTTAGCCAATATACATGCTTTTAATCTTGATCCAGATAGCGCCACCCTTTCAGTGGGATTTGACACCGGGGCTGTTTTGATATACCATCTTGTAGAAGCAGCCGTTCCTGAAGATAATATAGTGACTCAGTGCGATTCCACCCTCAAAGAAATATCAGATCTTTTGCAGGATATGGATATGCTTCCTGATGAACAAATTCCATTTGAACCTTTGGAAACGCCCGATTTTCCTGTTGATATTACCACCTTTGAGTTTAACCAACCCAATGTCAACAAGTATCTTCCTGTTACGTTAATTAAACTTCAGGATACCTCTATAAAATACCTTGTTAGTGCTGGAAAAGACATGTAAGTTTTCTTCTCCGATCCTTGATTAATGTGGGGTCTAAAAGGAACTATAAGCTAGATAATAACATAACTGCTTAGTATTGCGCTAGCTACCACAGATGGTAAGGTAGCTCTTATTGATACAAAGACGAGCCGAGTTATGTTTTCATCGGACATGCGAAGTAAGAATTAAATCTAGGCTAGCGCAATAATGTATGTACTTATTTCATAAAATAGTTCATGTATTTAAGGAAAACATTCCCAAGGAAAGTGTATCAAAAGAACCCCTTTCCAAAGAAAATCCACAAAAAGAAAACATCACCAAGGAAAATGCACCCAAAGATACAACATGGGACGATATACTCAACGTAGGAAAAGAATCACCGAACCTGCCAAATATAACAGTAACATACCTCGGCTTTTTCACCTCTTATTCCCAGTTCAATAGTATGTAAACTTACTTTGTTTTATGAGAAACTTTACAAAAGAGCTAACATATTACTTTGTACAGTGATTGAACCTACTCTTCAGCTGTACGTTGCTCTCAGCAATGGGTCTACTTATCATTATGCTGTTAACGCCGGCCCTTCTGATCGTACTTGGATCCCAGCCATTGCCCCATCTATATACCACTATGGCCCCGTAATTGATTTGTTTGTACTCAACTTAAGGGGTCATCTGCAGACTGTTGATACGACTACTAAACCAATCGACTTGACCCAAACTGCCAAAAGTACAGCATCTGTTACCCCTCCATTGCCACCCACTGTTGACTCTTCTTCGCCTGATTCAAACGTTCCAGCTGTTGGAACTATGAGGCCTGATCCGGCTGCTTCTATTCATACCACCTTATCGACCAGCTCAATCCCGGCTTCAACTGGTTCGGTTGTAGAAACCCCTCCGATAACACCTCAATCTGCACTGGTAACGGAACCTGAGTTTATTTCAGAGTCACCAACCAAATCTTCGCCGGCTTCTCCTGTCTTGCCACCCAAGAGTTCTCGCTCCCGATCTGGATCGCTTAACTTATTGAGGAAATCGAGTAGGAAGAGTAACAAACAGACTGCACAGTCCAATGAGAATGTACCTCCTGTACCAAAACTACCCACAGGAAGATCCAATGATGGAAGACCCGATTATAAGGTCCAACCCGACCCGCATTTTATTGTTTTAGTAAATTCAAACACTGTGCGTGTGGCCCTGAGTGGTTATCAAGTTAGATTGTTTAAAACTGCTATTGATGAACTTGAGGGATGGAAAACTGGGGACTGGATTATACGTGGCCAAGTCATTGAACTTAAAGGTAATTATTATTATCTTTATAACAACGTATTCAATATCTCTCTATTGTTTTAGTCGGAACTTGTCTTTCCTTGTTACTCCAATCTGGCAAGATAGTCTTATATTCATTACCAACATTACGTCCCCTGGTTTATCTTGAGCCACCTCCCAGATTATTGGTCGATAGATTGCATGAAGCTACACTAACGGCCGATGGACGAATAACTCTCTGGACAGGGCGATTTGAATTGGAGCAATACACATACATGCTTCAAAATGAAATGTAAGATTATTATTTTTAATTTTGAAAATATGTTCAATAATAACAATAACAATAACAATGATAATGATAATGATAATAAATAGCTCATTTGGAGAATCAGTCATGCTATATGATCCTGGACGAATGCTTGGACCTCGTCCGGTAACGGTGACACCTGCGCCAAAAAAGACATGGCTTGGAACAGTGACAAATGCTTTCCAAAAAGAACCTCTAAGCATTGAGGAATTAGATGATCAAAGTAAGTATATATAATACTCTCTTCGCGCATTTTATTTATTACGATGTACTAGTGGGAAGACATCCGCCACCTTCAGTAGAAGAAAACACACACAAACACGATGTCAAAGGAAAGGGTGTGTTTGAAGAACTCGGTGATCAAATGAATGAGCGCGGGGACCGATTGAATCAACTTGATAAAAAATTCCAAGATATGAGCGATGCCTCAGGCGACTTCTTAAAGGCAATTCAGGAATATAATGAGCGCCAAGCTAAGAAGAAATGGTGGGAATTCTAAACATCAATAAGCTTTGTGCATATATCTTTATTTGTATGAGGATATATTTCTTTTGTAAAATAAACATCATATATGTATATTTAACATATACATAAAATATTCTATTATCAAAAAGATAATCTTGCCGTGTATAAAGCATTCAATTATTAGTATTAGTATTATTTATTTTCCTTTGGAACTTTATAAGCCATACACATGTTTGCATCAAGTTTTTATACAAATAAATTATGATATTTTGATCAATATTTGAGCAATTAAAGTAAAAAAAAAAAAAGTTTGAAAAGTGTATAATTATATGGCGCATCAAATTTTGGTTTTTAAAAGTAAATTTGGGATTTTATTTTGACTTGTCCAGTAATAGGATAATTTATATGTGTAGTTTACTGCCTGGATTAAATCAAGCTTCTTTTTCTTTCTTTATTTGGCTTTATTCAGTCACCGATGTGGCTTAACTACATTTGGTGTGGACAGACTAAAAGTTCAAAAAAAAAAGGGCAAAAAAAGCGTAAAACAAGTTCATCCAAAACTTAGTCAATCAGACTAATTTATGGCTGTCCACACCTTTTAAAAAATAGTTCAAAATTAGTGCAAGTACATATTAGATAAAAATTGTGCTTATAATGTCGTCTCTGAAATTAAGTGAAAAGCTTTCGTTGCGAGTCTTTCTAGACCTCTCATTCTATGGCACATAGTCTCCATAAAAAAGAATGCTTTTCTTCTCAATCCTAGTGGCAATGGAAGAAGACTAGCCAATTAGAGTCGATTAAAATTATTGCCCTTTTTTGAACTTTTAGTCTGTCCACACCAATTTATTAAAGGGGAATGGGAAATGGATATGCTTCAGATGCTCTTATAAGACAAGCTGTGAAGCTCTCTATCTCTCATACACTCTTTTTACAGTAGCAGTAATAATGATTTATGCCACAATGAATTTAAAAGTAGTGACGCAGGTGTTGAAATGACCTCAAATTAGATAAATAGCTCCTCGTATTTGTTCTTTAAAACAAAATGATTGGTTTTATATCTGTATTTATTTTCTTGTTACTGAACTGGAGTCTTACATCACATAGCTAAACCAACCACTGTGTGTTACTCAGCACCTCTTTAGAGCTTGTGGCTCCATACAAAAAGAAGAAGAAAGAAGAAAAGAATAGCATGTATGTGTGTGTAACTTGTGAGATTTACTTCCTTCAGATTCATTTGAAGTCACAAATCAGAATTTGGCTGTGATATTTTTTTATTTACTTTACTTTTACTTTTACTTTAGTGTATATGTGTACGACAACAACAACCAACCATTATAAAAAGAAAAAGTTTAAGTAGCGGACATAGTTTTGATACTTTACCAATTTTTTTTTTTTCAATAATAAAAAAAAAATAGGACCCAGTATCCTTTTATTTTGTTTTTCTTTCCAATACTTTAACCATCACTGCAAACTGCTCTGAAAAGAGATAGAGGAAATGTCCGACCAAACCTCGCCCCCTTCTCCTTCAAGCTCAAATAGCTACGCTCATAATGCTCATAACGCGGATAACTCCTACAACACCACAACCCTCAAAGACCAAGCCGTAGTCGATCCTTCCGATACCAACGCAAACTCTGACCAAATTGACGTTATAGCCATAGCCACAGAATTGGATACATCCCGTAAGAATGCATCTACAGAACTTTTAAAGGTCTTGGAAAACCCATACTCTTCTCCTGATGAACTTAACGAGGCCCAGAAACTTGTCGACAGTACCAAAGCACGCTGGGTAGCATTTTTGGCAGCGAAAAAAACACTTGATGATATGAACGGTGAGACAGCTCTTCAGATGCTCACTGCAAAAAAGAATACCGATGATTACCGCAGCAACCCAGATTCGTTTGTTCCTCCAAACCTACCAGTTTTGCAGCTGAAAGGAGGATCTATTAGACAACCAGACAAAAAGATCTATGATTCGATTCGCTCCTTCCTAAACGATTTTGAAGTGCAGTTGATAGCACACAGTCTCCCACTCGACAAAAATTGGGAACGTCTATTTAGATTGACCTGTGACGATATGCAGCGTTTGTCGTTTGAGAGAACCAATGCTGGAAAAGGTCTTACCTGGAAGGAAATTCGTGAAAAGCTCGAGTTGGAGTATGGATACCCACAATACGTGTGGGCGAAAAGATTTGCACTGAAATCCATCACGCAACGACATGATGAATCAGTAAAAGAATTTTCAGAAAGGTACAGGGGAGCTGCACACGCCGCTGACCTTCACAACGAAGATGAGCTTGTTTGGCTTTTCATTTCGTCCTTAGTTAAACCAGTCAGGGATATAGCTCTGCAGGCAATAGTTCGGCAATTTGGATTAAAAATGCCACACGATATGAAAGAAGTAATCCAATTGATTATTAACTCTGTTGAAGGAGAGTCTGCCAATTTGTTCCTAAACAAATACACGACTAGTTCCAAGAGGAGACAGCATGAAGAACACAGACCGACAGGAAGCTCTAAAAAATATAGAGGAGATCCCCGTTCAACTCGTGGAAATAGTAATTCCAAGGACATGCGTCAAACACATCCAAAAGGTAGACATATGCGTGAGGGTTTCGTACAAATGCAAAACTTGATGGATAAAGACAATATTTTTCTCTCAAATGTAGCAAAGCAACCTTCGCTTTGTCGTCACTGCCGTAAAGTTCCTTTCTTTCCTGGGCACCACTGCCCAGAATTCCCACAACACAAGCCCAGGAGTAATCTGACTTTAATAAACCCAAACCCAAACCCAAACCCGAACCCAAGCCCAAATCCAAAGCCAAATAACGAAACAACAGAAAACACAGTTAACAGCAGAAGAATATAGGTGGTCCTGGATTACTTTGACGCGCATTCACAAATTAAACACCACAACCACACCAAAACCCAATTTCTTATACAGATGATTATCTACCCATATTGTGGCGTATACACCACAACTGAGCAGAAGACAAATTCAACAATCTAGATCAGGTTAAAAAAAATTGTTAATAAACATAACAGGATCAAATTTCGAGAACAATTATGCATCAGGTATTCGTGCACCTCGCATTAATTTATAGTAGTCAACACATCAACTCAATGAATATTTTAGTTATGGTAATATACTTTTCATTTGGCCGCCAATACGATATCTATATCTTTAAATAATTTAATAAAAACAACCCCTATAATAATCTTTCATCCTTACATCTTTTGTATACTTCAAATCATTGGTGTTAATATGAAAACTATGTGTGCCTGATGTCTAGCTATTTGCATGCCATTATCTTGCTCAAATTATTATTAATGTCGTTAGAATCTTGTTATGCAAGGCATGTACTCCTACGCAACTATATCTATATCAATTGATTGCGTCCAAGGAACAGCATCTTACTGATCTCATACTGGAGCGTAAATGCAATTGATGATTAAATAAAACATGTTTTAAGTACTTGATAAAAAAGAATTAATATGTTTTGTTTAGTGGGCGAGTTAAAGCCTTGTTAACTTGTGTTCATTATATGCCACTCAATATAAGCTAAAGACCAATCCAAAAGTGTAATAAAAAAATCTTCTAAAATATTGTATATCTAAATGTAGAAATAGGATACATAGAAAAGTAAGTGGCTTTAGCACAGCAAGATAACATGAATTGATATCAAGAAATAAAGTATGAAAAGAAAAACTGTCCCACTTTGACAGGAGAAATTTCCTCTAGAAGACTTACATGTCTGCATTGGCATTCTTTGATCGTTATAGGAAATTTATGGGAAATTGCTACAAGTCCGCATCCTCCCTGGTACAGTAAATAAAAGGCTATTTATTTTGCATTTATTCTTAATAATATACAAAGTATAGTGCCATTAGAAATTAGAGGTAATCTTAACCAACTGTCTGATTTTTCCTTCTACTTTGAATGAAAATTGCACAGTACAAAATGTTTCTATAGCTACCTATCATTATCACATTATTTTTGGGGAAAATTGGTTTTTTGTTTTGTTTTGTTTTTGCCTTTTTGCCTTTTTGCTTAATGCACTTATCGATGAGCTACTATTGGGGTACAACCCAGTCACATATTTCCTGTTTGTTTCGACATGCTGCTGTTTTGACATTCTCTAATCCAAATCATGACCTCCCCATGGTCCACTTTCCCATTGTCACTTAAACGTACATTAACCGTCAAGACAAAAAGAGCTGTAAATATATTGCTCAAACTGTGTTATTATTGTACAGAATAGCACTTTTTGTATCTGTTATTCTTATTTGCAATTACTAGACCTTGGGATTGTACCGTTCATTGTTAAGGACTGCACAACACTTTGACAATGACATCCACCAAGTATTCTTGTGGAACACCATAAGAGAAAGATTTCGTTTTGAAATGTACAATAGCTCTCGTGCCCAAACGCTTACACTTTTACTACAGGGTGAAAAGGTATGAAAAAAAAAATAGTACAAGCCCAAATACCAGAGTTACTCAAAGCTACAAAACAACAATAATATATATAAATATATACTTAGGCACTGGATCTACTCCGAAAAGCACAGGGCGGCAATCGAACATACTTGGAGCGGATCGACGCCATGGCAACAGCAAAAATTGGGCCCCTTAAACATGTTACTCAAAACGTAAGATTTTTTATTTTATTTTTATTTCTTAGTTGGTATTAACTATTAATGCTTGAATAGATTCGCAAGATACAACACGTAAGGCAAACTCAAGATTTAGTCAATTGAATTGTTGATTATTAACATACGGCATTATATATATATAGCCCTTGAAGCGAGCTTTGGCAGCAACTGATGCTCGATCGCATGCATCGCGTATTCGGCAAACAGGGAGATCTAATAGAATTCCTCTGTCAAAATCACTGTGCCGTAAATTACGCATAGACACAGACTTGCCTCTCACACGTCGTCAGCGATTAGAATACAAGACGAGGATATACAAAAAGAAAAAGAAACTACGTGTTCGAACGTTTTATCAACAAGCTATCACAACACGGAATTCTTGTGGATATGTGTTTAAGCGTGTACGGGGCTGGGTACAACCTCTCAGAACATCAATGATGCTCAGGAACCTCGTGAAAAAGAAACAACAGCGTTTTGACCTCAATTACAAATATGCGTGGCATTTGGAGCTTGTGCGACAAGAACGCATATTCCTTAGTAATCTGGGAATCAAGGATGAATTAGGAGATTGCAGTAAGTTTCATAATATAGAAATGATAAAAAAAATATTGTTAAAAGAGGTTGATATATTGACAATTTCATAATCTTGTTAGTCAAGGGCCTTTCGGATGCTCTTAATGAAAATAGAAACGCACTTTACAATCCTCGTAGAACTGTATATGAAAGCAAAGTAGTTGAAATCGACGAGTAAATAAATAATTTATAGACATCAGTTATCCATATCAATTTCCAATTCCCAACTCCCCATTTGTTGAGAAACTCAACAGTAAAACCTCTTTGATCCACCATTATCTCCCCGCACACAATTAGAATTACTATTAGTAGTAAAATGTGATATTTATTTATGTTTCTTTAATTTTTTTTTAAAAATATATATATATATATAAATCTCTCGGTTTATATAATATGAATTACATGAATGTGTAAAAGAGAATTAAAGAAAAAAAAGTTTTTTTTTGAAAGCAATGAATATGTTGTTTGAATGATAAAGATGTATGGATTTCCTTATTTTTCAAACCTCTCCCTTTTCTCCAACCTTTAAACCCTTTTTTGTTGTTGTTGTTGTTGTTGTTGTTGTTGATGATGATTATGGCATTTGTTCGTGTTGGTGTTGCTGGTTGAATTGAGAGAAAGAGGAAAGAAAGGAAAGGAAAGGAATGATAAAAGAAAGAAGAGTTTTTTTCCGCTAAAGCAAAGGATCCCTCTTCTTCTGTTCTTTTACTTTAGTTGGTCTTCTTGGCTGCTAACTTGCGCTTGCCGTATGTCTTGCGAGCAAAGTCAACAAAGAGGTAGGTGAGAGGGAAGAGATAGGCAACATTGACGGCGACACCGAAATGCTGACCAGGGGTTGTGAGGCAGGAGGGAATAAAGAAGTAGCTGACGGCAGTGGTTGTGCCAACAAGGAACTGGGTGATCTGCATGGTTGTAATGTAACGCTTTCCGGGAGGGTGAATGCCAACACAGGTCATGGCATAGTAAAGGTACATAACAGAGTGGACAAAGGAGTTGAAGACGACAAAGATCCAGATGGGCTGTGCCTGATAACGGATACCGGCCCACATGGTGATCATGGCACCAGAGTGGTGGTAGGTCTGGAGGAGAGATGAGCGACGGCCCTTGAGAAGAATGATGATAGTGTCAATGACTTCATAGAACTTGGAGAGATAGAAGATGTATCCCCAGTAGGCAAGAGAATCGTTCCACAAGAAGCTATCTTTATCGCAGTACTGTTTTTATTTATTAAATAAATAGATCTGATTAGCGCATTGTTTCTTAGTGTAATGTAGATCACCAAATTATTTATTACTTACAGCATCATGAAGAGTCTGTCCTCTGTTGAAGGAACGGTGCATACCCTTGGCCATGTTGTAGAAAGTGATCATGGAGTAGATGGAAAGGGAGAGGTTGTGCAAGAATACAAAGGCTGTCATGAGTCCAGAGGACTTGGATGTATCCTGGACACCACGGTTCTTGGCTTCAACTCTGGAGAGCTTTGAGGCAGAAGGAGGAGGGTTCAAGAGACTGACGGTGAGAGCGTATGTGGATGCAATTGCAATTGGGGTCTTCCAGTCCATGAAGAACTCATAGTATTGAGGGAATGGGATGCCAGGGATTGCGACGAGCTTATCGACTTCTCCGGAGAGATATGCGGCAGAGTTCATCATGAAGAGAAAGAGCCCGAGAAAGTGAAAAGAAAAAAGAAGAGAAGATATACTTGAGAAGAGGTATAATTTGGATTTCCCTATTTTATACACTTCAAAAAAAAAATATTTTTTATTATTATTATTATTTTTTGGGTTTTAGAATCCACCAACAAATCTGGTTTTAGCTATGTTTCTCTTTTTTTTTTGTTCTATTGAATTTGAACAAAGTCTTCATCTCAGATAGAACTGACAGCCTATTGGGATGGTGAGAACTCCGATCCCCAGGAGTTGGGTTTCAGAGGAGTTTGGGTTCCTTTTCATCCCTAGTCTTTTCGATATTTATTGACTCTTTATTATTAAACATTACGATAGCAACAACACCAACAACCAAAGGACAACATCTTCTTCTTCTTCTTCTTCTTCTTAATAGTATTGTAAAGATAATTTATAAGTTTATTTGATTCTATAAAAACATCTCTCTTTAAAAATTTGTCTGCGGACCGGCAGATCGAGGGCTAATGTAAAGAGCTCTGGCCTCTGTGTAGACTGTCTCTCCATCGGCAGACTCCAGGTATGCGGTTGCGTAGGCCTTGCGTCCTTCCAATTTTGTCAGTTTTCCTCGAACTACAATCCATTGGTTTGAGTGGACTGGCTTGCGATAATCAACATTGAGATTGGCTGTGAATCCGGTGAAATTAGGAAGACTGGGGAGTGTCTAAACCAATTAATATTAGTAAAAAGTATTGTTTCAACACAACAAACATGAATTAAATTTGTAACAATTAATCATATATACATATAAGATTTACTATAAACCATAAACTATAAATTATAATGTAATAGGCATGTGTGTGATTCTATTATATATGTATATGGCTTACCACATAGGCCAGGTGTTCGTCCAACAGTGTGGCCAGCATACCACCATGAATAATCCCATCATGTCCGCATCTAATTAATTACAGAACATAATATAATTATATATAAATATATAATTAAAATTAAAATATAGTATGGATAGATAGGTGGACCCCAATTAGGTGACTTGACAATTGACAGCTAAATCTATACACACACACATACATACACACACATTTATATATATATATATAATGTGTGTGCCTGTGTTGCATGTGTTGTCTGTGTTGCTTGTGGGCCTGTATATAAATTGACTTACAGGTTTGTTCCCAAATGAGCAATAATGATGCATTCTGTCTTGTCAGCATTAAAGAACTTGAGCGGACGTCGTACAATCATTCCTGGTCCACGTAAAGTAGTAGCTGTCAAGGAATGTGCCCGGGCTGATCCTGCTAAATGACCATATGCAACTACTTCATGCCATTCCTTTGAATTTCGAAGTGTCTGTGTGATATTTAAACTGTTTTCTTCTGTGCGCATCTTCTCTTCTTCAGGGCTCAATATTTCGGTACATTCACTTGGTGCCATAAACTGTAAACTCTTTTCGTTTTGAGGATTGTGTGCATTCAATGTCATTTCAGACTTGGAGCTAGGTTCATGCACAAACATGTCACTGGCATGGTTGGCGATGCGTTCTGAAAGTTCTGGCATAGTGAAGGGGAGGAATGAAGAGAGATGTGTATGGATAAACTATGAACGCAACCAAGAGCTGCTTATGTACAGAAATCAGTGATTGGCCGCTGGTGCTGAACAACGTGTGAATATGTCTTATCATTTTTCAAATTCGTTTAAATATTCTAATTATTTATTTTTATCTTTTCTCTCACCCTTCTTTATATATGTTTGTATATGTATATATTATTTTAGATAAGAAAATTCTGTAAAGATTAAAAGAAAATTGAAAGCAAAGAGAACAAGATGCATCCTATTTATCGTACCAAACAAACTCAATTCTACAGAGGCCTGAAGAACCTCCAGAAGCAACCCAGTTTGAACCTTCTTTATTACAATTCCAAGCAGCCTATATAAAATCAAACAGTGGTTGAGCAAATGAAGCTGTCTTGGAAACCAAATCTTCTGATTGGTCAACTTTATTTCTATACCTTTTGTATGGATACGATCGGATCAAGCACATAAGACCACTGTGGTCGTAATGTTTCTTTTACCTTTTTATATGTGTAGGTTTGTCGAGGTTGAGGTTGAGGTTAGAAATAATGTATTTCGGATGCTGTTCATGAGTTATATTACACGGAAAATGATTCAACTTACAGTTATTTTCTGACCGTCGACATAACGCAATGTATCGGTCTCTTCATTCCATATGAGATGATAGAGAACTCCATGCTTTAAAAAAAAGATTTAAAAAAAGCAAATTATGACATGAGTTGTTTGATTGAATTGGTTTTATTCTTCCTCTTCTTCTTTCTTACCCTCAACCTGTTTGGACGCTTATAACTATTAATCATACAAACATATCCATCTGAGCACCCTGATACAATGATTCCATGATGTTCACTTGCAGCAATGGTCCATACCAGTCCAAAATGACTGGTATATTTACCATGCTTCACGAACTGAAAACAAGACCCATTACATGCAGAAATACCATGAACGTTGTTTTCAGAATTTATTATACTGATTAGATTATCACCTGTCCATGTCACAGCGTGGCGAGTTCCTGTATTGAAGATATTGTAGGTATCTCAATTTGATTTGATTTGATTTTTAAACAACGAATTACTTTACCTGCCACTCGATTTACTTCTATTCTTGTGCGGATATCTTGAAGATCGTGAGCTAAAAGTATGCCACTTCTTCCAGTGGACACAAAATACTGACTTTCCAGACTACCAAGCCAAGCAATAGATTCTACACTATCTTCATGATGTATAATGTGGTGAATAATCGTATCTTTTTGATCAGGTAAATCATCCGCAGACAGAGCCATTTTGACATTTTGTAGTACAATTCCTCCTTTGAGTACATTGATTATCATTAGAAATAATGTATGTACGTGCTTGTGTGTTTTTCTTTTAATCTTTGCTTACCAGAAGTATATCCGCATGCCAATAATGAATGTCCCCCCCATGAAATAGTTTTACAATAGACCCTTGGAAGTGAGAACTTGTACCGAGAGTCTTGGATTCGGACTAGATGTTTTATGATGATTATTATTACAAGACCAACAAAAATAAGAAGGGGAAGAAGAAGTAATTTCATTAATTGAAATTGTTTCATAGTTGTTGTTGTTGTTGTTGTTTTTTTTTTTGTATTTACAATAGTATTTTTTTCTAATCTTTAATGACAGTAATGAAGAACCCAACCTACGGTAGACAGTTTCTTTGTGTTCTCGAAAAGTGTTTGGATGTGGTACAACAAGAAGCCGTACCGTATTATCTCCACATGCCATAGCCAAAATTCCTAATTTGGCCCATGTTCCTTTCTCGGTTGGTATCTAAATCTAATATTATTGATATCTTTCAAACCGTTGTTTTTGTTTTTGTTGTTGTTGTCTTGTACCTCCTCATATGCGCCATAAGGACACCACTTCAGATCATGACAAACTCCAAAATTGTGAACCATACACATGCGTAGTCGGGGCTTCTTGGTTGGAGTGTCTTCCGATACTGTCCGGTCACACTCCCAGATTTGAATACAGTTTTGATAATCTTTCTGGATTTCATTGATATTATGGTGTTCTTCATTTGCACCTCTATATCCACTCACAGCCAGATATTCAACTAATGGCCGACTGTCTACAGAAGGTCGCTTTGGGACAAAATCAAGTCCCCAGATAGATCCACCGGTATTTACAATAAATCCTCTCTTGTGTTTTATCGTTTCATCTAAAAGATTGTTAGATACAATATGGCTTACACACGCACACAATGTATGCGCCTATTTGAATTGAATTGATTTGATTTGATTTGATTTGATTGATTTGTTTATTTGTTTATTTGTTTATTTTGATTACCTAAAGATATGACCTCAAATAGATCTATAGTTCGTGTATCTCGCTTAGTAATGCCAAATGTCACCTTTCGTGGATTTGGATTAGGTATATACGACTTTGCCTCTTCACTAATATATGTATACATATATTGTTCATTTGATTTATTCAAAAAGAAGTTCTCATTTATATAAATTTATATGCACGCACACATACACACACATGTATATATATATACATATATATACGTGCATTTGTTTTTTGTGTGTACACACCTGTTAATCATTTGCCATTCATTAGGTAATGAATGTACATTACTGTATACATTTGATTCGGCTGCTTTTTTGAGTAGTTTGGCGTACACATGTTTTTTATAGTCTATTGTCTCACTTCTCATTTTTGAAATCCAAACATATATATATAAGTAAATAAATATAAAGGTATATTTGAGTAATGAGGTGGAAAGCGAGTGATAAAACAAAAGAAGAATAAACGAAAAAAAAGACTTGGTTTGTTAGGTTAAAGTATCCAATAGGATTACAGAGATCCTTCAATTTAGAAAAAAAAAGTCAATAAATACAAAAGTTCTACCATTCTGTGTAGAGCCATCTTATTGAAACCTATGAACACTTTTTGCTTATAAAAATAAATTAAATTAATAAGCCCCAGTGAATATAAAATTTTATATATTCTTTATTATTAATTTATTAATTTCTTGGCTGGTGTCTTTACTTAACTTTTGAACTATGTGTTACCTTGTACCTCCACCCTTTCTCATGCAAAAATATACATCGAATAAATTATTAATGGCCAATGATTTGAGCTGGAGTGCACACATACACATATAAAGGTAAAACATATTTAAGCTGATAATATAGGTTTGTGATGTACATACATATATTCATATATACATACATAGAAATATATATCTAATAAGTAGTAAGTCTGCGGGTGGACTTACAAAAGCTTACTAGATTTAACCTGCCAAAATAATTTCTCCCTTGTGTTTGTCAGAGAATTGACAGGTTCTATTATAAATTTTCATTGGTTTATTACAAATTCAGGTACATGTCAAATCAAATAAATTAAACGATGCCCTTTTTTTTCAATTGTTCTTTTATTATATTGAAAAAGTCAATTGAATATTATATATGTATATATTATACTCTTTTATTCACTATTAATTAGTCAAACCTGGTATTTTATTACTATTCTTTTATGAATATCAAAAAAAATAAAATTGATAGGAAAGATAGAAAAGATAGAAAGATGAGGAGCAGGAAAGCAGGAGAGTAGGAGGGGGCCCTTGCAACAAAATGAACACCGCACTGAAATTGCCAAAACATATTCACGGAGACATAAATTACACACATATACACACTCATATATATGTGTGTGTATATGTTTCAGGCAATCAAGGTGAAACAATGGCCTTTTTAAAAAAATGTGTATATGTGTATCTGCTTGATAGTCTCAAAGGAATATAAAGTAAAGAAAATAAAGACAAAAACCATGTACTCTTGGAATTATATATATGTGTGTGTATGGAAGTAGTGGTGATCGCCCTGTACTGTAAAAAAGGTCACAAACTACGTCACATGTGACCTGTCCAAGGGGGGAAGAGGGGCTTAGCTCTATCAAGGTGTGTAAACACCCTCCATTACATCCCCTCCCCTTTTGTACGTCAATTCTCGAGCCGACTTTTAACATGGTAAAGTCAAACACACTTTTTGTTTGCATTGCAGGCCCTTTGGTTCAACTATACAACCATTAAAAGAAAGAGCGTGCGCGTGCGCAAGATAAAGAGACCCAGAGAAAATAACTGTGTGGGAGGAATACTGTCAATAAACCCTACGCTTTCTTTCAACAACCAGAACAACCACAACCAACAACAGAAAGACAATGAGAAGACTTGTTTCTTACGTGTATCATTCCTCTCTGTATTATCTAGCTTCGTCTTTCCTCTAAGTTCATTGCACCCGCTGTCAACGTTACTCGCCAAAGTGTCCGGTGAGCACATTAAAATATGGTGCCTAGATATTCTTGTGGACAACGTTACTTATTTTAAACAAACAATTAAATTGAAAAACAAAAAACTACGCAGCGCCTCGGCCAGCGTACCTGTAATTGCTCGTCGCAGCTACACCACCGAACAGCCTATCCCCACACCCGGTGCTAGTGCTGCTGTCGACCCCAAGATTTCTGCTATTGTCGACCAAATCGAGACCCTCACCTTGTTGCAGACCTCTTCCCTTGTCTCCCTCCTCAAGGCAAGTTTATTTTTTCTGAAAAAAAATATAGGAAAAATATATATGTATAAATACGTGTATCTATCTATACGAGGAGAATTGGATTTAGGATATACAATAAGAAAATGAGACTAACAATTGCATGTGTACATACGACTATGACTTTTTTAGACTCGTTTGAACATTCAGGATATTGCCATGCCTGTCGCTGTTCCCGGTGCTGGTGCCGGTGCCGGTGCTGCTGCTCCCGTTGAGGAGGAAAAGGCTGCCGAGAAGACTGAGTTCAATGTCAAGATTGAGAAGGTTGATGCTGCCTCAAAGGCAAAGATTATTCGTGAGGTTAAGAACTTGGCTGGTTTGAACTTGGTTGAGGTAAGAGAAACATAGAATATAAAAGGGTTTAAAGGAAAAAAAAAGAAAAGAGGGTTTTAACATTATATATATATGCACAACAAATTACTATCAATATTTCTTCTTTTTTTAAAACTTTTTTGTTTTTTGTTTTTAGGCCAAGAAGTTTGTTGAGAGCGTACCCAAGGTTCTTAAGGAGTCCTTGCCCAAGGAGGATGCCATCAAGCTCCAGAAGGCACTTGAGGCTCTCGGTGCCACTGTTGTCTTGGAGTAAATATATATATATTGAATTTTTACCAAAAAAAAACACAACTACAACAACCATAATCACAACTACAACTACAACAACCACAACAACAACAGCAACAAAGAACAACAAAATAATTGGAGTCGAAACAGTCATGAAAAGAATCGAAAATTCAAAAGAGTGCAAAAAATAAAATAAAAGTAAATAACCCATTATTTTATAAATATAGATGTATTAGACTATATACATTTATTGTTTTTGATATATTTCAGATGTACATTTTTCCAACAAAATGAATAAAGAGATGAATAGAGGAAATGGTATATATATTTTTTAAAATGTATATGTGTACAAGAGCTTTGCATCTACTATTGATTGTCTCTATGTATATGGGTTGCACACTTTATTCTCACCAATAATTCATATAATTTTATATGACATTAAGATTATTATGAACTGAAATGGATTTGCTATCCTTAGATTATAACAGATAAGGGACGGTTGATAATTAGGGAAATATAATTTAGATTTGACTTTCAAGGGGCATTCAATCTTATGAGATGTAATGCGGGTTGTTCTTTCAGTGGTTTTTTCAGTACCCTTACTTCTCAAAATTGCAGAATATTGCCAAAAGAAACATAACACTTGCATATAAAGAAATCAATGTATTAGACATGACACTCTTTTAAAAGAGTTTAAATGATATTATATATATATTTAGACATGTAGTCTAATTAATTTCACAGAATCGATTTTGTGTGTATATATAAAAATCAAAATGTAATATATATATATATGAATTTTAATTGAAAGAGGTTTATGAAAATATGTTTACCGATATGTGAAAATATATTTAACAGTGTGAATTATTAGTGAGAATACAGTATATAAAAACAATGTGTTTGACAGTACATTATAGTGGTGTAGCATAAAGAATTAGTTTACCAATTTTTAGACTTGATTCAAATGCTTCTGCTATATCGCTTTCTGTTTCTAGGGGCAAAGATTCCCCCTGGGTTTGATCTTTGTAGCGGAGTCGTACATTTGAGCCTCCAAGTCGTTCTTGAACTCTATCATGCAACTTTTGGAAAGAGCAATCGATAGGAACTTTGATTGCAAACATCTCTTCCTTGTAAGCAATCTTGACTTTAATGAGATTGCTGCTCCCAATTGCATTTTTTGCAGCAGTTGTGGTTGTAGAAGCTGTAGCTGTAGCTGTAGCTGTAGCTGTATTAGTCTGAGAAATATCCTTGATCGGATTGCTATTGCGGCCGAAAGGAGTAAAAGTATTCATCGTACTTGAACCAAATGCTTCTGGGATCAAAATGCTGTGTGATAGCTCGACACTCTCGGGCCGCGGTGCTCCTGTCCGTGGATCATAGTCTATCTCGACATCCCCCTCATGCAATACAAATAATACATCCTGAACCAACGGGCTCTCTACCAAGTAGCGTGGCAATTGGAAAAGTTCTTGACAGTATATGTTGAGTTCTGTTTGGCGTTTTGCTGACAATCACAAATGCCCCTTGCGAATATTAGTAAATCAACTTTCTTCTTGTTTATTTATTTGTCGTCTGTGAGTGTAAGTATATGTGTGTATGTGTGGGGGCAGATTGTAATAGTATACCCTTTTGTTCTTTTTCATTCTTTCTGCCTTTCTACCTCTCTATCTTGCCGTCTTTATATCTTATTTTCTCTTTTTCTCCTTAACAGATCCCTGACCTTCTTCAGGATTGTTTTTATTTACATATAAAAATTTACCTGTCAATCTTTCGTCTACTTCGGTCTGTGGTCCAGGCATAAATGGTAGAATTCGGGGTTTTCCGGTTTTTCCTGCTTCTATAGGATAGTCTTGAAGTAAAGTAACCTGGAAATCATAAAAGTCTGTTCGTAATCCCCCCAGAACACACACAAATGCATGTACATTTAAAGCTTTGTCAATTGGTATGTTTATTATTCATTAAAATTCTATTATATACCTTCAAAAAAATAAAAGGAATCTATTTACATGTATATATTATATACATTGGTGAGTACTTTTACCTTCATATAAGCGATAGAGCACTCTGTGTCGTCTGTCACTCATCTGAGCAAACACAATAAACCAGAATTGATCGCCTTCTGGAACATAGGAGTCCACTGTGGCTGCTACAACCCTGGATCTGGTGTTGTCTCTTGAATTATCCCTAGGGCCAATGGACAGATTGCCGATCTCCTGGGCGATCTGCTCAGCAGTAGTAATAATAGCACCAGCACTAGCACTAGCACTAGCACTACCACCAGCACCCGAACCGGCATTAGAGCTACCCAAAAGTGTATTAACTGAGTTGTGTGTAGGTATCCTGCTGAATGTATCTATTGTGTTTGGTGCATAATAAAGGGCTGATGAGCTAGGGTTGTGCAGTTTTTCAGGGTTGTCGTGGCCCATGGTCATTCTTTTCCATTCTTCGACTCTTGGGAGAGGGTTTGAGGGTTGACTACTGGTAATAGTGTGTCCTGTCAAGGCGTCTCTGATTTCAACAAACGAAACTGGAATCAGACCAGGACCACCTAATCTGCCAATAGGTTTGGCAACAAACCATTCGACATTAGATTGTGCAATTACGAGTATAGATTCTCCTGCTCTTGCATCCAGTTCGTCAAATCGCTCAGCCTGAAAGTCATATAGGACTACACCATAAAGAGGTTGCATTTTTTTGACAGGTGGTACTAGTAAAATAATTTCTTAATTAAATAATAATACATATATACATATATAATAAAAAGAAAGCTGTATATGTATTACACATATACACATACATATACACACAAATGTATATACAAAACAGATATTGATTTTTTTTTACACTTGTATTATTTTTATTAATAATTTTAGTCTGCGTATTTTCTATACTTATATTATTAGTTTTTATTTTACATTGCGTCTCGGTCCTGGTTGGATCGCCGAGGTGATTTGGAGTGTCGTTCTTTTCGAGGATTTGAAAATAGTTTACCGGGACGATGCCTTTGGCGTGTGTGACTGGATTGAATGCTTCAAACCAATGAGGATTGTCTGTTTTATCAACATGAAAGTAATCTCCCTGGTGGAATGAGATCTCGCGTTGGGTTTGTGCTTTATAATCAAACAAGGCTTTGGCAACTATCTTTGGGGTAATGGCCGATTGTTGAAAGTTGATGGGAGTTGATATCTTATTTTTTACGACCGATAGACGAGTAGAGCGTAAACTGCGGGGAGGCTTAACTTTTTCTTTAAGGTTCATTTGAGGACAACCAAATACGAATAGAAATGTGTGTATAGAAAAGTAAAGAAGCAGAAGAAGCAGAAGAAGTTACAATTTACAAAATGGATATATATATATAGATATATATATATAGATAGATAGATATAAATATAAATATAAATATAAATATAAATATAAATATTATTATTGCTGTTGTATAATGAAAAATAAAATAAAATAAAAGGGAGAACACGAGATTATCTGTACTTTATTTTATTCTGTTCTATTACTTCTCTTTTGTCTTTTTTGCAACAACAACAAAAAAAGGGGAGGCTTTTAATCTGCTTTTTCTAGTGAAGTAAAGAAGAATTAAAGGTGATCTTGATATCGATAGACGGAATGAAAAGAAAAGACATCAAGGACAATAGGTGAATGAATGATTTTAATTAAGCAAAAAGAATCCCATTGTTTATTTTCTGCCAAGACAAATTATCTATATCTATATATATAATTATTTATAATAATGAATTTCTTATCAATTTTTTTTGGTCAATAAAATATACATTTATATGTAGAAAATTGCAGGCTTATGACAATTGTTCTTGTCTGCTAGATAAAGCCAGATTCTCTTGGTAGCTGTATTACTAATATTATTAGTGTTATATTTTGTCTTTACTGGTATTTATGTTGAGAAAATATGAAAGGAAATATACTACTTTCAAATATGTATTGTCTACTTTTAAACAAGAAGAAAAAATATTAATACAATAAAAGTAATATGTATAACCGTTAAGTTTATAAATTTACTACGAAGACCAACAACCGATAGCTGCAAATTAGCATAAATGAAATGGGCAAATAAACATGAAGACTTATCGAGATTCATGCTAGCTGGACCGTTGCTAGGTGCATAACTTGTATACATATTTATATATATGTGAAATTCTATAAATGTGTAAAGGTGCCTGGATATTTTGTACTTTTACATCTGTTCCTTTTTGGTGAATGGCGATGTTTTGGAGGAGTATTTGATTAGTAATGTCTAAAAACAAAAAATGCATGTAAACTATTACAGCCTAGGCTATGTATCAATGCAACGTATCAATCGATAGTAATCTTTAATTTTTAGAGGTTAAAAAGAATTATCTGTGCAAAGACAGCTTATGATGATAATTATAAAATGCAGCTACTTGATGGCTGTAATAAAATATTAGTAGAAATATAATGAACAATAACGTATAATGGCACTGTACAAAAAATATATGTGAAAATTTTCATTAAGCTTTTGAACACAACAATTTTCTTTTCTTTTCTTTTCATTTTATTTTATTTTATTTTACGAAAATAAAGCCCTCACAGTATGCTTATCCAATCTGTGACTAGCTTTCAAAGAACATAATTTAAGGGAAAAAAAATATAGGATGTAGAATGTGTAGATCTTTACCGAAATGAGACAACTCAAGCATCACGAACAGAAACTCCTCAAGAAGGTCGACTTTTTGCAATGGAAGAAAGACGATTCTATTAGAGAGATCAAAGTGATTCGCAAATATCACCTTCAGAAGAGAGAAGATTACCAAAAGTAAATACATGCACAATCTATATACATATACATATTATGTACTTAATTACAAGTTTAACCTAAATTATTTATTAGATACAACAAATTGGCAGGTAGCATCAAAAAGCTCGCAAACAAGATCTCTCTTCTTGACTCTCGGGATCCTTTCCGTGCCGAACAAGAAAAGGCTCTGTTGAACAAGCTGTACACCATGGGTATTATAACCTCTGTCAGTAAGTTCAGTGACTGCAATAAGGTCACTGTATCTGCTTTCTGTCGACGAAGACTTCCTATTGTCATGTGCCGTCTCAAGATGGCAGAAACTGTCAAGGAAGCTATTACTTTTATTGAACAGGGTCATGTACGTGTTGGACCTCAGCCCATCACTGATCCTGCATTTTTGGTAACTCGCACAATGGAGGACTTTGTTACCTGGGTTGATACTTCCAAGATCAAGCGCAAGATTCTTAAATACAACGACAAGGTAAATTGTTATTAAAAATCATATTAATAATATCTAACATTTTAATTATCTACGTACTAAACATTCGCATTTTCCTATTATATAGTTGGATGATTTTGATCTTTTGTAAAAGAAAAAGAAAAACACATACACATACACATACACACACCTTCCAAGTTTTCTATTCTATTTCTTTTATATATATATATATATATATATGTATGTATGTATATATATATGTATGTATATTCATATCTATTTGTGCATTTCATATTATTATCATTTAATATTCTTTATTGATGTTCCTTTGTGTAAGAAAAAATGAGATCAATATTTTATATACTTTCTTGTCGTTCACCAGAATTATCCATATAAGTAGAAAACAACTCTTCGTCTTTGATGTCTCGTTCTGCTACCAAAGCTACAATTCGAAATGGTGTGCTCATTGGATCCATACTAGCCCAGTAGATATTGGGAAGGTATTGTCGAAGGCCAACTGGAAATGATGGTAAAAGGTCAAGTTCTTGGTATCGCACTAAAGCAGCATAAATATATAAATATAATATATATATATATACATTTAGTTCAATTGTGAAAACGCAAAATGTGCATCATACCATTTGATGGGTTAATTTGAGTACCATTATTGACATATTGTCCGATGGCAAATGGGTTTCTTAATTTATGCTGTGAGCATCTAAGCAGTAACTTATTTTTTCTTCTTTTTTCTTCGAAATTTGAATATCTTTACTTTGGTGATTGAGTCATCCACGTCTTGTCGCTTGTCTGTATAGCACCTGGCCAGTTTTCACGGTGATATAATGAATTGAATACCTTGCCAGACAAGCCTATTATTATTATTATTATTATTTTATATTACTATCTATCCACCATTCTCAATTCAGATTTACCTGTTGACTTGCCATCCACAAATACACCATCGTAGCATTTCAAAATATATCGATTCGAAATACTAACAAACAACAAAGGTTCGAATGGAAGATACACAGTGCCTATATATTACTTGTTGATTTATACTTCTGATTTTATCGAAACTTATATATATATATATATTGTACCTGGATACAAGCACACAATATCACCTGTCTTGCATCGTCCTTTCAAGAATACACCAAGACCTTATATATATAAACATATTTATTCAGCGATTGACTGACAGATTGATTCAACTTTTCTCATCATTAAGAATCTATAAAGATTGTACTTGCCTGCATTAGCAATGACAGATGGTTGTTTGTGAACTGAGAATCCAGACACAGACTCGGGATTAGTGGTCTCTATGGTTAAAAGCAAATTTTCAACTTGGGCTTGTGTGGTTGGCTGCCGAGGTGGCCGTAAGACAAGCCGGGCTGAAGGTGGAGAGAATAGTAATTTTGCCGCCTGCCAGGGATATCTTTAATGGAAATCGAAAGGAAATAAATGCTTTATTATGATTGAATTGATTGGTTTCTTGTTTAACAAACTAAAAAAAAACCAAAAGAAGAAGTATGCCTTACAAACGATGTAGATAATCCTTTAACATTATATTCTATTCTTATTATTATCTATTTAGTTAGTTAATTAATCAGCTAATTGATTCTATAATATAATACAAAATACAATGCCCTTACTATCCTATAGTATCTTATTAGGCCGCGGCCAGGAGACACAAAAAGGAAACCGTGATAGTGAAATACACTCACACAAATATTAATCCAAAGAGAAAATTCAACGCAGCAACAAAAAATTACATGACTGTTTTGTGTTTATTTTTGGCAACAGATATGAAAGCGCTCAGACTATTGATGCTATATTTCATTTTGAAGAAGGAGAACACTAATAGTATTATACTAGTACCTTTGATTATGCTTTTAGTAACAGCTAGGGTCGATAAAGTTTTGGTTTTTTGGTCATCATAACATTGGCCGAGCAAAACCGATGGCAAGAAATGAAATATATATAAAGATTGTCCCACCATGTTTTTCTTCTTTGATATCTTGTGACCAAAAGCCCATTTGTATATTTAGCTTAGAAAGCTTCAACAGAAAGAGAGGGAGAGAAAAAGGGACTCAATAAGAGATGTGGTTTGGATATGTATGCTTTAATAAATACACCTAAACTGATAATCCAAGGTAAAGTATTGATCTTGATATCCACATGCATATACTTTTATAGATACATGTATATCTATATACTCTATATTCACACCACAATAAATATCAATGGTGCAAGAAAAAAATGACATCTTTAACAAGGTAACCCCATCAGCAGTGTGTTACAAACTCTACTTGGAAACACCAAAAACAACGGCTCTAGCGATCCAGATATATCAAAACCGAAGAAAGTTACCGGTGACAATCCTTATTCTTTATCATCTATTTAAACTTGATCTCCTTTTTTTCTGCTTTTTTTTTGTCAAATATATATTTACATATAATTAAAAGTTGAATACATTCTAAAATATACCATGGCAGGATCAATACTTGAAGGTTGGCTTCATCGAATGGTTAGAAAAACCCTACGGAAGAGTTGGAAGAGATGTTATGCTATTCTCAGCCACACAAGGCTATCGTTTTACAAAAAACCTGTAAGTGTACACGACAATAATTTTTTCTATCAGCTTAAAAAAATGCTAATAGTAATACTAATACTGATGATTTAAATTGTTTGTATTTTATTGTAGACAGATACCAAACCACTCGGCACTATAAATCTTGGTCAACACAATGTACACCCTCATTGTACAAAACGATCCCCTTTTGCTTTTTCTATCGAATCTCACTCAGACCGGTACATATTCTACTGCGAAACTCGGCTAGAAGCTGGAATGTGGAAAGAGGCATGTCAGCAATTGCATGAATCCAGCTACCAATTACCTGACGATCCATATTTTACGACTTATGGCAGTGTACTTGACAAGTGGCTTGCGAGGCTAGACACACACAGCTTGAGTCCGCCGAACATTCTATCCTCAAGAGGTAACACTCTGCAGTTACGGACTGATGATCCACCAGACACTTTCCAAACACAAAATACACCAATGTCACGCTTTTCCAGTATCTGGCCATTTAATTTCGGAAAAATTCTGTTCAACAAAAGGCGTACCACATATGATGAAGTTGTAAACACAATCGAAACTGATTCAGGATACACCTCCTTGTAAAATACAAACATTCATGTGTATATAGAAGCTGTACATACAAAAACAAACCATATATATATACACATACATACATACATACATACATATATAAATTCTTTGCATTGATGCCATCTCATTTACATATACCATGCATCAATAATAATATTACCAATTTTATATTATATTGTATTCTATGTTTTTCAACATTTGTTATATTATTATCCTTATTATTACACTATTAAATATAATCATCGAAATTCCTCAAAGTTGTTTTTTTTTTGTATTGACTGTCGTGCAAGTATAAGAAAACAAGGCGTATTTTATGGACACCAATGAAACAAGATATTTTAGAGCTTAATATGATTAACCAAAATAAATAAATAAAATATAAAAGAAAAAAGTTTGAATGATTTGAAAGAAAAACTGTGGCTATACAGATATAGCACTGGCCTTTTTCAAATCAAGATATTTACTATCTTTAATTGATAACTATTATTTGATGTCTAAAAGAAGTCTTTCAAATCATTTTTCTTACACTTTTTTTCAACTAGTAGCCATGGTAACAGTAGTTATAGCAACGGTAACTATGGAAACCAAAACAAAATCAAGACAACTGTCAAACAAATCAAGTCCTTGATTATTTTTTTTATAAAAAAGTAACGGCCCTGACTTATCCCCCTTTCATCATCATCCACTTCTTTCTCACTTCGTTTGTCTTCTTTAACTTTCCCCTTGATTTCTTTACACAGCTATAAATACATAGATAAATACAAATGCAAATGCAAATACAAATACAAATACAAATATAAATATAAATATTCATGTATACATATGTATATATAAGTATATATTTGTATGCTTGTATTTTTGTATATTATAAACTTATGTATTTCATCATCTCTCTTTCTCTCTCTCTCTCTCAAAATATATATGTAAGGTAATAATAAAATAAATACAATATTTGATGTTACCTTGGCCGTACATCTGTTAGACGTTTTGTCCTATATAGACTTAAAAAGGAATCCTTTGGGTGCTACGGCTCCTTTACTGCGCAGTACTTTGAGGGGAATTTTTTCTTTTATAGATCTGTGTGTGCGTTGTAGTGGGGAAACTAAAAACCAAAAAGAAAAAAAATCAAAATACTACTAATAATAATAATAGAAGAGAACTGGAGTGTAACAAAATTATGATAGGACCTAAATGAGGTCATTCATTTTCATATCCTGTGTATATACATTCTGGGGTCAGTGATTCTAACTTGGCTTCAGCGGCGGCGAACTCGGGAACTCAAGCCGATGTGCACAAAAAGATAAAAAAAGGGTCTATGGAAAATGCAGACACGTGTTCGTGCGTTCTTCTGGCAGAAACCCCACTTTGCAATAAGCCAAAATATCCTGTATATAATCTACATATTTTTATATATATACATACACACACTTCTTGGTGAGCCCAACTGTGTGTACTTGTTTCTTCAATAGGTAATTTCTTATTTTGTTTGTTTCTTTTTATAAAATACAAAATACAACATATAAACGATCTATTTAAAATATTATATTTTAAGATATTTCGTCTTCCTTGGTTAACAAACGATAAGCAAAGAAGAAGAAGAAGAAGGAAAAGGAAAAGGAAAGAAAATAAAGAAAATAAAGAAATAATAAAGAAAGCAAGAGTGTATGAAGCAGAAATTTGTGCTGCCGAGTGTAACCAAGACGCGCATGGATTGGCAACCTATCCATGGGTGCAAAAAGGTGCGAGTTTTTTTTTCTTTAGCTGTGCCTCAAAAACTACAAGTGATTTGCTACGGTGCTGCACACCTTATTACCCCCCCCTTTTCTTCTTTCTTTCACTCTTCCTTCTCTTTTCCCCTTTCCTCTTTTTAAGAAAAAAAAAACATCTGAGCACAGTTGAAATTTATTTTGCCTATTGGCATTCAACATACACCAAAAAAAAACCGCCAGATTTATCATCTTACTTCTTTAAAAAAAATCTACACAGAAATATATCATCACATTCCTACCAAACAGAAGAACAAAAAGAAAGACCAAAAAAAACATACGTTATGACTAGCGAGAGAGGAAGACCAGACCGCCAACTGAGGCAACCAGACTCTTCTCGCGATAAACTCATGAGGCTAAAGCGTCTGAGTCCTCAGGAAGAGCTCAGAGCCATGGCAGAAGCAACCGCAGCCGTGATTCGGGTACGCAGAAGGGAACCCGAATCGATGCTTATCTGGGGCGACCGCAGAAAGGTAATATATATATGTATATGTATATATGTATCTACACACACACACAGATATATATATACATAATTATAATTATATTTATATTTATATTATAAATAATTATATATATATATATATAAATAAATAAATATAAATATAAATATAATTATATATAATTAAAAAAGAGTGGGCGAGTGAGCAAGTAAAGTAGGTAGTGTGAGTAAGAATGGGAGAGTGAGCGAGTGAGCGAGTGAGTGAGTGAGTGAGTGGGAATAAGAGAAAGTAAAATATAAATATATTACACTTTTTTCTTTTTTTTTTAAAAAAAAAAAAGGGCAGAATCCCTTACCTTTTTTTTCAATTTCTCGGGTGTGTGTCTACTGTATCGCCCGAGCGCTCGTGTAACTCAATGTCATGATCGATTCAAGCTTTTATTATATTTGTTATTATATATTTATGCATCAAACTCTTTGCAGTGTGGTTAGGACAACACTCAAGGCCAAACTCTTTACTAACCTCTCTTTGTGTCTTTGCTTCTGTGGATGCTCGTGTATGTGTTGTAGGCTGTCATCAAGCGCTTCCCCGATGGCGGTGTTGAGATAATAGTTCCACAGAACCTTACGCCTGAACAAGAGCAGTACGAATTCCCACCACGATCTCAATTCCTCAAGCAGTTATCCACTGCCGAGAAGCGAAAGATGTCCGCACAGACAGAACCTACTCCTCCATCTTCATCTACCTCTTCCTCTTCAGGCTCATCGGTCATGACCGTCCCATTCCAACAATCTCAGTCCGTCGATCTTGATCAGGCAACTATTAGCGAATGGCTAAATGCCCAACAAAAAGAAAAGGCTGAGCGCCAGCAAATAGTCCCAATCCTTCTTACACCCAGCACTTCAAAACGATCCAAACGAAATCCTCTTCCGCCCAAACCTAGTCCAAAGTGTGTGCAACCAGTACGCACCCAGACAGACCAACAGAGCCCAGAGTGGCTACCAGATGGCACACTGCACCTCCAGAGTCAAGCAGGTAACCTTTTTTTTCTTTTGATAAATCGAATATATCTATTGGACAGACACTTACTTATACTTGTGTACATGCATATATATATATAATATTGATACATTTCTTGTTTATTTGATAGGTAAACGTTGGACAACTCCAGCTGAGCCTCCACCACAGCCAGCACCTTCAAAGCACTACGTTTCCAAGAAGCTTCTTATTTCTGCCCGTACAATTATTCCACCACCTTCACGACAATCAATTACCTCTCCACGCACCCAACCAGTCAATGTGCGCACCTCCCGCGCACCATCCATCACATCTCCCCGTGTACAACCATTTAACTCGTGTGCGCGTCCTATTACTTCACCTCGTGTGCAACCAGCCACCTCACGTACACCGTCCATCACTTCTCCTCGTGTACAGCCATTCAATTCACGTCCTCCACCACTTACATCTCCTCGCATCTCTGCCATTACTGTCCGCACTTCACCACCTGTGCCAACACCCCGTCTTCGTCCTCGACAACCCTCTGACGCCAAACCTACTCCAAAACCTTCTACCCCCACACCACTTTCGAGTATGGTAGAGAGAACACAGTCTGCAAAAAAGACAATTGTTCATCAGCACATGCGCATTAGCGAACGCGGTAATCATCTTGCACGACTTCAACAACAGCAACAGGCAGTGACAGCGACAGCAACAGCGACGGCAACAGCGACAGCGACAACGACGACTAAAATAAACGAGTCCCAGGATTTGTGCACCAAAAAAGATGCATCTTTCTCGTCTGGTTACCTTGCCAAAGACATGTATATAATGAAAGCAAGCGCTTAAAGAAAAAAAATGGCTACAATTCATGCATATCACAACCACATAATCACACAACCATACCTGCACAATTGCACACATGCACACATGCACACATACAAAACTGCACTTACACAACTGCACTCACACATTTGCACTCTTACATTCGCACTTGCACTTGCACTCTCACATTCGCACTCTTACATTTGCACTCTTACATTTGCACTCTTACATTTGCACATTTGCACATTTGCACATTTGCACATTCGTACTCACACTCACACTCACACTCACGCACATATACACATATTTATATACTTTTCTTCACATTCACATTCACTAACCAACAAACCACTTTCTCTCTATTATATTATATTTCATTATTTGTTTCTAAACCAACCCACGCCAACACATTCCCATATTTTCAATCCTGCACAGCTCACACACACACATTATTCACAATTCACAATTCATAATTTACAACTCACGCAAAATCACACAAAATCACTCATTGAAATTCCATCAGGCATGCAAACCAAAAGGTTTCTTGTATAATAAAAATCTCCCCCAAAAAATATTAGCATATTTCTTAAATATTATCATTATAGTTACTATTAGCCATTACTACTATTAATACCATCATCATTATCATAATCATCATTCCTTTTAATTTCTTTCTTGTGTGAATGTGCGTATAGTTTTCTCTTGACGGATTTTCGCCTCCTTCTTTATCAATTCTTAATATACATATATATACATTTTGTCTATTTAATAATTTGATACGTTTGATCACAGCATATAATGTACATAACAATTATTGTAAAATAATAATAATAATACTTTTTTTTCTATATTTGCATTTATCCCGTTTTTGTTTCAATACAAGAAGTTTATAGTCTTGTACTCCAGCACATTTTTTTTTTTAAAAAAAAAGTGTATCACCATTTTAGTGGCTGGACACAGCACTGAAAAAGGTAAAAAAACAAATAAAAAAAAAATAAAAAAAAACAAAGAGAGAGAAAGAAAGAAATAGAATTGGCCGAGGTTGTCATGCTTCAGTGGTCCATTATCAACAAGTTACACCATAATCGCCACCACTATCAATAGCCAATGGCCATAATAGTGTTTATTCGTATTCTTGCTAAGTGAAAACTAATAAATCCAATGCTTTGTACTTAATAATATAAAGGAAAATAGATAATGATTACAAGTATGAATATTACTCTATGTATTGATAGCACAAGTATTGCAATATCCATTTGGATTCCTCGACTCTTTTATTTCCGGTTTATTTGTTCAGCCATGAGATCATCACCATGGGGTCAACATAACACGGTTTTGATTACTTGACTTGCCTCGTTACTCATTTTTTTCTTTCTTTCTTGTGTTCTAGTACTATATTATATTTAGTGTTTAAAACACACAAAAACACACAGAGAGAAGGATATGTATTCATGTGAGTTACTCGCAAGTATAAAAGCATAAATGATGTATCTGGACGGGGAGTTTCTTTTCCTTTCCTTTTCCTTTTTCTCTCTATCATTTGGCATCTCAAGTAGTATGCAAAGCTAAAAATCATAGCTATGAAATCTATTATTTATTATAAGAAAATGTGTTGCAAGTGCACAAACAATATATATATATATATACATTCATATAATATATAATAATAACTATTATAAAAATCAATTTAGATTACAGGTTACAAGGTTATGAACCAATACAAACAAGAAAGAGGTGCTTGAACCTTGTTTATTTCTTGTGAACTTGTGCTAGGCATCGATATTTATATATATGATTCAATTCGATTCAATTCGATTCAATTTAAAGCAAGAATCAAGAATATATCTATCTACACATTTAATATTTTAAGCAGATGGGATGATTTATTTTAATATGATAACAAGATACCTTTTCTTTTCTCAACATTTGGATTCAAATTTTCTTGTAAATCTTTGTGTACAAAGCAACATCTCTATTTTGTGTAGTTTAAAGGTGTCCAGGTGTCCAAGTGTCCAGACTGGAATATGCTACAGTACTACCAATATACGGTGCACAATATACATAATACACAGTAAAGTGCATTATATATATATATATATGTTGTCTGACAGTTTATTTAGAGCAAGTAAATCTTTTTTTTTATTATCCCCTTTTCTTTTCCCTTCCCTTCCCCACCTCTTTCCTCCCTCCGACCTCACAATTTTTTAAGATGTATTTAAGAATCGAATAAAAACCCCTGTACATCATGTGATCTTGAAATCAATTTTTGTGGGTTTTGGGATTCTTGTTGAACTCAAAAGTGGTTACTTGTACAATCATTTTTTACAAATTTATATATATATATACTTGCACCAGTTATCTGTCAAGTAAACTAAAGCTTTTGAGAGAGAAATATGCTCTCCTGGCTATATTAGATTATATTATACTTTAATTTCAAAGATATTGATTTTATTTTATTTTTTTAAAAAAATAATAATTCATCACCATGGAGATTAATCTATAATTATTTCTATATACATATATATTTCTATTATAAAGTTCGATTCAAGAAGAACAAAAAAAATAAAAATAAATAAAAAACAAAAAAAAATCTTGGTTTTTATATCTCCGCACAATCTTTAGATTTTCTTGCCCGCAGACTGTAAAGTTCGGGAAAGTGGGTTTATATTCATTTCTTGGACCTATTTTCCCTTTCTTTTTTTTCTTTTTCCTTTTAGTCGTAATCAGTTAAGAATGTCTCAAGTCTCGGGTTCAATCACCAACCGCTTCATCCAGAAGGTTTCCTCCAAGGAATTCAGAAGCTACTTTTTGAGGTAAGTCGACACAAAAAAAAACAACTAAAAGATGAAGTGCTCATTACAATTTTTATTCTCGAATTTAGCACTGTAAGTTTATCACCCACACGTACACACCAAACAATGGAGAGAAAGGGCGAGAGGAGACGAATAAGTAACTAACAATATATATATATATATATTCATACATAATATGTGGGTGAACAGCACTTTTGGGGCCCTGTCGCCAACTGGGGTATTCCTATTGCTGCCATCTCTGACTGGAAGAAGGACCCTGAACTTATCTCTGGAAATATGACTGCTGGTAAGTATACTAACATATATATATATATATCATATAAAAAGACCTCGACTAAACTAATGTATATATATATATGTATATATATAGCTCTCTGTATCTATTCTGGTCTTTTTATGCGTTTCGCTTTGGCTGTTCAGCCCGTAAACTATCTTTTGTTCGCTTGCCACGCTACCAACGAAGTTGCTCAGCTGGTCCAGGGTTATCGCTACATTGACTACCACAAGTAAGTTAATAGAATTAGAAAGATAATTTATATAATATTAAAAAAAGGGGGGCAGGATGAAGGAAAATATTTAACAAAGAGTATTGAATTAACTGATTATGTAATTATTTTCTTTTTATGTAAAAAGGCTCGGTGGCAAGGCAAAGCTCTTGGAACAGCAGAACCAAGAAAAGGCTGTTGCTTTGGATTAAAATGGATGTCTTGATATATAAATATTTGTAGTAATTATGTACCTCTCTTAAAAAAATTGAAAAAAGTATAATTAAAAAAGACTAGAATACAGAAACAGAAAAAAGCAAAAAAAAATAAGAAAAAGTGGAAAGAGAGAGAGAGAGAGAGATACGTAGTACTTGAAGAAGAATATTTGAGACTTTCAAACAAGTTGTGTGTTTAGAATTCAAATAAGAATAGAATGGGGTTGGCATAGCCGTTGTGAATAAGAGATAGAAAGGTACGCCTTCTAATTCAGGGCGGTGGGTTTTCATTTTAAAGAAGAAAGCACTTCTTTGATTTTTTCTTAACTGGAGGCTCTAGGGCAGCCACAATGGCTTCATCAAATACATTCTTCAATCCTTTTTGTGTCAATGCTGAACATTCGACATATTTGACTGCGCCTAGTTCTCTGGCAAGACGTTCACCTGCTTCAAACCCAATAGGTCTTTGCTTTTGTCGCGTCAACTTTTCAAGAACTGTAGGATCATCGCGTAGATCAATCTGAGTGCCTACAATTAAACAAGGCACACCTGGGCAGTGGTGGTGTACTTCAGGAAACCATTTTTCTTTAACATTCTCAAACGAAGCAGGCGAGGTGACTGAGAAGCAAACTAGGAATACATCGGTTTGTGGGTATGACAATGGCCTAAGACGATCGTAATCTTCTTGACCAGCCGTGTCAAACAATCCAAGGGTATAAGGTTCGTCACCTAAAAGAAAGGAAGAAAAGAAAAGAAAAATGTGTATATAATACACGCGTGTATGTTGTATTTGTATACATGTATGTATGTATGTATGTTTAAGGGACCTTGATTGACTTTTACACGACCTCCTTCCTTCCCTCCCCATCACATCACATCACATCACATCACATCACAGTATATTGTAGTATAGTATAGTATTGATCCTAAAGCCCTTTCTTTCTTCTCAGGAAAACAAGGGCTTTGGAACCTTTGGATACTAAACGGTCTTCTTATGGTTTGTCTTGTGGAGGGGATTTAAACTTACCAATCATAACCGTAACTGCATAATTATCAAATACCTTTTATTCATTTATTCAAAGACAATCAAAACTATGAATATCTGAATTGACTGTCTTGTCTTTATAATTTTTTTAAAAGAAATCATAGTAAAGCCTCTTACCGTAGGAACATACTCAGAAGGAAATTTGTTGGTTGTGTACGAGATCAAGAGACATGTCTAATCAAGTTGAAGAATTTGAGCATCGTTTGACAATTTCAATCATCACAAGGATTCTCGATTTACCTTGCCTACAGCACCATCTCCAACCACTACGCATTTTATTGTCTGCATTACTTGATAGCTATTCAAAAATAAAGAAATGAAAAAAATGATAAAGATTATTCAATGAGCTCATTTTTGACAGAAACCAAAAACAATAAGAAATAAGGTGATGTAGTCACTCTTATTTTTCTTTTTCTTTTTCTTTTTTTTTACCAAGTAGTTTTCTCTGTCTTTTTAGAACAAACGAGGGACTTGTATGTGTATGTTCGTGTGTGTGCTTGACTTTAAAGTACTTCTTTCGATAAGATGAGGAAGAGAAAGAATCAAATAATAATATATTACTAAAGAAGGAGGAAATGGTTTTAAAACGATAGAGGGATTCTTTTTTTACCTGAAAGCAAAAGTAAAATCAATCGGAGAATATAAAAAAAAGGTAACAAAAGGGAATGAGGAGAGGGAAGGGAGGGGAGGGGAAGGGTATCTCTTTACCAATCTCTTTCTTATTATACTTATATGACTATCAGTATAAATACGTCATCATTCAGTGCATTGTTTTATTCGATCTGTGTACTTGTACGAGTACATAGCCTATACTTTACAGCTATACATAGCATATAATCCTCTGAATTAAATTATATGTATATATGTTTAGGTGCTCAAGGAATTAGACAATAATAAGAAACTGCTATCGATAACAGAAGATGCTCCTTATTTGGACGCGGTAAAAACTGTCATATACATATCATTTATATAATAGAAATAAGTTGATTTTATAATAATTAATACTTTACTTCAAAGATAGAACCCTGCTTGACAGTAGAGAAGGTGTAGACTTGTAGTAATGTACCACTACTATATATTTGTCGAATATGTTTTGCTTGACTTAAATACTTTAAATTTCAGCACAGGTATCCTTAAATTTCCAATTTTCTATTCATATTTTTGGATACTGTATATTTAGCTTTCTATTTTGGTATAATTTGTTTTATAAATATATGTCTATCCTTTTTAAGCTGTAGAAATTTGGTCTGAAATGACCCGTTTTCAAAGTCGCTTTATTTTTTCCAGTCTAAATTACTATAATCACCCTCCAATCCTATTGTATTGCAAATTGCTTCGAGAAAACTGACATGCTCGGATTGTATTGTTTGGGTGTTATAGTAATTGTCTTATAGGAAGTTGCCATAAGTCCACATTCTCTCTATTATATCGAGCTTTAGCTGTAATGCACTGGGTTAAGGAACCGGGTTATGAGAGAGCCAAAGGTCCGGGTTAGAAGAAAATTAAAGTCTGGGGTTGGAGCGGGCTTTAATTGTTTTTGTTGAACTTGGCCCGCACCATGGATTCCACTGTGGTAAATGGCAGCATTTATAACTCCGTACTCGTAGAAATGTCGGAAAGATTTTTTAACCAATAGAATTACTGAAAATAGAAGAAATTATAACTTCAGACTCATAAGTTTCTACGAGCTCGTAGATTCTTTAGCAAATATGATTTGTGGGATTTCAGATTGTTTTTGCATCTAATCCAATCAATTGCTATAAATATGGTAAATTTATACCTTTTTAGGTACTTTAAATTTTCTTATAATTGGTCCAACAAACTTAATGTTTTATAGCAAAATATTTTTATTTTTTGACTTTATTAATAGTAAAAGTAATAAAATAAGGCTCTTCTTTAGCCTTCTCATATCTATAGCATTGCCTCTAACAAAGGGTACTAAAAAATAGTAGACGAATGATAGAATAAGTATGTAAAGAAGAAGACTATGATAATTTTAAATTAAATAATAAGTATAGTAAAAGTTTAATTTAAATTGTAAGATCAAGGTCTCTATAAACTACTAGATATCGCTTTGGCCAGAAATAAAAAAGGGAGTTTCGTTTAACATTACAAGAGCTATAGCTATATATCATTCTATCTATAAAATATGTGTATGTGTGCTTATCTTGTAAGGCTTTGATAAAAGGTTTTGTGTTATAGGGTCTTGTCATAGATCTCTTGCTTAATATTGTTATCGCCTAAAAGCTATAGGTTATTGGTTAGTACTTTGTAAAGCCTCAAAGACTTGTCAACAATAGTAATAGTGAGAAGAAATAGAAAGAAAATGACTTTACGAAATAAAAAACAAGTTCGCATTAAAAAAAATATCAGTAGGCATGACTGTTTCTGGTATAAGCTCAGATCCAAGGTACGAAGTTCATAGGGCTTGTTTGACCCTCTAGTTGATTTTTCTTTAATCAAGCAAGTAGTTCTCTCTATTCGAAAATCAAGATGGTTTCCTGGGTTGACGACGAGACTTTCATCTTCAAAATATTTCTCCAGAGCCAAAATAGGATAGAGATATTCTAAACTTGGTAAGTGCTAGATGGTGTTCAAAAATCTGCCATTTCTTTCCAAAATAAGGCAGCTTGTTTCAAATACTCGTAGATTTTTTTCTACAGTGTTCATTACCAAGGGGATACTCAGCAATATTGTACTTATAAGTTTAAATTCAGAAAACAATGTTATTGGATAAAAAATCTTTTACCGACGTAGAAAATCCTACAAATTTATACTCTCTCGTATAGTTGGGGTGGTCAGACTATAAAGATTAATCGAAGATGAAATAAAAATCAAAAATAATTAAGCTGTTACTTCTTTTATTTTTAAAAAAAGAAAAATGAATGGTCAATCTTCTTTCATTGTGAATTAGATTGAGAGTAATATCGTACTTTATGGAAGGAACAGTATTATAGATACTTTCTAAAACTTCCATCAGAATCGCCCCTCATTTCTCATAGTGAAGCATAAAAGTTAAATTTACAGGAACTTAAGGGGTATACATAAAGTCAAAGAGAGAATAAAAAAAAAATACTTTTTATTGTTATGAATAAAATTGAGTTATATAGCTATCTAAACTAAAATTATATATTATCCGCAGTAGCTATTCTATTAAATACTTTAAGTAAAAGGAGACATTATACTGCTATTACTACACATAAAGAGGTACTGCGGTTACCCATCTTAAAATTTTACGTATTTATCAACATAATGTTCGCCAATTACAACAACTAATTAAACCAATTACATATCTCGCTTGAAGATACATAAAACAGTCAGTTTTGTAGGAAATATGCATTGCGCACAGGATATAAGAGATGTACTGCTCCATGTGCCTCAGCTTCATTACTTTTACAGCCCATAGACTATGTGAAGTTAAATGAGCGTTGAAATTGTGTGTTTTTATTCAATATTAGTAAAATAAAATAAAATAGGGCATAGAAGAATAACTATAGGTATATTTAAAAAAGTAAATGTGCTAGCAAAACTTAAGAGTGTAAGCTTAAAATAAACGACTTTATAAAAATAGGAATACGGCATAAAGTGAAGGCGTAAGAAGGAATAAGAATAGAAAGCTACTAGCTTGGGATAATATTATTTCTAGGTTGATCATATGAAATAAGACATACACAATGCTAAACATGTATCATAAAAGTGAGTAATAAAACGGAACACATAAATAAATCTGTATACATAGCTAGTTGATATATATATAATAAAGCATAAGTGACACTCTCAAGGAGTTAAATACTACCACAATATCAGATAGTAGACATATTTGAGGATTTACAAGTGTTAAAGCTCGAAGATACATGTCTTTGAACATTGAACTTGCTTGAAAATTTCTTCTTACAAGTGGGACATTTTGCTTTCTTGACACTCTTGTCATGGTGAGCAGAATGACGCTTCAAGTTTCCGCGTCTGTCACTCCAATAGTTGCATTTGTCACAGTCGTATATACGCTTACATTCTTCTCTGAGCTTTCTTTTCTTTTTGTTCATAGAGTATTGGCTATATGGGCGGAAAAGGCTTTGGTTCTTACGACTTTTGGTATTTTGACCTATTCCTTTGTGAATAAAATAATAGTTAGATACCCTTGTATATTTTAAATTTATTAAATGTATCATGCAACTTACTGTGGTTGCGATCTTCTGAAAAGCTTTCTGGTAAAAAGTTAACAAAGCGTGTCTGTTTTCGAGAGAGATTTGAGGTCGAGATTGAATCAATTTGTTGAGAGACTTTTAGAACTGACGGTAAATAAGTGTCTTGATATAGCTCCATACGTGGATTATTACTCAAAGCATTTGGTTCGGATATATACATGGTATCATCAAATGTATACTTGTCTGTTGTGAGTGCCTGATTTTCGTGTAGAAATGTTTCTTTGATGTTTATACACTGCCATAAAGGAACGTTTCTTGATCCAGAAATAGGAATTATGTAGGCATATTCTGAGCGCGCTACAATATCATCGATAAATCCCGCTTGATATTTAGACCCGCTTGAAATACTCGGATCAGGGCTCAAGACTGGCACAGCTTCCGGAATGGAAATAGATGGTGAGAGAACTGGAGAATATGTCTTGTACCCTTGGTGTTGTGGACTATCCCGAAATACAGGAATTAGAGTGGGTGTCAATGGATTTGAAACATTATCATATGTTTCTATTAGTATATGGGGGTTCAACAATGTATTGTTCAAGTTTGGATGGGATAGAATTGATCGGTGGACCATACTCTTTTTTATGTTTACAGATAAAGTTGAAGTGGGAGATAAAAGTTAAAAAGATATATATGAATAGGCTAAAGAAAATGATAATAAAGATGATAGTGATAATAACGATAAAAATAATAATATGGTTTTGGGTGTGTAAATAATGTATTACATGTACAAGGTATTTTGCTTAAGTATAGAAAGAGATATTTTTTGTTTTGTAGATTATTTTGGGTAGTAACCTATACCGCCGTCGATGGTATTTATATGAATTGATTTCATCAATACTTTGACTTTATCTAGAGGAACACATTTTGGTACAATGCCCTCTTGATGTACAAGTTAATTGATACTATGTGGCTTTAATAGCCCCTTCCTTTCATAAAATAAAGAGTGGTGCAATATTTTAAAGTTTGATTATATAATTACATATTAGCAGTGGCTGCCTTCAGCTCTTATCAATGATCACTTTTTACTGTTTATTTTATACTAGTATACAAAAGTCACTTGTAGATTTGGATGAGTAAGTTCTTTATATTTTTTTATATAATACAGTTATTTTCCAAAATAAAGTTATGAAAGATAGAGATGGAAAGGGTTTAAAAGGGCTAACAAAGGAGCTCCAGACTGTTATTGTTCGATTTGTTGGGGGGGGGGGGGGGGGGGGGGGTGCTTTTTCTTCTATATATTTGATATGTAATGATGAAAGCTTCTTAATGATACAAGCTAGCATCAAACTACCTGGAAGAACACCATTATCCCTTTCAGCTAATATTCTACAGGATAAAAGAAAATACAAGATCGCTCGATTTCTCATGTTTGAAAGCAGTGTGGGGTTAACTGTGTACTCTCTTTTCTGCAGGTTTTTATTATGAATTCTAAAAAAAAAAGTGGGGTAAAAGTTAGTGTCTTTCTATATATACAATCTTTCTTTAGGGACTATATATTTGTACAGCTGTTTTAATGGTTTCTGCGTGTAAATTCAACCTATCCCTTGCGTGTTTAGATAATATTAGCTTTAAGAGAAGTTGGGTAAAACGAGGCCTCATTTACCAATGTCACATAACGTGCTTAACTTTAAAAAAAAAAGGTTTAAATTTCAGTATCGTGGCATTTACTTGTTCTATAGGATATAATTAAATTCTGGATACATACATACATATATATTGTATTGCTCTTATTATTTCAACAACAACAAAAAACAATTGCACATACAAAATAGTCTATCGTTGTTCAACTAATGGGATTTTGTTTCTTGAGGTGTTTCTTAAATTTCAGGTGTGTACTTAAGACATACATGAAGAATTTACAGGTCAGTATAGAAAAAAAGAAATAATACTAGACTTTCTTTCTTTCTTTTCTTTTCTTTTTTCAAGGTTCAGGAACCATAAAATACATAGAAGAATATTTGACAAATATATCGTCTTCTACAATCCCCTTTATTATATCTATTCTAACTATTGCGATGAACTTGGCTTTAGGTAAATTTAACGGTATAGCCATAGCTATGAGCAGAGAACTATGGGATGATATTCGTATCGGTCTCATAAAAGTTGATTTCTTTTACATGCTGAAAATGTGGATAATTCCAGAAAAGCAAAAATATATTATACTATACCATAATTTAATTCTTCTTTGAAAAGTTTGGGGATGAAGGGTCACTAACATTAATATAATAAAAAGCCAATCGTGACTGTAAACTATATAATGATAGTGGCAGAAACCCTAAAAGAAAATAAAAGGGAAAAGGGATACTATATTTTATCAATTTTAAATAAGAAAAAATGGTAAAGAATGAGAGAAAGGGAAGTACACTAGGAGGAATCTATAATACTTCTTTCGTAAAATACATACATATTCCTGTCTTTTATTTATATATGTATATGTGTATATATATATATATATATATACTAGGAGCGTTGCTCCCCCTTCCCTTTGCTCCCCTTCTTGGGGGGACCCAGAGTCCTATAGCCAGTTGGTATGCAACTATTCCCTACTGCTCTATTCAATTGGGCATCTATTATCTAAGATTATTGTCGAGTTTATGATTTGATGTACTTTTGGTATATCATGTGATTTATAAAACAGCATGTTTTTGCAGGCACATCTGTATATCACGTGATGCTGCTGACTTTGATTGATTTTAGATATATATAAAAAAAAAAGATAGAAAGACAAGATATATTCCTTTATTCTTCTACAATCATTGGTCCTTTTATTTGCTAGTTAAATGAGCTGGATCTATTGCCTTACTTTTTGACCCAACTTTCTTCTCCATGTTTTAGTTCTGTAGCCCCTTTATCTGATTCAGTGTTTTAGCAAAAGCAAGTCGTTGTTAAGCTTCGTCATCTACTATCAGGTAAATATTAGGAATTGAAAAATAAATAGGTAGATAAACAAGCTAAAAGGGGGTCCACAGAACCTAAAACTGTTATATCCAAACAGCCGCTCCTCTCCCATAAGCTACTTATAAGTCATGTATATATTCATTTATTTTTTAGGGGGAGTGTCTTGAATTTACCTTGCTAAGCCCAAGACCTTGTTTTTCTAATATCAAAAAAAAATAAGATCTAACTCAATTATACGAAGTTCAAACTATGAGAATTATTATTTATGTCTTTAAAAAGTTTTATACAGTTATTGGTAACTTGAAAAACACTAGACCAATAGCCAGCATGGATAGTGTGGTATACACACCACAATTGAGTGAAAAACAGACTCCACAACCAAACACTGGTTCCTTCTTCCTTTTTTTTTTGGTTGGGCAAACCCATGAGGAGAAATCCTTCCTTCTTGCTAATGAACCTGGCAAGTTAACAATCTCCGGAACTGTTACATACCAGGCACATGTATGCTACACACACATACATTATAAACCAACCATTACACAACAAGGATTTGAATTACAGGTATTTTAATAGTAACATATATAAATAATAATAATAATAATAATAATTGCACTAAGCCGAAAACAATTGTTCGTTTATGTCTAGAAATTTTGTCCTTTTGAGATAAGAGAAATGTCACAATAATTCAAATCAAATTGACCTAAAAATGATATGCATTTTTTTTTTACTTTAGAACGTTTAGAATGACTGGAAAAGCTTTATTGAGTTTCGGCAGACATGTCCTTACATGCCTAAGCAACTCTACTAGTCATATTTTCTTTGACAAGAGCTCAAAGCTGTTCAATTGCGCTAAGCTCTGACGAGTAAATAAATACGCACATTACTCTATAATCTCTATTATCAAGTCTTCTTATCATTGGAGGAGACTTATGAATAGGGCAGTTATTATTAATTACAAGATAACTACCCATATAACTATCCTTCACGCTCATGATACTCAGAAGCTTATTCAAAGATTTCACAAAATGGGTAGTAGCTGTACCCTTTGCTTTTAGCTTGTTGTTTCTGACAACGGTCCTCTCCTCCGCATTTACGTGCCCTATTGTAGGCTCTTTGCTCTTTGTATCCTGCCAATTTTTTTCTTTAAGTTTAGCCGTCTTCAATATTTGAGTTTTTGGGTTTCTTTACTTTTTAGGCGATGGTTTTTTTATAACAGTATGAATAACACTACTACAGTGTATAAAACCGATAATGATGTGGGAATGAGAACGGGTCTTTTTAATCTCTACTTATATAAGTGTTCCTACATCCTGTCTAGCTCAATTATTTCTCGTGCTAATGTTAAATTCGGCCTCGTCATTAAAGACTAGGTTCTTAGTGTAATCCAGATCTGAGTATTTTCACTTCATAAACAACCGGTAATAATCTTTTATATATAAGTGTCATAAGTAACGTTTCATAATAATAGCATTTTCAGCTCCTATAAAGTTTAGCTACTCTAATATAGGTAATTACTATAAACGGGTGATCGCCCTTATGCGACAACTTTTATAAAATCGACTTAAATACTGGACAATTCATTATACGAAGCTTTCTTGTTTGTTTTATTATAGTGAGAATCTATTAAAGCCAACAGTACAGAAGAATCAAGTAAGTAAAATTCAGAAAACAACAAGTCTTTTTTATTACAAGCCATAGAAGATCGAAAAAAAAATATTGCTCAAAGCTTAAGGCACAATCTCTAACTTTGTTCTAGCTGCTATCAATGAGACTGTAGCAACATGGATGTGCAGGACAAGAGTTCTTGCAATGAATTGGAGAATGATACTTTTGCGATTTCATACATGGTATAGATTCCATCGTTATGTTATCACATCAGATAAAAGACTATGGTAAATCCGTGAATCTGAAAAACAAAACATGCCTTCCAATGGTGGGTACCGATGGCTTCTTTGCAAAAGACTTTTAAGCGCAGAAAATCATAGCATAGGTAATTGTCGTTTGTATTGGGTTGTGCCACTTTTGCTTCACCAAAGCCCAGGCTTGGCTCATACGACAGTTGGGTGAGATTTGTCAGGGTTGCATCTGGCCTTTTATCCCCACTGGCATCCGATTCGATATTGGTCCATAGTAATAAAACGCGCTTTTTAGGACTGGATAAAATGCATGCCAATATTGGATGAAAATAAGTGGTTGTTAATTCATATTCGCTAATTGATTGTTTGTTCTTTATAGCCTGCAATGGTAACTCGCCTATAGCTTTGGCAATACCACGGATTACGCAAACGGCGTGTTTATCTACATGCTTACAAAGCTGTAATAATTTTACACTGGCTTCATCATTATACAGTTGATGCATTTGTACCGAATCGATAATAAGAAATACTTTTCGGTAGATAACGTCGCAATTATTGAGTTTAAGTGTCAATGATTGATGCACAAGATTTTTGGTTAGAGCATCCGAGATTACTTCAGTGAAAGTATCAATCATGAGTTGGCTATGTTGTTGAGGTGCTAAAAGTAATATATGAGATAAAGCGAGTACTTCATGGATCGATGTTTCCATGTGAAGCAAGGTAGATGATGCAATGGCAGCTACACTTTGTTGAAATAACATGAATAATGCTGAGATGTTTGTGCCTTTGAACATCCATTTAGCTGAGGAATTTACATGAAAAGGCAATTCCGGTGATGTCTGATGCTCAGGAAGATCCAGAGGGTCGGCATCATTATGTATTGCCATATCCGCAGATGCCGAGTCATTGATGGAATTCACATTATCAGTGGTAACAAGGCTGCTAGAATGTAAACCATAATACACCGGTACTGGCGTGTGAACAGACTCTTGATAGTAATTACTCTCTTGATTATCAGAATTCAAGGTCATAGAAGTGTTATCATCATCGATTAATTCTGACTTTGAGAGATTTGTATCCTGGCTAGAAACGTGAAAGGATATGGAGCAACTGACATAAGGCAAAGCTTGAATTTCTTAAATAACTTTTTGCACGTATTTGGCACTGCTGAGATGTGCGTCAATATCTGTCACCAACCGTGATTTTTGTAACCAAAACTACTTACTTGTAAAGGAGCTTTTTCATAAGTTTTAATTCCTTTGACAACCTATCGTAATCATCCGGTAGTTACTTGGATATAATGGGCTTATATCGCAAATAAGCGTGGTCCCTTTTGAGCAACCCAAATTTCTCATAAAAAGTAGGAAAATTGAGGGTGATCTTAATCTCGGTGCAACAGGTGATATGATAAGAGTTATTGAATTTCTGGTTAATTCCTACAGACGGTTGCTTTTTTTTGGGGAGGCTATCTATCCTTTTCGTTCATCGATAGTTTTTGTGGCATCAAGAACTGTGTCAGATTCAAATAAATATAAGAAAATAAGGTAACAAAGCAAGAGATTGGAACACTAAAAAAAAAGAAGCAAAAGTGGCACAACCCAATACAAACGACAATTACCTATGCTATGATTTTCTGCGCTTAAAAGTCTTTTGCAAAGAAGCCATCGGTACCCACCATTGGAAGGCATGTTTTGTTTTTCAGATTCACGGATTTACCATAGTCTTTTATCTGATGTGATAACATAACGATGGAATCTATACCATGTATGAAATCGCAAAAGTATCATTCTCCAATTCATTGCAAGAACTCTTGTCCTGCACATCCATGTTGCTACAGTCTCATTGATAGCAGCTAGAACAAAGTTAGAGATTGTGCCTTAAGCTTTGAGCAATATTTTTTTTTCGATCTTCTATGGCTTGTAATAAAAAAGACTTGTTGTTTTCTGAATTTTACTTACTTGATTCTTCTGTACTGTTGGCTTTAATAGATTCTCACTATAATAAAACAAACAAGAAAGCTTCGTATAATGAATTGTCCAGTATTTAAGTCGATTTTATAAAAGTTGTCGCATAAGGGCGATCACCCGTTTATAGTAATTACCTATATTAGAGTAGCTAAACTTTATAGGAGCTGAAAATGCTATTATTATGAAACGTTACTTATGACACTTATATATAAAAGATTATTACCGGTTGTTTATGAAGTGTCAACGCTAATTTTAAGGGGACGACATTTCCTGGTGGGAGACGACAATTCGATTCTACCGGACCACAAATCGTGGCCTTTTGTCCGGGATGAAATTATTATATTTGGTCCCTAAGGACACATAATATCCGTATAAAGTCTCTCTTTTGTGCTTTGCAGAAAGAAAGTGGATCGAGATTACTTACCAGTTGGTGCTGTCATACTCTGAAAATATAAGTAGGTGAAAGAAATACAAAGACATCATACGCGTAAGAAGGCCAATAAAGCAGTAAAATATCAAGTAAGATTGCGTCACACTTTAATAATAACAACTTCGTATGATCTTCTGAATAACCGGCTATTAATATAGGGTATTTGTGATTAATTCTTATTTCTTTATTGTCAAGTCTAAACCCAGGGCTACCAATTGAATATACATCATTTGATTTTTGCATGAGACAGCATTTTGTTATTAAATTTCTCATATACAGTCTGTAACTCTAAAAAAAAACATGAGAGTTATGTGCTTGGGAAGAGATTGATTAACACACAAAGTGTTGTGACAAAGTAGTAAGCTAATGCATACAATGAATATATTGCGTTTTTTCAGGACACATCATTTTGCCCTGAAGGACTAGAGAAAGTCACCGGAACCCGGACAGGTAGTCACGATTAACTAGGCCAGTTAGAGAGAAACGTCGTGCCCCATCAAGAAACGACGTTCTCGTAATATTGCTGAATAGTCTATACTTATATGCACTTTAAGCCTGGCTAAGCAGACATGAGATTTAAAGAATCATTGGAAGCTAATATATATATATCAAATATAAATAATAGAGATTTAATTACCAAAAAAAAAAAGTAAAAAAAAAAGGTCTAATGTTACAGAGTATTTTTGTATATTATGGTATCTTGTTGAAAGTTTTATTGTTTGATTGTTGAGTTGTTTTAAAGTTTAAGATTATTATAGAAAGTGAATAGTCAGATAAGATAATTAGTGAGTTATATATACACTGTATGTTGAAGTAAGGTATGTTGTTGAAACCAATATTATATATACATGCGGAATGGAAAAGGAGGAAAGGTAGTAATGGTAATTAGAGTAGTAGTAGTGGTAGTAGTTGTAATAATAGTAAATGATGCTGATGATGAGAATGTATGGTGGATTTTAGGCAAAGATAGAGAATATCTTGTTGCCAACTCGTTTCCAAAGAGGAAGAGGAACACCATTTATGTCAACCTTTTCGGCATCGCGGATATCAAATACACCTTCCTTGATTGTTCCGGTCTCAAAGTCCATATCAACTGCTTTGACAAAAGAAGGACGGCGGAAGGCCTTGTGGCCAACGTAAAGAACGAAAGCAAAGATTAAACCGATGTAAGAAGCTACGATGTTGCTGCCCTTAATAGGTGCCATAAAGGTTGAGTAGCCCTGACCAAAGATGATGATGGTTCCGACAACGATGACAAAGATATCGCAGATAGGGAAGAATGGAGCAACATAAGGCAAGGCAGACAGAGAACGTCCTTGTGCAAGATAACCTTGACGGAAGCGGATATGAGTAATGGAAATAACAACCCAGGTGATGAGACCAGCAACCGAGGTAAGGTTAGTGAGCCAGGTGAAGACGATACCGGAGCCGAACAAGCTGGTAAGGAAAGCAAGACAGCCGATGGCGCAGGAAATAAGGACGGACCATATGGGAATACCCCAACGGTTGACACGGGTAAAGAAGCGAGGAGCGTAACCCTGCTCAGCGAGGGAAAGCATGGTACGACTGGAAGAGTATACACCAGAGTTACCGGCAGAGATCATGGTAATAAGAATAACAGCGTTCATGAGATCAGCAGCCCAGGCAGCACCAGCCTTTTGGAAGACAAGGGTGAAGGGACTGACGGTGATATCATTGGCACCCTTGAGGAGACGAGGGTCAGTGTAGGGGATGACAAGACCAATGACGAGAATGGAGAGGACGTAGAAGAGTACAATACGGTAGAAAACCTGCTTGACTGCAGCGGGGACAGTCTTGTGGGGGTTTACAGATTCACCGGCAGTGATACCAACAATTTCGACACCATTGAATGAGAAGGCAGCGGTCAAGAAGACGTTGAATACGCCAAGGAAGCCACCAGGGAAGGCACCGCCGGGTAAATGGAAGTTGCTTGTTCCAATGTTGACGCCACCAGCAGCGCCAGTATCAACGCAGAGACCGACAATAATAAAGATAATAACAGTCAAGATTTTGACAAATGAAATCCAGTACTCGATTTCGCCATAGCCCTTTACAGAAAAGACGTTGATGGCGACAAGGATAACTAAACAGATGACACTCCAAACGACACTGTTGACGCTTTTAACCCAATATTCCATGATGATAGCAACACCGGTAAGTTCTACAGCAACACCAACGGCCCAGTTGGCCCAGTAGACCCAACCGACACAGAAGCCAAGGGAAGGATCAACGAATCGTGTAGCAAAGTGAGCAAAACTGCCGGCAATTGGGATGTGTGCGGCCATTTCACCCAAGCTCATCATGACAGCAAAGACAAGAAGACCGACAATGCTGTAGCCAACCAATGCACCACCAGGGCCACCAGTGTTAATAGCCTTACCAGAGGCCATGAAGAGACCGGTACCTATTAAGATTATGTTGATAATGTGAGTATTAAATTAATTATATTGTATTTATCAAACAACTTACCAATTGTGCCTCCAAGGGCAATCATTTGGATGTGACGGGCTTTAAGACCACGCTTGAGTTGGTGAGGAGCTACGACAGATTCTTGATCTGAGGCAAGGCTGCTGACCATTTCGATTTTTGTAGTGTCGCCATGGACATGTATTTTATCGGCTTCCATATTGTTGTTGTTGTTGTTGTTGTTGTTGTTGTTGTAAGTTATATATTTTTTTAAGTATGTGTATTGAATAAGTTGATTTATTTTTGTCGTGGCCAGAAGACCTGGATGTAATGGACTGAGAGAAGTAAGGATATCGATAAAAGGAGTACTTTCGTGAATTGATTTTATACTCTTTTTTCTTAAAAAAAAAATAGGAATAAAAATCAGTCTCAGTCAATTTGATCTGGAAAGCTTGGTACAATTCTATTATTACAGATGCCGCCTTGTAACATCTTATTCGTTCAAGAACTTCTAGACAAGATGTACACGTCTCCTTATTGTCGTTAGTGGTGTGATCATGAGTAGTCTCTGATATTATATTATACTATTGTTATTTTAAAGAACAACAAAAAAAAAGTGCTCTGTTAATTGGAGTCGGGTGTACGCTTTTTTTTTCTTTATCGCTTAAAAGGTTTCGCACGGTATCCTAGCAATTTCTCACCTTCAGAGACACAAAGATCTCGTCAAAACAGAATCTTATCTCGCAATCCACGGCTTTTGGTAGCACTAACCTTTGTGCGGTTTGCGAATTTGCTGAGCAGAGGAAGATGGCGTCAGGTAATCGAGCTGTCATTGGAGAAGTTATTGAGAGTGATCCCCGACCTTGATCTTCTTTCCATTGAATCCTATCGTTGGGCTCCAGGCATCAATCAGCACAAATTGGTGCTTCTTCTTTGGTCCATTGAACTGGCGGACTTTATGGAATACTCAATCTCTTTGGTCACTGAGATAGATAACAGAGCCCTCAACCCAAAATTGGCAGGTACTCTCTACAAAATGTTCATATGATCTCTAATACCAAAAGGTTGGATACCCAAAATAAAAATATATATATATATTGTTCAAATCGGAGTTTTCTTTCCATTTGGATTCGATATAATAGGTTTGTGTGTATTGGTGTATGTGTACGATTTATTGCTTACAGAGGAGTGCTTCAATTAACAGGGATTGTATGACAATAACATCTTGACTTTATCTCATTATCATTATCATTATCATTATCACTATCACTATAATCATTATAATGTATCTAATATCAAAGTTATTACAAGAAGTAAATATTATGATTAGATAAAGAAGAATAAAGAATAGACAAGATTCCACTCTTTCATTGTAACCTTCTTGTATTAATATTTGTGAACAATAAAGACATCACACACAGGCGCATATTAATACGCATAAATCCGCTTGTTTTTATGCTAAGCCAATATTAGAACAAACTTTCTATGCAACGAAAAGCACACTAAGATATAAATGTGTGTGTATGTTTTTTTTTTGCATACAAATATGAAAAAGATTACTTCCAATTGGCAAGTACCTCTAAAGATCATAATTACTAAATGTTTACGTTTTACTGAGATACCGAGCACTACACAATAGCAATACCTCGACACCTTTAATGGTTTGGTTTGAGCTATTGTTACTGTTATTATTCTTTTTTAGTATTGATTTTTTTAAAGAAAAAATAAAAATAAAACAACAGGTGCCTCGGTCGATTTCAATTGTGTTTTCAAGCACATAAGAAAAGCGACCCATTCAAGATAAATTTGACTGTATGCAGATTGCGTGCTTGGTGTAATATTGAGGGTTGGACAAGTTCATTTTAACCATTCTTGTGGATACAAAATTGGGCAATTGCTTCCTCAAAAGGCAAATCATCGCTTTATTCAGCTACTTAATTGAACTAAGTTTGTAGATTACAAGATAATATCGATCACTAGATTTTATCTTTCAAATATACATTTTAATTCACCGGGGCCAATACTAGGATAATTGAATATTTATTTATTTATTTATTTATTTATTAAAATAATATAAAAAAAGCAAAGCACAAACACAAGTACAAGTACAAGTACAAAAATTAAAGAAGATCCCTCATGGACCCTTATTCTTTTGTGGTTGTACTGGCTGGTGTCTATCAAATGGCACCACTTGTGCAGTGGGTTGAGAAGAAACCCGGTTTCTTTCATTATCGATTAGGTATCACTCTAAGCTGTTTTCCAATAGAAATAATTGTGGTTTGTCATTTATAACCTCAAACCAGATTCAATACACAAATAGCATCTCTTGTATTCTTATTTGATTGGTAGTCTGTTTTTATGAAAATACTTGACCATTCTACAAGTAGCTTATTGTTTTTATCTTGCTTTTTTGCTTTGCTCTTTAGTAAGTATCTTGGGTTTTAATATTAAATATATCAATATATTAATATTACCTGGTAAATGATATGTGTGCTTTTCGGCCTTTTCTTTCTTTTTTTTTAAAAATAAAATAAAATAAATAAAAAAGAAGGGCAAGAAAACCTTCAAATCGACTGGATATTATTATAAAAGGCGCAATCTTTTGGCATATTCGCGCCATAGACAATGTCACTTTATTTTATAGCAAAATTAAACATGCCATTTTCACCATACCAAAGAAATAGTAGGCTATAATCGATTACTTTTGGTCATAAATGAAATGATCGACCTATCTCTGTACTTCCTTTCAACCTATTTCACTTCAATTTTCTGTACTTGTTCTCTTCAAAATACCTACAAAATATGCATTCTATTAACCAATAGATCTATTGTATTCGTTGAAAATAACAGCTTTCTTAATAAAGAGATTTATTTATTTTTAAAACCAAAATAATAATAAAAAGAGTATCTTTTGTAAAGATGGCCATTCGCAGTTAATATATCTGTATCCAATCGCTTTGTTCTGTTATATGAATATTGTTATTTGGGTATCGCTTAGAATACATTAAGGCAGAAGATACAGAAAGCTAATGTCAAAACAACCAATTTGACATACACCAGATATCTTGCATTACATTATGCTTATGCATGTCAAGTCTACATTTCAAAAAAATAAAAAAAAAATTATAACATTAATATCCTTTTTTCTTTCTTTTCTTTTCAAATGCCACAACCATTGGTAATTTTTTGAGTACAAGTGTAATATTATGTTTCCATTTTTTTTCCGTCTTTAATTTTTAAGTTATTTATCTTTTTACTGCGAAACTCTTTTCTTTGTCTTCCTTGTGATTGGTTAGTGACACACAAACCTAAAGTTTTGCTACCTTGGGGCTCCTTTATTATTATTATTATTATTATTATTATAATCTGCATGATAAATCTTAATTTCCATGCTTTATTTCTTACACCAACATACCACTATTTCGGTAACTTTCTTATTTTTATTTAATATTTTTAAAATTAAAACCAGGCTACCATGTATCATTACATTACATTAGACACACGAATTAACATGGGCCATTTTGTTTTGTTTTGTTTTCGGTACAATTTGTATCAATGGTAAATCGAATGTCTGTATAATATATATATATATATATATATATATATATATATATATGTGTGTGTATCTGAAATAAGTAATTTTTTAGGATATTTTTCATTACAAGACTTTGGTGTTTTGTTTGGCCAAGATATTGGGTATTTTTTGTTTAAATAAAAATAAAGAAAAAAAAAGAATAACATTATTTGATTCATTTGATTTGTTATCCAATACTCCAAATTCAAAGCAATAATAATAAAAACAGCCAGCAAAGATCTTAATCATATACATAGCCAGAATAACAATACCAATTACTTTGGCATTCTTACTATTACTATTACTACTTCTTTATAATTCATCATATTATAATTACTGTTTTATTTTTGATAATAAGAATAACAAGATAAAGAGATAAAGAAACCTTTATTATTTGGTTGCTGTTATTATTAACATTTATTTTTAATACAAGTGCAAAAGTATGTAATATAATAAAAGAAGAAAGACTATGCGAGGATATGAATATAATAAAAATAAAAAAGAAATAAACTAATGCCGAATTTTTATCTGGGTTTTTTTTTCGGGAAGGTTGTAATTGTATAGTAAAATCTAATAAACGGCTTTAAACAAGAAATAAGGGGAAAAGAACAGAAAATAAGAGTTAAAGAGTAATAAGAGTAATAAGAGTAAGAGTAATGATTATAATTATAATAAGATCTATTTATCGCTTGGCCTTGCGGAACAAGAAGACAAAGAACATAAAGGCTACGATGTTAAAGATATAATAGGCACACAGGATACCAAAATCGCGCCATCTATTGTCAAACGACCAGCCAATGCGAGTCTCGTAAAAGTCATTGCCGACAGTGTACTGGCAATAGTCACAGGAATCGGTTGCACCCGGGTTTCCAATGTATCCAAGTCCACCAGAGGCAAAGTATTCGGAAAAGTAACTACCGCAGGTCTGACCAGGGGGGGCATTGACCTTGATAAAGTCGTCAGAACCGCAGACAACAGGTACACTGTCCAGAGCGTTGACAACAAGACCCTCAATCACATAGTGGTACGGATCAAGCCAGTACATCCAAGATCTCCAAAAGTAGGGCATCTGGCTAGGGGGTTGCATAATACCGGCAAACAGAATAAGAATCGATGTAAAGAACGGGTTAATGACGGCAGCCATGGGAGGAGAGTTTGAGAATGCAGCAATTGTGAAACCGAGCGAGACAGAGTACAGCAAAAACACAATAAAGTGAACATAGAAGAATCCGATGCGGTCAGAATCAGTAGCAAGACCGGCGGTCCAGTAGAAACAGAACAGGAAGATCGTTGCCAGGAAAATGATATATGGAATTTCGACAAAAATACAAGAAAGTGCAAATGGAGCCCAGCCATAATACTTTGCAGCATGTTCACGGCGGAACCACATGCGCTCCTGCATAAAGCGAGGCTGCGCGAGAATAATAAGTGCATTACTCATTAAGAGAGTAGTGAAGACTGAGAACATTCGGTTCTGCATATCAGCAGGCGAGTTTCCAAGCTTCCAGAAAGAGAAACCAGAGATGAGACCAATAAAGCACACATTGAAGAACCGACCCATGTTGTAATTAGGAGAACGCCACCAGGACACATTCATACGCTTGTAGACAAACCAGAACTGTTGCCAGAACGAGAGAGAATAGGTAGTTGCCTTGCGAGAATGGTTGGGATTGATGCTTCCATGAATCTTCTCAAGCTCGGCTTCCAAAGCCTTGGCCTCGTTGGATCCAGCCCAGACATCGGCCCAGTCACGAGTGGCCTTTCCTGCAGTACCGGCACCAACACACTCCAGAATGTACTCAGCGGGGTTTGCAGAGGGCGAGCACTGGGGTCCACCGTTGCTCTGGAAATATTCAATCATAGTACGAGAATCCTTGCCGATCTCTCCAAAGTAGGCAGTTCTTCCTCCACGGACAAGCAACAGAAGATGGTCAAAGTGTTCAAACAGTGTGGCAGAAGGCTGATGGATAGTACACAAGACGGGCCAGCCAGCATCAGCAAGCTTACGGATGAAACGGACAATGTTGTAAGAACTCTGGGCGTCAAGACCAGAAGTAGGCTCATCAAGGAAAAGAAGTTTGGGCTTGCCAACCAACTCAGTAGCAATAGTCAGGCGCTTGCGCTCTTCGACCGAAATACCAATACCAGTCTCGAGATCACCAACCAAAGCGTCGGCAATTCTGTCCATCTCCATCAACTGGATAATCTGCTCGACATAGGCATCCTTCTCCTCCTTGGGCACACTGGCCTCCTGGCGCAAATAGGCAGAGAACTTGAGGGCCTCGCGGACGGTAGCATTAGGGTTGTGAACATCCATCTGCTCGCAGTAACCAGTGATACGTTCAAAGTCGATGTCGAGAGGCTCACCATTCATGTAGATACGGCCTTCGATTTTGCCAATAGTCTTGCGCATAGAAAGGACATCAAGAAGAGTAGTCTTGCCTGCACCAGATGAACCCATAAGGGCAGTGAGGTTTCCGGGCTTGACAATACCGCCAATGTTGTTCAAAAGCTTGAGTTCACCACCCTTGATAGGAACGGTGTAATCCATGTGGTGCCAGGAAAAGGTAGTGCCATCCGAGACGGCTTCCATAGCATTGTCATTGATAGTGTTGGTCTGCTTAAGGAGCTCTTCTTCGCTGATTTCCTTTGGAGCTCTGCCTTTCTTGTAGACCTTGGTAATTGAACCTTCCTTCTGGAGATCGACATACTCCATGGCCAAAGCGGTGAGGATGGTGAAGAAGAAGAAGAACAAAAGGACGGCGACAAAGTCGATCCATCGTTGCCAGGTTTCATAGCCATACGAAAGAGAAAGATAATCATCACCCAAAACAGAGGAAGCACCAGGCTTGGAACCGGGAAGAACACAGCTCTTGTAAGCCTGATCAGTGTAACTAGGGCCATAGGGAACCGAGTTGGGACCCTCGCAAGAGAACTGCATACCGGTCAACTCGTTAGAAATCAAGGCCTTGTAACCATAGGCAAGAGGGTTGATCCAGTAGATCCAGAAAAGCCATGGGTGCATGAGCTTGTAAGGAATCTGGTAACCGCAATACACGAGACAGGCGATGAGCAAGATACTAGACAGCTGGGAGGCAGTGAAGAAATTAGGAGACACGGCACCCCAGAAACGGAAAAATCCGTTCATACAGATGTTTGTAACCACCAAGATGACAAAGAAAGTAAAGAACTATATTAAATAAAATGTGTTTATAGAAAAAAAAAAGTTATATGATAAATTAGTTGATTTTGCAAAATAAAAATTTGTATGAGTATTTGTAAATTTACCTTTCCAGCATCAAGGACAAGACCCATCATAAAGTAAACACATAATTCAAAGATCAAGACCTGGACAATGGCCAGAGGAATATCGACAATGACTTGAGAGATGTAAAAAGCAGAGGGGTGGTAAAGAGCAAAACCCTTGTGCTTCTCGAGTACACGACGGCCTTGCATGAAAGCAGACAGTTCAGACTGGGCAATAAGAGCATTGAAGAGCAAAGAAAACAAGAAAGCACCACCACGAGAGAAAGCACCGGAACCATCGGTAGGCATCATGTAGAACACAGAGGCCATGATGAGACCCTTGATGACAACACCACCATAACGAGATATCAGAGCACCCTTGTCGCCCATGATGAGCTGGAATTGGCGGACGGTGAGAGATTTGACTTGAGCGTAGTAGGTTGCTGTGAAAGGAGAGCGCTTGGAGGCATGCTTCTGGTGAGCATCCAGCATAGCCTGTCTGAACTGCTCGGCGGGACGATCCTGGTTGATCTTGGCTTCGTATTCATCGCGCTCTTGCATCATGGAGCGGTAGACATCAGATTCCTTGTAGGCCTTTTCGAACTGAACAGAGTTGATGGGGGTTTTGCCCTCGAATCCGGCACGGAACTCACGCTCGTTTGCGTTACAGAGACCGGTCAAGAAATCAGGGGTAGACTTGCGGCTAGGACAGTGGAAACCCATGTCCTGGAAGAAGCTCTTTGCGGTTTCGGTTGGGCCAAAGTAGATGCAGCGACCTTCGTCGAGAACCATGACCTTGTCAAAGAGGTTAAATATACTATCGGAGGCCTGGTAGAGAGTAGAAATGGTAGTCTTGTGGGTGATGTCAGTCATGATACGCAGAGAACGGACATAATCAAGAGCAGAGGAGGCATCGAGACCACGGGTAGAACAATCCCAGCAGTTGATTGAACTGCGGGTTGTCATCTGTTCGGCAATTGATAGACGCTTGCGCTCACCACCAGACAGACCACGGACAAAGGCGTTGCCGACCATGGTGTTCATTTGCTTTGTGAGACCGAGCATGTTTCCAAGCATGTAGAGAATCTTGTTGATGAACTCGTTGCGGGATTCGTTGGGCAGACGCTTTCCTGGGGTCTTGTTCTTGAGAGCAAAGCGTAGGGTCTGTCCGGTAGTCAGGGTTGGGTAATGGAGATCTTCTTCTTCGTTATAGCACACCTCGCCGCGGAAGTACTTTGAGAATTCTGTGGCTTCGATGCCACCATAGGCAACCTCGCCTTCGATCTTTGTGTAAGAAGCACGCATGTTGGCAATGATGCGCAAAAGAGTGGTACAGCCAGCGCCTGGACGACCGAGGACGAGAAGCATCTCACCGTCCTTGCAGAAACCGTCGTTACCCTTGAGGATTGTAAAATCGTGGCCAGATTTGCGACCCCACTTCCAGAACTGGAGGGTAGAAGCGATCCAGGTGTAATTGGTGCTGATAGTCTTGGCGTCTGCACCAAGACCCTGAACGACAAGGTCCTTCCAGACGACACCCATGTGCTTGGGGTGGAATCCGGCAGCTGCGCCTTGTTCGTGTTGCTCGGTGAGGAAGCTGGTCAGATCGAAATCGTCAGATGCGCCCAATTCGGCAGCGCTCACGGACTTGCGGCGAGATTGTTGAGTCAGTTCACGACGGAGTTCTTCATAATTTGACATTGCGTCTTCGATATTAACAGCATTGCCGTCTCGTTCACCATAACCGCCAATGGCAGAAGATGAATGGAATTCGGTGTGATACTCTTTTTCGGTTTCGTATTCGACAGTGGTTTCTTCCGAATGTGTGCTGTTGTTGCGGTGTTGGTGATGGGTTTCATGATGGATCTGCTCCACAGGAACATCCTGAAGAGATGTCATTTCCATGGTGCAGAAGATTCGTTTGGTGTAAGATTTGGATGGGGATCCAGATAATACAATGAAAAAATAAAGTAAAGAAGTACGACACTGATTTTAATGCCCCCCAAAAAAAACAAACAAAAAAATAATATTAAAAATACAGTGAAGTAGAAGAAGAGAAGAGGTTGATGTTAAGTCTTAAGAAAAAAAATAAATATTTTATTGTTTTTTTATAATTGTTTGGATGTGGATAGGATTTGTATGTTCCTCGGGCGAATGGATCCTCCTACATGTTTGTGATCTCGATTTCGGTAAAACGCCCGGAGATCTCACTGCTTTGACTACTTCTCCGCCATAATAAAGTCCTTTATATGTGTTTATTTCTAGGTGTGGTTTTTAAGTATGCGCTTCTGTTGTCCGAAGGGCGGAAAAACCATGAAATTCACCATATTAGGGGACAATTCTGTACGCTTGTGACACCTACAAAAAAAAACCCTTCTTGTCCAGATCAAAGTGGCGTCGGAGCCGACCTTTCCTACATGTTCTGGTGAGCATTTTTTTTTATTTATCTAGCCTATCTGTCTATCTGTCTATTTTGATATATACCTTGTTTCAATTTTTTTCTTTCTTTTCTCTCTCCGTTGGATGGCGCGTAAACCGTTCACCCCCCCCCCCTCTCTCTCTCTCGCTCTTTTTTTCTTTAGTTTTCTTTCATTCATTCATTCATTCATTCATTCTTCCTATTACATTTTGTGATCAGTTCCAAAAACAGCCTGACACACCATGGCTGACTTCCAGAATTGGCGTGAGCTGAATAGAGACAGCCTGGATCCATGACGGAAAAACCATTGCAATATATACAAATAACTCTAGCCCAAGGATCTGTTCCCGGCTACCAATCTTTTTATTTTTATTTTTGTTTCTATAATGTTTGATTTAATATAATATAATATAATATAATATAATATATATATATGATTTATATAGATTTCTAACCTGTATAGCTTGTGAAAGAATAGAAGGGGGGGAAGGTATTGATTGTACTATTCTTTCTATTTTGATTGTTCATGCAAGAGATCACTATAACTATGATGATTGTAATCGTTTTTGGATCGAGAATTATACATGATCTCTACAGTATGATGCCAAAAAGAGAATCTTATGCTTATGTTTTATGGCTGTCATTATTAGCCTTATTATGCTTTCAACAGAAAGTTTCTTGTTTGGACAGACAAATTACAGAAATTATTTTGTGTAAGAATTAAATTCATCATACATAACTCTATTAATATATATTTATATATATAAATGTAAATGTAAATGTAAATGTACTTCTTCTTCCTTGTCTGAGCAGGAAATTTCACTCATACATATTCATATTCATATACAAAAGATAGCGGGTCTAGAAAAAGAAACCCTAAGCAACTGAAAATCAAGAAATGATAGAAACAAATAAGCAACAGCGACAGTTAAAAGGAAGAAGAGCCAAGAAAAAAAAATCAAAGAAAGTCAAAAAGGAAGCAAGGAATTTTTTTTTTGAATTTTTTGATAATTGCGGATAGGAGATCAGCCTATTCAGTAGCCATCAATAACTCCGGAAATTTATTTATTTTTACTATTTTTGATGGCATAGATATGGTATTCCAATAGTCCATTTTGTACTAGATTCAGCTTTGCTTATAAATTAACCCTCTTCTGTTAAATACACACATTAACACTGTAACAATAGATAAGAAGGTTACATACCATTATATCCTATATTTAATGCCTTTTTAATAACAAAAATCAAATAACAATTCTTGGACTCGATAAAGAAAAAGAGGGCATTAGAATACAATAGACGGCTAAGCAAGCCAGGTTACGATTAACAAATGATAGAATCATATCTGTGGCAGTAACAGCCATAATGGGCATAAAGCTATTGATCTAATAATTCAATCATGACGATAGTTTTTTTTTTATTTTATTTTATCAGTCCTTGTATGATATACAGCATGCTTTTGTATGTATATATCACTAGGCTTGTAGCCGAGCACACCTGATAAATATTCAAATGTCTGCAAGCCTATTGCAATCTTTAAGATTTACAGACACATAATATATATTATTTCTCCCTATCTATCTATCTATCTATCTATCTATCTATCTATCTATCATAATAATTTTATAATAATTGTAATGATATTCTGAGATGTCCTGCAAACCAGCAAATGGTTTTTTCTCTCTCTGTATATATATAATTTCTTATGTGTGTGTTGTAACTAGAATTCCAATTGCAATCGATATCGATATTATTATTTTTTAAAACAATGCAGGAGAGTTTCATAATACCTGATTTGAGAGTAATTTTGGAACTTTCTCCAAAGAATTACCATATTTGAAGAATTCCAACTCTAACATTCTGAGCAAATAAAGAAACAAAGAAATAAGGATAGGAATGTTGTAAGAGAGAGAGAGAGAAACAGAATTATGGGTTTTTTTAAAAAAAAATTCCTTAGGTTCAAACCAAAAAGGTAAATTCATTTACCCTTTATTCTTTCACTATTGTACACAATTGTCATAGGTTTTGGATTAAGCAGACAAACCAACTAGTCTATTAACTCTAATCATAAGTGTTCAAAATTGTGTGTGTCAATATGTGTATATATATATTCTTTTTAAAAAGATGATGATTTAATCTTGATGTACTCCAAGGAATACACTAACATTTAGTACATTTTCCACGCTTCGGTTAAATATCCCCCTTTCCTTTGATGAAGAGAGGAGTTTTAATCTTATACTACATCTTGGCAATCTTACCCACGGATTTTTTCTTTTGCACTCATTCAAATAGTTTATGCATATACATTGGTGATATGAGATGATAGGCAAAGATATCAAGTTATAGCAAAATTTAACCATAAATACAGCCCAAGCTATAGATATATAGTTTTTGACAATAAAAGAAGAAAGAAGAGACTCATTGGTATTCAAATGATTTTGTTCAAACCTTCTGTAACCAAGGAAATAAAACGGATTTCTGTTTATTTATTTATTTATTTATTTATTTGTCTGCTTGGTATTTAAGGGCCTTTCAGGAGTGGTATTTTACATGGTACACACTCCGGAAAGTTTACTGGACGTTGTATTATGTAATCTTTTAGATTGACGTCCTGGGTGTAATAGATTTACAGGATTTGATCCAGAATTCACCATTTATTTCTTACTAGTATATAAATTCCTATGACCAACATTTATCAAACTGTTAAGATAAAATATTTGGAAAGCTTTTCCTCCCCTTTTTTTTTGTTTTGTTTTGTTATAATGATAGGCAAGGCAAGGCAAGGCAAGGCAAGGCAAGGCAAGGCAAGGCAAGGCAAGGCATTGCATTGCAACAATCAAAATATGTAGGTTGTGATATCGAGTTAGTCTTGCCATGGATTATCATTATTTTTGCTTTACATAGGGGGTGTTTGTTTTTCTTTTATTTGAAGATGTATAGGAGCTGATGGGGTTTGGTGACTATAGTTTGTTTGTTTTGGCACACAGAGATACATCGTATTCTCTCTTATCTACCTATGCTTTGCTAGAACTGGACAATAGAATTTTGTTAGGAGTACATTTACATACCTAATAGATATATATCTATACCAATAAACTCGCTCAAGCCTTGGACTTTAGAAACCACAGAAAGTATAGTGGATCCTTGGCTTCTATAAATTAAATAGTTTTTATTCTAGAAATCATAAACCATCTTGAGAAAACCCAACAGTGCTGTTTGTACAGATATCCTTGCATCTAGTATCTTCAAAGACTTATTTTTGTAAATGCTGGCTTGGATCTTATTAGAGCTGAATTTTGGTTTAGCTTTGCTGATAACTAGTAGTCTTCAAAGCTGTTGAGTAAAGGGCTTTTCTTATTTTAAAGTTTTTATGATCATTTTAGTTCGCCATGTATCGATTATGATAAAAACAAAGAAATAAAGGAATAACGAAAAGAAGTAGTAAGACAGCCTCTTCTTCCTTTTCTAAGTTCTTAGTTCTTGGCATTCTTTTTGATGTTGTACTTCAGAAGGTCTGATGAGATTATTAATCATTCATTCATTCATTCATTCATTATTTATTCTTTCAATTTTTATATCTATCAGCACACACATCCTCTGATTATTATTGTTATTATTATTATTATTATTATTAATTCCTTTTCTTTTCTCCACCTTACCTTCATTAGAGGCACACATTTTTCACCATTTATTTACTTTATCATACCTTTTCATTGTCTGATCTATTTGGATATACTTTTTCTCTCTCATAATTTTGAGATTATTAAACCGTCCCTAGAACCACTTATAATCACGGCATCTGGTTATATAGACTTGAATATATTTTATACAGCAAAGTTAGTATCGATAGAGAATTACAATCCTGTTAATACTTTAGTTTTTAATTTTAATTTTTATTTTAAAAAAGAGCAGAGCTATCTGTCTTTATTAATTCATTTTTGTACAACCAGATTTTTTTTTTATTCTTTGTTTATTTTATTTTCATTATTTCTTCTTTGTCTTTGTAGTGGCAAGTAAATAAGTGTCTTTACTGTGTGTATATGTCTATCTGTTTCTTTTTTTTTAAAAAAATAAATAAATAAATAATTTAATCTTTGGGGATTTCATGATCTCTTCAAATCAAGAATGTAAGCGGCGGGAATTAAAATGGGATAATCATTGGCTGAGAAAAATCTATACCGAATTAAAATTTACAGATCAAGGGGTTTCATCAGTTTTAGGTGATTGACTTTAAATTAGCGTGGTTTAAATTAAGAGTATCATTGGCTGTTATTAACCTGAAAATAAAAATAAAAAAAGACTCGACTTTTTTTTTTTTTGATGTTTTAAGGGTACTCAAAAAAGTACTCTACGCAGAATACGTTTGAATACCCTTTATTGTTGTTCCTTTTATTTTTATTTTTATTTTTATTATAATTTTTAGCCTCCCTTTGCTTTGCTAGTTTTATTAGTCATACGTCTGTTTCTTTCTTTCTCTTATTTTCTTTGCCACAGATCTCATTGAGTTTCCTAAGCGTCCAAGTGCCCAAGACCACGGAATAATTCACATTAGAATATATATATATATATATTTATTTATTTTTGCTTTGGAGATTGTTGAATTATTTTTTTTGGAATGAAAAATTGCTTGACAAAAGATAAATAAAGGATCATTTTGATTAAAATGGACAAATTAAGTACAGAAAATCAGCTATATATATATATATATATATCAATTAGCAAAGTAAAGTATCTCTATACATCTAAGCAACCTGGTGAGGAGTATTATGACCTACCATTTAAAATTGTCTGACATTGGTTGCTCAAATATTGATTAAAATACTTTATTTTTACTCTTTTACTCTTAGAAAAAACGCACGCACATTTTGCTTAGCTGATTTGGATATATAGTTGAATATATATAAACTTGGTGTGGACAGACTAAAAGTTCAAAAAAAAGGGCAAAATTTTTAAACAACTCTAATTAGTCAGCCTTCTTCAATTGCCACTAGGCTTGAGAAGAGAAGCATTTTATATGGATAAGATGTGCTGTATAATGAGAGGTCTGGAAAAACTTGCAATGAAAGGTTCTCACTTAACGACAGAGACGGGATTATAAGCACAATTTTATCTAATATGTATCTAATATGTATTTTGAACTTTTTTTTTTTAAAAAAAAAGGTGCGGACAGTCATAAATTAGTCTGATTGACTAAGTTCTGGATAAAGTTGTTTTTACCTTTCGTTTTTTTTGAACTTTTAGTCTGTCCACACCAACTGTTCTTGGAATGTATACTAGGCAAACACTGCTCTGTACTTTTATATATATTTTAGTTCCAATTCTCCCGATTATATTTTTATCAAGTTATTCGAAAGATGGTTTAGCACATTGGGTATTCAAACAAGATTTTTTTTTAAGTGTATAAATATATATCTCTGGTCATATATTACTATGTTTTCTTTGCAGTTTCTTTTTTTAAATTGTCAAGCAAAACTAGGACTAGATAGAAAGAAGTTGCGCCCTTGATTAGGAGTAGTCCATAAAGTATGATGACAGTTTACATGCATACATGTAATTATCTTGCTTCTGTTATTCATGCAAAGATTAAGCTTCTACTCCTTTAACTTTAAAAATGTAGTTTAAAGAATAGATATATATAAGTAACTAGAAATGTTCCTCTCCATCCCATCCCTCAGTTTATTCTTATAGATGTATGTATGTATAATATACATTCTGGACTATTCCGTTTTTGTCATCATACAAGAAATTGGTGTTGACAAGTTTTGCATTTCACATATATAAAAAATACCCTCTTTTCTTTTACTAAATTTACGCAAACAACAAAAGGTTAAATATTATATATATATATATATATTTATTCGAACAAATGATGATAATAATATTAATATTATTAATATTATTTCCTCTTTTCGTCGTCGTCATTGGTGTCGTTGTTGTATTTATTGTTGTTGTTGTTGTTGTTGTTGTTGTTGTTGTTGTTGGTTGTTAAAGCAGATGTGATTATGCTGTTATTCTTTAAGGATAATAATATAATAAAAAGAATCCTTTAATGGTCACCGTGCTCAGCATGGCCAGCCTTGGAGGTGAGATAGGCGTGCTTGGCGTTCATGCTGGTGTAGATGTAGTAGCCGAGAGCAAAGGCAGTGCCGACGTAGGGAATCTGGGAAGCGACACGACGGCTGGTGTTGAAGACAGCATTGTAAGCGGCACCAGCAAAGGGCTTCTGCTCAAAGGGAGACAAGATGTAGGTGACAACACCCTAAATAATTAAAAAAAAAAGGTATTAATAAATGATTCAATATGAGATATAGTATTATTATTTTGACTTGAGAATACAAGTATAATGATAAGATACATACACGCTGAGTGGGTCCACCCATGTTTCCCCAACTACAAATATATAATTTTAAAATAAAATAAAATATGCATTCAAATGAACAAATACATGTGATTTTGTTATTGTTTAGTACTGATGCTTCTTGTTTAACATGTGAATTCGTATGCATTACTCACGTTCCAATGTATCCGTGTCCGCCCATTTTAGTCTGTTATGTAGAAATGCATACGATTTTAATATTTTGTAATGTTATTTTTAAAATAAATAACATGACAATTGATACTTGACATTACAAGCAAACAAATATGTATATTTATTTATATACTTCTTTAGGTGTATAAAGGCCAAATAGAAATAAGAGTAAACAAGGTACCTTTTTTTTTGTTTTTGTTGTTAAAAGTAAGAGAGTGAGGAGTTGCAAGAGCGTTGTTTTTGTTTAGGGTTGCTTGGATGTGAGGGTGGCCAACACTTTGCCAAAATGTTTTTATTCAATATCCGTCACATTAGATAAGTTGCGTCATCATAGAGTGGCTTACCCCATGTCATTTTCTCTTTCTTCTTTATTCTTTCTTCTTTCTCATTTACCACTTTTGTTATTATATATATATATATATATATATATTTTGATAAAGAAGTACAAATATAAAATCAAAAATCAAATATAGATTTTGAATCTATAATTAATTCAAAATAAAGATATATTTTACAATTTATTTATAATTTTTATATGTATAATCTATGCACAAAAGCTAATTATTATTATTATTATTATTATTTTGTAAAGTTAAAGAAGGAATGATTATTATGACTGTGATTGTAAAGTGTAAATTGTGGTTATTGTTATTGTTAATAATAGTAATCAGCACAGTATTCAGACATTCACATACATAGATACATTATTATCATCATCTCTTTATTTGGTATACTTTTTTTTTTACTACTATTGATTTGATCCCTTGAACAAAAAGGTTCCTTGTTCTCATTTATATATATATTTATTACAAGATCGCTGATTTGTGTTAATACAATATAAATAATATATAAATGTGAATCAAGGTCTTGTAATGTAGCAAATATTAAGGTTATTCTTATTTCTCTGATGGTGTATTTGATGATGATAATGTATAAATAAATCAATAAAAAACACACAGAAATCAGGCCATTTTGATGTCAAGGTAGGACAAGGCAGACAAGAAAAAGAGCAATTAAAAATAATTAAATAAGACAGAAATAAAAATAATAATAAAGGAGAGATTTGGTTGACAGACACATTCACTGTTTTTTTTAAAAAAAAATAAATAAATTTACTTAATCTTGATTCTCGGTAAACTCATCTAAATATTCCTAGGATTGTACAACTTTCAAAGCAGAAGAAGTAATATATATGTACAAAAATTAAAAATTGTATCAAACATTTAACATTGACGTTAATATTAGTACTAGCATTAGCACTAAGAATTAGCACTAAGAATTAGCACTAAGAATTAGCAGTAGCAGTAGCAGTAGCATTAGTACTTGTCATAATTAATAAACATTGAGCAGTAAATATTAAAGATTAAATATTAAACAGTAAACAGTAAGCAGTAGATTGTTTTGCTCGTCTGATAAGGGGAGGGGGATCAATTCGCCACATATATTTGTGTCCAGTGCACAATGTCCTAGCGTCTATTGCCTAGTGAGAATTGAGCGATCTTCTGTCATTGTTAAGATGTACAGACAACCTTTATTTCACTTCCCCTTCTTCCGCCTTTTATTTATTTATTTATTTATTTATTTATTTATTTATTTATTTAATTATTTCTCTTTTTGTTTCTTTCAATACCCTTTTTTTTCCTTTCTCTCCTTCTTAATCTTACAATCCTTTTCATTTCATTTGTTCGCTTGGATACGAATGGTCTGATGAAAGTACCTGCCCTGGTTCCCCATGTATTCACAACGAAACCATCATGGTGGAAGCGATTTTCAAAAAATGTTCATACCAAACCCAACAATCCAAATCAACATGATTGGAGAACTCTATCGCCTAACCAGCCCCCGCTTCCAAAACTTGCCACCCCAAATACCACCCCAAATACCACCACAAATACCAATAGACGTCTTTCAAAAGGATTCTTTTCAAATGATATTCAATATCACACATTTGACCCAGTAAGGACTGATTTATTAATTTATTTGTTATTATTTTGAATACAAAAAATAAACATATTGAGCCTGATGTACATACTACAATTACCATATATCTTTATTGAACCTTTTTTTCTTCTTTTTCTTCTTTCTGCTTACCCCCCCCCCCCCCTGTCACAATTGTCCTTTTATATATATTTTATAGTTGTAATTCATTAAAACCGATCTATTACCTCCCCTTATTTTTTATTTATTTCTACTTGTATAAATGTGTATTTCTTTGTCCTACCTTTCACACACAAGAAAATAATAATAATATTAATAATAATATCACACAATAGATATCTTTATCTTTATCCTCAACCTCGTCCTCAAATTCAACTTCTTTTCAGCAAACACCAACCAATACATACGTTATCCGCAGATTATATCCCATCCTAGAAGCAGACGAAGAATTCATGAGTACATCAATAGAATCATCATCAATATCATTACCACCACCACTTCCACTTCACAGCGAAACAATAGATAACCAACTCACAAAAATCTTACAAGCTTCACCACCTTTGGACTCCCAAACTTCCTCTCCTCTATCACCTTCACCTTCATCTTCACCTCGGTCCTTATCCCCACAACCGCCAATTCAGCTAATTCAGTCAATTCAGTCAATTCAGTCAGTTTCACCCCTTTCTCCACCCCAACCCCCACCTCACCACAATATTCCATTGTCAATCTCATCAGCCTCCTCACTCTCGAGTTCGTCATACAGTCCACCTGTCCAATGGCCAACTCAGCAGAAATGCGAACCCCAATTTAATCCGTCGTCTGTAAACAACGAAGACCAATGCAAACGCAAGTTTGTCAAGATGATCCAGGCAGCCTACGAATACCACGAAACCAACCATCAGCCTCCAACCGAAATAGAAATCATATTCAATTCCAAGGACGATGTGAACCACATCCGGCTATTCCACTATATCAACGGCCAAAAGGCGGATTTTCATGTGTTTTGTGGGTAAGATATTCCCTCCTTTCAAATGTATATATATATATATATATATATATATATATATATATAGGTATGGTTTGTATTCTGACAGGTTGATAATATAAAAACCAAAAAACAAAAAGGAACCCACAGTACATCCCTCCCGAAGCATCCTTGGGTGCCACCTATCGAAACGGACTGGCGGATGTTTGGGTGCTCGGCATCTCCCTTTACCGAATGCTCGTGGGTAAATATCCATTTACAGCCACAACCGATCGTAAATTATTCAAGAAGATGCTTCAAGGGGACTTTAGTATACCAACCCATTTATCTCAAGGTAAACAATATGCATATATATCTGTATATATATAGGCAACCTCTTCCTCTTCATTTACCTTTTTTTTATTTTTTGGTTTGACTTTATTTATTAACAACAGATTTATATGAAATAAAATAATATTCCCTTGATTGTGTAGACGTAAAAGATCTACTGCGGCGCATGCTGGCACCCGATGCCACTCGGGCCTCACTAGACTTGGTTGTGTTCCACCCATGGCTTAAACCCTACAGTGTTGTCGTACCAGACCTTCCGGTTGAATCCCCGTCTCGCTTTGCAGCCGTAAAGCCATCATCATCATCATTATCAACAGCACCACCAGCAGCAGTAATAGCAGCAGCAGGAGTATCATCAGCATCAGCATCAGCATCAGCATCAGCATCAGCATCAGCATCAGCATCAGCATCAGCATCAGCATCAGCATCAACAGCAGCATCACCACAATCAAAATCAAAATCAAAACTAAAATTAAAACCATCAACATCAACACCAACATCAACGGCAACACCACGACATATCCAAACCTCAAACTCACCATCATCAACCTCATCATCAACCTCAAATCCTAATAAAGCAAAGAGTAAGAACAAAAATAAGAAGAAAAAGAAGCCCAAACGCCTCCTGCGGAAATTTCTCCTTCTTGTCCTACAAGGTCCTTGTCCACCACCAAAGCAGCCCTATCGTGATCTTGCGAATTTTGGGAGAATGCCGACCGAAAACAACGGATTGAACCAAACGAACACTAAACTAACACTAAACTAACACTAAACCAAAAAAATATAATCTTATTTACTTGTTTACTGTCCTTACACTATCTCTCTATTAATTTTCACTCACCCAGCCAAAGAGAATGAAAAGAATAGCATACAATCAGACAGATAGATAGATCAGTTGTATATAATACTTTGTATGTATAGTCACACTTGCATTTTTACACATGTCTATATGTATATGTACATCTTTATGTATATGTATAGATTATTCATATAAATCAAAACAATAATAATTTCTTACACGCTCTGCATACAAATGAATTCATTTTTGAAACATAAAAGAGATATATGTGAGAATATTGACATGAATAGATTACCTATTTTATTGTCTTTCTTATCTCAATATCATATACACACCAAATAGTCTACAGTTAGATTATCATCAACAACAACAACAACAACAACAACAAATAAAGGACATCAAAATTAGAATGGAAATTTACTTATTTTCAATGTAATGTACATACTGCATAATACAAAATACAAATGTTGTGCTGTTTCCTTTTTCTACCAAACATTATTATTTGTATTATGTTTGGCGTCTCTAGTAGGCAAAGGTTGATTCATCTCACAAAAAAAAATATCTTTCTCTGAATTTTATGTGTGTATTCTTTGGCTTAACCAGGCCAAATGCAGCATGTTATAATCTTTGTTATATCAAGGTAATGTTTCAAACCATTCATTTTATTTTGTTTTTATTTATTTCTATCTTTCAAATAATAGACTAGACTAATTAACTGGAAACCATAGCAACTTGGATCTATTGATTCTCTACTACATACATATTACGAGTTGAGATTTTTTTTTTTTAGATTTTTAGATATTGACTTTTTCATTAGATTCAACTTCATTTGTTAAAATTTTGTAAAGATTTTAGAATATCTAATTATTATATATATATATACAAAGTACATTTGTTTCAAAAATAAAAAAAAAATAAATAAATTTAATTGGTCTAGAAAATGTATTTTTTACATATATATAAAAATCATCAAAAGTCTGAAATTAAAAATATTTTTAAAAAATAAATAAATTTATAATATTTTGATGACGCAACAATATTATTAAAGTAACGCACAGTTATTTTATATTAGAATATGTATATAAGAAGTATAATATAAATAAATTATAATAAAGATAATTTTTTTCCAATTTTTTTTTTTTTTTCTGTAATGGCTATAAAAATCGCTGTTACTCCTGCTCTCTTTTTGAAATCTTTACATAAAACTTAAGACTCGAATTTGCATGCATACTGCTTTCAATCAGTACAGCATTTCCTGAGACGAGACAAGATTGAACTGATAGACTTAATAATATTTGCCATCAATTTCGCTTATTTTATTTTTAAAGGTAAAAATAAGAGGACAGGGTGACAAGTTTCGCGGTCTATGGACACAAAAAAAAGAATAATTATAAAATAAAATAAAATAAAATAAAATGTACATATATATTAATATATAATATATATACATTCATACCTATTTAAATAAAAAAATAAAAATAAAAATAAAAATTATAATAGTAATTTTAATTTATATATATACATATGTATATTCTCTATTATAAATTAACGAAATAAATAAAAAGCAGTCACTACATTATTTTTTACTTTATATTATTTATATTATATTATATATATATATTCTTGGAAATAAAGAATAATAAAAGAAAAAAGAAAAGAAAAGTGGGCTTTGGTTACGTGTAACCTTATTCTTTTTTAAACCGTGATGACGTTACACAAAGCGAAGGGCGGGGCTGGTGAGAAAAGTCTACACCAGGAGCTTCAAAGTGTACCGACTGGGTAGACACACAAACAGACACAGACAGACAGACAGACACAGACAAGCAGACATAATAGACCAGACCAGAACAGACCAGACCAGACCAGACCATACCAGACCAAACTAGATAGATAGATGGATAGATAGACACAAGCAGACAAATAGGCAGACAAATAGGCACACATGCAGACAAAATTGGAGAGAGAAATATGAGTACAAGTAGGAAAAAAGAAAGCCCAAAATGTTTGCTTGCTTGCCTGCCTGCCTGCCTGCCTACTTTTCTTTTCTTTTCTTTTCTTTTCTTTTTTTTTATATATAAAAAATTCTCTATAGATAGCCCTTATTTTCTTCTTCCAAGCCTTTATTCTTCTTCTTCTTCCTCTTCTTTATTCTTTATCCTTTTTTTATTTTTATTCGTTATTACTTTTTCCTTTACAAAGACACCTTATATATAACAACAATAATTCAACATCAAATGATCGCTACTTCCACTCCTGCCAACACCACTCAGATTCACGCCTTTAACCCTCCTTCCAACCTTCCCGCTATCCGACGCTCGATTGTACTCCAGCTTCAGAAACAGCGCCAAGACAACAGTCTACGTCTCCAGTCCACTCTCATCCCTGCCACCACTGCCACTGCCAATTTGACTCTCACTGCCGCCGCAACTGCCACTCTCGCTGCCATTCCCATCTCAGCAGACAACAGCAACAAGTATGGCAACATCAACATTTACAGTGAACGCCATCATGGCGACCGTCTCCCAAATCTGGTCATCCCCTTTCACCATCTCGACAACGGTCTCCCATCACCCCCCGTCGACTGCCAGTTCGAAAGCAAGCCCTCTCCCTCTCCTCTAGCCACCCCAGGTCTTCTCCCCATCTCACCTGTCGCGACACCTCCTCCTCCTATCGACACCGACAATGTCCAGCGCCGCCTGGAAGCACTGAGACAGGAGAAACATCGGCTATTCCAGGCAATGAAAGACCTGCTCCAACCTCGTTTGGAAGTACAGGAACAAAAAGAAGTAACTCTGATCACCAGCACAACCATCTCCGCAGCAGTGGCAGCGGCAGCGGCAGCGCAAGCAGCACAAGCAGCACAATCAAACATCAATACCAGCTGTGCAAATTATCCCCTTGTTGAAAGCCTACCCACTACTCCACCAAGTACCCCAGTGGTCGGATCTTGTGCATTCTCAACTTTTGGCCGAGAATCTACTCTACAAAGGTCCCGATCACGCAGCAGCAGTCGAAGCAGCAGAAGCAGCAGAAGCAGCCGAAGTAGCAGAAGCAGCAGGAGCAGCCGAACCAGCCGAACCAGCAGAAGCAGTACTACTATTCATACTGCCGCTACCATTGCTAGTACTGCTACCACTGACACTATTCATACCCATACACACCCTACTCATACGCATACTCCTCATACTCCTACTATTGGTATTACTTCTGCTACGACTGCCAGTAGTGCCACAAGCACCGCCGGCCAGTCAACAAGAGGGTTGCGTCCGGCATCTCGGTATACCCCCCACGTCCGGGCCCCGTCTTGGACTGAAGACCATCATTACCACCACAACAACAACAATCATCATCACCACCACCACAGCAACCACCATAACAACCACTACAATACCCATCATAATAATCACAATCACAATCACAACAATAATCATCACCAACAGCGCCAGCACCGACTTGTCCGGCCCTCGTCCGTGCCCCTTCGCCACCCATCGTCCCACCAGAATCAGAGCCAGAGCCAGAGCCAGAGCCAGAGCCATAATCATTATCATTACCACCCATCTATTCCCTCATCGTACATGGTAATTATCTCTCTTGTTTCTATATATTCTCTTTAAAATAAGTATATAATATATATATATAAAAAAGAAATGGATCACAATCTCACGCTGTTTACAAGTTTGACTAATTAATTATACACACTATGTTATTATAGAACCGTAACCTTCATTATGTCCCACGTCCTCCTCAATTTCGTCGTTTGGCTGATAGACATATTCCCCGTTACTAAGACAACATTACCACTATCACTATCACTACTACCACCATTACTACAACTACAAATATCATTATTTCCCCCCTTTCATATATATACTTTTTTTTTCTTTCCCTCTTTTTTATTATTATTATATATTTCCTTTTCATTTCATTCTTTATACAAGAAGAACACATCCCCCAAAACAAACAAGCACACAAGCACGCAAGCAAAGTAGGAAGGAAAGAAGGGAAGGCCTTTATACACATGTATATAAATATTCTTATATATATACATACATATATACATACATATATACATACATACATACATACATACATATTCAATCAATCAATTTCATTCATACACAGCACACACACACACACACACACACACATTTCATCCCCCATCTCTACATTAAAAAGAAACGAATCAAACCAATACACATATTTGTGCAGATGTATATATGTATATTTGTATGTGTTTGTATACGCACATACGCACATTAATTCTCATGCTCATGCTCATGCTCATGCTCATGCTCATGCTCACGCACACACGTATGCAGTATACTGTTATTCTTTTTTTTTTTAAAAAAATTGTTATATTATGAGAAGATCTGTCTATCAAAGGTTGGCTTTGATGATTCTGGAACGATATCCATGTACCTTGTCAGTAAAGGCTTTTGCTTCAATAGCTATCACAAAGAAAGAAAAGATGAGCATTATATAGATTATAGATTATAGATAGATACTTACCAATATCTTCCGGGTCTTCATTGGGTGCCATATGAGTACCTTTGACGAATTTCAATGTTACCATGGTGGATTGTCCAGTGACTGATCTTGCATCTTCTGGTAATACGCTATAAGAACAAGAAAATAGAGTATAATATGTACCTATACGTATCAGTGGACTTGAACGTGCAACAACACCTGATAATACAATAGCAATTACCAGCAATAGTACTAGTGATAATAATACTCTCTCTCTCTCTCTCTCTCTATATATATATATATATACACTGGACAAAACTCACAAGTTTGATTGAAGGGCGTACAAAAAGTGCACAGGGATTGAGAGGGCGCGAAGTGAGGCGTAGGCAGTTGCGCAATCATAGTAACTGCACTGAAACACGTGCTATTGAAACCAAAAATAAATAAATAAATTTGTACACTTTAGAATGTTGATTTATATTATAAGAAAGAAATAAAGAAAGAAAATCAACTTGCATATTCTTGTTCTCTTGGACACTTTAGCTTGATGGTTCCTTCCTTGGTATCGTACATGCCATATTGCTTAACCAATACGAAAACAAAAGCGATATAGCAACAAAGATAGACAGAGATTAAAAAGAAAGAAAAAAGGTTTATTTGATCTGGTGGTGGTAGTGGTGGGGATATTTACCACATATGAATTCAACACGTCTGGGTGAAACAGTTTCCAAAACTTTCTCTTTTTCAAGGTCTCAAGAGCTTCCTCACTACAAGATTTTTATAATTATATATTAAGTAACAGTGTATTTATATAAAAGCCATATCTTTTCTTTTTTACTTTACCGAGAACTCCAGGTATCTCTTCGTTTGAGAGAACCCAGAACGGGTGCCTGGTTCCAAGCATCCGCATCAACGACACCGATCGTCATCACAGGTTCAATTACACATAAACCATCAAAGGACTTTGGATAAAGGAATTCTGCCAAAATCCTACAATAGTATTATTATTGTTAGCAATTCTAGTGATTTGAAACGGATTTATCTACTGTTGGTACTTGCATTGAAGTTGCACCAAAACTATGGCCAATACCAATAAAAGATTGGTAATCAGTATTGAGGCCCATTTCTTCAATCACTTGTAAAGTGTCCATCGCATTATCCATCCAAGTATCTTGATAAACCAGCCAGCAAAAAAAAAAAAAAGAAATTAAATTATATTGTAATAATTAGTGGATTTGAAATATATATAAAGAAATAATTCATTACTACAACTATCATTTCAGGCTTTTCAAAACTTCTCTTTTATATCTCTCTGGTGTTAAACTTACAACGATTAGAAAAAGTGTTCTCGTTCAGACGAGCAGATTCACCGTGATTACGAGCATCCCAAGAAACATAGTGAATCTCAACATCATCATAAGAAGAATCTTGGCGTAGTTTGTCAAGATGAGCCTTCATCTGAACATGGAGTGATTCCTTGTGGAATCCATTTGAGTGAGACCACAGGAAAGCAAATCTGCATCTGGTGGGTTTCAGACTATCAAAGACATGTTTGTCTACGGCCAGGCGTTGGGTGTCATATCCAGGAGTCCGAGGACTGACAGGAATAATGTGCTGCGAGGTCGGAACGAGATAAAACATTCTTCGTTTACTTTTTAATTTCTTGAAACAACCGTACGGACAAGAACAAGGATGTCGATAATAGTAAGCAATACGTTAAAGTAGACGTGAATACGAGTGCGTTTATATACCTATACTTGATTTTACTTTTTTTTATTTATTTATTTTAGTATAAAATGACACATACTCTAGAAATCCGGGGTTGACTATGTACGACCGTAAATTGAGACGTTGCCTAAACTATTTACCCTTATTTTCTTATTCCAAGAGAAAAGCAATAGCTAATCTTATTATCACAGGCAAACCATTACAACTATTCTTCTGATGCCATAATATCATTGGACAATAGAAAATCTAAAGGCAATAAGGGGTACTGTAACAGTATCGTGTATCTTTGATTAATAATCAAAACGAATAGTCTGTCATTAGGTTTATAAATGTGAAAAAAGCTTAGATCAAGATCAAGATCAGTATCAAGGTTCTCAAGAGGTACATATGAGCTAACAGAACAATAATTAAAACATATTGACGGGAGCAATAGTGGGATTCACATATTGCCAGTAAATATCCACTTGTTAGTGAGTGCTTGTTAATGAGCTTTGTGCTTTTGTGATGTTAACACCCTCGTATACTCATACGCCCATATGCATTCACTAAGTCAAAGTTTAATTATGTTATATTTTTGACAGAAATATTGGTACTAGTTTGTATTGCCTAAACTATTCACCCCCTTCTGGACTACATTTTCACATTCACAGTTGGCTTGTCGATTACAAATAATCAAGTATATATCTAATTATCTAATTATTTATTTATTCATTCATTCAAATAAGAGAAGAATTGGCTTTATTATTAGAGCGAGACTTATAGTTCAATAATCTTGACTTGTTTTGTGGCTGTGCTGTGTTGCCTTGCTGCAATTGCTGCGCTATATTCTCTTTCAAATGCTCGATCGTCAGATCTGATCTTCTCCTGGGCTGTCAGGAGAGCCTGTTTGAGCAGTGTGATTCGCCCAGACTGGGAATCCCGAGTGATTATGTAGTCAGTAGCTGCAATGTGAAAGTAAACCTTCCGGACTGCTAATGCAACCCTTCTTTTCTGGATCTTATCCATGCTTTTGATCGACGAAAGATCCTTGAGAAATTGCCAGAGACCACCGAGAGCGCGGACCATGTGATTTGCTTCCAACAATCTCAGACCATCACTGAGACACAGGACCATCAATTGAGATCGTCTCTTGGGATCTTTTTTGTTCTTCTTGCTGTCTCTCGAATCAAGGGACAGGATCTGTTCGACCAAATCAACCACGACATCCATCTCACGGCTAAATGGAGGAGGATCAGTCGAAAACAAGACAGATCTGGACAGGTGTTCCAATGTGTCCAGGGTGTCCAGCACATTTCCATCATTTAGGTCCCCCATGCAGTGACGCATCAGATAACAGTAAGTCATTCCTGTGTGTAGCATTGTCCACATGACTGCCGGATTTGGAGCTTTGTCCGAACCGATCAGACGGCTATAGCTTGGTACCTTTGGTACTTCTGGTGCACCGGACTGCTTACTTTTAGTACTAGTGTTCTCTTGGGCGACGTTGTCCTGACCGATCTCTTGGACGAGTGATTGATTGATCTCCCACCAGGGTTCATAGGGCCTCAATTCAAGACTGCTCCATGCGGTGTCTTCATTTTCGAGTTGTTTTAGCATCATTTCGAAATCGTCTCTTTCTTGGCTCGACAGTTTGTTCCACAGCTGACCAGCGTCTGCTGTCTCAATATTGAGATCACCCAGTCGCTGAGCAAGATCGTCTTTATCTTCATCTTCATCTTCATCGTCTTCATCCTCGCCGTCAAGACTATTCTTGTTTTCTTCTTCGAATCTTTGTAGTAATTGGAGCATCTTTTGTTTCGACTGCTCAGTGTCATTTCGAGATTGGATCTCTGCAGTGACGCTGTCACGATAAAAGGATTCCGTACAATCGGCATGTCCAAGATCCTTGTAGCATCCAAGTGAGCAGTATTTTAGATTGCAGCGTGGACACACGTACTGTGAAAATTGTTTTTGGCATCTATGTATACACAAGCAAACATAGTATAATATATATATATATATATGTGATTGAACAGCAAGAGATATATGTATAGCAGATTGATTATTAATTGTAAGAAGAAAATGATAATATTTATTGACCATTAAGTACTAATATTAATATTAATATTACTATATCTATATACCATATGCTTATTTATTTATTTTCTTTAATTAATTAATCGATTAATTAATGTAGAGAGAGAAAAACGTTATTATTATTATTATTATTATTATTATTATTAAATATAAAATATCTTGATCATCAGCAGCATTAGTCGTACATTTGACATGGTGGCCTTGATTCGGTAATTGTAGTTTCATCGTCCTTGTCATTAAGAATGTTAAGTATAGGCATTCTTGACTTAAATAAAAGAGAGAAAAAGAAGAGTCAAAATAATAAATACTAAATAATAATAAAATAGATATAATTTATATATAGACAGTCAATACAGTCAGTACAGTCAGTTAGATTATTAGACTCAAAGTCAAATAGCCAAACAAGCAAGCTGAATATATATATACAATTTTATAATACTATACCAAGCATTATATTGAATAGAATTGTGTTGTTTGTTTACCATTCTCATTATCCAATTAAAATAATAATAATATCATTATAGTATTTTTTTTTTGTATGTGGGTGTTTGTATTATACATATATAAATCTTCCTTATTTCCTTTTTATTTTATTTTCTGCTGTTTTACCACCCAATCCAAAAAAGGAAATAAAAAGAAAAAAAATATTTTTCTTTTTTTTTTATATTACATATATTATATCTATATATCTCTTCTTTCTCTTTTTCTCTCTCTTTCTCTCTTTCTCTCTCTAAACACACACATATTATATATTATATATATTATTTATCATTTTCTTTTTTTTTTTAAAAAAAAACTATACTACATTACACTATACTACATTACACTACAGCATACAGCATACAGCATACAGCATACAGCATACAGCATACAGCATACAGCATACATAATACACCATACAGCATACAACGCACACACACGCACACACACGCATACACATAGACACATACAGACACATACACACACAGATATACAAAAATTTATTTTCTTGATATAAATACATACGTATATAATACATAAAAAAAAATATGGCACTTGGTATGAATAATAACAACAACAATAATAAAATGTCAACAAGAAACGCTTGTGAAGACTCGCTTGATTTCCCACCTCTTGAATACAAGGCTAATGATGACAATGATGAATGCATCTACCATTCAGACCAAACCCCGCAAACACCAACCTGGAGGGACCTGTTACCAAGACTGGGCCTATTTGTTGCCATTGCACTGATCTCTCTTGGATTCACCGCAACCCTCGCCAACCAGGTCTTGGGTATCACTCTGCCAAGAACACTAGAGGATGCCCAGACAACCGCAACACAGCTAGAGAAGCTTGCGTCTTCATCCTGGCAGGACTCTCTTTCGGTCGCCGGATGTTTTTCGGTTCTCTATCTCTGGCAGCAGGCCTTTTCAGTACCGGGTTCCGTCCTCTTGAATCTATTGGCCAGTTATCTGTATGGCATCGGAATTGCTACTGTCTGGACTAGTCTCTTGACAGCAGGTGGTGCTACACTTGCATATGCACTTGCTCTCTTGGTCGGAAAGCCTTTTATGCACATCGGCTGGGTTTCTAAGCGTGCAGACTCCATGACACGCCAGATGAAGACCAACAAGACCAAGGCAGGTCTCTTTTGGTGGTTGCTGTTCATCAGACTGTTTCCCTTTTCACCTTATTGGTAAGTTTTTATATCATTTTATTTTCAATACATGCATATACATATATCTACATATATATATATGTATGTATTAGATGTTAATATAGCAACAAGATAAGATGTGCCTTGCTGTGCTGTGCTGTGCTGTGCTGTGGTCGTAGCTATAGCGTATTGTACTTTGTTGTACTATGTTGTGTACAGACCACAAAATTGTAACCAACCATCTTCTTTATTTTTATAACTTTGTATATTTTTTATATTTTTTATAATAGGTTCATCAACATGGCATCTCCGCTTCTTGGCGTTCCAGCCCTGCCATTCTTTTGGTCTACCTTTTTGGGTTCGATGCCATACAACTTTGTGTGCGCACAAGCAGGTGATGTTCTGGGAGACCTGACCTCGACCTCGGATATCCTTTCTGTCTCCCTTGTCCTTAAATTACTCGGGGTGTCCATTATTTCACTTGTACCCGTTCTCTGGGGTAAAGCAATCCAGAAAGCCATTCGCCGGTCAATGGGCCTACCACCATCTAGTGAAGATAACGGTGAAATCGAGAAAATCGAAGGTCTTGAACTCGGTGACGCAGGATACACTCGCCTACCACTCCATGACCGCGAATGATTTGATAACTAATAATGAAATAGGCTGATTGACAATGGATAACCTGTAGAATGGATAACCAAAAAACAAACAAACAAGCAAGAATTGCAACGATAATGAAAGGATAATTATTTCAATTATTATAAAGATAATATTTTTTTATATATATATTCTATTCTTTCTATCATTATCAACTCAAATCAGCCTTAGTCAGTTAGTGTACATTAATTCTTTATTTATTTTTATTATTTTCTTAAATCTATTTGTTCATACTTTCCTCACTCACTCACTCACAATCTCTCTCTTTCTCTCTCTATTAATATATATATATATATCTATATCTATATCTATATTTTATCTTATCTTATCTATTTACCTCTTTATAATAAAAATCAATATATTCAATATAAAAGTATGCCGATTCTTTATAGACAATGAAAATATTCATACTAATAGTAATAAATGGCTATTTATTATGTATTGTAATTTATGTATATATATATGCACCTGTGCATTTAAAGAGACTATATATATATATAAAGGAGAGAGAGAGAGCGAGAGAGCGAGAGTGAGAGGGGAAGGGGTAAAATGATGGGTTTTTCATTCATTCATTCATTTTCTTTTTTTTTTTCATAATATGCATGTATGTATGTATATTTATATATATATATTAAACTCGACCCTTTAACCTCCCCCTTTCTTTCTTATCTCTTTCTCTTCAATTTCAAAGAAAACCTAATCATTCTGAAACCCCAGTCAATTAGCATATTAATATTATTATTATTAATAATAATAATAATAGTAGTAGTAGTAGTAGTAGTAGTAGTAGTAGTAGTAGTAATAGAGTGTCCATTAATATTTTCTCTTTATAGTCTTAACATAAAGTTCCCTTGTGGAATTCAAGGAAACACAGGAGGTTATTTATTTGTTGATTAGTATTTAGCTATCTACATTTTCTGTTATTTTTTTTCTTTGCTTTTGCCAAGCTCTAGGAAAATGTACACATATTCCTCAAATAAATTCTGATCATTCAATACTTACAAATGTGTAAAACTGGCTTTGGAATTAGATAGCATTATTGTGGACCGAATATCTAGCAAGATTAAACCAAAAGAAGAAAAAGGTAAAGAAGTAGAGTAGTAGAGAGGAAGAAAGGAAGAAGAAGAATAAAAAGAAAAAAAAGGGTTCCTTTTAGACGCCCAATATCCAGTTGATCAATAAAAAGAAAAAGAAAACCTAGTTTATGACAGTCTGTTCCTGTTTATATATAGATTTGTATAAGTATAAGTATATTACAGATGTATATTGTTTCCTTCTTTTCGCCTTTATTTTATTTCGTTTTGCTTTCCTTATTTTATGCACAGATTCCAAGGCCTTGATTACCATTAATATTCATATTACCACTACTATTACTCCTACTACTCCTACTACTTCTATTAGCTATTTATTATCTATCATGAGCCATTTACCAGAATTGCAACTACAGCAACACCAACACCAACAGTCAGATTCAGCACTAGAGAAAAACATCTCTGTCAAAAAACCTTGCAAGCTATTCGATCTACCGGTTTGGATCTACCTTGTCTGTATTGCCTTGATACTCGGCATCTTTCTCACAACATCTGTCACCCTCTTGCTCAACAAGTCAAAAAACGAAGCCAACAGATATGAAGACAATATCATCACAATGGCCATCGATGGACACAGCCAAGATCCAGGTCTCGATCAAGTCAATGCAGCACTACAGCAATTTACTGTCAGTTCAATAACAACAACTGTCACAAAAACACTGCAGCTGTCACCATCACCAACACCATTATCATTATCCTTGTCCTTATTCCTATTACACTCCCCTTCTCCCACTAGTATACACATTAAACAAACAAACACCTAAGCCAAATCAACATCGATCGAATTATCATTTCTACTTGTTTGTTTAATATATATTTTCAATCAATGTTCTGTATATCATTTCTTATTTCATACTTTTACTAAAATGCAAATGCAAATGCAAATGCAACTTCAAATACACAAAAACCGTTCTTGCCTGTATACCATTCTCTTTATTTTCCTCCATCTTCTTTAAGTACCTCCTATATCTAAAAAAGAAAGAAAACATTCTTTTTTCTTTCTTTTTGGCACGATGTGAGATTCTTATCTGGAATTCACAGGTGCAAAAGAATACACACAATCATTAATTGAATTTGGGAATTTATTCCAGGTACCCAATGCACCCACACAACCACACAATCATACAATAATTCATAGAAAAGGGTATCATTTATACTCTCATTCTCCTATACCTTTACCCAAAATAATAACCAAAAAAAAAGGAATCGAAAGAAAGACCAAGTTTACCTTTGTAGCTGTGAGCGTAAGTGTAGCTTACAAGGCAATGTTAGAACATGAGATATTTAATATATATATTTTAAAGTAAAAAAAAAACATACATGAAATTTGTATTGCTTATTGCTATTGCACCTAATATCATCTATAATTTGCTATTATAAACTTTGAAAGACCACCAAATACATATACACGGTTTGTAATCAATCTACTGTAGTTTACGGCATACATTACATTACATTACATTGCATTACATAACATTAAAATTACCTTACCTTACATTAAGTTTCTATTGTTATTTTCTGTAAAATATTTCAAAATCTTCTTGGCTTAATCTCACTTTATTTTACTTATTTTCATGCTTAAACAGCCATTACAACAGCAAAATAGAAACAACTTACTCCTATTCTTAACTCACTTTACCAGAATTCTCTAACCATAATATTCATTTTCCCAGTATATAAATGTCTTTAATATTTATATATATATATAAAATAATAATAATAACCAAGTAAAATAAAAAGCAAACTATAGACTATTCTGTCTTATTCTTTAAGAAAAGTTTGTTACTGCAGAATATAATATCTTCTCCTGTCAATTATCACCAAAGTACTGGTACATCTGCCGTTATATGGTGTCAATCTATGGCCTTTATTTTAATTTATTTTATTATACAAAAAAAAAAGAAAGAAAGAGAGAAACTTTAAAGGCGTTTAACAAGATTAACTTTGAATAGACTACAGTTCCTCCCTTTGATAAGTATCATAGTGCCATAAGCTGTATATTTATTTATGTACATAATATCCAGGTCTACAAAGTCCAATTGGAAACCAAACTTGAGCTTAGATTCCAATGCATTATACAATAATAACAATTGTGCTTCTGTATAATACTCTCTCATAACCATAGATCCAAAGAGAGTACAGAGGAAAACCAAAAGACATGTGTCTGTTATCCAAACATACACACACACAACAAAAAAACGAAAATTATAAAACAATTATATATCTGCCTTGATTTTATTTTTATTTTTCCATGTGAATTTGACATCAAGCAATAATTACCCATATAAATTGTTTTCTTTCTTTCTTTCTTTCTCTCTCTCTCTTTCTATTCTTCTTCTTGTTAATTGATTAATGCCAAATGTTCTAATAGAAAACAATTATACTATCCAAGTATAAAAATATATATCTTCCTCTTCTTTTTTCTTTCTTTGTTATAAAAAAGAAAGCATTAAAGGCCTAAAGAAAGAAAATCTTGTAATGACTCTTGGACTAGTATATAGTATGAATTACACTTGGATTATCAAATACGCAGAATTATAACAGAATTCAATTGTGACAAGAATAATTCCTAAAAGAAACAAATAAATAGACCCATATTTATCTCAAATCTTTTGACAGGATATTCGAATAGAACGATAGATAGATAGATAGGTAGATACATACATAGAGAGAGAGAGAGAGAGTGACAAATCGTGTTTTTTTATGGTATAACAACAATACTCCTTACAAATTGCAAGTTCTGTAGTACGTTACTTGGCACTTATTTAAATTGACTATGTACATTTAAATACACCCAGATAAAGAAAAGAGTAAAATAGTCGATATTTTATATGCTAACTCATTGTTAATTCAAGATACGCACACACAAAAAGCTTTACATTGGGGATACTCAATTTAAGCTTATGTACCATTCGAAATTTGTACATATTAGACGTACAATTATTATTTTTTTTTAAAAAAAAAGTTCTAAAGAAATTCTGTCCAATAATATTGCGTTGACGAAAAAAAAAGTTACGAACGTTAACGACCGAGTACCCTCATAATTGATTTTATATTTTGTCATGTGTGCGCTGCGACTGTTAGTACACTTTTAGAGTTTCTTATCAACAAACCTTGAAACCTCAATGTGTGTACACTATAGATATACTTACGACATTCTCTCTTTTTTTTTTAAAAAAAATAAATAAAAAAATAAAAGCCTTTTCGTTGCAGTATTTTTAGAGTCCATAAAATAATTTAGCTTATAGTTAGGAGAGTTATCTAGAGGGAGGCCTTGAATACATATATACATACATACATATATATATAATTCTAAAGCAAATAACTCAAAAAAATTGTAAGAGGTAAGAGGAGGTTACCCAGAGGAGATGAGAATGATCAAGGAGTGGATTCTGAATAAATGATACGGATTGTATAGATAGTACAAAGACTAGCGACTGTCCCACCAAATATGGACAGATCAGCGATTCGGTTTGATTAAAAGCACCTGCGTTGCCAGTAGCAGCGTCTTTAATTGCATAATGTAGCAGTTCTGCAAGGTAAGATGAAAAAAGAAGGGGTAGAGGAAAGACCAGAGGAAAAATATAATCAGATTTAAGATTTGTTTTTATGAATATTTTTTTTTATATTTCTTTCTATATTTTTATACACAAATGGAAGGAATGTCAAACTGCTCAAAGTGAGTCTTTTCTCACAAATAAGACGTGAAGAATGTAGAATAGCAAAAAGACATTACCTTACATTACATTACATGACATTAATTAATTAATTAATTAATTAATGATTGTAGTGACAATTGAGAGCTTGAAAAATTAAAGAACCAAGAGTGGCTGTAAAGAGAATTGATTTTTGTTTTTCTTCTTGTGATAAACTATAAGGAATACACAGAAAGATGAGAAAGTTGGTCAAAGGAAGTATTCGTATACTTGTTGCAAATGAGGAGCATTATTTTGACACATGGGAAATTCGCATGGAAATAATCCATGTCGTTTCCGTGTACAACAGGAGTGGGGGAGGGGGAGTCTAGAAGAACGGGACATATGGTCAGTGAATCTTTGCACCTAACCTCTTTTAAATAGTTTCAATTAGATTTCCAAAATAAATAAATAAATAACTTGTTGACAGCAAGGGAACCTTTTGTAATTCTTTTCTTTCTTACTTAAATCACAGTATTTATATATATATATATATATGTATGTATAATTTAGTTTAAATGTATTGAGTATGTATGTGTATGTGCGTATATAGAATACTTTCAAGGAGAGCAGACCCAAGATCATTAAAGGGCTTATAAGGTTTCATCGAGGGTGGTCTTGTGACCCAGTCCAAAAATGAGATACACACTGTTTGGAATTACAGATGAGAGAGACGAATAGAAAGTAGACAGATGAGAAATATCATCAGAGCTAGATATCCATTATCAAGAAAAAGAGAAATGAAGAAAATGAAGATGATTTGTAGGCAGCTCGATTAGGTTGTTTGAAAGCCTTTTGACCGAATTGTACACATTTCTTGAGTTAAAGGTAGATATGTTTGACGGCGAGGACGGGGAGATTTGTACCAAAAGAGACAGGAGCTTGAAAAAGGAGGGCTCCCTTTTTTTTGTCTTTCTTTCGGGTACAAGGTAGAAAATGGAATAGGCTAATTTGTCCCTTTTTTTTCAATTGACAAAATGTGTGTATGGTTATGTGCATTTGTTTGTTTGGGGTTTGATTTTAGGTAGGGTAAATGGAAAAAGTGAATATCTGTTTGTTATGACAAAAGAAAAATAGAGCGCAAGGTTGTTGTTTTGGCTGTATAAGAGTGATGAGTAAGATAAATATAATTTACATTTATATTCGATGGAGCTTAGTGTAGAAGGAGGTGCCTTTGTGTGGTTAGTGGTTTCCAGAAAGCAAGTTTAAACAGCACAAATATTTGATAGACAGTGTGTTTATACAAGGCAATGATCAGATCTTTAGATATATAAATACAAAATAAAACATTTGTAGAGCCAAAATATATGCTGTTAATCTTGCCTGATATCCATTGATCTATACTTCAAATACCACGTCAATCCTTTTATTCCTGCTATCTAAGAATCTACTATAGGCAACGCAAATCATCACAAATTCCTTATAAACACACACACACACAGTAGGAGAGTTTTTACACATATAAGTTCATTACATGTGATTAAAAGGCTTATACCATTAATTGTGACTACAATTTATTCTTTCTTTGTCTATAACATTAATTGATTTCAGTAAATCATTTTATAATTATTAAAGCATCACTATATCAAAAAGTCAAGCTTTGAGAGTCGTCGAAACTCGCCTATCAGAAAAAAAAAGACATATATAAAATGTCTTTTAACCAGATGCTTAGCTATGTTACAGAGAGTGTCTCAAAGAATATGGCACCTATCCAAATATCAGGAGAGCAAGTACGTCTCAAGTGGAATGATGCCTCAATTGAGAAATGTTTTTAACAAAGTATATATATATATATATATCTATGATTAGGTCAATCAGGTTGCCAATCAAGCAATGTCATCAATCGATCACCTTGTCAAGCAGTTACCTGATGCCGCAACGATTCACCAACAGTCAATCAACGTAATCAATTACTCAAAGCCAAAAATTGCGGCCTTGTCTGAAAATGCACCAAGTCTTGCGACTATCTCTGGACATTCAAAGCATGCTCTGGAATGCATTTCGTCATCAGCAAATTTCGCTTACAGTAATCTACCTAGTAATGAGCAAATGTCAAGTGTTGCAAAGACTGTTATCGAAAACGTAAAAAATACAGAAGGCATGCAAAACACTGTCAAGGGTGTCTTGGATCATGTACCCAATAGCGTCGCGATTGGAGCTGCAGGTGCTATAGCTGGCGGAATTGTGGTTCCTCTTGCAGTTGCCGCACCACCGTTACTTTTAGGATTCTGGCCTGGAGGAATCTTGGCCGGCACTCCAGCCGCAGCATGGATGGCATCTTTTGGTGGTGCCGTACCAGCAGGAAGTCTTCTCGCTGCTATGCAGTCGTTAGGTGCACTTGGGCTGACTGCACCTATAATACCCATTGCGGCCGCAATAGGGTCTGCTGGAGGAGCTATTTCAGGTGCAGTTTTTGGCTATAAAACTGAGCCTAATAATACAAACTAGCAATAGCCATTTTTTTTTTTAAAAAAAAAATGTATTCAGGGTTTCACTAGTTTTGGATGTTTTAATTTTCAATGCTGTCGGTAGTTTAATTAAGTATATGATTGGTTATACAATATTAAAAGTGTTGGTTTGACACTGTAATACCAAGTGTACTATTCGCTTTGATCCTTTGGTAATTGTATTCTCAACATTTCGTTCCTCATAGCTATTACAAACCTGACTTGCTAAGTACTCGTCTACCATGTAAATGATGATGTTATCAGGAGAAGAGTGTTTTTTGTAAGGTCTTCAAAATGAATTGAACTGGTCCGGATGTTTTTCCTCTCATACTCGATCAAAAGCTTCCATTCCCATATGTATCAATGGTTGCTGAGGGCTTGGTATTGTTGTCGAACGGCAAAGGGGAGGGGGATAATACTGGCCATAATTCTTCATGACTGTCTCCACATTGGTGGAGACATTCTTGTGATACTTGAGGCTATTGTAAGTAAAGCGTTTTACGATTTTTTCTGATCGTTTATTCTCAATCTGCCCCTTGTAATCTGATGCTGTTTTCGTCTACCAACTGTTATTTTTTTCTTTACCGTTCCAGAAAGCGAAAAAAAATGCCGAGTGGCCGTCCGCGTAGATTTCGTTTCTAATATAACAAGCAGCCAAAAAATCTAATGCTGTTCAATACTTTTGTAGTCCATTTACCTGACTCTCTTCTTTCCTTCTAGAATACTTTTCCTACTATATAATCCAAGATTTGCAAAGTTAAGAGCATTCCCAGCAATCCATTTTATCTTTCTTTCTATCTCAAATTTAAAATTATAGTTAAATGTGGTATCCCAACAGTTCAATTTATATCTATCTATCTATATTTTTAAAAAATTGTAAAATAAGCACGTAACTTACTCTGCATTTAAATTTTTTGCAAATCTTCTTACCGTTTTATAACCACATCACTTAAAGCCTACTATCCATTCAATAAACTGCTAAACTCATTTTTACACATTAACTGTAATATATAGGAACTAAACTTCTTATAGGGAAGAGTCACATAAAACTTGAGGGGAGGCGGGGAGCTCTACTTCCAAAAAGTATGCTAATGATTTATTAATTTATTATTTATATAGGTCTATGAATTCATCACAAAAAAAGATGTGTGTCCGAGGGAATTTATGTGTGCCTGCGTAGATTTGCGTACCTGGGTAGATTTTGTGTGTGTGTGTGGGTAGATTTTTTGCGGCAGACGTGGAATAGCGGAGGTACAAATATTAAGAGAGGCAAATTGAATAGTAAGAAAAAGAAAGACTTTATCGATTGATATAAACAATATTATTCTATCTCTTTAATAAATAACACTCACAGTATATACTCTTTCTGAGATTAAGGTACTAAACCAAATCCAGTTCTGAGCACCTTGAATATTATTTTAATTTTTTTTAATAAAATACACTCTCACAGTATCTATTTTTTTTAATATTGAGATACCAGCTCAAAATCAATCACAAATATCTTAATTACAATGTAGTGTAATAATTAAAAAAAAATATAACTAAAATAAGAGGATCAATTACTTGTTATCATATAATAATAAGAAAGCAAAGAATAATTGAAAAGTTGTAAAAAAAAAGCAAAAACAAAATAAAATAAAATAAAATAATTAATTTAAATTTCAAATTCCCAGTCTTTTTCGTAGATTGCAGGGCATTTTTGGAACTCAGCTGTTTTAAGAATTTTTAGTGCTCAAAAACACATAGGAGCGTAGCAATTTTGTGAGGCTAGAAAAATCCCTCCACAAAAAAAATTGCGGCGGTGTTTCAATATTTTGTTTCTCCTAATGTCGTATAATTAAAAAAACAAAATTTTATGACTTCGTAATTAGAATCTTACTTTAGAAAAAAATATTACTAAACTGTCTATTTTTTATATGCTACAAATAAAGTAGCAAAAGTAGCAAAAAAAATGTCGGCAAGTGAAAATTAAATAATTGGATTTCACATATAATATTGCACTTTATGTGTGAGTATATCTGTTTTTTTTTTTTTTTTATTTATTTTTTTAAAAAATAAAAAATAACTATATTAATTTAACTTTTTTCTTGTCTTATATATAATGTAGAGAGCTAGTATATATTTTTTTTTTTAAAAAAAAGATAAATTGAACTACTGGGTAAAATGACCTTTTCTTTAGCTAAAGTGGCTATGTTTAACTTTAGATAAATTAAAAATTAACTCACTGCTAAAGATGTTATAATAAATCATAATAGCTCCATTTATTTATTAATGTACACTCAAAATATAAATAACCTGTTTTTATGATAAAATATCAAAACACCCGAAGAATCTTACCGTGCTATACTGTATTAGTATTTCTTAATAACTTGTTTTAATTCGAGAGATAAACAATATTTTTTTTTATTAAAAGAAAACTATGGTGGATTAGTCATATTTATTTCTGACATATATTTAAGAAAAAGTTGTCTTGAAAAATTCAGTTCATCTTCTCATATCTTCTCTTAATATTTCTTTTGTGATGACAGCCACAGTTCTGGATGAAGACTTTGATAACTATTCGTACATAGCTGGAATAGGTAAAAAAAAAAAACCCCACTTCACTTACACGCATGTACTCAAATTTAATTATTACTAGATTTTGGGACCACATTTTCGGGATGCTCTTGTGTATACACCAAAGACAGTACTGACGAGATATTTGACATAACTGACTGGTATATAGTCATATTCTCATCAAAATAAAGAAAAATATACATATCATGCTATAGGCCAAATCGAGGCGGCTACATTTATCCCAAGGTTCCTACAGTGTTACTTTATGAACAAAACAGCAAAAGGGTCCTTGCATGGGGGAATGATGCTATTTGGAGAGCAAAGCGTCCAAATTGCACAGCTGTTTTGATCGACAATTTCAAGTTACTTTTAGATCATAGTCAGAAGCATAGCACACTTCCAAATGGCTTGACTGTTATTGAAGGTTAATCCTATAATATCTTTTTTTTTGAAAAAGAAAGAAAGAAAGAGCGTTTGTTCTAATTCTTATGTTTAATAGTAATCTCTGACTATCTTCGTGAATTCAAGTTATATATACATACTTATTTTGAAAGTAAACTCGGTGCAGTATATGATGCCTCAAAATTCAGATATTGTCTCACGGTTCCAGCCATATGGGATGATGAAGCCAAAGCTATCATGAGAGAGGCGGCTATCCTTGCCGGAATTATTAACCGTAGAGATCATCCAGACCGACTGATACTTACTAGCGAGCCAGAAGCAGCGTCCTTATATTGCGAAAAGAAACTGGGTCAATTCAATCTTACCCATGGGCAACGTTTTATGATCTGTGATGCTGGCGGTGGCACTGTAGATTTGATTGTATTCGAAATCGATGCTTCTTCGGGCCCAAAATTTCTTCGTGAAGTTACAAAAGGCTCAGGAAGTACATGTGGGTCGACTTTCTTGGACAAAAATATGCGAGACCTAATGAAGAAACGATTTGGCAATTATGCTGACAGCAGCAAAGATGTTATAGATAACTTGCTCGAGCATTTTGTTAGTTCAACAAAGGTATGGCCTATTCGACAAACACAACGGAGACGCGTAACTTAATGGAACTGAGCATTATTATTATAGCCTCAATTCGATAACGAAGATGATGAGTTCTTTATTCTGCCAATCTCATTAAACCCAACAGAGATTATGCTATCGGATATCGGGATAGTTGATGGGAGGATTCAAGTCACAGTTGATGAGCTCCGTGAGGATGTGTTTAAGCCAGTTGTAAAACAGGTTTTGGACTTGATATCTGATCAGATAGATCAATCTCAAGCACACATTGATGCTATATTTCTTGTCGGTGGATTTGGTCAATCGAGGTATCTGGAAAAATGTGTAAAAGACACGTTTAAAACCAAAGTTGGATCGATATATATACCAAGTCGTGGTGAATTAGCTGTTGTTCGTGGTGCAGTCATATCTGGAGTGGACCCCAACAAGATCACGCACAGAATATTACGGCGTACATATGGGATCTGTGTCGATTCTATATTCGATCCTTTCAAAGACCCACACGAAAAAAGATATGTAGACCATGATGGTGTCCCACGCTGTAAAGATTGCTTTAGTATATTTGCCAGAAAGGGAGAAGTCATGCCTATAAACAAATGTGTTTCGAAAACCTACTTCATATTCTATCCTAGTGTCATTGGGCTGGGTACGGCTTTTAGAAACCTTTTCACTGTTGGAATCTAACAAGTTTATTTAGACTTGTTTGTTTATGATTTCGATGGAAGTTCTCCAAGATATACCACTGATGTAGGTGTTCGCAAGGCAGTCAGGTCTTCTGGTGAGGCCCCTATTTTTCCCGGTGTTGAGCAAGGGGAGAAAGTATACTTTACAACAAACATGTACTTTGGAAGGACTGAGATCATGATTGAGATTTTAATCAAGGACAAAAAAATTATTCATACTTCAGATTTTGTATCTCATGAACTTGAGAAACTCATTGGTTGAATCTACATATGTATACATAACCAGCACATTGTCTTTACAGAACATATCAGTAATCTTTTATGAAACCTTTTACTCAATATTAACCAAACCCAAGTGTTATCGGCTTAGGACTTCTAGCATTTACTACCATGCTTTTTATTCTAGTATTTCACATTCTCAGTATAAAATAAGGATGCTGGCATTATATAGTAGACACGAGTAAAGTTTGCGTATTATACATACACATGTATACCTTTTGCTAAAAACCTAGAGTGGCTTGTAAAACCTGCGATAGTCCTGTGTGAGTGTGTGAAATAAAAGACTACATTTTCAACAACAATAAAAATAACAGGGGAACAGCAGTAAAGTTTTGAGAGGATATAACGATGATTAGAGTGCGTAAACATGGGTTTAAATGATGTTTTTTTATTAGAATAATGTCCTTTAGCATAGTAAAGAAGATATCTAGTGATATAAAGAAAAAAATAAGATGAATACGTTGAGCAAATCGTTTTCTTAATTTTCCGGGAACTGAAATGTTATATGACCCTTGATGAAGGTCTGTGCTCGTTTCATTTCATTTTTAACCGTATATAAGGATTTTACTGATTGAAATTAATTATCCATTGTATCGGTTTAAGTGACACTTTAAAGCCTATGAATCAGGTTATATATATATATAAGCAGGTATTATTATTATTTACTTGGATCGAATACCTCATGAAAATAGATTGACATAAACCTTACCCGATGTTAGTTTATAGAGTAAGCTACATATAAACATATCTCATAAATTATGACTTAGTAGCTGATATGTTCTTATTTTGCTATCTAGATAGACACTCAATATGCTTTTATAGCACTATACAACTAGAGTAATTTAATAATCTCAGTCTTGTTACTGGTATACCTAAAAGCATTAAAGTACCCTAGAAATATTAAAAGAAGTAATAGCTTTATTATTCTTTCTGTAAGTCTAATGCATTTATAATTAATAGACTTTGTCTCTATCGGTCACCACTAGGAAGCTCCTTTCATTCTGTACAATCACCGTCACATGGTTGGGGCAGATTTTGGATCACTACTCTTCCCGTGTTTTTCGCTGTTAATCCCGCGAGTCTATTTATTTTTTTTTTCTCCCTTCCCTCCCCTCCCTCCAATTCCATCAACCTCTTTTGACTCAATGCATCGAATCACTACACGCCTTACTGCCCGCACCAAGGCCACACAGTCTTTTGGTACCGTCGCGTTTATTTCTTTACTATTTCTCGGAAAAAAGAGCCTCCAACTCACTATATTACTATAGCAGGAATGCACACTTCGGCTGTGCGTGGAGCTATCACACGTTTTAACCTCCCTGCAATGAGCCCCACCATGACCGAAGGTGTTATTCACAAGTGGATGAAGAAAGAAGGTAATAAAGCGAACAGTCTTTGTATAGACACTTACCTGAATATATATACATATATAACTTATATTACGAGATTAATAATATATTAACATCATTTTACAGGAGAGAGCTTTACTGCTGGTGAAGTTTTGATCGAACTTGAGACTGACAAAGCTCAAATTGATGTCGAGGCACAGGACGATGGTGTATTAGCCAAGATTATTGTTAGTATCTATAGGGCTAAGTAGTGTATTTATGCTCAATTTCATAACTATCTGTATTTGCATGTTCATTAGTTGAAGGAAGGGCAAAAGGCTCCAGTAAACACTCTTATCGGTCTTTTGGCTGAAGAAAGCGATGATATCTCTAACGTCCAGATCCCCGAGTCAGAAGATGCACCGGCCAAGGGTATGTTCTTATACTGTAAATCCTTGACTTTTTGAGGATACAAAATAAGCGCTATGATTTTTTTTGAAGACAAGTAATTAACGTACTAGACGATTTTGTTTTGTAGCAGAGGAAGCCGCTCCTGTCCCACCACCAACCCAGACCAAACAACCCGAAGCACCCACGAAATCCATTGATCATGGTGCTATTGATACTAAGCAGTTGAAGAAACCATTATCACCTGCTGTTTTGAGCCTTGTCTTGAAACATCACATTACGGATGTATCGGCTATCAAGGCAACTGGACCTGGTGGACGTATTTTGAAGGGCGACGTATTGGCTCATATTGGACAGATTGCCTTTAGACCTGCACCAAAATTCAACAACTCTGCTGCTCCCCCCAGAGATCAGATTGTATTCGCAAAGGTAAAGTAGAAATCCGGGTTTTAAATTAGGATTCATTGGTTTAGTTGGCATTACTTATTTATTTTTATGATGTGCTTGAATCCTATGAAATAGCCCGCAGAGACAAAGGTTGTTAAGGAAGAAAAGATCGTGTTGCCAAACTTCATTGCCAAACAGGTAATCGTAGATGACTTGTTGTCCTTACGCCGTACATTGAATGGTAAGGATAGGATAATAAAGAGAATAAAAGATACTCTGGAGAATAAAAGACTAAAGTACATATGTGATAGACCAACACAACACAAGTGTGAGTGTCAATGACTTTGTCTCCATGGCCGCTTCCCGTGCATTGCAGGATGTAAGCAAAAAGACCCCCGCTAAGTCTACAAGCGTTGTCCATCAGACCAGCCCTTCTGTTTTCCAAGAGTCTTACAAAGGTGGAGAATTCAAGTAAGTATGCGAATGGATAAAAGTTAAAAGAAAATCTCAATTCAAATTGACCAATGATTTTTTCTTTTAGAATCCATCACCTTGCCCCTACTGTATACGACTTCATCTCAGATAGTGAGGAACCCTCTAAGCCTTATGTACTCCACGTAAGCCCTAGCAAGCGTGCTGATCTTGGACAAACAAAGAAGTCGCCTGATAATGATATGTTGGATCTGATTGGATATTTGGGTGGAGAATCATCTACCACCAAGGCTCGCGATGTTAAGTTGGTTACTGGAGGATCCAGAATTAACTTTGCGGAACAACCTTCAAAGTACACCTACACCGTTGAATTCAAGCTCCAGGGTGATAAGCCTGGTAAGATTTTGAACGATATTAAGGCAGCAGCCTTCTTGGACCGTGTGGAGTATTACGTTAGACATCCTACCGAACTTGTACAATAATCGACTACCTTATTTTCTATTTCCCATTACACGCACATACTTTCTTTTTTATTATTCTCAATATCTCTTATTATCGGGGAGCTATCTTATATACATATACATATACATATACATATATATATATAGCACAGAAAATAATATTTATTTATTCCAAAAGAGCACTGAAATAGAAAAGGTGTAGACAGAGATATGTTTCTGTATATTTAAAGTTAATAATTGTGGTCTTATTGACTGGAATATCATTTTTACTATTACAAAAAAATAATATGCGTAGTAAAAATATATATTGCTGTCAGATTCAGACTAGTATACATTTTATTTGATATTAAGCCGCACCAAATAGCTTTAAGATTCAGTAATGCTTTGTCTTTCGGGCGGTTCAGGTCGACAAAAGCTTAGATAAAATGAATGAGTTTTTTTTTAAGAAAAAGATGAAAGAATGTCTAATAAATTCTGCTTTGTTCATTATACATTATTACCTATAAGACACCTTGAATAATTTAGGCATATGACTCCTTATCTATCTAATTCTCTATGGAAACTTGAATTTTATTTAGCAATGTACATCGTATTGGGATATATACAAGCTTGTTTTCTTGCACAAGCCTGTTTTATTTAACTTTTTTTTTTTCATCCTCAAAATCCGTTTTCCTTTTGGAACATAAATCTTCTTTTTCTGTGACGCAGATTCTATTTGAAAAGACGCAAATCGTGGTAGAAAAATAAATAAATAAAATCCTAAACAGGCTTGCACATCCCCTTTAACCATCTCTTTGTTCCCTCTAATTTGTTTTTTTTTCTTTGACGTGATCAGTAAGCCAATTTGAGATAATATACTATCTATAACTCCAAAAATGGCACGTCGTGAAGGATATGAAAACAATATCGGTAAATCAGGTGCTACGAAGTACAAGGCAAAGAAGACAGAAACAGACATAGAGCCAAAGGCAGTCTAGTATGATGACACTGATGGACATGATTAGGGCCTATTCTCTGAGAATGATTGGAAATGCCCACTGTAAGTAATCACCACCATCATATTCTTGATTTTGTATTGATTTAATACTCCATATATACATAAAAGGTGTGGAAATATCAACTGGTCACGACGTGAAGAGTGTAATCAATGCTCAACAGCGAAACCAGGGGCAGAGAATGGCCTGTCTAGACGGGAGGGTGCTGGAGGAGGGTTTATGGAACGTGATCGTGTAGTCGAATATCGCTCTCGAGAGGAAGAAGACGAATGGGATGAATTTGGACGTCGAAGAACGAAAAAAGCATCAGAGGCAGCAAAACCAAAGCAAATATCCTCAAAGAAAAGCATATCTGAAGAAGAGGAAGAGGAAGATGATGGCGACGATGATGGTCGATGGGATGCTTGGAATGATATATTAGAAGACAAACCTTCAGATAAAGAAACAACGAAAATATCACCAAAAAGAGAAGATGATGCTTATAAGATAAAAGATTTATCGGATGACACTCGTAGAAGTCGCTCTTCCCATAATCGTCACCGTCATAGTAGCCGTAGCCGTAGCCGTAGCCGTAGCCCAAGTCATAGTCGCAGCCATGGGTATAGCTCTCCACGTCGACGTTACCATTCCCGTTCACGCTCCCCAGAGAACCGCCGTTCTCGTCGTTATTCTCGTTCAAGATCTCCCGAAAAACATCGTTCTCGTAATCATGGCCGTAGTACATCTCCACGCAAATTGTCACAAAACCGCCGGGACAGATATCGACATTCTCGTTCACCCTCTCGTTCACCCTCTAGAAGCCATCGTTCAAAGAGTAGCTACAATCGGCGATCTTGATCGATAATGAATGGAACGCTATATTCAATTACACATATTGACGAGAAGGAATGAAAATACTTTAAAGTTGAAAGGATGTATTGCAAGTTGTATTGTTATAAAGTATTCAATGTATTTTCATACTTATTGTTTACATAAACTTGTTAAATCGATATATTGATACTGGGCTTTCGATGTAATATCTTAAAATAATCGATGAGTCATGGGGGTTTCTTTTATCAGCTATATTGATTCAAGTGAATTTATTGGATGCTTGGATACTTACAGCTTTATCAAAATATTCATCGGTCCTTTTACTTGGAATAAAACTAGTAGATAAAAATATGACAACTTGACACCTATAAAAAAAATAAGGCCAGGGTGAATCAAGTTTCTGGGATATTTGACACTACCGTATTTTTACTTAATTTTCGGACCTTTTCAAAAAAAATTCGGACTTTCTCAATTTTTTTGGAAGAACTCTTTTCTCAATACAGATCGTACCCCTTTTTTTTGGCTTGCGTTTCTTCCCAAGCTGTTTTTTTTCTTATTTTTTGTTTAGATACTTACCCTGACAACATCAGGCATGAAAACAACTTGTAACAAGTGTAATATATCGGTTGACGGGTCACTAAAACGTCATGAAAAGAATTATTATACACCTTTTATTTCAGTGAAATACATGGAAAGCGAAGGTTTGTTCTTTTTTTATATTTTGTGTTTTGTTCGTTAACATGTGCGAAATTTTTCTCCCAGATTCATAACAACCAACCATCCTTCGTTTGGAACGCAATGAGATTACAAACCGATTTGAATGCTCCTTTTGCAAGAAGACATGGGTTACCTGTTCAAGCACTCGCACTTATTTTTATCGACACGCTGGGAAATGCTGCGATTCTTCTGGTAAGAACGAATATAAATATCGAGTCTTTTCTGCTAACCATTATTGTATCAAACACAGCTAATTCATCTGGTGATGAAGAAAGTGAAATTGAGGACACGACCACTGCCACCATCGAAATGAAGGCCACAGAACTTATCACTGTTTTCTGAATCTGTTGACAGCCCTCAAAGAAGCATTGATGAATCAATTTTACGTGCCCTAAGACAATCAGGCGGTTATACCTGTGAGAGAAACAAAGCCCTGTGGATTGCAGATAGTTTGAAATTACAACCATTTGCATTACTGGGCGACAATCAAGTGGAAGAAATTGCTCTAACCCACTGCGACAATCTTATGCCTTTGATCGCCAAGAGTCAGGACCACCGTTTTTGCGTCAAACATGTCACAGCTGGCAAGGAACGTGTATGGGATAACAGTCTTATATCAACAAATGCAAATTCAACAACGAATATCGAAGCAAATCTCATGTCGATCCAAAATTACGGGCCTTACGCCCAAAAACTATCCAAACGATGCTACAAGCAGTTGGATATCAACTCCTGTCAATTATTGAACGACGACTGAACGTTTTTACCTCAACTACTATTTGCCTGCGCCCCATTGCTTGCCGGTGCGATTATTATGAACAAAAACAACGAGGCCGTACTTGTCAATGTGGTATACACACCACAATTGAGTGAAATACAAACTACACAATCCAGAACGGATACTGCAATTGCTAATGAACCTGTCAGGGTCACATCTCAGGAACATAACAGACACCAGGCACTCGTACACTTCACACTGCTTCAGTGATAACCAACCATTAACCGGCGGAGATATTAAATTAGGGAGCCAAATGTCTATATAAACAGCTATGATCTTCTTTCTTAAATAAACAACACTCTCACAGTACCTATTGTTCCCTTTCAAATATTATTCGTATACCTCAGCAAGAAATCGAAATGCAAACAAGGTTGATCGGTTTGATCTGCGATACCAACCTCGACAATTAAGATCAAAGTTCCAATACCCTTCAACATACCTCTTTTGTCGCGCACCAAGTATCTTTGCAAATGGCATGTGGTCACAACCATATAGCATTTTCACCTTATACGAAGCACCTGACACAGGACACGAATCAGCAGCAAAAATAGCCTCGAAACTTTTTCTCAGCATTGCGGAAACTGTCCAATCTAACACCCATCCAACGTTGCCAAAAACTTTCGTGAATACTTTATTGACCAAGTGCCAAGATGGGCAAGTGAAATCCATACTGCAACAAATCGTTGAACTATACCACGGTGAAAACGCTGTAGATATCTTGGAAAACCATTTCCTCAACGAAAAATTAATGTCTTTAGCCAACTTGATGTCAGCAAGCCTCGTTTCAGCAAACAAATCAGTGGCAGAAAATGTGAAGTCTCGTGTCCTGAATGGTTATTAGTGCGCTCTTGTCATTTCAATTTTTGAATAAAAATCCTCGCTGTTGTATGTGTGAAAAGAAAAACGAGAAGTACAGCTAATGAGAACATCGACTCTTATATACTTTATAAAGGTTTCACTGTGTTCTAATATTCTCAAAGACTTATTTATTATGTATAACTACACTAATTTCAAACCATGGTCTTCTTCTGCCATTATTCAATTATCCAAATGGATAAAATTATATAACTTAAACAGACCTATAATTCTCTTTGTCATTCTTTATTATTATTATTATTATTTTCAAACATTACAGGTCATATTCTTCATCCGAATCATCATCGAATCGTCGGCGGTTGTACTACAGTATACCCATCAATCAATATAAAAACAAACAAACAAACAAACACACTTTTGGATAGAAAGACTTACCACAATGCGAGTCTTGGAAGGACTGGGTTCTTGCTGGTTGATTTGGCCAAGAAGGTCAATCAATTGCTGTTCGGTAACTTTATTTCTAAGCTGGTTAGACTGAGCCATGCGGATCAAAAGATCTTCGACAGCACGAGCTTTGTCAGCCTTCACCATCTGAATGCGTGCCACTATAGCAAATAATATAGCAGAATAAAATTGGCATAACGAAGCTTATATTATATCTCCTTTGCTTGTGTCTATCATGACTTACGGCGTTCACGAGCACTATTATCCAGAATTTGGAAAAGCTTTATAGATGTTAATATTGAATCCTTGAACGAATCTTTTTCTTTTTTGCTTACCATGGTGCGACGCATCTCTTCCATTTGACTGTTGAAAATTTACAATCAGCTTTGTCTAGTCTACCATTTATCTTTTTTATTAAACGATCCAACTAACCCCTTCTTGGCTTCATCTTCCTTTGAAGCACCACCACCAGCAGCACTAGGAATAGAAGCGCCTCCACCAAATCCGCTCTGAACGCGTCAAAAAAAATAAGATTAGAGTAAAATGCCGAATGCGATCATCTGGTAGTATATTACCTGTGGAGCCGATGATCCACCAGCTTGCAATTCAGCCATGCGTCTTGCTCTGATAGCCTGAAGTTCGTCGTCTTCCATTGTCTAAAATATAAAGATGCAAGTTTGAACTGTGCATTTTTTTTTTCGGTTTCATATTTTGAGCTTGATGTCACCAAGATTCAACACTCGCTGATAATTAAAACAGCGCTGGCTCGACTTGTCAGTAAGTGCTTTGCTCAAATTGCTTCATTGCACAACATAATTCCATTGACGCCCTTGTTTCTTGACCTTTATAAACAAGAAAATCATCTCATTATAACCGTGTAATGAACACATACCCAGCTGAATATCTGCTTCATCCAGTACCTGTACTGGCTGTTTATGGCCTATCGGCTGATCAGACCTCTACAGAGAATGAAAAAATACCAACCCAAAAAGACTCTGAAGAGTCAGTCGCCGTTATTTCAAGCTCTCCCCAAACTCGACCATCATCAGGCCGACAAACCCCGGGAAATAATGCATTGAACTTACGATCCAGCCTAGCTAGCACGCTCCATTCCCTTCTCCACAACAAACACGACTTCACACTCTACGAAGCTACTCGATATCTTCATCAGAATTCTGCGAATGGAGCCCAAGGAATTCCTCCATTTAGAGTTCTTTCGATCAGCAAGGTATAGATTATTTATTTCCTTTGTACTTATATTTACGCTTTGTGGTCAATAAAAAGGATTATACTTTGCCTACACCGTCGTCTTCTGTACACTCTCCACTGTCACCCCTTACACCCCAGTCACCACTTTACCCAGATGGAATTATGAGTCCTTTGTGGATAACGAAGTACCTCGAAACACCGAGTGTAATAGTTGGATTTTACGAGTTGTGGGACTGGTCAAGTGAGCCTGGCCAGGGGTCCAAGCCCGTTAGAGAAACAGGGCCACTTGGGGCACATGTAATGATGGATCCTACAGAGCGCGAAAATGATGTTGCACTTGCCCAGGAAATCAATGATAAGAGGTAATGATACTATTATCCTGTGGATAAACAAAAGAGTGTGTGCATATAAATACACTCGTATGTATGCAGAAAGTACTTTCAAGATAAGGGTATCAAGTTTTCCGCTGTAATCCTTCTCAAAAACCGCCATACTGGTAAGAGCAATAAATACTTTTAAAAAAAAGATAGAGAAGTAAACTCTCTATTGTTTAAACAGAAGATCCGAGTGTGGAAGAACGTTTGAATTTAATCAGGAAGCAATCTGGTTTGGATGCAAAAAATTCTTTCTTCACTGTTGCACCTGGTAGTCATCATGATTTACAGGAGTTTGTAAACACGTAAGTAATCAAGAGATGGAGCGTATGGTAAAATGAATAGAGAACCATTGGTAGTTCAATGTGGTCACTGAAAACAACAGATATATTTAGCCTTTATCGATGTCTTTATGAATCTGCTCTTCAGTACTACAGCAATGTCATTAAGAAGTTACGCAAGAAGAAATCTAAACTGCCCTCACCTGCTTCTTCTGCTCGTCCTTCTATGGCAGACTTAACATCTAATGAGCCTCAACCATTGTCTTCTCAAGGATGGCAATTACGCTATGATTTGAAGATTGCTTTTTTCCAAGAGCTTAAACAAGACATTGAAGCAGCTTTAAAGTAAGTAATTTTCTAGCTTTGAATAAGGAAGTAAGGAAAAGAAATGAAAAGTACATATAGCTTATGAGTGAAAATGTATGAAGGACATGTGTTGTAGCTTATGGATTGTTGGGGGATGTTCTTGCTCCAACCTCATCCGTCACACAAGGCTTGGTAAGTCTTCCTGCACGCGGGAAGCGTTGGACTGAAGCCCGTGCATTGGCAGATTGTATCAATATTAAGGTAATAATAATAATAATAATGAAAAGGAAATAAAATAAAGCATTTTACTGCTTGATCTATTAAAGCTGTGTGTAATTGAATTTTACGCAGATATGTAGATTCCACTTATTTTTAAACGATCACACTGCTGCTTTTTCACAATTGAATGGTCATCTCCATTTGTTCCAAACGTATTCCAGTGCATGGGGTATGGGGGAACAGTCGTTCGAATACTGGGAATGGCTCTCTAAGCAGTAAGCAATTAAGATTTGCACATAAAAAAAAAGAAAATAATTAACCTAGCTTAATTATAAGGTATCGAATCTTTGCGGATGTAATTGATTCTGCTATTCAAGCAGGATTTAAGATTCCTCTTCCAACTGCTTACTTGACAAACAATGGAACCGCTAATGTACCCGGAAGTCCACTTTTAGGTGGATCAAATAATAATCTGAGCTCTAATTCCCAGGTTGTTGGCTGTAATCCGGGTGCGATTATTCAGCACCCAGGCTTTTATTACCACTTGGCAGCAATGTGTTGTGCGGAACGACGAAGACGATTTTTGGATATCGAACGGTCCGAGGCAGCAAAAGCAGCAGCAGCAAATAAGGAATCTGTGGCACCCAGCCAACTGGAGGTTCTATTGAGTAAAGAACGCCAGGTGGATCATTCGAGTCTGACAATTGAGTTACTCACCAAGAGTTACGAGCAATTTAAAAAATATCGCAATGGTCGTATGACGCTTTATCTCGCTGCCGAAATTGCCGGAACTTATTATGAGACAGGAAAATTTGAGATGGCACTCAAGTTCTTTGAACGGATTGGAAAAACATATCGCAAAGAGAACTGGCATATGGTTCTTACTTCTATTCTGAGATGGTCACTGCGCTGTGCAAAGGAACTCGGTTCTTGGGAACGCGCAGTCGAGTGTCTGATAGAACTAATGGCAGAAGAACTTCCGATGGCTAAACAGAAGCGCGCTGATATCCAAAGAGAGCTTTTTGATGTCTTATATCACAATGAAGCATCGAATACTATCAAACACGCACCACTTACCATTGCCATGGACCAAATCAATTCATTCTTAAAATGCTCTGTTCAGTTCCTTAATCAAACGAGTTTTGTAGATACCCCCGAGCTTTACCAAATCAGTCTTTCGACAGATAAAAATTCACCAGTCCTACCTTTCAGATTCAATGCTATGCGTGTCTTGTTCAGTGAACCACAATACAACTGTTATCTCGAGGATGCAGGCTTAGATGAGGAAATGAAGAAATTAGATCTTATTGATTTTAGCAAAGACATGACCAAGGCAACAACTGGGGATTATGTGGATTGGTTTACCAAGAAAGTTGATCTAAGAGTGACTGAACACCAAACTCGCGTATTCCAAGGGCAAATTATATCCAAAGACTGTGATGGTATAAAGGTAAAACTTGAAGAAGTTATAGTAAAATGTAGAATAGTACTTGAGTACCAACTTATCATGTATATATTTTTAGATTGTTGGTGTCTGTCTCGATCTAATCTCACCTCAATGGAATGTTGCCTTGAGCTATTCCTTTGATAAATTATCGGATGATCAGACAGTGACTCGAAGAAAATGGCTTGAACCTTCAGGAGGTATACATACATATTATTGGTTAATATCATCAGGTAATTTATGTATATCTTTTATTATGCTGTTACAGATCCCAGTGGTCGTCCAAAATTCAGATTCATCAGTGGTCGTGGTGAGCTTAGTGCTATAAAGTAAGTATTATAGCTGGTATGTAACTTTATTAAAAAATCGTGAATCAGGATTACACAAAGGCCGCCTCGGATTCAATTGTCCATCCATCAATTTTCGCCTGCATTATTGGACGAAGATTTTGAGATGTGTGTGACAGTGACTAGTGAAGAAACAGAGCGCATTGATGTGACACTGTGCATGGAGATTAAAAATGCGGAGGGACAAGGTAAATAAATTAGTTAGTCTTTACTTGATAAGCCAGAAATATATTGCATACAACTAATTAAATTTAATATAATCATAATAATTAGCCGGGGATTATGCTTGGTTTAAAGAAGCAGGCGATAAATCTTTAGAATCTGCTCGTACATTTGTGATTGGGGTTATTGAGCCTGGACAGTCAGTGTCGACTGTTGTTTATATTCACGGAACCGGTAGTGTAGGCCCACGGTTGGTAAACTTGAAGGTACGAGCATATAATTGGAATGTGACAGTGTTCATTTCAATTAACGTGCCATCTGTGACAGGCAGAATATGTGTTATCAAGTGCCAGTGGCAAGGCACATGTTCCAAAGGTCGAAAAAAGTGAATCAGTTACAATTCCATTTGTCAGTCCATTTGAGACTACATTCGAGTTGTGTGCCCAAGGAGAGGACCAAGGAAAGACGGTGCCATTTGACCTGAAGAGAACAGAAAAATGGCTCATGGTTGCTGCAATTCAGTGCTGCTCTACATGGAATTTAGATATCGAGAGCGTTAGACTAGAACAAGAGGTAATTCGTTTGTATGTGTGATTGATAACATGTATTAAATTATATTATTTAGGCGTTTGAACATCCTTACACTTTTCTCAAGCTTTTATCTAAAATGGACAATTTCAAAAACCAAGGCAAGATTAATATAGGACATTAAAGCAATCTGTGGACTGACAAACATTATAGTGTGGAAAACTAGCCATGTATACAATGCAAACTATCTTTTTAGATTGTCAACCATGGATCTGACAGAAGCTATGCCTTCTGTGCCTGTCGGGAATATCGTGGTACAATGGAAGAGGTTAGAAATTATGACAACGTGAAGATCATTGAATTGTAATAATTAAATTATTACAATGAAATGACATATATATATATATATATGCACATATTCTTATTTCTAATATTTCTGGATATTCACAGGCATGGTCAAGAGGGCGCTTATTCCAAGACAGTGCTCAAAGCTCCAGCTCTTGAATTCCAGCAACTTAGCCTTGTGGTGATTGCTGGTAAATACAAATCAATTAATATTTACAATAATAGAGGGCTTTTATTTTTATATCTTTCTAACCAAAAATCTATATAGATATTCCTTCCGAGCTTTATATGGGAGAGCCGTTCACGCTAACCTACACGATTCACAACCCCACAATTAACCTTGCTGAGTACACGGCATCGATAGAGTTGAGCGATGCGTTTGTGTTCTCGGGCTATAAGCAGTTAAAAGGTCGTGTTTTGCCACTGTCGCGGGCCTCGTATCAATACACGTGTTATCCTCTCGTAGCAGGAAAGGTCAGACTCCCTCGTCTAAAGGTGATAGCAAAGCAGCAAGGCACAGAAAAAGAGGTTCCGGTCGAGTTGCTTGCTGTTGGCGTAGTGGTTACATTAGACAATGCTCTAGATCAGCAAGTACGACAAACTACAGTCGAACAACAGCCCACTCTTGTCTTTGTGGGTGCAAAGAGACATTATTGAGCGCTAATTTGGTGTAACGATGACATTAAACCAGATGTCCCATATAAGCAACTTGCTCGCGTCAAACTTTCCTTTCTTTTTCATTGAATTCTACTTTCTCTCTCTTCCCATTTTTTTATTATTATTATTTCTTTATTTATTCATTACCTTGAACTATATTCCAATTGACTGTTCTTGATCGATCTATAAAGCATCATGCTTAAAGATCGTTTAATTCCGAGTCATACAAAAAATGCTACAGAAATAGAGCCAGCATCGGCACATGACGACTTGCAACATGTTCATCAAAATACTCATCTCGGACTAGACACCACATTCTGGACTTCTGATGACATAGATCCTTTATATATACCTAGAGATGTTGTAAGTAATGTGAATTTATGTATATGCAATAAAGCTGTACGACTTTAAAATCACTTTACTATTATTGTTTTTCCTTGCCTCTATATTAAATATCATTATTATTATCAAACAAGACATACGGTCATGTCCCACCTCGTAGCGATAGTCTTCGAAGAACACCTATGGCTTCCAGAAAGCCTAGAAAGCCCAAGGTTCGGGTTGAGGTATGTGCTTATACATAAGTTAGCATAAATATATAGACTCTTTAATCCGTCAAGAATATCATTTATTCATTTATTATTATTATTATTTTTCAAAAAAAAAAAACAACAAACAAACTCTACATCCTTGTTAATTACAGTCTATGCTTGCCGAGGATCCGTACATGGAAGGCCCTCCTATTCTACCCGCCGCACCAATGATTCCTGAAATCAAAATGGATCCCGCAGAGATGATATCAAGTGATTTCTTCTTTGAACATTTTGGACCCTTAACAGAAGAGGAGATGGTAGACGAGGAACAGAGAATAGAACGTGTCACAAGGGTTATGAGCCGCTTTGATCTATCTGCTTTTGCTCAACAACTCAACGAAAACCGACTCTCAGTTATGCAACCACGCCAGAGTCATATTGTTATGACCGAAGAAGACGAAATGGAATTTATCAAGCTTATGGCCCAACAAAAAATACGTCTAAAGAAGGTGTCCCCTGTGCCTACAGAAGTCCCAAAGACCGAAAGAAATAATATGAATAGTGTTGAGCTGAAAGACAATAAAAAACTCGAATTTGAGGAAGAACTTGAGAACATTAAATCGGGTTCCAAAGAGCCGGCAATAATAAATAAAGAAGAAATAATTGTGCCTACAGGCCCTAAAGACAGCTTAGACGAACCAGAAGAAGTAGAAGATGTGGAAGAACCAGAAGAGTTAAATATTATTCCACGAAAACCTGCCACTGAGAAAATGATGATTATGGATGACATTAACGCCTATGAGGAATACGATGGTACTGACGAATCTGATTATATGGAGGAAATTGAACTTATCAGAGAGTTCAATAATGAAAGCCATACACTCGAGGTTATCGAAGAGTCTGCTGATAATGAAGAGCTTGAGATAATTGATGATAATGAAAAAATTAAGGGCAAAGAGGAGGCCACAGTGAAAGACGAGGATATGCATGAGACCCCAGGTTAGTTTAGGCTAAGGAAAATGAATGTTCTTCTTTGTTGTTTTACGCTTTATTTTGTAGACTAATCCTTTTAATCTTTGTATAGTGACTTCTCCAGATAAATCACAACCCCCTACATCTCTTACGCAGGTTCACCTCATAATTCCAAAGGAGAATCCTGAATATAAGAGCACTCCTCCACCGACTGAAATGTGCAATACTTCCCCTCTCTTGGGTACATCTACAATGGATGAAAAACTAGAAGTATCTGACCATATTTACCAAGCTTCCCAAAACGCCCTGCTCGCAGACCATACCCAAGATCAAAAAATACCTCGTTTGCGTCGACTACTCAATAGCAAAGGTGTATCTGGAAATACGCGCTTCCGCGAGCTTCTTGACATGAATGCGCCGCCTCCTCAAGTATCTGTAACGATGTCAATATCTTCACCTCTAAAGCAAGGTAGTCAAGAACCAGCTTCAGAAACTCTTCCGAAGGAACCCAAACCAACTCGTTCACTTGGTTTGTTTGGAAGTTTAAGACAGGCTACTCGTAGCAGATCTCAATCCACAACATCTATTCGTGGATTGATGAGAAGTTGGGGAAGCACGGGTAACCTACGCCGCGCTGATCGACACAGTAGTCCTTTGGGAGATACAAAGGAAGAAAATATGCACGGTAATGATGGCAGACTTTTAAAGCCTGGGGACAAAAGCACAATGTCACGCGCTGCTATGGCTGTCGTTCAGCATAGTGTTGCTACAAAACATGGGGCGCCTGTGTTGGATGAGTATAAGCAAGGAAATCTTGGACTTGGACTTGGACCAGAGAAGAAAGCTCCCCTGCATGAACCCAAGGGGTCCCGGCTTTTGTCGAATCTACTGTCAAAAGCGACAGTATCACGTAAAATCACCAAGATTGTGAATATGAAGCAAGACCGAGATGGAAAAGAAACTAGTTCAGAAAGAGCAAAAGTAATCCGACGGACGATCATCTATGTTCCACCCGATTCGGCAAATTTTATGAAGATCCTTAGAGACTCACCTGTCCCACCACTTCCCAAACTGAACCTTCCAGGGGCATCTCAGTCGAAACCCATTTCTATGGCTGGGAGTGATATAAGTGAGGGCGAGTATGGTCAAGCCACCGTTATTACACGTCAGCCGTCTACAAAAAGATATGTATCTAAACCATCTGCTACTGCTACTGGTGCTGCTACTGCTACTGGTGCTGCAAGTGACGCTCCTACTGCTAATGTATCCAAACCTCCACTTGAGGGCCTTGAATTGCGTGAAATGAGTGACGGATCAGTTGTTTGGGGTATTGTTCAAAAGCATGGCAATCGCAAGAGTTTTTATGCGCCGAAGAATCCTATGGAAGCAGGAAAAGGAGAAAGTTATGAATATGTCGAGGAAGAAGACGAAGAAACAGAGGAAGAAGTCGAGGAACGTGTACTGGCGTTGATGGGATTACAGCCTATCGATAGTCCATCAGAGCCTGAACCAGTTCATTCTACATATCATGGATCTGCGTCTACGTCGTCGTCGTCGTCTTCATTGCCACCACCTCTCCCTCGAAGATCCTCACGGAGGCGGGCAGCGTCGGTTGATAGAACGATTACAAATCAAAGATACCCAGTTTCTCAACCTTATAAACAGGATTCACATGCTGAACACGTATCCACAATTGCTAGACAAGACAATTCGACTACTGATATCTACTATGCTCCGGAGATGACATTGAATAACCTGGTTCAAATCATGGCTTCAAAACGAACCAACACAGAGGAGGTGTCGATTGAGGAACAACTGGATCAAGTTATGGAGTCATTTCGTTGCCATTAATCCCCCCCTCCTCCCCCCTTTCTCCTAACACCTTTTGTCGGGAGAAATCCTATTTTTTACCACTTCTTACTACTACTATTATTATTATTATTATTATTATTATTTTCCTTTAGTTCATTCTCCATTGCCGTTCTTTTATATACGCGTGTGCGTTTATTTATATAAAATAATACAACGTAAAGTACTGGATGCTTTGCGTATGTTGAGCACAACAGAAGGATATTTATGATTTTCACTTGGGTTACAAAGAAACGCTTTTATTTCTATAAGAGTAACTATTGTTTTTAAAATAGAGAGTGTAAGTGGATTAACGAGAGGTTCGGAAAATCGGGTGTTATTCGTAGTTTAACACATTCTATTCAGGACCAAGTGTTTTACCTAGGGCTATATTATATTATATTATCTTGTTTATAGCCTTATATATACATAATGTATACTACTTTATGTTTATGATATGAACTTGGCCTACTACAATACAATACAAAACGTAACTATAGATATAAGTATTAGTTAAAAATAACAAGACTATTGTTTACTTGCAGAACAAACAGCAACATTATCTATTAAGATCACCATAAGCATATTATTTTGTCTATTTGCGATGTCTATAACGCCAAGTGACCTCTAACTTTTACGTAGAATAATAATATTAATCACAATAGTAACAACAGTAGTTGAACCAGTTAGATCAGAGAGAATGGAAAGACCAAATACATACACACGTACATAGATATATATATATATATTCACACTTGTAAAATTTAATCCTCGGAAGTTTGGTTCTATTGGAAACATTTGGTGAGTTAGTTCTTCGCTATTATATTTTGAAAATGCGTATATGCAAGTTCTTTCAATTCGATATCTCTTATCATCTCTTTACTCTTCTTCTTTTGTGTTATATCAACCGCCTTAACAGAAAAAAAAAAGTAATATTACCAACGATATAAGTAACCCAAGAGAAAACAAAAAAAAAGACAACAAAGAAGAAGAAGAATACTTGCTTCTATTTCTTACCTTGTATCGATATAATACCTTTGAAATGTAAGTATCTTCTCCTCTTATCCATTACTAAAGAATTAAATAAATATAATTTATTGATATTCTGTCAAATTCACAGACTGCATACATACCACAGGGATCTCACTGACGTACTCTTACAATCAGAGCCTTCTCTCTGCCTCTTTATTTATTTTATTTTGCTTTCTTTTTTATATATATAAAAAAAGCAGTAACGGCAACAAGTTTGACAAGACGACACAGACATATACTACATTTCTTTTAAAAGAAGAAAAACTTCATATATTACCAAATAACGACCGATGAAATTTGGTGTAGAACTCGCAGCAAAAATCCATGAACCATGGCGCTATTCTTACTTGCAATACAATGAACTAAAAGTTGAACTCAAACGCCGTCAACTCGAGCAAGGATGGCGTGAACGTGATGAACGTGAATTTGTAGAATTTCTCCAGCGCGAGCTCATCAAAGTTTTTAACTTTGTTAATGAAAAATTGGAGGGCATCCAAAAACGTATAGAACAAAGTGAATGCACGATCCAGGAACTAATGAAGTCTGAAAAGATCAATACCCAGTCCTATGAACTTGCGGCTGACGAGTTAGCAGAGATCTTATTTGCCGTCAATGATTTATCAAAATTCCATCAGCTCAATTATACTGGATTCGAAAAGATTGTAAAGAAACATGATCGTTGGACCAAATTGGATCTTCGTTCCAGATTCTACGGCCAAATGCTCGAGACTTGGCCACTTGACCAGCAAAGATTTGATGCCCTTATTGTTCGAATATCTAATATCCACGATCTCTGTCGTCTTCGAGGCCAGCCTCGGGCCACAAATGCTTATAGTCAAGGAGGAGATCAAACAGCCTTTGAGCGCGAGACGGCAAAGTACTGGATCCATCCGGATTATATTACAGAAGTCAAGTCAATTATTATGATGCATCTTCCTGTACATGTATTCAATCAAAAAAAGACCTACGAAGACGGAGATGCGGCCATCTCGAGTGTATATTTTGACAACGCATCATTTGATTTGTATTCTGAACGACTGGAACGGATCGAGGGCGCTGAGGCTATCCGATTTCGCTGGTATGGAGATAGCACAGATAAAGACAATAATAGTGTGTATGTGGAGCGCAAAACACACCATGCGCCCTGGCTTAATGGCCATTCTGTTAAGGATCGATTCAGACTTGATGAGAAATACATCGATGCGTATATGACAGGAAGTTACACAGCCGACACATATGCTTCGGACTTGCGCTTAAAGGGAAAGATGGATGAAGCCAAAATTGAAGAAAATCACTTTGTGGCAAAGGGAGTCCAGGATTCTTTACGGAACCGTCAACTACAACCAATGTGTCGGGTATTCTATAACCGAACTGCTTTTCAGCTTCCAGGTGATCAGAGAGTTCGAGTTAGTCTGGATAATAACATGACATTTGTACGGGAAGATGGTTTGGATGGAGTCCGGAGACAGCAGCCTGAAGGAGATATGTGGAGACGTGGTGATGTTGGCATCCAATATCCCTTTCGCAATGTGAAAGATTCTGACATTCTTAGATTCCCATATGCTATTCTTGAGACAAAGATTCAAAGTCATCTTGGACAGGAAACCCCTGCTTGGCTAACTGAGCTGGTCACTAGTCATCTTGTACACGAAGTCCCTCGTTTCTCTAAATATCTCCACGGTGCATCACAACTATTCAAGGACAGAGTACCTGTAGTGCCATGGTGGCTGAGCGAACTCAATATCGATATTCGCAAAACACCTGTTGCCGACGTTGGGCTATCGCGTTCTATGAGCTTCAAGCCACTCTTTAATGGTCGTCACCGGCGCTCTATAGTGGACGTCAATTATCAACAAGTTCTTCCGCTTACAGTGTCCAGATCAGCACCTCATGTTTCCATTCAATTAACAAATGATCAACCTGAGCATGCATTCTATAACCTATCCGAGGCACCAAAGGATAAACGGGATGCGTTTACAAGATTCTGGAGCGGCAGTCTACCAAACTTTGACAAGAAACAAACTTCGAGTCGAGACAAGAGCGGCCAACCTGTAGGGATCTTACCTATTGCTGTTCAACGACGCGCACCTCTGAAGAAGATTGACCCAAAAGCATTCTTTGCAAACGAGCGCACATTCATTTCATGGTTGCAGTTCTGTGCCTTGCTTCTCACAGTGTCGCTCAATCTCTTAAACTACGGAGATTCGGTCTCTCGTATCATCGGAGCTTTCTTTATCATTATCTCTTCTTTTATGTCTATGTAAGTAACACTATGGCTGGCATTGTAAATGAAAATGAAAATGAAAATGAAAATGAAAATGAAAATTTTAATTTTCGATGGCTTTATTTTTGTTTATTTCTTTAGATATGCTCTTGTTAGATTCCAGTTAAGAGCATGGCAGATGAGAACAGGAAATACCAGCCTGAGATATGATGACATCTACGGGCCTGTAGTTCTTTGTGTCTTGATGATTACTGCACTTGGAGTAAACTTTTACCTCAGAGCACCTCTCTTGGCTGCTTCTGTCACACCTACACAGGTTACACCATAAGTTATCTAAGGTTTTTACTTATTCAGGCACATATTATATCAATCGGCCATCTTTTTTTTTCTGCTGTTATCTTTGTCCAGATTTTCCACCCTCTCTCTCTCTCTTTTTAATATGTATGTATTTCCATATATGTATATCTATGATTATCTAATAGATCTTATTAATATTAAACCAAGTAAGACAATATATATTTTCTCTTTGACAAAAAAAAGGGTTCAAAAGTATTATTAGTTTTTAATGTTGAAGGATTATGAAAGACAACCTAGACCAAAATCAAAGTAGAAAAGAAAAAAGAATCATTTCAAAGTTCCCTCTTTACCAATTGGTTTCTTTAAAGAATAGACCATGAATATATAGATATATGAGAGAAAAGTATGTACATATATATTTATATATATATAAAAAGAGACTTGTAAAAGTAGCTAGAGTCGTTTTGAATAAGTACTCAAGAACATGACCATTCCTTTCTTCAATTTCTCGGCTTGCGTTAATATGATAGAGAAATCCGTCCAGTTGTTTAATTCTAAAGCATCCATTAAATGAGTTACAATATCCTTAGTCACCGGTGCATCGCTTGATCCACCAGAATTTGACTGGGCCAAAGGAAAACAACGCCTTTAAGAATATAAATAATCAAAATAAGTAATTCAATATACACACGCCTTTTTACAGAATATCTGTCATATATATATACTTACGCTTCTTCTTCTACCCATTTTATAAGCGCTAATGCTTTCCGAATAAGCAGGTGGCGCCATTGTTGGATATATGCCTCTCGCATTCGAGTAGGTACCTTCCGTGTCTCGTCAAGCAATGTCTGCACTAAAGGTGCTATTGCTTCTGTACGATTAAATATATTGTGTCGCCTATAAGATGACAAAGGAATACAAAAAGTTAAGCGCCGATAGATCTTTGTTTTTTTTTGTTATCGTTATCTTTACAACTTATTGTTATATATATATATATATATATATATATATATACATTTATATAGACCTTACTTCCAACCTGAATCTGCACTGGGAGCACTTGAGCGGGTTTGGCCGGAAGCAAATATACATAATTCCTCATCAAGCTTGGAGTTTATATAAGCCAAGTATTGATTCTGATGTTGATTGTACGAGGGAAACATTGGAGTCTGCTTTACAACTAGGCGGGTCATGTCTACGAGAGTGGTTGGCAGGGATGATTGAAGGACTTTGGTTTCTAATTTTGTATTGGTATCTTCCATGTCCTTTGAAGTTATAGTTTCAGATACAAGATCTATTTCTTTCTTCCATTTTCTTTGTTTTTGTTCTGGTGGATTAAGAGTTTAAAGATGTATATATATATATTTAAAAATGAGTACCTCTATCAATAGACCTTGAAGATACAGATCTGCCATATAAGGATGGTTTTTACGAGCATGACTTGATCGGCTTCTTTCCTCGGATGACAAGAATAGAGCAAGAGTATTTATGACCTGATGTACGTGGGTATATATAATATCATGAATTGATATGATTATCAGTAAATTCATGTCATTATATTAATGCATATTGGCCTATTATTTACCATGTTCATTGTAGTCAGAGTGTTTCCTATCAGCACTGTTGATCCGCCTGTTTGCAGATGTGAAGTAATGACTCTAATAAAATATCATGTGTTAGTTAATTACCATCCAATATATAAATACCTTTATTTACTTTGCAATAAATGGGGAATCGAGCATTTGACGAGACTCGTTATTAAGTATTGTGTGGCTAATCTATACCATACTATGTATTTAAGCATAACTTATTTACCAAGTTGTCATTTTTACTAAAAATTTACCTTTATGCATTCTGTCGGTAAAGAAACTGATTCAAGGTTCATAATAGACCGTACAAATGGAATCAGCCGACGCCATGTGAAATAGTCTAATGCTGTTGCCCAAGTCTACCGGTATGATGTGTTGGTGAGCTAAAATCTATTTGGTATTATAATATTTAAGCATATGTCTGCCTACCATTCCAGGGTGTCGTTTATAAGCCTTTCTTAACTGAACTAGCGGTTTTACAAGTTCAATAGGCACCCGCTCTTGTAATACACCAAAATATTGGGAGAAGTTACGTAGATATCTTGTCGGAACCACCAAAACAAGCCCACACAATGATCCAACTATTTGATCATTGTACAAAAACCCAGTACAGACAATGGCCTGTCGATGAAGAACAACCCACTTAGCCTCGACTTCATCTTGATTCAAGTTTCTGCCCATCTCTCCATTTAATATCTGCCGTCCGATCGTCTTTTCTAGTCTTTCGTCCATTTCCTCGGCTGACCAAACCTTTTCGGTTTTGGGCCCGACCACATTGGACCATTGGACCAACAAGACAGCTGAGAAAAATGAAGATTCAAATAGCTCGGCCAGACTATTGGATGTGTTCGTAAACGGAATGGTAATCTTTTTCTTTTTCGTAGCTAAAACAAACCTTGGTAATTGAGTGAAAACAGAAAAACAAAACAAAACAAAAAAAACCCCCCAAATATTGTTGCTGTGGTTGCTGTTGTGTGTCTATGTTTTTTTTTTGCATAACTATATTTCTAACCTTTGGCTGCATCCTGAAGTGCTGTCATGGCATCAGAAGTTGTTTTTAGTGCAGGCGGAGGAAGTACACTGAACACAGGTTCGGTATTACTTGTAAGAGGTGTGACAACTCTACTACAATTTAAAGGGGATATATTTGGAGAGGTTGGGAGGTTGACGATAGGATGGCTTCTTGTCTTGAGACGTTCTCCAGTGTGAGTATTGGGTGACTTTATGGAGTGATGATGTGTGTGGTGATGCACAGGCTGTTTCCAGCCGTACCCTTCTCTATGACGATCGCCCTCGTCTTTTTTTGTACATTCTTCGGTACCTGGTAAAGGTAGAAGATCTGCAGGACATGTATCTGTATTCTTACGCATGGCATCACTCATCACTACAGCAGTTGTTGTGATCTCTAGTGGTTGGATTGCAGTAGTTGAGGAAGTTGCTTTTGATTTTGTCATGCGTGAACGTTGAAGAGTTGGATTGAATGTGGGCGATGAGTCACTCGAAGCTGGCGACATTCTTATTAAAAGTATTATTCTGGTGTGTAATTATTAATAAGAAAGAGTAAAGGAAAAGAAAAGAAAGAAGCAGAGAAAAATAATAGTTGATTTATTTGTACTTTGATGTGTGTGTGTGTGATTTATATATATATCAATGTATGTGTGTGTGTGTGTGTGTGTGTGTAAAGTGTGCAACCGTTTAATCCTATTCTCTTCTTCCCACCCCCTCTCATTATGCCATGCATTGTTCCCATGACAGTCACGTCTATCCCTTCGGAATTCAGGCATCCTTTTTCAGCTCTTTCCATTTCAAACTTGTAAAGACAAAGTATTTTAACTTCAGGTTGAAACAAATTGAATTTCTTCTTAGATTATTAAGAGTCCAACTTTAGACAAAGAGAATATAAAACTGACCCTACTGTATCTTCATGAATTATTCGTCAACTTTAAATAAATCATTTACACATTTGAATCTTACTTTCACACAAAATTATAAAAATAATCTCACCAAATATATCAAAGAATCTGTGAAAAAAAAAGCCAAGAAGTCTAATAATTAAGGTTGTATATGCCATTCTATGTATTTATCCCCTCACTGTAATGTTAAAGAACCACTTCTTTCAATATTCTAAAAATAATTTTATTAAAAGTTAGAGAATAACTAGTGAAAATAAAGTAATGTATCTCAGTTGCTAATATTAGGAAACACCATTTTCTGGTGGCAAAGAATGTTTTGATTTTACTGGACCTCAAATTTTAAGTTGCTGTTCGGCATCAAATAGTTATATCTGGTCCCTAAGGATTCATTCTTATCATAATAAAGATACTTTAATACAAGGCAGGACAATAGCTTTGGATAAGTGTAAAATTATCCTCTTAAATATGTAATGCTATACTTGAAGTTTCATACTACCTTTAATGAATTAACTGATATATAGAGAATAATAAAATAATTATCTAACGTGCTACTTCAAGACGTGATATCCTAACAGGAAATGTTGTGCCCTTCCCTTATGGCACATTTCAAGTACACTCGAGTTGGTTTACTCTTTCCAGTTGCAGCTACAAACTTCTGCATCTTTGCAATTACTATTGCCACGATATTGTAACCTTTAACTGTTAAAGAGAAATGTTCTTGGACAGAAATGCTTCTTTCCATTGAGAAAAACAAATATTTTTATTGATAGGATTCATATTGAAGTGATTCCTAAAAGGTACTTAATAACATCATAATTTTTAATTGCTAATCTACAATGAGCAGAGTAGTATTTTTGCTGTCTTCAAGAAAAGTAATTTTTTTTTCAATACAAGTGACTAATAGTTTTTATGAGATGAGTATACAATAGAAAAGAAGGCTTTAAATTTTTAAATGAATTAAGAATTTCAGGACACTTCGTTTTGCTCTGAAGGATTGGAGAAAAGACATTTGGCCTGGACAAGTAGCCACAATAAATTAGGTAGGGCCCCATCCTGGAAATGAAGTCCGTGTAAGATTACTATTTGTCCTTTTGTCTTTTTTATTCTTTTTTTTTTCTCTCTGTTTTTACTTTTGTTTTCGCTTTTATTTCATTTTCTCTTGTATTCTCTCTTTTCTCTCTCTTTCCAACTTTTATTATATTGACGCGTGTTTCTGGTAAGACGGATACATTTTTTTTAGCAAAATAAAATACTTCTTTACAAACAACAAAAGAATTAATTTATTCCACTGCCGTAGACAAGCACACACTTGCTCTGTCTCCCTTGCACTTTTATATCCCTCGGTTTTTCTGGTAAGAGAATCTCTTTAAAATACTATATATACAGCTAAAAAGTAGTAATTGTTTTTATTGTCATAGACCCTCGCATTTTATTTTATTCTGATGCATTCTCTTCAGAATGGCCACCCGGATTAGCCAAGGTTAGTAAATATACTTCATGCTGTCATCCCATAAAATTATTCTAAGTTTTTCTCTTTCTTTATCATAGGTCATATCGCCAAAAATACTCTCTATAGTTAAATACAGCCATCAACCCAGTAATATTTTATATTTCTTTTCATTTATTATATTTTGTTTTAATCTTTATCTAACTGAATATATTCTTTATTATAGATGAGCGTTTCTATCCCAAACACGCCATGGATCAAGAACTTCCGTCGCCTGCTATTGCCATTGTCATGGTAAGTCTTTTATTTATTTAAATATATATGATAATATTATTCATATTGTATATTAATATAAAACAATATTTTACTAGAGATTATATCGGCTCTTGACAAGTACTATCGAGATCTACAAATAAATCGTTTTGCTTAGAGCATCTCCAGCAGTATATCTAAACCCAAATACTAAATATCCAAATTAGGATTTCCCGCGCTAGTCCCAATAAGGCGATTTAGTATGAAGAATATGAAGGCCACTCCAGCAGTTTCTTAATACAGATTCTAAACAATTATGACTGCTTCAATTTTTACCATATTTTCACTGTTTATTTAAGCTTTTATTCTCATATAATATCTTGCAAAAATGAACTTTGAACTACTTCTTACATCGCTGAAAGATGACGAACGCAATCTTATAAACGATGAATGTGGCTCGGAGGAGCTTGTTGTTATGGCAAAGCATTACTACCCGGACCTGGACTGCAAAGAGAAGGCTCCAAAGAAGGCACGCGCCGTTATTAATCGCAACAGACAACGTGGTCATGTGCAGTTGTGTGAGGATTACTTCGATCCTGAATCTACTTACACCGAAGAAAAATTTCCCAGACGATTCAGAATGAACAAAGCCTTGTTCATGCGTGTTCTAGAGGGTGTAAAAGGGCACGACAGCTACTTTGAGCAAAAATTCAATGGTGTTCGTGTACTTGGTTTCTCTTCTCTACAGAAGGTATCTGTAGCAATCCGTATGCTTGTATATGGACCACCAGCCTATTTCCTCGACGAGTCTTTCAGGATGGCAGAGTCGACTGCTTTGGAATGTGTAAAGCGTTTCTGCTCTTCCGTCATTGCTGTCTTTGGTGATGAGTATCTGAGAGCACCCACCGGAGAAGATATTGAGAGACTTTTGCAGGAAGGGAAAACCAGAGGATTTCCTGGAATGTTGGGCTCCCTTGACTGCATGCACTGGGAGTGGAAAAACTGCCCAACTGCTTGGCATGGGCAGTTTGTCGGAAAGGAGAAGACACCAACAATTGTGCTGGAAGCCGCTGCCTCATACGACTTGTGGATCTAGCATGCGTTCTTTGGCTTGCCTGGATGTCTGAATGGCATAAATGCCTTAGACAGATCCCATTTATTTAGGAATCTCGCAATTGAGAAAGCCCCAGCTGTCAACTACTCCGTAAATGGCAACAAGTACAACATGGGGTACTACCTAACAGATGGGATATACCCTACATACGGTGCCTTCGTCAAGAGTCTTAACGATCCTAGGACACCGAAAGAAAAGGTACCTTAGTATATATCACGATCTTTCAATTCTTTTAACTAATCACTTCTATTTTTCAAGAATTTCGCGAAGGCACAGGAGGGAGTAAGAAAAGATGTTGAGCGCGCTTTTCGTGTCCTCCAGGCACGTTTTGCCATAGTCTCTGGACCATCCAGGATGTGGGATAGAGACACACTTCATGACAGCGTGCATTATATTGCACAATATGATTGTTGAGGAGAAGAGAAAGAGCATGGAAATGGGTCATGCAGATGATGGTCAAAGGATAGCAGACGAAAGACAGTGTATTGATATCGATCCTGTCTCAACTTTGGCACCTGTGGCTTCTGGTTTTGGAGAGTGCCCATTTCCTGAGGGGAGCTTTGCTAGGTACCTTCAGAGACATCTAGAAATCCGAAACCGAGACCAGCACTTTTAATTGAGACAGGATTTGATTGAGAGCTTGTGGAAGAGAAAAGGCGACAAGCGTCAGCAAATTGAATAAAACAAATGTGTGTATATATTAGTTGTATTTTTTTTTATTTATTTGCTGTCAGTATTATCTTCCATAACCTGCGGCTGTAAGTCCAAGAACTTCTTGCGGGCGGCAGGGTCCGAGATGCTACTGACATCAAAAGACAAAAGCTTTCTTTCAGCAATCATCGCATTTATTTTGATGAGCCTTGTGTTGGCTTCATCCATCTCCCGACGTGTTTTGGCCGAGGCCAGTTCCTCTTCATTTATTTGTCGGCGGATTTTAGCCGACGCTATCTCTTCTTCCTCCAGAAGACGGCGTCTTTTGAAGGACGCCATTTCTTCTTCGTCCAGAAGCTGACGTGCCTGTGCTGCACGCATCTGTTCTGCAGCTTGGTCTTCGATGGACTCGAGGATGCGGACAGTCCTTTCCTTGAGCTCCAATGCATTGCTCAACTTTATCGCATGCATCTCCTCCATCATCTCCTTGAATCTTCTTACGCCCGACTATCTTGCTTTCATCTGCTTTCTCCCAGCAGGCCTAGTGCCAGATATGTCAGACGTGCCATCATCGTCTTGTTGCTGACCCTCTACAGCAACAGGTATAGATGTCTTCACACCACCCTTCCCCTTGCTCTTCTGCTTTTTGAGCAACCTTTCTGCTGTCTCTTCCCACTTGGGAAACTCGGAAAGATAACGGTAACAATGGTGTGCAGTGAAGTTCAACTTCACTTCAGCCTTGTACATCGCCTTGGCCTTGAGCTCCTAATATATAGTTTAATTATCATGAAATAAAAAATAAAGATGTCTTACAAAGAGTTCTTCATTTGTCCCACTCTGGTTTGCTGCTCGAAGTTGGGACATGATTCCGAAAAACTCGGTAGCCGCTCTGTCCATGTTATACCAACGGTTGGTCAGGACACGAGTGTTGCGGTCTCCAACATGCTCGGGAAGGAAGCCCCTGTAATGGTCAGAGATTTTGGACCAAAAAGTGTCCCTCTTTTGTTAATTGCCATGAATAACACCCGTGGAAATGAACATGTAAGAACTGCAGAGCTGTAAATCCTCCTCCACCGTGAAGTTCTTATTGGGATTAAAAGACTCTTTTACGGATGCATTAGTATTATTTATAAACGGATCATCAAGCATATGAGCACTTGTTCTGGTTTTAGAATCATAGTTAAGTAAATCTTGGATATTCATTTTGATTTATGTTTGTATATTAAAAGAAGTAGGGGTGTAAGATCGCGAAAAATGCTCAAAAGATGAGAATATTTTTTATTATATTAGCACATTGGTAGTGAAAATTACAAGTGTGTTAATTGTCTTCAAAATTTTTTTTAACCAACTTCGTCCCTTTCATTTTATTTTCTAACTTTATTTTTTCACTATGTCAACACAAGAAATTACATAAATACTTGAACGTCTGGCATACTTAGAAGATTATTATGCTTCACTAGGAGCTAAAGTTGCTTTCTTGGAAGATAGGCTCGAACCTTTGACCAAAAATTGTAAAACAGAACTAGCTCTGTTGACTAGAGACAATGCTCGGAATGCAATGCTGTTATTGCCTGCAACTGGTGACCGTGATATCAAACACTCTTCACCCCATAGAAAGCCAGACGGTTGGAATTAGTTGGCTACATGCTTCAAGGAAGTGTTGGCCGCACATTTTACTGGAAGCGACCTCACCAAAGCCGAAATAATGTATAGGACAGTGGACAAAATCACTCGAGAGCTAGTTCACTACTCATTCTTCAAGTACAGTGAAAATCATTCTGCTATACCATCATGGGTAGTCTTGCAGATAATCAAAAAAAAAACAATAATGACTAGCAGCCTCGAAGAAAATGCAGCCCTGAAAAACATTGCTCTTGACAGGTTTGAAACTTCTAGGGAGCATTGTTTATGCTCTCTCAGAAGTGAAGAACTGCCAAATAGCATGGAAGATCTTATTAACAAGTAAGGTACTTATAAATATAAAACCATTCATATGTTTAATAAGACCTAATACAAATCAACTGTTTTGTTTATTGGAATAGATAATATTAATTTTTATATCTTCAATTTATAGAAACCTAATAAAAATATTATTTTAAGAAATAACTATGAAATACAATGTAGTTTGTTTATTGCCTTGTGTACTTCTCTTTTTCTGTTTTTGTTTTTTTTTTAAAAAAAAATATATTTCAGGGACCAAAAATAGAAAATAAAACTAAAAACAAATTCACTCATGGCAAAGTATATATTTTTGACCAAGAGTGAATAGGTAAATTTACTCAAACAAGGTCTAACTCATCTTGATATACGTATTTTACTGACTGAAAAGAGTTATACACCACTAAATAAAGTTTAAAGTCCTGGTATTCCATGGATCAGATTTGCTAAGGGATATAGCACTAACAGAGCAATACTTGATTTTTATTGGGCCATCGAAAACGTGTACTGCGAAATTCCAATTTGTGTTATTTCCCACAGAGAATGTTTTGATTTTATTGGATCACAAATTGTGATTTGCTATTTGGTATCAAATAATTATATCTGGTCCCTAAAAAATCATATTTATCATAATAAAAATACTTGAATATAAGGCACTCTAGAAACGTCGTGTCCCTCCCTTATGGCACATTTCAAGTACACTTGAGTTGGTTTACTCTCTCTAGTTACAAGTGCAAGCTTTTGAATATCTGCAATTACTATTGTGATGCCACTGTAACCTTTTACTGGTGAGACAGGAAGAGATTCCCAAACAGAAATACTTCTTTTAAATAAATAAAAATGATATTTTTATTGATAAGATTCATTTTAAATTGATTCCTAGAAAGTACCTAATACCGTCATAATTTTTAATTGCTAATCTACAATGAGCAGAGTAGTCTTTTTGCTGTCTTCAAGAAAAGTAATTTTTTTTAATACAATTGACTAATAGTTTTTATGAGATAAGTATACAATAGAGAAGAAGGTCTCATATTTAAATATTGAGCGTAGAATTCCAGAGCACATCGTTTTACCTTGAAAGATTGGAGAAAAGACATTGGATCTGGACAAGTAGCCACAATAAATTAGGTAGTTTCCTATCCTGAAAATGTCGTTCCTGTAAAATTGCTACGTAAAGATATATGCTTGGAAGTTTAAATCACATTACTTTTTAAATATTTCTGTAGAACTATACAGAAAACAAGTTACATCTTTGGTTTGGTGTGGCCAATAAAATATGATGATAATTTGTATATATGTACATTCGTATGCATATGTGTATGCATATGTGTATGCGTATGCATTTGTTAACTGGAGTAAATATAGCATTTAATTGGGTGTCATGCATGTATTTAATAAATATCTTGTTATGCAATAAGCTTCACATATATTTCAAGTACACCTACAGCTTTGTCAAGATTGAAAAATGCACGCAGATTCTGCATATATATATACATATATGTTAATCTTCTATTTGTTTTGTCTGTCCGTCTTTTTGGGTTTAATGATGGTATTGCGTGCTTAAATTAAGAAGATTACAGCCATTTATTTTGGTATTTTCTTGCATACAATTTCTTTAAAAAAAAAAAAGGCAGAATATCGAAATTCTAGACCTGCTTTATTATATCTTATTATCGTGTAATTCTTTTATGGAAAGTAAATTAATGACATTATTTATTATGATACGCCATCTTGACTATGCACACGCACACGTACAAGCGCATAGGAGAGATAGGTAAAGAAAAATGAATTCCATCTATTATTATTATAGTTATAGTTTTGCATATTAAAATATATAAGGCAACTTCTAATATAAAAAAAATAGAAATAAAAAGTTCTACTCCTTGCTTCCCTCTCTTAAATTAGTTTATGTGGCTATGCTTAATTCCTCTTTGTAAAAAAAAAGGCCCAAGAAAGTACTTTATTAATTTTGTTTGACGAGCTCTTTACTATTCACATTACTAATTTCTTCAAATGACTATGGCGATGTATATATATATATATATACGCAAAGACATCTTGGTAAACATTAAACTTCTTTACAGTATTGTATTTTTATTTTATTTTGTTTCGATGATATATATATAAATATTGGTCTATGCACAAAGTATTTTGTATTGAAGATTGTCAGTATTACTATTGGAAAGATTGCATAAGATAATGCAAGTTTGAAGATGAAATGTTCCTACACTAAGAATATTGTCCCTTTTACCATGATGACTTGTATTATTGTTCTTACTATTACTACTGTGATTATGATTACGATTATTATTATTTTTAAAAAAAAAGAAAGCAAGAAAATGTACGTAATAACAATGTGTTTCTTGTCAGTTTGCTTTCTGTATTTTAATATCAAAGTTTATGTATATGCATTGGTGGGTGGGTGTTGAGGATTGGGTGAGTGCGTGAGTAATTGAGTGATTGAGTGAGTGAGTGTAGGGGATGTGTATGTATATATGTATGTATAAGCGTGTATATATAAGCGTCCAACCAGCTTGCCTAAATATCTCTTTGTTCTTCGTGCCATGGACTTTTCACTTACATACATATACATATATATAGTTCCATGGCAACCACGTCTATTTGTTGTTATTTTTACTGTCTTCTTTCTTTCTTTCTTTCTCTCCTTCTGTTTTAGAATTCTACAAAACTGTCCACTGACTCTATGTACTGCCACTTCTTAAGCTCTGTGCCGTATGGTTTTGGTCTTAGTTCATAAACCCTATTAAAAATACAATAATAGTAATAACAACAATAATGATCACGACAAGCAAAATGAATAAGTAAATATGTTTTCTTCTTCTTTTGAAAGAAGATATAAAGAAAAAGAAAAAAAAAGTACACAACTTACGTGTGAATTGGCACCAGCATGTGTGGCATCTCTTTCTGAGACCAATCCAACATGTAACCAAGAATGATGCGCATTACCACTCGATGAGTTACAATTAGACAGGATTGAGTCATGCGTTCGAGCTCAATGATCATTGACTGGAGACGATGAATTACATCTACATGTATATGTTTAGAAATCATTATAAGTATATATATAGTTGCTTAGTTAATTATTGTTGAGCTCACCAATGTATGACTCTCCTCCCATGCCAGGGTATCGGTAATAGAGTTTGTTACTTTGCCTAGTATGAAACTCCTCGGGATAGAATCGCTGAATTTCCTCATAAGACATGCCTTCTCTCATCTAATATGTTTTTGGTTAGATACACTTTCTTTTTCTCTCTCTGTTTCACATACACCCTCAAAGTAAATAAATAAATATACTCTTTTATATATATATTTGCTCATCATTGAAAGTATATATCTACACTTACTCCAGAGTTGATTTCATTAAGAAAACGAATATGCTATAAACAAAAAGAAAGAAAGAAGCTATATCAGTAATATGCTCCATATTACATACAATTGCACACTACATACTACACTCTTATATATATATATATATTTATTTATTTACTTACCTTTATATCATATACATCAGGATCAAAATTGGCTGCTGTTGCCATTGACCTCTTCAACATACTTGTCCAGACTGTGAATTGCCCACTTGAGAGTTCCTTTGCCTTTGCGTCAATTTTCTCTTGGGTTGTTCTTGTGTCAATTGTCTCGGATTCCTTTTTTCCATCCAGTGGCTCAAGACCATAAGAACGCCAGTCGTCTTCTTCCTTGACCTTGCGACTGGCCAGGTCATAAGCGAAGGAAGCTCGCTGTTGGCTTACAAACCGTTCCAATGCGCGAGCATACTTGCGACCTTTTTCAGACAACTTGAATTTTACAAATGTGAGTAAGTTTTATGAATGTGTGTGTGTGTGTATAAATTCAGTAATTAATTCCTTAATTAAGTAACCATTAGTTCATTTCCTTTACTTACTGGTGCATCTCCACCTATACGACCTGTTACATTATCCATACTTTCTCCATGTCTTGTAATAAATATCTGTCGCTCTAGATGGTTTGTAACAAATACATTGTTGTTTTAAGGAATAATAATAATCAATAAGAGACACACACACACACATATAGAAAGTGTAAATAAATAAAGGTGATTAGCACAAGATATATATATATATATATATTATGATTATGATTATGATTACAATTATGATAATAATTTTTATGATTATTTTTACATTTACCAGCAAGATTGAAATTCATGAGATAGAATATACACTGTCCAGAAAGGTAACCCGAAATGTTGTGGGCAATTACTTTCTTGCCCACATTGATAAGCTTACAAAATTGAATGTCTTGCTCTTCCTCCCAATCTCCCACTGATTCATAGGCACGTTCGTAGTTGTCCACTCGTGACTTGAAATCTAGCAGAGCTTCGGCTGGATCCCGGTCTTTGTAGTCAGGACCAAACAACTTTAACCTAAAGTTGCGTTCCAAGACCTTTTTTATATTATATAATATAATATATAATTAGATTAGATTAATTTGTGTGAAATATAAAGCATATGTTTTATTTTATAATTATTGTAATTCTTCGTCTTTTTCCGTTTGTACAACTTACCATCTTGTCAGTACAGACGGACTCAAGGATTAATACCTTAATTTCTGGCTCTTTTCGTAGGCGATCAATCAATAATTTTCTAAAATACAGAGAGTTCAAAGAAGATGAGTTATAAGTATTTATATATATATCTTTACTCCTTAATTATCATTTACCTTCTTTCCACAGTAGAATTGGTGGCGTCGTGTACACCCACACGGCCACCTTGTTTAAGCCAGTCGATCATTTGGTCAAGTACTTGAATGGCCAGATCATCTCTGATACGCTTCATATCAGTATTATCAGGGTCAAAAAAGTTGGCTGATTGATCATGTTGTTGAGAGGCTTCATTGACACGTCTCAAATTACCAACGTTAAATACCTATATAGATAAACAGACATCTTATAAGCTTGTTGCTATATTGCTACCATCATTATCATTCTTATTTATTTATTTATTTATTTATTTTTGGTGCACCCATTCCTACTCATCTCTTTGTGCATCCTTACCCTCGTTTCGTATTGTAACCAATTCAAATAACGCCTCAGCTTCTTTACAATATAACTTTTTCCACGTGCAGGCAATCCAACTGTTATTATTATTATTATTATGTTTAGAGCATGCATATGAATTCATAAGAAATGATCGTTAGTAAATGTAAATATATCATGTCACTAAAGATTAACACACGCACACACAAGTATAATCTCTCTCAAGAATAGTAGTGATAATAATAATAGTATGATATTGTAGATTATCTCTGAGAGTAAAGTAGAGTAGATTGGCCAACTGACTGATTGATTAAATTTTATCTAAATTTTCTGTGAAGCTAAAATAAGTTTTTTTTTTTTACTGTACCCATAATTACTGCCAACTTGCTGTCCAACGGTCGGTCTGCCTTGACACCCATTCGGTCTACAAAAGTAACACACGCAAAAACAAAAAACAAAAACAAACAGAGCGAGACATATATATATATTAGATACACAATTACACAATTACACAATTACACAATTACACAATTACACAAATACACACATGCATGCATAGACAGCATGTGAGATTATAGTAAAGCACTATAGATACATTCAATATTTAACAATACAAAGCAAACATAAAAACAAACATAAAATAGCCTTTAGTTTGTTTGTTTGTTTGTTTGTTGATTGATTGATATATAGATAGCTTGATAGATTTTCTTGTTTGGTTTGGTTTGTTATAAAGAATACTTTACTTGGAGTAATTATGGTGTGGACAGCTCCAGGAACATCAAATCCAACAGAGTGCCGATGTGATTTTAGAGTCTCGGCTTCATCTCTTAGGTGACTAGGTGGGTGGAAACGGGCAGCCATGGCTTCGGCAGTAGCCCGGTTACTGTCACTCTCGTCCGAGTTTAGTTGCTGCGGTGAGTCTGTACCGGCCGTAAGGCTTCCTACTGAGTCCGCGGCGCCGGTAGGCTCGAGAGATTCTGGACTGTGGGGAAGGGCAAGCGGTCGATGAGAGGGGCGATGGTGTTGGCGATGACGATGATGGTGATGATGTTTTGAGTGAGACTGGCTATTTCTCTGTTGATGTTGATTCCCTCTGTCATTGTGGTATGAGATTGACGGAGGTTCTTCAATCCTGTGGTGTTCGTCTTGCTCTATTTCTTGGTCAGTCTTGATGAACGGCAAGGTCTTGCGTCTTCGTTCCTCGACCATGTTTTTGATATACTGGTAGGTAAAAATTTTGGAAAAAATTGTTGCTGTTGTTGTTGTTGTTGTTGTTGTTGTTGTTTTAAGATAAAGAGATTACAGAAGGTTTTTTTTTATCTCTTTAACAAAATAAATAAATAAAATATAAGGAGAAATGGTACGGAAAAGGAGGAAGGAGAGGGGGCTGTAAAATAAAGGGGAGGAGGAGTGTAATTTAATATAGCTTGGAGTGCAATAGATTGACAGAGTGGATAGGAGAAAGAAGTGTAAAAGATTAATGATGGTTTTTTATTTATTTATTTCTTTTTGATGGGTATGTGAAAGCGCGAAACCGCATGATTGTACGTGTGTGCGTTTATATGCTATTTAGAAAAAATGGAAATCGTGATGTCAGATAGTTCCAGAGATGGAAATGTTCTACAATGATATCAGTATATGTCAATCAGCACCTTACTATGTCTGGATTATGTGCTTATATGAATGTGTATATAAATAGATTGATATTATAATATAACATTAAAGTAAATAAGGAGGCAGGCAGGCAGGCAGGCAGGTAGATGAGCGTGGGCAAAGATTAATAAACATCAATCAATCTATCCAATCAGTCAAAATCAACATATCAACTTTAAGATAAAAATAATAATGATAATTAAGAATAATACACGCACGTTTTATTACCATTTATTTTAATTTTTTTTTAATTTTAATAGGTATTTATAATACAGAATATACACAAAATGTCTTTTATTTTTTTACCTGATGTTTTTTGTGTTCATAATTGCATGTTTATTTCCAAACATCATTTCATTTTTTAATAAATCGTCTCATAAATATCTATATACCAGTGTCATTCTATATATATATATATATATACGTATAAGATTAATGGGTGTGTGTATGGTGTGCAATTCTTTATCTTTTATTTCTAATAATAATAATAGTTTTTTTTTTAGTGATGAGTGATTAGTGATTATTGGGATATCAAATATGTGTTATAATTTGCGAAATAATATGTGAGATATCGCAGAAACAAAAATACCTTGAATAATTGAAACGTGTTTCACAAAATGAAAACGTAGTAAAAAAAAAAAGAAAAGATGGTTTCCTTTATCACTAACCGGCTCAGTGATGGCCTCCTTCTTTCCGACTCCACTTTGCCACTTCCGAGGATTCCTTTTCTCCGGGATAACAGATGCCCTCCGGATTCGCAGTCTTTCTGCAAAAGTGATCCGCGCACACATAAGACTGCCACTTGCCCAAATCCCACCTCCTTTCCCAAATGTTTCACCAGCACACTGGCGCCGGTTTTGGGAGTCGCGCCTTCCTCTTCGACTTTATACCATATGGTGGAGATTGATGCACACAAAGATTCCCAGTAGTCGACAGCGGCTATTTAGTCATAACGTAACGGATATAGAGGACCCTTACTGTGTTCTACGTGGCGAACTCGAAGATGATGAACATCTATTCTGGGCATGCGCTTATAAACAACCTGTTTTGGCAACAAGTTGCAACTCGGCTCCTTATCAATCCTACCTCTCTTACGTTTTAATACCTTCTCCTTCAATCTTCTCCGTTGACCGTCAAAGTCAAAGACACCACAGTGTCCTCATATATTGTTCTGGGATGCACACTAGGTGCTATTTGGGAAGCTCACTTCCGCTATTTCTTCAATAATATTCCCTTTGTCACTAACCGAAGTGCATTCATTGTCGTCGTAAGTATTAGAGGACTCGAGTTAGAAGAATCTATCCAGAGAACAACTTGGATTATTAAATGTTTGGCTTTTGGGTATCTACTTTGAGTAACCGATACAAAATGAAAGTGTAGTAAATAGAAAAATATTAAACTTATAATTCTGTAGTGCATTACATAAAAGTATATGTATATTGTTATTCTTGTGAGCTTTAGACCCTTAAGACCTATTTTTTTTCTTTCTTTCTCTAATTTATGTTCTTGATTGAATTCTCGGGAAAGTACATTATTTTATTACCACTATTATATAAATTGTTATTTTATTTATATATCAAATTTTCTTGTAACCTTAACTGTAGTTGCTGTATCTGTATCTGTATCTGTATCTACATCTGCACCTGTATCTGTTAGCTGTGGTTATAGTGATAATGATAATGGTAGTGGTAGCTAGAGTTAAGTATTATACTGCAATTGAAAATACGGAGATCGAGATTATTTATTTATTTATATTATATTATATAATAAAACACTACGCTACACTACACTACACGATATAATATAATATATTTTATTTTATTTTACTTTTACAACAGCCAAAAAAAACAAAAACTTGTCTGTGAGCACCTTTTATTTATATACATTTATATATAATAGAGAAATAAGGTTATGGTATTATGATTTTGAAAGATAGAGAAAGAAAGATGAAAAAAAAGGGGGGGAGGTATGAAGGTAAAGAAGGTCGTTTTTATTTATTAGCATGGTATACTAAATAGAAAAGGTACAAGTGCAAGTGCAAGTGCAAGTGCAAATGTGTGTTATCTGTTGTTAGATTTGGTATTCTTATTCTATTAGCTAATTATATACCAATACTCTATCCATTAATTCATATCCATAGAGATAAATCTATATACTTTTGTATGTGTAATATGTATCTATGGATACAAATGCCTATGTGTGTGTGTGTATATATATATATATATATAATTACTCTTATCATTTTATTAACCTCAAACCAACTCGTAATAATTGACTATATAAAATAAATAAATAAAATCTAAACCATCTTATTTTACCAGGTTTAGAATATTTAGAATAAAATATTTAATACTCCGTAATAAAAATAAAGAAAAAAAAAACTGGGTGATGCGGGACATGACGTACATGAACAGATCAAAAAAAAAAACAATTCCCCTTTTCCCTTTTTCTCCCTTTTTTTTCCCCTCCGACCTTCCCCCCCCCTTCACTTCACTCGACTCGACTCCACTTCTATTACACTCTATTTCACTCCCCCTCTTTAAAATTTTTTTTATTTGTTAGTCTAAAATGGATATATAGATCTAAAAGTCTTTATTATAGTAACCTGAGCGGGAAAACATGGAATCTGTCGGGGAAGAAAACTCAAACTCAAACATAAGACATAGATAAAGACATATAAGACAGGCTAACATCAAAATGTACTTTACTGACATCACATACATAGACACATAAATATATACATATTTTTTTATAATAAATATTCCATATAAATAATAATTAATTCATATGAAAGCAAATCAAAGCAAATCAAATCAAAGATAAATGTCTTGGATTTGAGACACATTTTTTTTTTGCTTAATATATAAACCCTCCCCCTTATTTCCCCACAAAATAGACTTCTTCTTCTTCTTTTTATTTATCATATTCTCCATATCTTTAATTTATATACTACATCTACCTTACCTTAACAAAACAAGAAGAATCAAATCAAACCGACCAACAAGACAACAGACATAATACAGAATCAAAAAAATATAATATATAGATAATATGGCAAAACTTAAAGGAAAAGCCTTGTTTGCAGCATCAACCCTGTTGGCTGCCATTGGATTTTTGCTCTTTGGTTACGATCAAGTATGTCTTATTTTTTAAATAAATAAATTCATGATTTCTAATGACAGTCAATTTTCTTTATTAGGGTGTAATGTCTGGTGTGGTGTCAAATCAACGGTTTAAAGATACCATGGGTAACCCGGACTCAGCTCTGATGGGTGCTATTGTTGCTCTTTATGAAATCGGTTGTATGGCAGGCGCTCTTTCGACAGGTCGAATTGGTGACTGGCTTGGCCGTCGCAAGACAATTCGTCTCGGATGTGTTATTCTGATCGTCGGTGCCGTCTTGCAGACTGCTGCAGTAAACTCTGCCATGATGATCGTTGCTCGCATAGTCACAGGTGTCGGAAACGGCATGAACACCGCAACCATTCCTGTCTACCAGGCCGAACTGTCTCCCCCAAAGTCTCGCGGAACCCACGTTGCATTCGAGGCATCTCTGTTGGCCGTCGGTGTTGCGATTGCCTACTGGATCGAATACGGTCTCTTCTTTGTCGACGGCGAGGTAGCCTGGCGCTTTCCTCTAGCCTTCCAGATGTTCTTTGCCATCATCCTTTGCGTCGCCTCCTTTGTCCTGCCTGAATCCCCACGCTGGCTCCAGTCCCACGGCTACGAAGAAGAATGTAAAGTTGTCCTGGCCCGTCTCTGGACTGACGAAGACGTCTCACATCCTCGCTGCATCGCCGAATGGGAAGAAATCCGAGACGGCATCGAACTCGAACGCCGTGAGGGTGTCTCGTCTTACAAGGAACTCTTCAAAAAAGGCAGACTCAACAACCGCTACCGTGTCTTGCTTGGCATGGGTGGTCAGCTAATCCAGCAATTCGGTGGTATCAATGTCATCAGTTACTACCTCACAGATGTGTTTATCCAGGCCGGCATGACTACCGAAATGGCAATGCTGATGACTGGTATCGATGGTATCGTCTACTTCCTCGGTGCCTGCACTCCAATCTACACCATCGATCGCCTGGGCCGTCGCAAACTGATGTACCTCGGATTGATCGGACAGGCCGCAACTCTGCTGATTGTCGGTGGCTGCCAGTACCTGGTTGAGAACGGAAACACCAATGCGTCGCCTGGTGTGATCGCATTCGTGATGATTTACAACTTTGTGTTTGGTGCAGCCTGGCTGGGTCTTGCCTGGCTCTATCCCTCGGAGATCTTTACGACCGGCCTGCGTGCCAAGGGTAACTCGATGTCGACTGCAGCCAACTGGCTTGGTAACTTTGTTGTGGCCATGATTGCCCCGGTTCTGTTCGAGTATGCGAAATACTGGACCTTTTTGATGTTTGGTATCCTCAACGTCGTGTTCCTGATCCCTATCTATCTCTGGTACCCCGAAACAAAGGGCAAGTCTCTCGAGGAAATCGAAGTCCTTTTCTCGTCCGAAGAAGTCCAGGAGGATTCCAGATCTCTGTCGCACATCGGCTCTGTATCAGCATATGACTCTAAGCGTGATGCCGAGTCTCTGGCACAGCGTCCCCATTCGTCTCGCATGTACAGCTTTGGCAGTCGTCCTGGATCTCGTCGCATGCCAAGTTCTTTCTCTGTTGTTCACCCAAAGTCAGAAAAGCCTAATCCCAATTCAGCAGCCGGCCAGGTCAAGCAGGAGTACACCAAAGGCGATGATGAAGTAAAGGGTCCCAATTTCAAGTAAAAAAAAAAGGAGATATATAGTGGGATAACATATTTTGCTATTATTATTTTTTTCTTTACCTTATTGTACATACATACACACACACACACATATATATATATAAATATTTCTTTTTTATATTTAGATTTAGATTCCATAATTAATTTCTTATTAATCCTATACATTACTTGTGATATTTCCCTTGACATAAACCACAAAACGAAATTCAATAAATTCAAACAAAAAATTCAAAAATATATATATAAATGAATAATTTTGACTGTCTTTATTTGACTATTGATGTGTGTGTATATAGAAAATATGATTCTAAACCATTAATATCACATCTAGTCAATTCTATAAAATCCTGCTATTGGTATGTGTGTGAGTTTGTACCTTTTATTTTATTTTTCAAGACAAAGAAAAAAAATTTTCACCTATTGTATTGCATATTGTAATACAACTATTTGGGTTTCTCACTTGTCAATTGATTTCCAGAACCAGTTCATTAGCTCCAAACTTAAAAATATTAAAATATAAATGAACAGTTACTTGGATTTATTTATTTTATACACAGCTTTAAAAGTTATCCTGTAATTTGTGTAATTCGTATATTTCTAAATTCTGTAAATTCTGTAAATTCTGTAGCCACAAATTTATTTGTAATTCTTTTTATTATTTTAGAGAGTCGAATACATTGTATTTCAACTTGTTGTTATTTCTGCTGCTGCTGCTTTTTTTCAGTATGAAATAAAATAAAGAATGTGGTTTCAATAATATATATATATAAATGGTTGCTAGGCCTATTGTGGACTGGATCGACAGCTAAAGGTGTACAAGTCATTTTTGTATTTAAAAATATGTTAAAAAAAATTTTTTTTATACTATTATAACTATCGGAGACTTGAACATATATATATATTATTTTATATTTGGTAGGCAGATTTATAATGAACTATAAAAAATATAAAAAAAAAAAAAGAATTAGAAAAGCTTGTTTTGGACACATAAATATTCCGTTACCCGATACATAATAATGTGAGTACAGATCGATTATTTATATATATATATAAATAAGAGAATAAAAAGAGTGTTAAAGGGCGGGTAAAAATTGAATTAGAATAAAATAGGAATTTCTTGTATTTTGTATTTTATCAATATTCATTCATTCGTCTTTACGGTTAAAGAAGATCTTTTCATTTTTTTTTTTAAAAAAAAAAAACAAACCAAGTGAATTTAGAGTAGGGTAATTTGTGGAGACAAAGGGAAAGCTGGAGAAGGAGATTGGGCTTATAATGATAATGATAATGATAATAATAAAAAATAAAAAATAAAAATGTGGAGATAAATTTTTTGTGGAGAAAAATGATAATGATGCTGTCATCTTCTTTAGAGTCGGTTTCTCTTTTTCTCTTTCTCTCTTTAAATATATATGTATCATTGAAGAAATATGATGATAATTTGCTGTTCTTGTTTTTCTATTGGTAAAATTTTGTGTACATGTATCATTATCAATATCACTATTACTTTTAGGCCTTTACAGGTGAATAAGTAGTAACCAAGCATTTTTGTTTTATTTGGAATTAGTCGGTAATAAATCCGGCCCTGGATTCAAAAACACCAAAAAAAGGAGGGTGGTCAATAAATCAGAAAAATACGGGAATAAGTGGGACACATGCAATCTTGCACAACAACCATATATATATATATAAAAGACTTGACATCATCAACATATACATCATCATTGGTATTCTTTACTTACTTTCTTTTGTATGTATGTAGTAAAGTATAGTAAAGTATTATACGGTGGCTTCAATTTAATACTTTAATATTTACTATTTAATTGCTTCTTCTATTTTATTCTATTTTATTCTACTATTAGACCATTGGATTTACCAGTATTTACAATTACTGTCTACCAGTAGTAATAATACTATTATTATTTTAGTCGCCTCATAGTTTCAGATGCAGTGTTTCCAATCAGGTCACAGTCAGTCGGCCATAAAGATAGTTAAGATGATTGTATTGTATATAATTGACTAGCACATCTCTTGAAGAAAAGTATTATCCGAAACCGATGTGACTTTGTTTGCAACTACCCTTTTATTTTATTTTATTTTAATCTTGTTTCAAAACCTTCATTCTACTCATAATAGCACTTCTTGTACTTTCTATTACAATGTATTTATCTTTAAATGAATGAAGGAATGAGGGTACAAATATTTCAGGAAAATTCCAATTAAGGTTTCTTTTTCCTTTATTTCACCAGATTTACCTGCTATTGTTTGACAAAAACAAACAAAAAATAAGTTTCAACTTCCACTATATTTTATTATTATTTTTACGTAATAAAGGTCCCTTTAGTCCCTAATTTTAATACCTCTTTTCCTCACCAGCAAATATATCTATTATATATGAAAATAAAATAGAATAAAATAAAAAATCCAATGGTAATAAATTGAACAAAACAAACTCACGACATACGGTTGCTTATTGCTGTTATGAGCATTGTTTTAACAACACCATTACTATCATTGACAAGCTTATCTCTGCTGTGTTTGGTAAAGCTGAAAATAATAATTATAACAACAATGCCTATCATCTCCTATCCTAGCATTCTCTTGTGCATTTTCATATTCGAGCTAGTATCAAACTTTGTGTATTGCACCTTGGCCTATTGTTTGACCAATTACAGCAATTACTACTTAGTTTTGTATATATCTATCTATATATACACATGTATAGTGTATGTTCTGTCAATGACATCATACTATACAAATCAAAATTACACCAGTTTTGTTGTTGTTACTGTTGCTGTTAGATGAGCCTTACTACTATGATGTTTTACATATCTATCCACATAATATCACTATTCACATTTATCATCAAAAAAGCTAGTAACTCCCTATCAATAACCGAATGCTTTTATATATATATATACCATATTATTTTCTTTCTTTATGTGAGACAATCACATTCATATCAAATACAAGCGTCATTAACACCACAATCAACATAATCTATCGTGTCACACACATTTTTGTGCTCTTCTACATTTGGTGTGGACAGACTAAAAGTTCAAAAAAAAAGAACAAAAATTCAAGTCATATTATTGGGCAAGAGTTTTAATTAATTTTACCCTTTTTTTTGTCCTTTTTTTTTTGAACTTTTAGTCTGTCCACACCAAGTGAGATTAATTTTTTTTTTGGTTATATATTTGTAATGTCCGATATTTGAAGCAACATGGTTTGGTGTTGGAAAATATCGATATCTCCATAAATATTCGTCTGATTTTTAGTCAGATAAGCACTGACCACCAAAGATCAACGTTTTACACACTGTCCCTCAGACCTGGACTTGCGAGAAAAAAGAATACCTAAATAGAGCTCGCATCACTATTAATCGTAAAAGACAGCGCAGCCATATCCCATTGCGTGAGGACCATTTCTGTAGACGCTTTAGAATGAACAAAATCTTGTCTATGCGCATTCTGGAGGGTATGAAAGAGTATGGCGATTACTTTGAGTAGAACATCAATTCTTTCCGTGTACCTGGTTTATCCTCCTTGTAGAAAGTCTCTGTAAGCAATCCGTATGTTTGCATATAGACTACCGGCAGACTTTACCGCCGCTTATTGCCACTTGCGGTAACAATCCAGGACACTGTACCAATGCTCTACAGTAAATTCAAGTTTCATTTTGGTCTTGTATAGAGCCTTGGAATTGAGTTCCTAAGATGACATTTAATTATCATGAAATACGGAATACGCATGAAAAAAAAAATGCATGCTTTACGAGGTTCTCATCATTGGCACCACTTGGCTTTACCCGCTTGAGTTGGAACAAAAATTCAACATATTCGGCAACAGATTTGTTGATATTGTGCCAATGGTTGGTCAAGGCACGAGTGTAGTGGTCTCCAATATGTTCAGAGAGGACACTCCTGTAATGGTCAGTGATTTCAGACCAAAAGGTGGCACTCTTATGTTCACTGCCATGAATTGCATCCATAGAAACAAAAATGTAAGAGTTGCAGAGCTGTACATCTTCCTCTACAGTGAAATTCTTTCTGGAAGAAAATTTTTTTTCTACATATATTTGTATTATTATTATTATTATTATTATTATTATTTTAACCGAGGTTATATTAATAAAAGTTTTGTATTGGTACCAGCTTTGGCTACAAGAAAGCTAATGACGTTAATGCAATCAGAATTGCCCATCTTGGTTGTCATTGTTAATTATTTTGTAAAGAAGTAAAATAAGATTCAATGACCAACAACATCTCGAACATCAAAGTCTCTCTTTAAAAGAGAAAAAAGGAATATAACAAAACTAGTAGACTCTATACAAATCCTGGTAAATTCTACAGATGTGTAGAATATGATTCAAAAACTTTATATCTCAAGTCCGTTTTTGGGTATGTGGAATCTTGTCTTGTATAGAAATTTTTGGAGGCGATTTTTTTTTTTTTTTTTGGAAAATCTATACATTTACTTCCAAATCTGGGTATATAGAGTCTGTATTTAGAGACTGCTGGAGTTACTCTTAGAAGTACATTTATACCAGCAAAAACTCACTATTATTGTTATTCTAGTCATAGAAATTGATTTGGTATAGTATTTTTTGTAGTAATCTATCAAGCCCATTAAGTAAACTAAATACAAGCACAAACATATATATATATATATATTCTTGCATGCTTAAAGATATTACATACAAATAGATTGGATTGGTAGATCAATATTATGCGTGAGAGAAAGAGAGAAAGAGAGAGAGAGAAAGTACTTTAAATAAGAAATCAAGATATCTAAATACAGTTACCCGCCACAATGTATCTCTCCTTTTCATTATTTATTTAATATTTATATGATTTATGGCACTAGTTTCATTTCACAGTATAGTCTATTGTGTATTATACCGAGTATACTATACCCATAAAAAAAGGAACTTAAAGCATAGGCCATTAATAAAATAACAAAAGTACCTTGTAGACATGACTAATTCGTAAATAAAATAAATCCAAGCAAAACAATACAAAAAACCAAGTTAAATAACATTGGATCCAACAGATTATAACTTGTATTTATTATTATTATTATTATTATTATTATTATATGAAAATGTGTGTATGCAGATCGAAGACACTTGGCACTGGCACTGGCACTGACTGGAAATTGCAGTGTAATATGTACAATGGGGTTTTTTCTTTGATTTATTTCTTTTTTACTAACAATAAATCTCCTTACTTGTAAAATGGATGGTGCGGTTCTAAACAAGCATTCCAGGGAACAAATATCGGGATAAAGAGCGATCTTTCTGAAGGACAAGTATACCTTTTTGATGAAAATAATAACCTTTCTCCAAGTCCGTCTGTTTGCCCGTTTGTCCACTCGTTTGTTCGTTTGTTTAAAGATACTGATCTACAAAATACATACTTCTTTACACCAGACATGTACACAAACGCATGTATACAAAGCATGTACGCAACTATATACACAATTTGTCTGATTGTATTCAAAATTATTGGTCTCGACTCTTCTCGAAGCCTATCTACCTATTTCTCTTCATTCTTTTTTATACACACACACACATATATATATTTCATTTCTTATTATTTTCACCTTTATTATCGACTGTATTTTACCTTACCTTTATTTTATTTTATTTTATTTTTGCACGCATTCAATGTACAGTGAGTGCCTTGAAGACTCGTGATGGCTATGGCCCCCTTTATTTTCTTTTTTCTTTTTAGTATGCAGCGCAGCCCAAGGGAGAGCAGAAAAGCTGAGGGAATTGTTAGGTAAAGAGTAAGAATAATATGGATGTTTGTCGATGCGAGATTTTTCTTTTTTTCTTTTTTTTCTAATTTTACCTGTAATTCCTTCTTCTTCTTATTTTAAGCTTTCGTCTTTCTCTCTCTCTCTCTATCTATCTATCTATCTATCTATCTATCTATTTCTTGTTCACTTTCCCTCTCTCGCTTTATATATAACACACCCATAATCTTTAACATTTTCTCTCTCCATATATATATACATACATTTTTTTACAGTCTTTTAAATATCATCTTATTTTGCTTAAATAAATAAATAAATAAATAAATACATAAACAAATAAATAAATAAAATGCATCTTTTAGAATACATGTACTTATTCTTGACATTAATAATATTTTATAATATAATATATTTTTGATAGAGAATAAGATGCTGTTAAATTATACAGACACAGAAAGGGAATTGCAGAGTATATTTTTGGGCCAACAAATATTAGTGTATGTGGGGCTACTTGTTTTGAAAGACAGTGCAGATCCTTACTTTTGGGTTCTTGATTCTCCTTAATTCTTATAAAAGAATAAGGCTCTCCCCTTTGGCCTCCCTTTCTTCAACATCTTCTTTACTCTCTTTTCATCTCATGAAGCTCTACGCACTCTTATCCATCCTCATTGGCGCCGCTAGTGTCTCTGGCCAGTTGACAGCACCCACTCGAAACTATAATGTCACTAGCCCTGTCAGCAATGGACCATATGTGATCGGCCAGATTTTGCCTTGTACTTACCGTCTCTTTTCAGACGTCGATAGTTCAGGTAATAAATATATATATATATATATATTACAATAATTTAAGACACTTGGATCAAATTAACTTACTCTCTCTCTCTCTCTCTTTTATATTATTTATTATTTATTTTTTATTTTTATTTTTATTTATTTATTTATTATTGGTTGCCTGGTTACTTGTTGCTTGGTTGCTTGGTTGCTTGGTTGCTTGGTTGCTTGGTTGCTTGGTTGCTTGTTGATTTTATTATTATTACTATTAGCTCTAAACTTGCAGGTTACATTGGAACCTACTGCACTTCCATCTAATGGATCGCTTCTAATTTCTGCCAATGCTGATGTGACCAAGACAGATGCTTTTATCAAAAGAGATGGAAATCTCACTTACTATGAGCATTCTATCAACTTCAACATCCCTTCTACAGTGAAGCCTGGTAACTACAAGGTTGTCTTCCTTGACAAGTCTACAAACACCCAGCTCCCTGTCCCTATCGAGGTCCGTCCTCCTGCCGTATCCACATCCTCACTTGCCAAAGCATCTGCAACCAGTATTCCCGGCCAGACCCAATCAACTGGCAGCATATTTACCAAGAGCTCAGATTCTACTATGAACTATCCTGGATTGATAACTGTACTTCTCCTCGTTTCCGTTACTATGTCTGCAATGGCTATTGTTCTGTAAAACAAAAAAATATTAGAGATAGTATGATCTCAACAGTCTCGATAATAGCCATATCATCAATTACCCATTTATTTACAAAAAAGAAAAAAGGAAAAGGGAAAAGGGAAAAGGGAAAAGGGAAAATAATAATAATAATAATAATAATAATAATAATAATAATAATAACAATAATAATAATAATACTGATAATAATACTGATAATAATGCTGATAATACTATTGATAATAATAATGATTTTAATGGATAATGGATAATGAATCATGGATAATGGATAATGGATAATGATAATGAGAAAGTTAACTACAAAAAGTTAATAACAATAATACTAGTAGTAGTAGTAGTAGTAGTAGTAGTAGTAGTAGTAGTAGTAGTAGACTTCATCTCTCTATCTCCTTATATATACATTATCTTCATTAGACTTTCGAGATCTTTTTATTTAGTAAGCTATACCATTCCTTCCTAATAACCTTCTTCTTCGTCTTTGTCTTCGTCTTTGTAAGTGTTTGTCAAATGCCTTGCTATAATTTGCCAAATACATCTTTATTTATTTATGTACCAACTACAATAATAAACCGTGTTTAAACCTAGATGTAACATTAGCAACTGTACCCTGCTGCTTATTAAACAAAGAAGTTGAAATAAGAAAGCAGCTAGCAAAAAATAAATAAAAAGAGTGTACAAGGAGTCCTATTTGAGTAATATATATATACATGTATGTATGCATATGTGAGTGAGTGAGTAAGTGAGTGAGTGAGTGAGTGAGTGAGTGGGTATGGGCGGTGAATATTGATAGATCCAAGCAGATTTATTTCTACGCACCCCTTTCCCCCCTTTTTATTATTATTACAGTACACTACAGCTGTACAGCTATTTATTTCTTTAGGAGGTACATAGAATCAATGCATGGGCTTGAAGTACACGATACTATTCGAATTTGTAATATATAAGTATATAAAGGTGTGTATGCGTGGTGCACATCACTCGAGTTTAAATGTAGAATAAATGCAACTATACATGTAAAGATATTTGAGGATCATAACCCCCACCCCTTGTTAGCAAGAATTTGCCCTAGAATTGAAAGAAACCAAATGAGTAATAATAAACTAGATATATATATATATATATATTGTACAGAAATTGGTAAATAAATGTTGATGGACAGCATCCAAATGAGTTTTTATATATATATATATATATATATATATTTCTTGTTCCTTTATGCACGGACCTCTTTCTGATATATGCGAATTTGTATCATAAATTATGAGAAACAGCCTCTTTATTTGCGCTTGTTATATTTAATGACCTGTTTCTGTGAGATTCTTTCGCTAACCGACTGAATCTCTATTATGTCTTTCATAATATGATAGCAAGTAAACCTCAGACTTGATATATTTTCTATTTGTTGTGTGGGCAGTAACAAACCAAACCAAACAAGAAAGAAAGAAAGAAAGAAAGGTCAAACGCCGACAATAATTTCTAAAAATGAACAATATACTCTTGATACACGCATACGCTTTTCTTTTTCTTTTCCATATTTTATTGTTCAAAAGTAAAGAAAGAACAGAAAATAGCAGTACATCACCACCACCACCACCACCACCACCACCACTACCACTACCACCACTACCAACGACAACAGCAGGAGAAATTAGTATTCGAGTCAACAAATAACAACATATAGTATTGACTTCAAGCCACGCATTTTATTCTTCGACCTTTCTCTCTCTATCTTCCATTCTTTATATCTATATATCTTTCTTTTCCATTATATATACCAAACATGGCGGACACTGATGAATTCAGTAATGTACAATGGAATGTACAGGGCACAGAAGATATGAATCGTAATCACAGCTACTACAACTCCCAATCCTCTCTCGAAGAACAACACCAACAACAACACGAACAGCACGAACAGCAAAGCTCACTGATTCTTGATAATCCTTTGAGTGACCATTTGCAAGGCTCATTAGGATCTCATGATTCGGATGGATTCAATGTAGGACAAGAATAGCTTAGTAGATTCAAAACGATTCTTATTACTTACGCATAATCAATCTCACAAACGTTTGATATTACTATGCTTGAATTGTCTATGATATACGTACATGCACATACATGCTAACAACAATAATAACAATAAAAAAAACCAATAAAGACCTTTCATCACTCGAACGAGATCGACATTGCTATCCTTGAGCCTTCATCGGTCAATGTCGATATTGATATATCCGACGACCCGCTATTGGATCCTCAGACGTCTCAACTACATTCTATCCAAATACCGGTACAAACCTTACCAGATTATTATTCGCATAATAATGATCAGCAGCAACCACAGCCACAACCACAACCACGACAACAAAATACAGGCGAAACTGTGTCCCAATCAAATAATGCAAAAGACACGTATTCTCGTAAACATATCTTTGTCAGCGATCCACGAAAAGAGACTGATCTGCAGCAAGGAACATTTGTGTCTTATGGAATAACCTCTGATGTAAAGCCTATTTTACTACTACTACTACTACTACTATTATTATTATTATTATTATTATTATTATTAGAGATATTCGCATTATGTACAATTTTTTTAAAAACAAAAGAAAATGAATTGTATAGAAACCGCTGGTACGAAGAAGATTCCAAGACTTTGTGTGGTTAAGAAAGGTTCTCTACGCAGACTATCCTGCTTGTTTTGTACCACCTCTGCCAGATAAACATCGAATGGGTAATTGAATTGCTAGATTTTATGTATCTTTTTGAAACACTCAACAAAGAATGGGTGCATTTGTTACAGAATATGTCAAAGGAGATAGATTCGGAACAGAATTCATCGAGAAACGGCGAATGAGGTAAATATTGCTGTACAAAACTGCATTCCGTTGTATTAATTTCATAATAATATTAATAATAATGCATTGTAAAAAAAAACATACACACACACACCCATACACATACATACATACATACATACATACAAACATGTAAAGTCTTCAACGATTCCTACAGAGAATATCCTGGCATCCTGTACTTGGCCGATCCAACTTTTTTGTGATGTTTTTGGAATCGAGCGATTTTGTAGGTTTTCTGAAAAAGAATAAAAATCGATGCCACAAATGTGGGAATATGTGTCTAGATTTTGACCAGCAAATCGGTTTTAGAATGATGCCTCTGCTCGTGCTCTCCGGGAAAGTCAAGAAACAATGATTGACACACTAGGAGACTCTTTGTTAAACGCATTCTCAAAACTCAGAAAGCCAGACGAGAGATTTGTTGAAATGAAAGAGCGGATTGAGAGGACTGAAGAAAACCTCGAATTGCTTGAAAAGACCTTGATGAGATCCAACAAAAGAACAGACGGTAATATTTTCTGTATAAATATTTGAAACCTATGTTCATTATTTCTTTTTTTTTTTAAAAAAAAAAGATCTCTGCAATGATTACGAAGAGTTTTCTGCAAGTATTCGTGGACTGGCTGAGCTCGAGGCAAACATGAACGAGACCCTTTTACATTTTGCTTCTGGTGTTAGTCAATATGCAAAGAACATCAGGATAATGGTGAGCTAGTTAGTTAGTTAGTTCATTTAAATATGCATACCCATTGACTTTCTTTGTTTGCTTGCTTATTTGTCTCAGGCGTCAAAAGATACAGACTGGCTTGGTGAAATCCATGATTATATGGCCTATTATAGTGTCCTCAAGGTAAGCACAATCAAATCGAAATCTCATCAACAAAATCTCATCATAATCTTGATTGAAAGGATGTACTCAAACTACGGGATCAAAAGCAGCTTGATGTTGAAGAACTTACAGATTACTACCAGACTACCATTAAAGAAAAAGAAAAAATGATGAGGGGTCGACCTGGAGAAGGATCTTATAATTTTGCTGGATATTTTACAGGAAAGATCAATGAAGTCAGAGGAGCTGATACTGACAAGATTAAGCGAGAGAAGATCTTACGCTTAGACGAGCGTCTTCGAGAGGTGATTTCTTAAGAGACATGGAGAGATAGAGATAATATTTACTTTAATAACAACCTAACCAAACTTTATGATTATAGCTCAAAAATGCTAAGGATCAGTCTGATATTGTATCTAGTGCATTTTCTGACCAAGTCAAAAAAGAAGATCACTTTTTCACACAAAGCAAGTCTGTCGAAATGAACGAAGCATTAAAAATATATACTGATGGCAAGGTTGAATTCTACGACCAGGTATGTTTTATAAAAAAAAAAGCAACTTGCTTATTGAAGCTCATGGTTGTGAAATCAAAAGGGAATTCAAATCTGGCGCGATGTTGTTCAGGCCTTGGAAAAGGTGGATCCAGATGAATCATAATCTCGAAAATTCTCAAGATATCTTAAGCTCCATTTAAGCAATCCTATCTTCCACACTACCCAAGTTTTCAATCTCTCTCTCTCTCTTTACCTCCCTTGGATATATAAATATGTAAACGATTATTTTCTTTCATATATTTTCTTTTACAGTCTACGCAATCTATGAAATCTGTTTTAATTGGGCCAGTTCATAGGCAATTTTTCCTCCTACAATGGCATTATTCTTTACTAAAGCAATGTCTTTTTTTTTTAAAAAAAAAGGAGTTAATAAAGAAAGGTCTCATTTACATTATAAATGACTTACTGGCATTAAGGGACTCTCCTTTTGTTAATTCAGCCATACGCTTCAATAAAAATGGAGTTTCTTCTTTACCAACAACACCATTTTCTCTAAAGAGATTCACATGAGTTTGTTAGAACAGCAAAAATACACACTGGTGGTATTTGGTTTACCTTGCTTCGGCAATTGCGGTATCAATCGCACTCTGGATTAAGCGAGCATCTGCTGCAGATTCACGTGGAATTGGAACAGCAATGACTATACCACTGTTCAGCCCAAGTTCATGATTTGACACTTTTGCGATATTTGTAAAGAATTGTGCGGTTTAGTAGGCTGTAACAAAATGTCCTGAACCCAACTTTATGGGTTGTATGTACATGTTCATTTTGATGCACTAACTTACAAATAGCTTGTGCTGCAGCCGTAGCATCTTCAACACGGCTAGGACTCTGAGATTATGTGATTTGGGTCACAGGATGTTAATTTAAAAGAAACTTTAAAAAAAAATACTTTATTAAATGCCAGACTTACATCGAGACCACTATCAGGTGTGTAAAAAGCAGGGAATCTCTTACTATCCCCAAATGTCGATACAGTCACACCTTGAGTTTCCTATATTTTAATGCAAAACGTTTATAAAGCTGGCTTCAACCACTTTACTATACAAATCATACCAGAACTTCGAGTGTTTTTGGGATGTCAAGAATGCTCTTAACACCGGCGCACACAACAGCCACAGGAGTCTTTCCCAATTCTAGTAAATCAGCGCTAATATCAAATGCTTTTTGATATGATTAAATAGACATGCACACAAACAGGTAGATTTAAGGCTTACATTGATCTGCTCCACGGTGTACACCTCCAATTCCGCCAGTAACAAATACATGGATTCCAGCAGCCCTGGCAAGGAACATGGTGCTAGCTACAGTCGTAGCACCAGGCAAGCGCTACAAATCCAGAGGTTTATATATGGTTATGAATACATTAAATAAAACCCGTATTTTAGTTTTATTCTCTTACCTGAGAAAGGACAATGGGTAAGTCACGTCTAGAAGTCTTTTGTGCCTTGACTCCAATCTTTCCCAATCTCTCCAACGCATTATCTTCAAGACCTGTACATAGACACACGCACATAAAACGTTTTTACGCCTTAGAACAACTAACATGTGAAGAATCTCTAAGACAGATTATATACCAATGTGAACTTTTCCATCTAGAATTGCAATGGTCGCAGGAGTAGCACCTTGGGCCCGAACAAGATCTTCTACTGCACGTGCAGTCTCTACATTCTGTGGATAAGGCATTCCTATAATAAATGGGGATTAATAATAATAATAATAATTAAGTGTTTGGCCTTGACCTAATGTTCAGTCTAATGACCGAGATTATCATCTTTACCATGACTAATGATTGTAGATTCCAATGCAACCACAGGACCGTTGTTGGAAAGAGCTTTTTTTACTTCTGGGGAAAATATAAAATTTTTGGAAGTTGACAAGGCATGGAAAAAGCGTGTCTTGGCAAAGACTTTGGCAGAAGTACGTACAGTAAGAGAACGAAACATCTTAGAAAGACTAAGATATCTAATTTACAAGAAGAGTAAAAATATATTTTCTGATATATATATATATATACAAACCCTAAAGTTTAATTATACAAATATACCATACATTAATAATGCGTGGCTTAAATTCAACTAATCAAGGATATCCTTGAACCATAATCTGCGGGACCCTTGACAAAAATAGCTCTTGTACGAGCTTATGATAAGATATAATAATGACAAATAAATGTATATTGTGAATAGTAGCAATAATAAGAATATTTGCTTTAATAATAAACTCAGACACCCTTTGGCTGTGATTTCCCATCTACTACTGGTGTATCCGCCACTAGATCAGAATGAGCCTCGGAGGGGGAAGACTGCTCGGCCGTGTTCTCGGTAGAAGCAGTATAAGATCGTAAAGCCTCTTCGTACTCGTCGTGTTCTTTCTTAAACAAATCCAGGTATTTCTAAGAAGTAAAATCAATACCAGTACAAAATATTAATGGCCTTGCTTTTACCTGTTTCTCTTTGGGCTCCAATGATTTCCATTCTTGACCAAGTATTCGAGTCATTTCACCCAAGTTCATGTCATGATCCGACTCTTCTTTTATACGATCCCGCTCCATACGACAATATAAAAAGAAAGGATTTCCCGGTCCTTTTGGAGCATTTGGATCCTTCTTCTTCTTTGCTTTAGTAGAATGTGTCGAGTTGGTTTCCTTTTGAGATCTTCGCTTTTTAACTTGATTGTTAGGACGCCCGAGTATCTTTACAAATGAAGATTGATCATTGATGTGGGCGCTTTCGTGATGCAGGCGGTCGCGTTTGATGCCTGCGGCTGATGTATGCTTTACAAAATGATTAATTTGTGCCATTCTGTTATTCTTATATCGCTTACTGATCTTACGGATTCCACATCTGACGCAGAAGAGTCGTCAAAACTTGTTGTTATTACTCTGCTCCTTTCTATTTCTTCTAATAAGATGCTTTGTAATATTTGATTAGAGTTTTATATGTGATAGGATATACACAGCTACTTACTCTTTCTCATTTCGTAATCGCTTTACTTGATCTTGATATACTCGAAGATCGTATTGAAGAGACTCTTGGCGCTACTGCATCTGATTAGTATTTGAGATTTGGCTGTAAATATACTGGGCGTTTACCTGTAAAGCTTTTCTTAATTGTGTTTTGAGCTGATTGCATTGAGTTCCCAAATTTGTTTCTGTACTGGTATTTAATACCCTGCTATATATATATATATATATATATGAAGTTATTCAAACATACCATGATTTGTATTCATTAAAGGCACCAAAAATAAAATATTAAAATCTTAATAGAAAGAAAGAAAAAGACAATAAGATGAGAAAGAGATGCAAAAAAAAGAGCAGGGATTCAAATGAACAAGTTCGCTTCTTAATATTATTTGTGTGCTAATATGCATTCCCTATATTCAAAGTTGGATTTCGACCAATAAAACCAAGAATAAATATAAAGTCTCTTATGTAAGCCTTTGTCGTTTTAATCTTCGTTTTTGAAATCCGTGCTTTCCATTACTATGATTGTTCTTGTGTGAAGTCATGTAAGACTCGTAATTTGAATGATTTACAATTATAAATAAATCATTAGGGCTAAATACGAAAAATATAATATAATATAATGTTATGTTATGCTTTTTTTAAATGCTAGGCTAAATAATAATATAATATACGTCTATTTAAAGTATAAACTAAATCCATTATACTGTAATCGATCAAGATTATTATTATTCTTTAAAAATATATATATAATGAGCTTTCTATCCTTTATTCTATTTTCTACCTGTATTAACTTCAAAATCATCTCAATATACTAGTTTAAAAAAATATTATTATTATTATTAAAATTGATTAAATTTATTAGCTATATAATGAACTCATAAATGTGAATACGATATATTTCCGGGCAGATTGAATAGAGACTTAAATTTACAGAACAAATATTTGAAGAAGAAGAAAAGAGGAACTGTTTTGACATCAGGTTTTAAGAAGAAAAGAAAACATATTGATTGGATATGTAAAATTTAATGGCAGCAGGAAATGTCTTTTTTCTGCTGATTAACGGAAATATCCGACAAAATTTTGTGATGTGTTTAAACGCTCTCTAAAGTGTCTCATTTGCGTGATTATTGTATACAAGAGCATCAGAAATCTTATACATGCTCATTGTCAACAAGTTTTTTTTATAGCCAGAGTACTCAATTACAAAAATAACGAATTGTATGAAAAAGATTAAGACTGAATTCAATGGATGAGAGATAGATCCTTAATGAACTTAGAAGGGATCAAACACATCCAATCTCAACCGGATATTCCAGAAACGTCTTTATTTTCTCGGATATTTTCTATTGAAAAGTCAAAGGTCTTAAAGACTAATCAAAATAAGAAAACATCTGGAACTGGCAAATGACCATTTACCCTAGAACACCATAAACTGGAACTCCGTTATATGGCTTGATTAAAATATATTAAAATCCTACAAGAAGGATGGATGTTGCAACCCTCTTTAGTATACTATTACCATTATCTTATCTAATTCTGTCTTGCCGGAAATGAATTTTGGGGTGGTTCTTTATGGTTTAGGTTACCCCTATGGTAGTGATTTCGGCGATTTTACGAATCATGTAAATATATATATATATATATGAATTCAAAGAAGTATACATCCAAACCTTGAAAGCTACATATCTCTCCCTCTCCTTTGTTTCCTCTCAATTAAAAAGATGACCGAAGACGGCCTAAACTTTTTGGGGTCAATGTAGGCTCATGTATGAACAGGGTAACTAAAGTATGAATGAAATAATATGGACTCCAGCTTTTTCTTGGTAGACTGCTGCATAGCCCTGGCCTGAACTCGATGGAACATACTTGGAATTATATAAATTATAGAATGAGGTCCAAAAAGCATAGCCTGTGTAGCTTATATGATATTAAGCTTACTTTGGGAAGTACATGGAGATGTATTTTCAAGAAATACTTGAATTAATAAATTCCGAGTACGCAGAGATGCTTAAACGGGATCGAGGTAAAAGGTAAAGGTATCTGTTATTGGTAGAAAATAATTAAACTGTCATATATTACGAAAGTTGAGACTATCTGCTCTATTATTATTAAGAAGTATGATTTATGTGACCTTGTTGTTCTTTTAAAATTTGACCTAAGAATGTATGTTCAGTTGAGTTTTTACCGGAATTGAAGATGTTATTTTATTCTTTTCATCCAGTATATAACAAGTCGAGGAAATCTTGTGCTCCTATTTAGTATTAGCCTTGCACAAAAAAAGGGCTTTTTACTTCTTTTACTTCTTTTTTTATAATTTTTACAAGGTTAATATTGGAATGATTATATATTAGCTGGATACCATTACTAATTATATTTAATTACAATATACAGATTCAAGTTAAAGTTTCTGTATCATAATCGGTACACATGTAACCATAATTTGCTATAGGTATGAATTGGTCAAGTAAAAATTGTTTTTACACGTGTAACCTAGTGATGCGTGCTTGGATCCATCATTTAACCGTTGTCTTATACTTCTTACTCAAATATTGATCAAAACATTTGTATTCTTTTTCACTATCAAAAATCATTAAGCACTGAAATCTGGGATATTTGCTCCAAAAGTCCATTTTCGATACAAACTTTTTCTCAGAACAACATTTGGGAAGAACGAGAAATTATATTTTTTTTCTCTTCTACTAAGTAAAGCTATGTGAAAATTTAAGCTAGTCCAGTCAATGTTTGTCTGACTACTAAAGGACATGTATTCAGCAAGATACCTTTAGAATTGTCTAAACAAAAGAAATACTTGACACGTTTGTAATGCATTAGATTTTCTTTAATAAGTTTTTCTTACAGCACCTAAAAAAGATTGAAAAAAAAAGTGAGATTTTTAGAGTTTTAGAAAATAATTTAAAAATTTAACCTATAAAGAACGTCCGAAGTACTTTCTATTTAAACAAATATAAAGACAACTAGATGAATACTTGCTTATGCATATAAACTTTGTGGTAATGAGATCCAGTCAATATCTAATTGTTTCAATATCAGTCTTATAAAAACCATGAAAAAGGGAATTCTTTACAAGATGTATTCTTGAGACATTTTGGAAAACTTCTTTTTCTATCTTGTAAGTTTCGGATCCATACAATATTAGTCTCCATAGTAACTATACTTTATGGCGTTGCATGAAAACTATATATATATATATATATCTTCTATATCTTTAAAAAGAAAGGGATATATCTCTGTGCATGACTTACATTTGTTCCTTCTATATTTTTAAAAACAAGTTTATGAATTACTCTTACCCAGGTAACTCACGATATAATTGTGTTCCCAATTGAGATGAACAACAGAGCCAAGTAAACATTTAACTATCAATTGAATCTCTGGCTCTTGCACGTATTGTGGTCAATATTAATTGCGTGTCTAATTGAAAAAAAAACAGTAGAGAAGTATCTAAAGTTAGGAATAGAATATTACATCATATAGCAATTGAATTTACACAAGAGAACTTCTGGACATCAAGACAAATATAGAAATTTGAAAAGGTTTCATAAATTTAGACAAACGGGTAGTGCAAAGGGGTAGTAAATACTTAAAGTTGATAACAGTATAAAAGCATATAAGAAACTTCAGGAAGAAGTATTATCATAGATATTTGAAGATGAGTATACAATATACGAAATAAAGTAAAGGAAACTAAACATCACACGTACAATTATTGCTATTTTATTTGAACCAAGGTTTTCAAATTTTTGTATGAATTGTGCCGGTTTTTGTTTTAGTATCAAATATTTAAATAAACTTAAACAAATGGTTCTTTCTTTCTTAGAATAGTATGGTTATTGCTTCTTAGACTGTCCCAATAGGAACAGCCCGTCTACCTCGTATACATATATGTATATTCTTTCAAGAATATGTTATTAAGTGAAAATAGATAAACCAGCATGACAACGTTAAACAAGTCTGCACTGCATTGACAAACTCATATTAATAACCATAATGTCTTCTACATTTCACTAAATTAAGAGACGCAATATTTCCGTTTATAATGAAATATATCTCGGCTTATTCCTTTTTTTCTTCTTATAAATTCTGTGTAAAATATACTTTTATCTAGTAGAGATTGTATTAGATTTTGAGAGGATTTATTAATCGCTCCCAAAGAAGTCAGAAAGGCTGTCAAGAATCCCACTTGCCCCATCCTCTGGAGAGTCTACACCTGCCTCTTTATCACTCAACCAGACATCTCCATATTCATTTGTGGTACCCTCAGATCCCTGTTGAGAATAAGGATCCGAAAATGGCGAATTGTCCTGTTGTTGGCTTCCACTGACATCAGAACCCATTCCTGCTGCGCCAGAGCCAATCCCTGCTGCACCGGAGCCAATCCCTGCAGCACCAGCCGGTCCAATATCTACTCCTGGTTGATGTTCTTGTTCGGCTTCTCTGTGTTCGCCCCCACCCATTCCGAAGATTGGGAAAGGCAAGAACCCACCAGAACTACAATATGTAAATATATATACACACAGTTAAATTATAAAGTCTACATAGTCATTATGATTCATAATATTACCCATGTGATGAATGGCGTGAAAAGTAGTCGAAATCGATTGAGATGGCACATGCAAGAGTTACCGCGCGTTCATCCAATGTCATGCCTCTTGAACTGTCTTCCATTGCATCCATACGCAATACATACTGTCCAGAATCTGTAAAAATCTACGCAAATATTTGAGTATACAATCTCTCTGTGTTTACAGACTTTACCTCTCTAGCAAAACCAACAAAGTTTCGGCTGACATTTCCAAGGGTGCCACCGTTCTGATCTTGAAGAGTAAAGTCCCATCCGAGAAAAGGTGTATCAATAGTAGCAAACTGGTTTGTACTAATGAGACATGTATTAATATTATCAATAAATTGAACCCCTTCCCCACACAATCGAGTATTTTTTTTTCTTTTTAAAAAAAAAGGTTGGTTTCTCACCCTGTAAACAAGTCGTATTTTCTTCTGACCAGGTTCCATCGTTGTTGTACTTCACCGATCAATTCATCATCTGCAGTGTAGATAAATATCCGGCTGTTGATGAGTGAAATCGGACGAACGATCTATTTTGAAGAAAAAATTAAAAAATTAAAAAAATAACTATAGTTATATTGTTTCAATACAATCAAACCTTGAAAACAACTTGTCCTTGTGCATCAAGAATGGTCGCATTCATGCGTCTGTGGGTCTTAAGAAATTGACGAGACAGGGACTTTCCAAATCCCTCCTCCTCAGCGATATAACCAACATGATTGCCTTCTGGATCCATGATTTTATACTTGTTTGCCTGTTCATAACCCTATATCCATATGTGCCCGAGTGCGGGTGTGAGGATATGTATGTATATACCATATAGTCAATATTTTGAGTGTCCTTTACCAAAAATACGTTCATCATTTCCAACTCTCTTCCAACCACGAGCGCAGATTTTGTCAAGACAGCTGCTCCAGGTGAATGAGGTTGAAGAACCTCGCCTGGTTGAGAGGGAATATGAACAGGAACATTCGCAGGGTCAGCAGCAAAGTGTTCATTGGATTGGATTTCTACATTGCTTTCTACAGAATTCGTTTTTGTACTCGGTTCCGAAATATTGTTCTCTTTGGTCAGAACAGGACGAATGGGTCTTGGTGGAGTGACACGATTAAGAATTCGGCCTCTTGGACCTTTATTTTTTGTAAAAAGAAAAAGAAAAAAGAAATAATAATAATTATAGATCGTATGTACAAAATATTGTTAGTATCATTAGTATTAATGTTGTCAATGTAGCAAAAAAAAAGACGCTAATTAATAAGCTGGGTACCTAATGCACGAGGATTCCTTAAAGAAGAATAAAAATGCCCAAGGTTCTTGTTCTGGAATCGAAGCAATGTTGTAACATTTTGGTTGCTAAATGACTTTGAAGTGAATCCAAGTCTTGTGGCTTGCATAACCCTACCGTACATATTGTGTGTACACCAAGGTAATTAAAATATATTAAAAAAAGATATTATTTGTGTGTGTGTGCGAGTGTTTAAATAACAGTATGGAGTTTTACACAGTTAAGTCAAATTTAATTTCTTTCCCTCCGATTGCCACCAAAGAAAAAAAAAAAAAAAAAATAGCTAGCCAAACGCTCGGTGCTTGAAAGAAATTGGTTTGGTCAGACTAATGCAGTTCTCCAGGGTACGAGGGAATTGCATTATGTTATATAACATCCAGATTGCTATTCAGCATCTGTTTATTAATTTCTTACTAAAATACTTTGTTTTATATTGGCTATAGAAAATGAGCTTCAAGTATGTTTGTTTAGTATATCGATTTTTGTAATTACAGTCCTTATTTTAGAAAGTTTGTCAATTCTTTCGATACAATTTCCTCGTACCTTGAAGAACAGCATAAATTGGGGAGAAAAGGGTGGTAAAACAATCTTGTTTTTAATTTATGGATTCTATGGATTTGTATCTAATGGCTTTATAGTATTGCAAGCTCTTTACTGGGTACATACCTAATCTGTTGATTATATTCTTATATGTAGTCCATATATTTCTTAATAAGACAGATGCGCCAAGTTCTTACTTTTTAGTTTTTAAGAAACTGTATGATTTGATGATCCCATTCCAACAATGTAGTTGACATTTATTTCTAGTATTGAATACGCGTGTAGCAATACTCTACACTGCTGTATTCTTGATACCATTGATGATCTTTTTATTGCTCTTTTTATTCTTTTTTATTATCATTATTGTTATTATCATTTTAGTTTCATATACAATCGTCTTTGAAACACACAATTTTCCTCCTCCTTCTTCTTCTTCTTATTCCTCTTCTTTTTTTTTAAAAGAAAGAAATAGAGATAAAAGGTTACTGAGCCAAGAACGGATTTTCGATTTCTTCGGATCCATCAAAGGGTGATATCAAAATAACTGCAGTGCCACGCAAAACAGCCAGTCCAAGTTCTCTGGTCTCGTTTGTTACATACCCGGTTTCCATATCTATACAGTACAGATAGCACCAAGAGAAATAAGCTTCTCTTTTCTCATGTAAGCACACTAGTACTATACCTCTTGTATATTCAATTGTATCATCCAAAACCAAATTCAGTAGTGGATCATAACCCATCAGCTTTCCAACCACTATCAAATAGCAATATACAGTCCATTTATATAAGTAGACGCATACCATACTTATCTTTATGGTCACAATGCAGTTGTTTCCCTTTATTTTATATTCTTTTTTTTTTACCTTCTCTTCCTCCATTGAATCTTACGCGCACCTTCTTTTCCATGTACTTTCCAAGATCCAAGATTGATTCTTTCTTTTGTGGATGACCCGACTGTTGATACCCACCACGTCCACCACCTCGTCCACCACCTCGTCCACCACGTCCACGTTCACCGCCTCGTCCGGCGGAATGATGACCTCTGTGTGCCTACATTGGTATTCAGGATGGGATTATAAAGCGAAATGAGATGAGTTTCTTTCTTTCTTTTTATTTGTTTTTGGAAAATGAATTTGGATGAAAACATACTCCTCTGTCAGCCATAAGTAGAATGTGTTTGTGTAGATAGAATACAAGAAAATAGTTTTAGCAAAAGTAAAAAAAAAAATCAGAACTTTGTGTTCTGTCACAGAACTTCCACTGATTTTTGGCTTGAATTCTGATAGCTTTGATTGCCAGTCCCTTTCTTAAAATAACAATAATATATATAGTTATTTCACTCTAAATTCAGACGATGCTAGTTTTTTTTTTGACGAATCAAAATTAATTTTCAGAAAATAAGATTACCTTTTTGGATGAAATCGAAAATGGAAATTAGACAAAAGAAAATGAATAATATCCAATAATGTGGTAAACTGACTGATACAGGATTTCCACTCCAAAAGTTATATTTACGCAACCTTGATTACTCCCAAATAGCAAAGTGCTTTATGGTGCCAACTACTTCTCTACTTCCCTTTAAGTTCTCAGCTTTCTCAGTCAATATCTATTATCAGTTTCATACAGCTCTAAAAACGTTCTTCTGATGAATCCTTAATGGAGTATGAACCCATGGAATATACGCAGCCCTAAATGTACACTATAGAGTCTTCCAAATACATTCCCATTTGTCTTTTCACTCAATTCCGCCCTTGGCCTCGATGTCTACATATTTTATAGACTGTCTGGCCGTCTGTAAAATTCAATACCACTTATTCTGCCAAATATTTTAGCAAAGGTCGTCGGCCTACGACCTATCATTATTATTCAAGGAGACGAAGACTTTGATATCCCTGCATTCTCTTTCCTTCCTTCTTTATTATTATTATTTTTATCTTATTCATACCAATAGCGTGCTAATGATAAAGAATACATAAATAAAATAAAGATGGTGGCAAGACAGGCAAAGTCTCCATCCCCTTAAATAATAATGACAGATTTTCAGCCTGGCCACCTCGACCAAAATGGCTACATTGTTTTGTAACTTTAAAATATAAAGCTGATAACTACCCCCAAAGATAATTGATACATGAAAACTGTATAGTATCAATAATGTTTTTTTCTCTTGTATATATAATACATTGTATTGCCAAGTGTAACCTACTTACGCCCTTGCTATCAGCGTTATAGAGTATAAAACTTTGATGTTGCTTGTTAAGAGTATATCATTATCATTCAGTCTCATAAGTTTGTTAAAATTTTATTAATAATTGAGATATAGATATTTTGAGATAGTATTTTTATTAATCTTGTATCTTTTTGAAAGCGCAAGCTTTTTATAAACACGCCAGTCTATCTATAGAAACAAACAAGAAATATCGCTTTAAGCCAGAAAACATGTTCTTACTTACAAGTCAAAGCTTATACTGATGGCTTTGTCATTAAATTGCATTCTTTCCAATACCCGAGTCTGTATTTTCGTGATATTGTAAAGGAAAACACGTATTTTCTAAAGCAATTCTTACTTTTTTTTTCAAAAGTAATGACATATTTAACTAACAGCAAGCAAATTTAGTAAGTTGATTGAAGGATCACGAAAAGAAAAGCTTGTTATCAAACAGGAGAAATAAAACAGCAGCTTTTAATATAGTATCAAAAAATGAAGAGGCCAAGTACAAACCTAGTTTAATGTATTTGGATTATTTGATATCTTCAATGTTAAGCAAAATCATAATGGATAGATTAAAAGCAAGACAGGGCTTTACACAATTAATGTTAGCTTGAAAAACATGAAGATTCTTGATTGCGAAAAATTAATCTGAAGAGGTTTAGTTAATAGAGGAGGTGTTATCTAGTGGAAAATTGAATATTTTATCCATTTTCAATTGAAATGGCGATGTAATTTCCAATGATTGTTATACGTTTTTCTCGGTTGATGCGATTTAGTGGAAAATGTATGTGGAAAATTACGAATTTCATAATTTTCCACTAACATCTTCCATTAAATATTTCCTCAAAATCAAGCTTATTCTCTCACTCTCAAATTAAGGTATAGGGTAGCCAGGAGTGTCTATTGTATATGTAATTAATTTATTCGATCTTTAAAGGTCGAATTTATTTAAAAAAAAAGATTGAAATTTATGAGGATTTATTTTTCTTATATTTGACACAGTATGATGTTCTCATCAATTGACAGGTTTCCACAACTACTGCCGGAGTGCTTTGTTTTTTAGCAGCCGCACTTTTTCCATTAGATAACACCTCTAATGTAATAAAACAGCAGTCGTTTACTTAAATTCTAGGACTGTACAGGCGTTCTATATTCCGAGATCACTGGTTTATATTTTCTGGTTCGACCATTTATTTTGATACATAAGAAATAAAACAGGTTTAAAGAAAAAAAAGAATCACGTGACAAATCCTTTACACTTTTACTAGTAAAATTATTACATCTTTAAGCAGTGAAAATTGTAACAAACTCCGCATATAAAAATTGTTACGATCTCGCCTTTTACTTAGGATTTCTAACTCCGTAAACTCCATATAGAACGCCAAAAAGCAGATGAAACGAGCATTAAGCAACGGACTACAATCCAGCCACTATATGTGGGTAGAAGGAGTGCACTACTTGTCTTATGCGGACATTCATGGAAGAGTTTCCAAAACCAATCATGTACACGCTCAGTCCGGTACTTCTGCTTAAAAAAGGATTACTTGGTTACAAGATTACCTATATTTGTTCTTTTGATGAAGTAGAACCTGTGAGAAATACGCAGTATTTACTTTTAAATCCCTCTATGTGGCTAGCATATGCATTGCCAGTCACTTTGGAGAAGAGATAGTGTAATACAGAGTTTCGCATTAAAAATGAGAAAATCAAAGCTTTTTTCAGATAATTTCAGGTTAAATTTGAGAAGCTCCACCTTTCAGGTATGTGATCTATAATATCCAAACAATGACATTATGATAATATTTATATACCATGTACAGTTACAGCTAAAATCATAATGTATGTATAGTAAATAATATGGAGACTTGTAATAATTTATTCTCTACTATATTCGCCAACTTTGGCAGGATATTGCTACCAGTTCTCGCCCTCTCTATTTTTAAAAGAGTCTTTATCAAATTTAACCTGATACTATGCCAAAAAAGCTTTGATTTTTCATTTTTGAATGCGAAACTCTGTATCTTACTAAAGATAAAATAAAATGCAGAGGCTGAGTAATAGTCTGATTGAATTAGCCTTCTATTCAACCGCATAAGCTGACCAACAGCATTAATACGTTTCTTGCTGAAAAACGCCATATCTAAAGAGTGTACACGGTGTGGACAGACTAAAAGTTCAAAAAAAGAGCAAAAATTTACAGGATGTAATGACTATGAGCGATTGAGTTTGAACCGAGTGACTAATTTAGGCAACTAGTCGATGAGAAGAGATTTTGAACTGTAGAAAGATAATGTTTTATTGAAAAGAAGTGATGGCTATTTGTATGAATAAAAGACAGGCAGAGATACGGACAGAAGATGATAGAGAAGAAGATTATGCAGTCGCATGTACCTACTTGCAGTAGTCCTTTACTACTGCAAGCAGTACATCCTATCGGAGGTACAATTAATTTGACGTTCACACAACAAGGATTTCCACTCCAAAAGTTATATTCTTTTTTTCAAACTATATATTTTGCAAAATCAAAACTTTCATTTTATGCTTCGATTATATATGAAAAAATAAATTAATTAATAAAGAGCATGAAAAATGCTAAAATGTGCTATAAAATATTTAAAATATATATGCAATGTCAATATATTGCTATAAGAAAGGTATATAATGCTAAGTTTGTAATATGGTTTTGAGCACTGTCTTTATCTATTATCTTTTTCTATACTCAAATCCTCCAATATGAACCCCAATCAAACCGCTATCGTTAAGAGAAGAAAGAGAAATGGACCACAAAAGGTTCTTCCGATCCACATCAAGAATATGATTGTGGAGAAATGTCATATAGAAGAGTCCATGACCCGAGCCGAAGCAGCCAGGGCATTTGGTGTCTCATGGGCGTCGATTAACAACATCATCACCAAGTTCGAGAGGGATGGTACCGTAGAGCCCAAGAAACGAGGTGGATCACGCGGAGAAAGTCTTAAGATAACCGATGAGCATTCAAAGTTCATCCAAGACCTCTTGGACGAATGCTGCCCCTTGACTCTTGGTCAAATGAGAGAGGAATTGTTTGGGAAATTCCCAGAGCTTCAAGAGCAGAACTTGAGCATCAGTGGCTTACATAAGCACATTATCAACAACATCGGGTTCACCTTGAAGAGAACCAAGCCGGTCGAGGAAAAAAGAAACGACCCGAAGACGATTGAGCTGAGAAAATCATACGTAGACAGTATGCACACGAATGGTTTATCGTATAAAACCAATTGCATTTTTGTGGACGAAGCAGGTTTTAATGCAAACCTGATCAGAGGGCAAGGGTGGTCCAAGAAAGGCGAGGCCAGCATTGTGAAGACGAAGTCAAAAAGGGGACTAAACATCTCAATTCTTGCCGGTATTTCTTACCAGGGTGTTGAGAGTGTGCAGGCGAAGTTGACCCCTGGTGGCATGACAGGACCAATTTTCGTTGAATTTGTAAAGACAATTATGGATTCGCTCGACCAGAGTAATGCTGCCCCCCACAACTTCATTATGAATAATTTCTCGATCCATAGATCCCACCTTGTCACCGAATTGTTTGCTAATTCACGACACCACCTACACTTTCTCCCCCCCCCCCCCGTACTCTCCTTTCCTAAACCCGATTGAAGAGTGCTTCTCCAAACTCAAAACACTGGTCAAGAGAAAGCCCGGGTTGGTATGTGGTCAATTCTTGGAGTATATTGCTGAGTGCTCCCGCCATATCGCTATGGAAAACTGCCAAGGCTGGGTTGATCATAGCATTAGCTTCTTCCCCCAATGTACAAATAGCCAAGAAATAAATTGATTTTTTTTTCATATAGTCAGAGCACAAAATGAAAGTTTTGATTTTGCAAAATATAACTTTTGGAGTGGAAATCCTGTAACTGCCAAATAATAATTTTTTCTGAGATATAATGTATTATCAAGGAGGCAGATCTTTGATACTGTGAAGGTCGTGTTAGAAGAGAAATCGACAGATATAAAAACGCATTTTTCAAGAATAATTGAAAGCAGTGAGGCCATTCCCCTTTAAGCATATACTACATTTCACTCAGCGTTCGATCAATGTAATTTCTAACTGCTTGAATAAAGAAGAACCTTTGAGATCGTTTTTAGTGTTTGGTTAATTTATTTTATTTTATTTATTTTTTTTAAAAAAAAACACCCTCTTGTCCTTTAGCAAAACAAATTTGCCAAGTCATCCTTTTGATTTCAGCCTTGTATTCTTCATTTAACCTTTTGCCCATTCCATGTCTGACATTCTTTTTTTTTCTGGTTCAATTTCTCAAAGAGGATTTTGATGGTTTCTGCTTATACTACTTTTCTTTTTCTTACAACTTCTTGTGGCATAGCTGGGCTTGATGTTTGAGAGTATTTGTGTATGTATGCTTGAGCGTATAGTAGGCCATCACCAACATAGAGATGAAAATGTTTTATTGTGAGTTTCTCTAGGTCTTTTGCACTTTGTCATTTAGGTGACCCAATGAGATATGAGGAATAATTGAAAATAATAATGAAAAAAGTAACCCCTAAATATGAGAGAGGGAATAAAAAAATAGGCAAAAAATGAAAGGTAAATAAAGAAAAAGGTGTTGGACAAGGCATGGCAAGAGTGAATAGTTCGCGAACTAGTAAGAGACAGCGCTTAAAAAATCTCCAGTGAAGGAAAACGGCTTTTAGAAAGACTAAAACTAACATAGATAATACGACTGGTAACAATACAGGTAAAGTAAATATATAAGAAAGATAAATGACATGAAAGTCAAGAATAAGTAGCTAGGTACTGACGGCACCAGAATTGGGAACGGATTTCAGCAGGAATAGGAACTACAAAGAGCATCAGCGTACAAACGTACTCGCTTTACATCGCCATCTTTTTCTAGGCCCTCTAGGATTTGCCTAAAAGACCACAAAATTTAGTAAGTTGATGATTAACTAGGAACCAACAAAAAAAACAGCATAATTAAATTCTGTGTATTGTTTATTGAAAATGGTATATTTTAAAAAGGTACAATAAAAGAAAATAAATACATAGTAGAATAGAGCTGGTTAGGATTTGAACGTATGGATATGTAGGATATAAGGAAGAGCTAGATTATCGGGGACAAAGGTAACATCATCAAGAATATATTAAAAAAAAACTGGAATTCAATATAGTGCTCAGTACACAAAAAACATGATCATATCAAGATATATTGTGGCATCAGTTACACTGGTTTCGTACTCTGATCTTTCGTATATCCCTCACTTTGGGCGGTTATAATGGTCTGAGAAACTTATCCTTATGTCCAAGTCAACGTTTATGCCACCCCCCCTCTTTGCCTCTCTTTTATCATCATTTTTTTAGGGCAGATCCTAAAAAAAATGGATAACAGGAATCCCTCCTTCAAGGTCTCAGATAAAACCTTTCCCATTTATGCTCGGTTACTTTTGGACTATTCCAGGCGCACTTGGCTCTCTAATTCCCTGGTAGAGAGAAGAAACAATCGTTCTGCCCAACACCTTTATGAAGACATGGCAAGGAATCGAGAAAATATAAAAGTTTGGATATGTATACATGTATGTTGCTGTTATCTTATTTGGGCTAAAGACGAAGCACTTTATGAAATTGCAAAGGCTAGAGTGATTAAATCTTTGACTCGAATAATGCAAACACAAACTACTTCTTTGGTTTTCACCATTTTTCTGTTGCCAGTGCAACTTACCAGTCGTTTGATAGTAAAAAGGGTACATAAAGCCAGGTAATTTGGGACAAAATCTATAATCAATCCTGACTCTGTAGTGTCATTCTTTCCCTCTATGGATACGGTTCTTTAATCCAAGCTTGGCTACTCTATTGTGCTTATATATTTCAGCCATGCTACTAGAGTTTAGTGTATAGCAAGTAGTTGAATAATAAAGTTCCAAAATATCCAAGTAGGTGATTTTAAATAACATTTACTATAAGAGTGTCACGCACACAGGTACATTCAAAAGGGAATCAATACCCCCCCTTTTATATATATATATATATATATATATAAATATATATGATTTACTAGTCTAGAGCTTGTCTACGTTTGTTCTCCAAAGGAGTTTGATAAGTAATATTTTTCTTATTTAAATGAAGTGCATGTTAAATGCGGATATAGGTTCATTTATTATTTGAAGCCTAGTAAACCATTGATGTATAGATGTTGGATGTGGTGCAAGTAGTGATTTGGCTCTCACACAAGTCTTCTACCCCCTCCCCCCCCCCCCCCCCTTTATCCACACAGTCCCTTACTTTCTTCTCTTTCTCTTGAGACTTTACACTTATTTTATTTTCCCTCTTTTTATTCTTCTTCTTCTTCTTCTTTCTTTCTTTTTTTAAAAAAAGATAAAAAAAAAACAAAACAGTAATAATTTCATACATTAAACATATATTTAGATGACCACAGCTAAAAGTGCATCTTACGACTATCTCATCAAGTTGCTGCTTATTGGAGATTCAGGTATGAATGTATACATTTATTAAGCATCTCGGCTTGTAATTTACATTCAAACCATTATTTCACATTCTTTAGGTGTTGGCAAGAGTTGTCTTCTTCTTCGCTTTTCTGATGACTCTTTCACACCTTCTTTCATCACAACAATTGGCATTGACTTCAAAATTCGTACCATTGAGCTCGATGGAAAAAGAATCAAACTTCAAATCTGGGACACAGCCGGTCAAGAACGTTTCCGTACAATCACAACGGGTGAATAAAAAATAAGAAAGAGACATTTGGGTTGGATATACTAATACGACCACTATAATATTAATAGCCTACTATCGTGGTGCGATGGGTATATTGCTTGTATATGATGTGACAGACGAACGGTCCTTTGCAAGTAAATATTTTGTATGTTAACCAGAGTGGCAATGTTACTTAATATTATATGGTCTGTTATGCATCATAGACGTTCGAAATTGGTTTTCCAATATTGAACAACATGCAAGTGAAGGTGTCAATAAAATTCTAATTGGCAACAAATGCGATATGGTAGAGAAAAGGGTAAATAACGAATTTCTCTAGTCGGTGGATTATGATGGCCAGTTATGAATATACATACAATTTACAATCTTGATTCGATGATAGGTTATTGCAGAGGAACAGGGACAAGAACTGGCTACTGAATTAGGGATTAGGTTCATGGAAACCAGCGCAAAGGCTAATATTGGTGTAGAAGAGGCCTTTTTTGATTTGGCAAGGGACATTAAAAAGCGGTTGATCGATACACAGCAGGCACAGCAGACGCGTCAGAGAGAGGAGGTTAGACTTGATGCTGCCCCTTCCAAGAGCAGCTCTGGAACTTGCTGCCAGTAAGCATATACATTATATATATATGCATTTTTCCTTCTTTTTTTTTTTAAGAAAAAGAAAAAGAAAACATACACACACACACAATAAACTCCAACAGCCCAAAAATCAAACAAGTCAAATCAAGTCAAGTAAAATTAATCTCCTTCATGTTATAATCTGTAAAGCTATCTTGTGTGCAACCTAAAATGAATTTTCATCAAAGAAACTCAACTGACCAGAACACACCAAAAAAAAAGAAAAGAAAAGCCTGTAATATATGTACCTATGTATGTACCTATGTACTTATGTATGTATCTATATTCTCAATACAAAGGGGTAGGTTTACTCGATACCCAAGTTTGATATATAAGAACCAAGAGACTTAGACCTTAGTCCGTGCAGTACACAAAAACACATAGTTTAAGACAGGAGTTTCGAATGTGAGAAACAGTGGTTTAGGTAACGTAGACAATATGAGAGAGAGAGAAAAAATAATAGTTGCATTTTTTTTTGTCAATTTAAATTTCCTCAATTACACCAAAGTTTTTTTTTTTTTCATTTTTCCCCCCTTTTCCCCTTTGCTCTTTTCCTTTTCTCCTTTTTGCTTTATATACATTTTCATTTTTTTTATTTAATCCTCTTTTTCATAGAGTTCAATTGTTGGCTAGTATGACTTTAGAAAATCCCACACAGCTTGTTAGCAAAGGACCTGTTGAGACCATTGGATACGAGAGTGTTGGGTCTCAAGTCAAGCTCGACCGTCTACGCGAACTTTACCTACCAACCGTGCCAGTAGATCACGTTATAGATAAAGTCAATGACACTGTCGTATACAAATCTATCAAATCATTCCCCTCGGTCCGTAGACTTCAGCCCTCAGAGCGCAAACGTATCTTGGTCACTGGTGGCGCAGGATTTGTAGGATCTCATCTGGTGGATCGTCTGATGATTATGGGTCACGAAGTCATTGTTTTGGACAACTTCTTTACCGGTACAAAGCGCAACGTTCAGCACTGGATAGGCCACCCACACTTTGAACTTGTCCGTCATGATGTTGTTGACCCATTTATGATCGAAGTATCTCAAATTTATCACCTCGCCTGTCCTGCTTCTCCGCCTCACTATCAATATAACCCAACAAAAACGGTTAAGACTAGTGTTATGGGAACAATAAATATGCTTGGATTAGCAAAACGTACAAAGGCACGATTCTTGCTGACATCTACGTCTGGTAGTACATCCAAATATGCTATATGCTTGTAAAAAATATATTAATTAATAATATTATGATATAGAGGTTTATGGAGACCCAGAAGAGCATCCCCAAAAGGAAACATACTGGGGTCATGTTAACCCTATTGGTCCTAGAGCATGTTATGACGAAGGCAAGCGTATTGCTGAAACCCTGACTTATTCTTATATGCGCCAAAATGATGTCGACGTACGGGTTGCACGAATTTTCAAGTAAGTTTTCTTTTTTTGTTTTTGTATTATTACTAATTAATCAAAAGAAAAAAAAACTAACTATAATTAATGGCTCTGTTTCTATAGCACTTATGGTAAAGATACTCTTACCATATTATGATTTAAACATCTCTAATGTACAATAAATAGGTCCTCGAATGTCACCTGTCGATGGACGCGTGGTGAGCAACTTTATCATGCAAGCCCTGCGAGGTGAATCGCTTACTATATACGGTGACGGTGGACAGACAAGATCATTTCAATATGTCCACGACTTGGTTGACGGTCTGATTCTATTGATGAACAAGAACTACTATGAGCCTGTAAATATCGGCAATCCAGATGAATACACCATTCGTGATTTTGCCGATATTATTCGTGAAAAGGTCCTTTTATCCCCAATTTCTCCAGACGATGTGCCAATCAAGACCTTACCTTGTCCGACAGATGATCCAAAGAAGAGAAAGCCAGATATCACAAGAGCCAAAACATACCTAGGATGGAAGCCTAATTTTGATGTTCACCAAGGTCTACAAGAGACAGTTGATTGGTTTAGACTACAAATGACTGAAGGCTTAATTTAATACGCACAGACAAACCAAAAATATAAAAAAAATCAACTTTTACTAAATTCGATAATAATGTTATAGTTAACAAGAATTATAGCCCTAAACGAAAACCAAATACATACGTAAATATATATATATATATATTAGTCTAATGACCAATGGTTGTCCCAAAAAAATAATAATAAAATATAGAGATTTGATATAACTTTGCATAACTCCATTAGCTGGTAGCTTATAATAGGACTTGGGTGGTTTAGATTTAAATAATAAAAGTGTCATTATTTGGTATAAAATCTATCAAGAGAATATAGTACGAATGGAACAACCAAAGACACTTACGAATCCACATGTGATGGAAATGTATTAACGGTTCATTAAGAGATATGATTGAAATATAATTGCAACTCTGGGTCCCAATTCTAATACCAAAAATAATATTATAAGCAAAAAGAGCTTTAGGAACAAACACTATGCGTTATTACATCGTATTTAAGAAAATGCCAGATTACAATTGTAATCTGCAAGTGATAAAATACTACTTTGAAATATTAACTCTGTTCGTTAAACATTAGCTATAATAATGGTCAAAATGTCATTTAAGGCACTTTACACACATATATATACATATATGGGTGTGTGTATGTGTCTATATAGAATCATTTATTCATTCTCAATAAACTTTCCAACTAATAAGTACTTTGTTGCAAAATGCTGTTCCCATTCACGCAGGGATTCCCACTCTTCAGTTGCCAAATCCTCTAGTTTGTCAATTGGGCCCATTGGATCCGTAATCATGTCTTCATCAAAAGAATTTTTTGCAAGTCCACGAGAAGCATCATGTCCACCAAAGTTTTCATAAGGCCCCCCTTTTTATATATATATATATATATATAGTAGTTGTTGTTCAATATAAGCAAATGATTAATTCCTACTTCTTATATATGAGCCTATATCTATTTCTTACCTGGACCATAAAAGTTACGTCCTCTGGTAACATCGTAAACGCTGCCATTGACACCCATCAAAATACGGCCATCTTTACCATTTCCATCAAAGGGTAGTAGGTCCTTGGGTGTATAGTTGCGAAATACCATGACATCAGGATGTTTGGCAGGGATTTCAATTGTCTTTGATGACCGAACATAGGAACGGACCATGTAGGCTAGAATCTATTGATTAAAAGTAACATTGCTAGTGTGAGAGTTTTATATTTCTTCTCTTGGTTTAGGTATTTACTGCAACCAAGGCCCAGTTGACAGGGTTCTCTATAATAGAATAAGATCATATATTATATGAGTATAAGTATAAAGAGTGGTATATTTGATTATAGGTATCCCTATTTGAATCCTTCACAGTTCTTATTTTACCTTTGAGCTGGTTAATCATTGTGTTGAATGTGGTTAATGCAGATTTACTACTCAACATTTAAGTAATTCAATAAGTAAAATATAAATATGTGGAAAGGTGGGAGAGAAAGAAAAAAAAAGGAGAAAGGAGCAAAAGAAAGTTATAGTGCAAATAAATTGGTCTGTAACAGCTAATATAAAAAAGTACTTACTTTTTCATATTTATTATATTTATATTTTATTTTTTTTAAAAAAGAAAAAGGTTATTTCACAATATAACTAATATAAGTCTTTCCGTTTTTATCTATAAAGAAGTACAGACGGTTAGCTAGTTGACCAGTTAAATAAATAGCAGCGTAAAAGGAGAGGTATTCTTATTATCAGAACAGCTTACACGTACCTACACACAGACACAAATCAAGGAGCAAGGAACAAATGATAATGAAGTATAAAATATAGAGCAAACAATGTAGAATACTCTTGATGCACGCATAACGGTAATACTATTTATCCGACAATCAATTAATGCCTAAATATGGTTCTTTTTCTTTTTAGAATCAAAGCAAAAATTTCCAAAAAAAAAAAGGAGTGAGATAGAGTTTGTGACGCAATAGAGAAGGTCTTGGACAGTGCGAATTTGATATCTTTCCACGTCACTGTAAGAAAGAAAGAGAAATCCCAATCTTATTAGATGTTCAACCGGTTGTGGTTGATCGGTAAAAAAAAAAACCAAAAAAAAAACTGGTAAACCACCCAAAATATTTCCTTTCCATTTATAGTAGTGTGTGACAGTCTACTGCAAACCTGTTGCTGGTATATATATACAAAGTCTTATTTTTCTTTGCCTTCCTGTTTGCTTTACAGATTGGTATATTTTCCATATTCAGTGTTATATATGTTGGTTCTTCATTCAGACACCTTATGAATACCTTTATTTATTTATTTATTTATTTTGGCTTAAATAGATATAAGCCAATCAAGTTCACTGAGAAACATACAATGACTTACATATAAATAAATCATTGTGGTTTAAAGCAAAAAAAAGCATTAAAATTTCACGTGAAAAAGATTAAGAAAATCTTTCCCCGTAAAGCTTCATATTCTCTTTCATTTTCATTTCTCTCTCTCTCTCTCTCTCTCTCTCTCTCTCTCTCTCCCTTCTTTTACCTTTCACTTATGGAATTTCACCAGCAACGCCTATATACTCTGAATAAACTGTATTCTGAAAATGCTCCTACTATTGATAGCATGGAAGCTGCCTTAGTCAGAGAAATTCCATTGCTTATCCAAGAGTTCGAATTGTCTGCAAAAGCAGCCGCGATGGTTGAGGACTATGTAAAAGACAGAGGTAGGTGTCATAACTGTGTTTACATTTTATATTATGTACAGCATATTAATAACAACAAAAAACAATAACGCTTCTTTTATTTTTATTTTTATTTTTATTTTTATTTTTATTTTTATTATTGTTCCTTCAAATTCCAAATTTATTACAGCAACCCTGTTTCGTTTTTTGGCCAAAAATAAGTTTTCTCTACCTCATGCACTCTCATTCCTACTGGACACCATTCGATGGCGTATCAAAGAGAATGTAGACTCGATCGGCCTAGACTCCGTAAAGCTCTTTGTTAGTCAACCATTTTGCTTCTTTCACAAATACGACAAAACAGGTCGTCCAATCCTTATCATTCAAATCCGGCACTTGCCAGAATCTTCCACTAATATAGCCGAGTTCTTGCGTCCATTTGTTATCTTTATACTCGAGACAACCAGACGAATGTTGTCCAAGATTACCAGAGATACAGGGGGATTGGTTGATATTGCAGTTATTGTAGACTTTAAAGACGCTCGTTCCTTACCAATGGTACATACTCACTCACACACATACACATATATATATAATATAAATTATCTATTCTATTAATACTGACCAACGTCACACAGGACCCCACACTTGTGAAAACTATTCTCCAGATATTACGCCGATATCCTTCAATGACTGGGTCTGTCAGTTTGCTTTGTTTTGGATGGATGTACACTGGCCTATGGCAGATGGTGAAAATAATGTTGTCCGACGAAGCCAGACACAGGGTAGGATTTCCAAGCTCTAAAGAGCTTCTTGACCTCGTTGACCCTGCATCTCTCTGTAAAGGTAATTTTGGATAGATAATATGCAACATATACTTATATTAGTAAGCAAATATTGTAGATCAGGGAGGTACCGATGATTATGAATGGAACATAAAGTCTGACAAGGTCTTCAGGGACTTTTTCCCGTATGTCCCACCATCTCCACCACTATCACCGCTATCACCCAGTCAACCAAACAGTCGCTGTAGCTCAACAACCTCTCTACGTTCGGTATACTATGATGCCACTGAGCATGTCGTACCACACAAGCTACAGTTTACACCAATGTCTCCTAAACTACCACAAAGAAGATCCTCTTTTACGGCTACAGTGTATAGTACGCCAGTAGGCTCACTCACACCAATTGTCGGCCCCATCTTATCAAAGTCGCCGGCAATTTCTCCCCACGCAGACTTTTCATCTTCACTTAACCACAAGTTATCCTTATTACAATATACACGCCAGCCGCAACCTAGTCCACAGCCTAGAAGGAGGCGACCTCTGTCAATCAACCAGAGAACATGGACAACATTTATCTTTAGATTATTATTTGGATCCCTACAAAGGACCCAGGCCGGTATTAGGATGGTAATAACCCAGGCGGTGCGCAAGTCTCAAAAATACCAGAATATGTTCTATTGGATTGCAGCATGTCTGTTGTTGAGGAACAGTATACATGATTTTCTTCAGAGCCTGTTTGTATTGTTATTGGAGACCATGGCAGCCAAGAGTGGAAGAGGGTCAGCAATTGGATTAAGAAATCTACTGAGTCTTGCGGGTGGTCATGCCGGTCAAATGACACTTTAAGTCCCTTTTAGAGACTCCTTTATGCCTTCACCCCCCCCCCCCCTTTTTTTTTTTATTATTATTTCTTTCTTTTCTTTTCTTTATATACCCTCATTACGTATCCATAGAAACATATTTATGGCACCATGGCAACACATATAATTTTTTCTTTGGTTGCCGTTGTTGTTATTGTTGTTGCTGTTGTAGATGCTGCTTTTACTGCTGGTAATGTTTCTATGGTTATTGTTGTGGTTATTGCTTTTAAATGTTACATACATAAAACTATACGCATACGCATACACATACACATACACACACATATACACACATATTATATATATATATATATATTAAACTTATACAGTTATTCTATGATATCTTATCCCTTTACACGTGATTTCTAAATATTTATTTTGTTATTCGATACATGATCCATTCTTTCTGCCCGCGCTATTAATATATCTCTACTAGGTAAGCAGCCCAATAGCATGGCCGGGTAGAGCGTAATGGCTTCTTCAAAGTGCGAGTCACGTAGGACAACCGAAATGCAGTGATGGGTATATTGAAGATCCTCATAGGCACTCTCGTCTTCTTCATCTTTATCAACTTCGAACCGAGGTGTTACAGATCGAATATCCTTTTCAAGGCACAAGTCGGCAAGGAGTTCATCATGATGTCGGTATACAAACTCGAGTTTCTTTTGATTCTCTCTGTCGAATGGGACCCAAGCATCCACAAACTGGCTGTTCTCAAAGAACCAGATAACCATTGAACTGGCAATAGCAAAAAAGCAAAAAAAGCAAAAAAAAAAAACAAAACAAAAAAATTGTTTCTTTATACTATAAAGAATAATATCAAGAAGGGCAAGAGCAAGAACAAGAGTAATAAGAGTAGGAAGAGTTAAGAGAAAGAGGAAAAGGGGCAATTATAGTCGCAGATATTTATTCAATTATACCAATGCATTATTAAATAAGTCATTCCTAACCATGTGATTTTTTTTTGTTTCTATGCCAACCGAACCGTTGTCATCCTTATATATAATTTATATGGAATATAACCCTTTCTTTCATTTTTGACAAGCACGTTTGGCCCCCTTGTATATAGTACTTAAATATACCTAAATATATCCATATACACCCATACACCTCTATATATATATTAGACCAATCAAGCGAGAAATTTAATACACTATTGTTAAGAGAATAATGCCTAACAGCCAGCCGAAAATCCTACCGTCGTCCTCCAAAATTTCTCAAGTAATTTGGCATCTTGATAAATGGACAAAAAGAAAATCAAAGTAATAAAAATTTTAAAGGATATATATATACAGATTTTTAATTATCAGATAATAATCATAGAAATAGGAATAGAAACAGGAATAGAAATTGACAAGACAGTTACGGATAGTTTAAATTTGGTATTGCTTAAAAAGAAGTACAGCTCTAGCAATATCCACAGTATACATTTTAATAAGCTCAAGACCAATCTACAAAGGAAAAGAATTATTCATTTTATCACTGATTTCAATCAAAGAGTATATATATTATAGAAAGAGAAATAAAGAGGTGTATTGTTTGAGCCAATATACTGAGTATTATTTTGGTATTGAGGGAAATTTCCCTTTTTTTTTCTCCTTTTTTTTCAAAAGTATTATAAAATAGAGATGTTTTTTTTGTCGATATAATAATAATAAAACCTTTTATTATATGTCTCATTTTTACACCCAAATATGCTCTTAATATGTAAGATATATGCGTGTATTAAATGGCTAAATACAATTAGAAGGATTAGTATTAGTATTATTATCATTATTAATGAAAGGTTTAACATAAGGTTATATACACACATATATCTTTTGTCTTTATGAAAAGGAACTCCAGATTAAACGTTTTGGCACAAAAGTTTTAAAGCAGACTCTTGAAGTATCTTGTCCAGATACTCGGCAAACCAATATTAAAATCCGAAACAATGTTAGAGGTGCCCTTATTTTTTTTACAAAGCGGTTTTTCAAGACATTCTTGGCATACTCGATAAAGTTCAGATCATAGTTTTGTAAAGACTAGCGGTTAAGCAGTCTAATTTTTTTGTATTGTTCTTTCCACCATATACACCAAGCTAGTACAAAAGCTGGCATCATAATCTAAAAAAGGTAAATATTGTGTCATTTTTTATTTATTTATTTCTGTTGCTGTTGCTGGTGGTGTTACTGTTATTGTTGTTGTTGTTGTTGTTGTTGTTGTTGTTGTTCAGTCTATAGTACAAAGTATGGCACATTTGGGTAAACAGCTGATAGACGCCTCGTATTTTACAATTCTCCATTATTGTCAGAGGTTTATGTTTCCAGGTTCAACATCGTCACCAAACCATTCTTAGTCTTGTTGGTTGGAATTAGACATGTCTCGTGAATCATGTTGTCCTTTGTTACTTTCTCTCCTGTACTTGCACACAAATAAATAGCTAAATCATTCTCTTTCTCCCAAACCATATACCTGGGAGATTAGTTGGCTACAGAAGAATTTTTTCCAATAAACCAACTGTCAGATTGAACCCCCCCCTAGCTCTCCATCCTGCCAGGTTGCTTTCATTTATTATCTAGGTAATATTGTTGAAATGACCATCGAGACCTTATACACGAACCAAATCGAACAAATATATTCTGACTTTACAGCTATAGAAATAGCTAAAAGTCTTTATTTTATGCTGTACTCACAGCATATTCAAGATAATTTATATTCAAAGACTGGTATTTTTTTTAACTAGTTAATTAAGAGTCGGGTTTTAGCCTATCTAACCTAAGCTTTGTGTATACAATAAATAAAGAACTAATTTATCATAAATCGCTCAGCGAGTTTTTGTACGAGTTTCCAAACCCCTTTCCCCCTCGCTTGTTGAAAATCTGCAAACATTTGGAATCAAATTAACTATAGATATTAAAGGCACTTTGGTGTTTTACAAAATAATACATTATATATATACGTGTGTGTGTGTGTGTGTGTGCGGGCGGTTTATATATAGATGTCTTTACAAGGGAAGAATTTATTTATTTTTTTTACATTAAAATATTAATCCAAGAAAACGTTGCCAATCATCTCTCTTTCTTCTTCTTCTTTTTACTTGATCTTTGATGGCTTTAGTTCCATCCTCACTTACTTCCTCAGTCACAAGACAAACCGTACCGTTACCCATAATTCCTACCATGCATAGCACTTCATTAGATCTCCGACACATCCATAAAGACCTTGATCTTGTATGTCTTTCTGAATTATATAACTGCTTATTAATATTCCACAGGTCTACAATTGTACAGCCCAAATACAGACTTCTCTATTGGACAGTCGATCTCAAAATAATACCGTAAATCTACCTAGTCTACAAGAACTAGATAGCCTGATTGACAGTGCAGGTCGAATGATTAGAGTGCTTGATGATGCTAAGCATCTATGGTCTCAGTCCCCAACAATCTCGTCTCTTCAAAGGCACACAAAGGTAAAGGTTTCTATAGCCTTTCTTTTTCTTTTTATTCTTATTATTAGTACTTAATTACTCTAAACAGGAAATCAAATCAACAACGAATACTATCCTACAGTGCCATTCCTGCAACAGGTAATCCCTGTGAAACACTGATGGACACAAAAGACAATATTAATATTTCATTGTTTAGTACACAGTCACCAGAATGGAGAAAAGGCCCAATGGGTAACTATGTTTATTTAATCAAAAGAAAAATATTACACATATAAGCATATATATATATATATATATTCTTACCTTATCTAATGTAAATAGGCCCCAGAACTCTCTGTAATGCTTGCGGATTAAGTAAGTAAAGCGACAGAACAGCTGCTATAAGCCAAAGTACTGATATTCATTGTTCTCTAGTTTGGGCCAAGTTATCCAGACGACAACCAATGGGTCCTAATAAAACTCAAGACAGATCAAACAGTAAATTATCTAAATACAAGTTGTATTGTCGTCTATTTAGCTTATTGACAACCGTCTCTATTTTTGTATAATTGCTTCCTCAGTGGCCCATTTGATCCATTCACGTTCTGTCCCCATAAAGAAACAGCGCACAAAACACACTAGCTCTCTCAAAGGCAATAAACATGCCATCTCCTTTCTTCTTAGTTAATAGCTTGTAATAATATCAATAATAAAAATAAAAATAAAAAGAAAGACAATAACAATAACAAACTCGTTTTATTTTAATTATTTTATTTAAATGGCACTGGGAAACTGTGCTTGTACACTGCGTTTGATACGTAGCATCTCTTTGAAAGTATCTTCATTACCATGCTTAACCTCAAAGTCATGCCAGGTCTGCCAGAACTCAGGCTGAACACGAGGGTCAAAGAATTGTGAAGCATAACCATAGATGGCTCGGGCACGGTCAATCTCGCCCAATTTACGTTCAAGATCAGCATACTTTAGACAGACAATACGCACATCCTTGTCAGGCAGACTCTCAATCGCACTCTCATAGATTTCACGCGCAGAAACAACACCGAATGATTCCACTGCCTTTGCAGCATAAAACTCAAACATCTATAATGTGCAATATAAAAATAAAAAAGAATAAATAATCAATAAATACCCAAATTAATAGCATTTTTTTTACTTACTTCAAGGCGATCTTCATCAGCCACAGACTTGGTGGCTCGTTCATAGATACGCATTGCATGTCGTGCCAGACCATTCTCCTCTTCAAACTTGCCAAACATCAAGAATATTGGCTTGGCATATTTTGGTGGGCACTTGTCCAATGCCTGTTCGAACAGATCTCTAGCTCTCTCAATCTTTTCTCCTCCCTAAACAAATGGTCAATAACATACACACACACACATAACCAAAAACATTTAGTAATAGCTTACATAGCGTTTGAGGAATCTCTGGAGATAGATGTTCCAAAGTTCAAAGGCAATCGGCCAACCGAATAATTCAATTCCACGCTCGTACACCTTGAAAGACTCTTCAAAGTACTCATGCTCTTCCAGGAATGTGGCAAAGTTTACAATGACCTGTGGATTGGCAATCCGGAGATCCATAACCTTATCATACACATCCTTGGTACTCTCTAGTGTACCAACACTTTCCTCAAGATCGATATAGAAACTCCACAGCTTTAAACTTTTAAATACACGTTGCTGTACCGGCAAGGACTCATCGTGAAAGTTGATTTGTTTGGGATGCACACCCGGGATCTTTGGTACTGACGTAGCCCGACCCATGACATCTAGTGCTCTGTCAAAGTCATCATGTCTGGTCTCCATTTCTGCATACTCGCACCAAACTTCAGCTAGATCATTTACGGTCTTGAAATTGACCTTGACAGCCCGGTCAAAGATGGATCTAGCAGAATCAAGGTCTCCACCATCTTCGTAGAATCTGGCAAAGTGAACCCACAACTCGTGTAATTTTCCGTGTGATTTTTTGGGGTGGATAGTCTGTACAGCCTGAGTATATGTTTCGACCACCTTGGATCTGTTGTCGCCCCAGAGAGCAACTCGCTTCTCCCACTCCATTACATTGTTAGGGTTTTGTCGTAAGAGTACATCATTGACCAAGAAAGGTCGGCGATCCATAAGGCGTTCGAAGCGCAGCAATCGTAAATCCAAATCGAGGTCTTCGTCTTCGTCTTTTCCCCCGCTTTCTTCACGTTCGGCTGCCATCTCCATCTTTGTAGTAATCATTTCTTCTTCAAATTCAGCGTAGGCATCAAAGATTGCTGTGAAATCGCGTACAGTGGCTACACCTGTAACTCCCTCTTCAAAGATATCGCGAGCCTAATTGGTAATTATTATTAAAATTATTATTATTATTTAATTTTCTTTGAATAGTGGATACTATATTATATTCATTTCTCTCTTACCTTTTCAAGTTGACCCATCTTGATCCAATACATGGCTAGACGACAGTATAACATACCGACCTGATCTGTGAACCGTTTGATACCACTGCGGATAATCGGTTCCACTTGTAAATTCTTGATATCACTACAATGCTCTACTACTAACTCACACAAATCTTGCCAGATTTGGTATTGTGATTTTCCACGGATCGACACGAATCTGTTATCGTTTACAACCGAAACTAACTTTACAGCTGCTTCATCGAATCGCTCTAATTTGATCAACATGTCTACATATGTTTCTATATGAGATGGCTCTAACTATAAATATAAATATAAATTATATATCGTATTAATTATCAGTATACGGCGTGTAAGTTTATTATCACTATTACCTTGAGGTATCGACGCAAGACACGAATAGCCGTCTCTCCTCCTGCTGCTTCTGCAAATGTTAAGTATAAGTCCCAGATACGGGAATGTTGTGTGACTGGGAGAGCTCTCAAAGCACGATCGAATGTGCGTCGAGTAGATGTCAAGAATGGTTGAGTTGTAAGGAATGAGAGATAATCCAACCAAATGCGAGGCATCTAAAGAAATTATAAAAGATTTATATTATATATTTATATATTTATATATTTATATAGTAGAAAATACACAGACACAGACATTCATTTTCTTACCTTGTTGAGAAGAACAAGAGCACGTTCATAACATGAATTGACAGATGCATACTGTGCTTTGAATCTAGCAGGGCTCATGCCACTCAGTTTAAGGCGTCTTAAGTCGAGATATTGTTTCCAGAGCTTATAAGATCCCGGGAGCTCCTTGATCGCACGTTCATAGATAAAACAGAGTTCTGCTAATGTTCCATTACGCTTGTGATCGACATAACGCAGCCAGCTTCGAAGTGAATAAGGATTCCGGAGTAATTCTTCCTCATAAGGAATGTCATGTTCATTCTAATGATTGCATAGATTGATATTAATTGATTGTGAATGATGTGTATAGTATCGGTTTTGAACTCAAGTATTTGCATAAAAAAAAAGGAATAGAAAAGAAAAGAAAAGAAAAGAAATAATAGAGGATTATTTACAATCATATAATCATCGGAAAGGGTGGCCATCCTTCAAGACTATTATCCAAAAAGAATAATAATAATAATAATTTAAATGTTTAAATATTTTTTTTTATACCAGCACGCGTATACTTTCTTTTTTATTTCTTTCCTTTTATAATTCAAGCTTACTTTATAAATTAATTTTTATTATAGAGAATTTAAAGACCCACCTACACACACACTCATTTACACACTCATTTACACTTGCACTCATTTACACTTACTCACTCACTCACTCACTCACACTTTATAGAAAATATAGCGCCTTTATATATATATATATATGTATGTATGTATGTTTACTTGATGTCGTTTTTTTAAGGAAATCAGTTATAAAATGGATTAAAGACCAAGTTACTTGAAAAAAAAAAAGAACCTGATTTAAGTAATCTACGTCATCAGTTTATAGAGTATTAATATGAATGACAATGATATGAAATTGAAAGAAAAAAAAGAATCTATAGCTTATAGTCTATTTGAATATTGCTTTATTGTTTTGTTGCTTTATTGATTACAAGTTATATGGAGATTATAGAATACACAAATATTGAATAAAAGAAGTAAAAGAGGAAGAAAAGAGTGTTGTTGCTATTGGTGATGGTGGTGTCCAAAGAGCAAAAGAATCCATTGGTTGCTGTTATAGTCAGCATTACTATCTTAGTTTTTGGATTGTCTGTCCAACAGCATCAAACTGCCGACAAATGTCAAGTTCTAAATAAAAACAAAAAATAAAAGGATTCAAGGATTAGTTTTAACATCGTAAATACAAGAAATACTTCTTGATAAAAAAAAAGGTATCTTTTCTCTCTCTCTTTCTTTACCATTTTGGCTCTGACTTCGACAATATCCTCTGGAACCAAGAAGATTGTGGCGCCCAATTTACGTGCAATAGAGATAGCCAGCTTGGCATTGTTGAATGCATCATCGTCTAAAGAACAAGATATTCCCATTTAATATTTTGCCATGTACAATGCTCCAAAAAATTCCCAAATACAACTTACCAGTCTGACCACGAGTAACCATAGAATAGTCCACAATTCCAGGCTTAATGCCATTAAGAACATCCAAAAAGAATAGACCGGTACGCAGAGAACGATCCTTAAACGAAGTCATCTTGGTTTGTTTTCCACCACGCTGGACCACTTCATTGGCCCAACGAACCATGTCCTGATCTGAAACAGGACGACCACCCTTTGTTAGGGAGTTGAGGGTATGGACAATGTTCTCACGCATCATCTGCCACACCAAACCCAAAGTCAAGGTACGCTGTCCATCAACAATATCGGCACCCTGGATACCAACCAACGAGAAACGGCGCTCCTGCCCAAGCATAACCGCATAGTTGCAGTTTTCGATCTGTTTGAAGCGAGAGATTGGCTCCTTACGACTAACCATACGCCAGTTTACAATACCCGGAACAACCTTGTCAAACGCTTGGAGAAGTACAACACCATCCTTGAGATCCTCAAACAAATTATAAACACCGGGCTCAACGTTGAGACTATTCAACCATAGAGTAAACACTATGGCACAATTCATATTAGTATCTATACACACACACACACACACATATAAAGTTTGTACACTAGATGTATCGTAAACTCACTTCTAGCTTCACGTTCGCCTTCAGCATCAAATGGCTCAATTTCAGGTGCTTCCTCTTCAGAAAGAGGATCCAATCCAGGGTGGGTGTTGAACAGATGAGCAACAAACGCCAAATTCAATTTAGGGTTGCCAGCAACCATGGCCGAAGCAGTCAAGTATTTTCTGCAACCAATCTTGTCTGCATTCTCCAGAACCTGTTCCGCTCTGCGCAAAACATCTCTTTCCTGAAGTGGAGCACGCGAACATATTTCTGGCTTTAACTGGTTCAGCAGAATAGTGTAGTTCTCACCATCAGACACATCCTTTGTGAAGTTTTTTACTCTAAAGAGCTGATTGAGTTTACTTGTCTGGAATATTTAACCAAAAAGAAAGAAAGAAAGAGAGTGTTTACCTGCGCTCCCAACCTGCAGCCTTAAGGTGGTAGTTGAACCAACGCAAGAGAATCTGATCTGGGGGAAGACGCAAAAACTCATCCAAAGTCTCGTCCTCTTCCAACAGACGGTACAACTCAGGGTGAAGTTTGATGTCAATCTTGCTCAACAGACCACGCTTGATGATTTGCCAAATTAAACCGAGAATCAAGTGTTCGCGTGCCTCAATAATATCGGTAGGCCCAATATTGACAACTGAGCAGCCAATAGCCTTTGCAGAGTTGATTACAATGTTGTTGTTCTCTACCATCTGGAAGTTATTCATCTTTTTTGATACGTTCAGTACACGCTCATCAATGGTGTCAGGCACAGCATCATTGATAAGCTTGCACATAATAAGACCATCTGTTTTATTTGTTGGTATAAAGTCAATAACACATTAGAAAAAAAACTCGAGACCTCTTCTACTTCTCTCTCTATATATTATTATTATCGTTGTTGCTATTGTTGTTGTTGTTGCTTTTACCTCTACACTCGTCAAACAATTGCATGGTATTGGTAGGGATAGGAAGTCTGTGACCAATGTGACGGTCTCCTGCCATGACACTGTTGATGTGGCGTGTAAATTCGGTTCGCTCGTCTTCGTTTATGGTGTGGGTTGCGTTGGAATTTGTACCATGAACCTTGATCTTGTGTTGGTGGACATCAAACGCACCCTTGTTGCTACCAGCCTTGAGTCTAGCAGCCAACTATCCAACTGATTTAAACACCGACTCATGCACTTTATAAGACTCGTTCTTACGTCAATAAACTCTTCGACATCAATCTTGCTGGTGGCGCTAGTGCTCACTTGCTTAAGTGTTGCACGGATTTCATCATAACTGTCACTATAGCCGGTACTCTTGCAAACCTGTTGAATCTCTCCTTGGTCGAGATAACCATCACCGTCCAAGTCGCAAGCTCTACAAGTGTTGTTTATGAGTTTAGTGATGTTTACTAACTATCTTACAAAGCAACTTTTTTTATCTTTTTCTTTTCTTTAAGAAAAATAATAATAATAATATACACACACACACACACGTATGTATATATGTATATATAAGAAAAGCGCGCGTACGCAACAAGCAACTTACTCAAACTGATCAATAAGAGAGTTAATATCGTTTACTCCTAGTTGAGGATATTTCTTTTGTAATGTAAAGGCATTGATGATGGGCATGATGTATTCGAGATGTAGAGTAGAATAAAGAAGGGTTGTACATTATACAGATGGATATAGGATATTTTATTTAACCCGTTTTTTTTGTATTTTTTTTTTGTTCAAACGGAACTCGGGTCGTTTGTGCCCGGCGGAGACTTAAGCCAAGAGAGAAAATAAGAACTGTAAAAGGAAAATGCAAATGACGTAGGTGTAACATATTCTTTAACCAAGTTAAACTTTGTGTCTAAGCTGATTGTTCTATACACTAGCGTACATGCAACAATAGCCAAGTCCTTATTTCTTTACTTATTTACTTGCTTTTGCTTTATTTTATGACACCAAGATTTTCTTCTTCTTTTTAAAAAAAGAAAAAAATATTGTATGCCAAGCGTGTGCCAAGTGTGCGCCAAGTATGCGCCAAGCATATATTAACAATTATACATATACGCCAAGAAAGTTTGTCTACATATATTTATACAAAGCCTACAAGCATAATATTCTAAGAAAGATAATTATTTTTGAACGTGCGATATCAAAAATGCAACCTGCTCAGCAGCTTCGGACAATCGTGCGTCTTGTTCAGATCCACCCCCAAAGTGGCCTCTGTCAAGATCCATCTTTAACAGCACGTCTTTGGATTCTTTGAGTGAATGGCGCAGTCCGGCCACAAATTTCAATGGCTGCCAATATGCAACACGTTGGTCTTTGAGCCCTCCAGTGACAAACACAGCTGGCAATGATGTGGCATTGCTAAGCGCCTTTATATTCTCGTACGGAGAGTAGGCTTGAATACACTCATATGCTTCTTTGTCTTTTGTGGGATTTCCCCACTCTGGATATTCGACCTGTGTCAAAGGCAGGTCAGGATTTAACATGGCCGACAAAGGGTCCACAAAAGGTACTCTGAGTACCAGGGCCCTAAATAGATCTTTGATATATATATATATATCAATAGAAAAAAAAATTCAATAAAAAGACAAAAGACAAAATACACACAAATTTTGCTTTTGCTTTTGTTTTCTTACCTGGTCGCATATGTAGTACAGAGCCTACCAAAAGTCCACCAGCACTTGTACCAATAGCAGCCAGGTGGTCAGGGCTGGTTACCTTTGTCTTGACCAGATGTTCAGCAACAGCGATAAAGTCACGGAAACTGTTCATCTTGTGTTTCAGTTTACCCTGTTCATACCAAGGACGTCCAAGTTCACTTCCACCACTAAATGCCAATATAATTGTGAGTGTACAACCTTCTCGCAAAAACAAATATATATATATTCTCTCTTACCGGACATGAGCAAGTGCAATTACCCAGCCGCGTTCAAGTAGTGGTAAATGTTCGATCTTAAAGTCGGGGTCTGTAGATACACCATAAGCACCATAAGAACGCATCAACACTGGGTTCCTTTGAAAATACAAGTCAAACAAATCATGTGTTCAGAACAATATTAAAGGCATGATGTGCATATATATATATATATATATATATATAAAAGTACTTACTTTGAATTCTTTTCATAATCTTTGGAGTGGATTAATGTTACCGGAATATCCTGGTTATCATGTGACTTTACATGAATCTGAGTACAGGTGTACTTTGACTTGTCAAATCCTATATACTTCAAGAGTCAGGAACAGAAAATTCATTAGTTGTGTACTCGTAGTGTACTTGCCTTGGATAGAAGCAACTCTAACAGGATTTAACTTTCTTTTCTCAACATCATATTCGTAAGTCGATTCGTGAGCAAATGGGGATGAAACTGAAAATCTAAATGTATCCGTATTAAATTCCTAAAGAGAGAGAGAAAGAGAAAATTTTGAGCACTAATATATGTAGATATTGTCTCATAGTTTTGTTTTTTGTTTTTTTTTTTTTACTCACCAGATTTGTTCCTGGACTGACAACACAGAATCTCCCCGGAAGATCAACTTGGTGGGTTAACTTTGTGCTGAGATCATGGCACAGGATTATCGGAAGACCATCTCTACGGCCATAGATAACAATATTGTTCTGGAATGGCTGTATTTTAGACCAAGTTGGAGTACAAGGTTATCATTTTACCTGAAAGATGTCAACATCTTCAATCTTTTCAGTTGGGTTCATGGTAATCACATCTTCCCACTCTGAATGTTCAACCGATTCATCAGGAGCCTTTACAAGCTTGAAATTGGTGGCTTTTTGAGCATTGGTTAGGATATAAAATGTTGACTATTTGATAGTCGTTTTTAATTAACCTTTATAATACCATCATTTCTTATAATTTCTTGCTCTTACATCGTGATGATCTACATAGTATTCCAGTTGGGGTACTCTAGGCTTGATCAATCGTAACAAGGGTTTGTTTTGCTGGGTTACATTCAGAGTAGCATCAATGACTCTAACTTCAGAAGACGATAAAGAATTGCTATTGATTGTAACGAATTTCTAATAAATAAAGTACATAGAAAGATTTTAAATCAATCAATGCAATATATATTTTTTGATTTGTGGGTTCTAGTCTATTAAGTTTTACCATGTCTTTTGTGCTGGTAATATCCACAAATACAGAGTCATCAGGCTCTTCAAACACCAATACATCTTCTTCTTGTGTTGTTCCTATCGTGTGGCAGTATACCTGATATACATATAAAGAATAATGAAAAACATAAGAACAATGGAAAGAAAAAGAAACTGTGTCTTACTTTGTGTGGACGCAGTTGGGCATTGGTAACTGTGTAGTAGACTGTCTTGTTGTTGGCCCACACGAAATTGAATACATCGTCCAATGTCTCGCCCTAAAAGTATCTTTTTTCTGGGTTTACATGTATATTCAAAGAAAACCAATAGTAGTATATTTAGGTATTCTTGCTTGCCTTCCAGTCTGTACGATAATTAAGATCTTTAAAGTGTAATTCTCCGTATTCCATTCCTTCTCGCTCGGTGTTGTAAGCAAATATGCTATGATCTGGGGACATGAGTATTTTACGGATGGACATGTTCATTGCTTTCAGAAAACCGGCGTGCAACAAGACTTCCTATAATATATATATATATATATATATATATTATAGGATGTAATATTTGAATACATAAATCTATCAAATTGTCCTTAAAGTGTAATCTTTACCTCTGGAGGATCTCTACCTTTACCAAGTGGTTTGCGCAAGTATACCATTCCGTACGCAGATGTGGTAGAGAAATACTCATAGCCGTGTGCTACAGTAGTAAGAGGTGGTAATTGTCTGCGTGTTTGTAATCGACGTTTCATTTCCTTTATTATATAAAGATTGATTAATTATACGTCAATTCTTGTCTTTTTTGATACGCTTGTTGGCCTTGTTTACCCTCTGGACTATACGCTGCAGAAATCTATTTTGAGACAAGACCTTTGTAGAATAACTGTTATAAACGCACAAATGAGTTTTTATTTGTATTTAATCATAAGAATGTCTTGAGAAAGCAGTTGATAGTTACCTGTTTTCCGCTTGGATATATGATGCCAAATGCTAAATTAAATCGTTGATTATTCAATTTAGTTGTGTAAATACGCTTGTAATTAAAATTAAAATTAAAATTAAAATAAATAATTAAAATAAATAATTAATTAATTAATTAATTAAACAATCAATTAATTATACTTGCTGGATTATCAATGTTTTCCATCCATGAAAAGCAATCGTTTCTATTGTGACCATGATGGGCCTGGATATCTGTAATAGCCTTTGGTACAGGAGGTGTTTTGGTTCTAACACGAATATTTAATATATGCAAAATTGACATTATTATTTTATTAATATATTTAAAGAAGAAGATTTAGAAAAAAAAATTCTCTGTTTTAAATATGAAAGAAAAAAGAAATCACTTTTTATTTTTATTTTTTATTAATGATTTTATTTACCTGTTCAACGCTTGCTTCAAAGATGACAACAAGGACAATGTATAGAATCTTTGGGGCTGTTTACTGCAATAATGACTAGTTTTCACAAGAAATGTTAGTAAGATTGATCATTGACATTGATTGAGTAGGAGCATGCCTTGCAACACGAGTAATGGAGTACATCACTAAATGAGTATGATTCCAAATAAAGAGAAAACTTTTATACTGCAAACAAAATAGTAAATAGTAAATAGTAAGTATGAAATCGAAATTGGGATATTAGAATTTTTATTGGTTAATCAGTATTATACAAATTATTTATATATGTATCTCCTATATACATTTCTAACAAAGTTATCTTTCAATTCAATTCAAAAATCTAGCTTAATACCCTTGTTAGATTAAAGGCACATATAATCTAGGATTCTGTGGGTTAACCCCTCCTCCCCTGGACAACTTGATAAACGAATAACAGAAAAACATATATGTATTTCTACAGCAAAATTTAAGCTTCATCTAGAATATACTATTCTATTTTATTTCTAAAAAGCCTGTTAAAAAGAAAGTACAATAGCAATCACTTGTAAGCCTATCTGGTATTAAGGCTAACTTGAAAGACAATAAGTGAAATTAGGTGTTAAATGTACAAAACAATTTTCTGGAGAGATGCAATATATAATACTTTTTTTTTATTTTCTTTTTTGGCTTTTTACATATATTTTTAATATATATATATATATATAAAAGAAAAAGAGTCTTGATGCATTCATTAATTCATTGACTTTAGATGTACCTTGTATTTTCCCAATTGTTAATTTTCACCGGGTGTATTAAATCGTACTAATTGTGATTATAATTGGCCCAACAAATGCATAATGTTTTTATTGTTTTAATGGATCAAAATTATCACCACTATTATTATTATTATTATTATTATTATTTTGATAGAGTTACAGGGATAGTGACAGGGATATTGTTTTTTTGCTTATTTCCTACTTATCACTATACAGTGCTTGGAACTTATGTGTTTGACTCATACTCTATTTTAGTTTCTGGATTAAAAACCAAGACAAAAACTGCCTATCCGCTCGACCCAAATCTTGTTATCAGCGTAGGCTTCATAATTAAGCCTGAATTAGAGTTGAATTTTGGGAATATTTGTGAGAGAAAAAATGTGATATATATTTTATTATTATTTGAGATATATGAAATTGTCAATCCAAAAGTATTGTTGCATCTGCTGCTGACACTACTCCCGATCATTTTCAGCTCTACTTATGTGTATTTAAGATATATAGTATACTCATAATGGGCAAAACAAAAAAGAAGGTTTGAGGCTATTTAATAAGTGATATTCTGCCGGACAGCAATATGGATCCTTTGTCTGCCAACTGTATTCAAATTAATGTAATGTAATGCAATCTAACGCAATGTAATGCAATGTAATGTAATGTAAGGTGTGTGCGTATATGTGTATGTGGTTTTAATCCTGAAAATATGAGCATGTTTTTACCAGACCGCAGCTTTCTTTTTTCTTTTTCACTCCACATTATATGTATTTTATTTTTAATTATTCTATTTCTTGGTTGAACTCAATTCCATGGTTGCAAAGAAAGGTTGTTTTAATGAAATATAAGGCACATTCATGTCTCACTTGCTTCATTTTCTGGTAGAAATAATAAAGTGCCTCGAACGCTGTCAATCTAAGGAGAAGGAGGGGTAGAAACGAAGCATTTTATAATTTATGAATCGAGGCACTTGAATTTCACAAGGTTAGAGTTCAAATGAATCCCATGTAAGCAAATCAAGGAGTGGGAAAATCAATAAACAAATAAACAAAAAAAAGAAAGGAGGGATCGAGGGGGGAGAAGGTAATGCTGATTTATTTATTTTTTGAATATTTTTTACTGACAAGAACAATTATATGATGGCTATAAGAATTGTGATAAACTTCAAGCTTTTACTCTTTAATGCCTTACATATTCTATCTGTGAGATGCTATATAATTCAAATACAAAAGGAATATCAAGTAGTTGTGATTGCTACAATAGACTGTTTCGAAATACATGCCAGTCATACACACAGATGTACACACGGAAAGAGAGAGAGAGAGGAAAGAAACGAGTATAACACATGGTCAAATATACACAAATTTAGTTTTATTTATTTATCTATCTGGCTAGCTGCCTAGCTGCCTAACTGCCTAGCTAGCTATCAATATAATATTCGCTCTTGTCCATTTATTCCTCTTTCTTCCTTCTTGCTCCTATCCAATAATCATCAGTACTGCCGTATTCATTTTTTTAATTGCTATAATAATGCACCCTATTTTGCTTATACTCATCGTAACTGGTATACCTCTAGCCGTCTACTTTGGCTTTGAGCTCTATGACTCTTACACTGAACGTCAACAACAACACCAGGAACAAAAGGAGTATGATAGCTATTTACAAAAGTATAATGAAAAATTATCTGCTACATATCATTCTTCTGAAGATGATGATAAAGATGATAAAAGTGACGACGACGACGATAATGAACCTCTAGCCAATACAGCTTGGAAAAGAGACTTTGGAAACCTTCGTCAAAGACATAGTCAATCTTCCATGTCAATCCTTAGCCAGGTAAGATATACTCTTATTATTTTTAACAGACAGTTTATTTATTTTATTTTTTATTTTAACAAAAATGTATAGTCTTCGGGTGAAATATTCGAAATGAGAAAGAGTATCATCGAACGAAAGAAACAGCTAGCAAGAGATCAAGCCATGTTGGATCAAGCAGAACGTGAACTGGATTTACGTCGGGACTCACTCAAGTACAGAGGGAACAATATTCTCGGCATCCAACCCGAACCCAAATTTGAATCCGAATTCGAGCATGAACTTGAACTTGAACCTGAACATGAACATGAACATACGGACCAATTCAATCAAAATCAAGATAGATTATTTATCAGATCAGCTAGCCGTGAGTCATGCCAGACCATTAGACCCATGCTGTCTCAGTCAGAAGAAAATCCATTTGAGGATCCAGATTGGCTCTCGAATACAACACACTCACCTGTCATTTCCAATCACACATTCTCTTTACAACAACAAAGTGCGGTTGATATCCCAATCTCACCTCTCAACATGCCTGCATTGGTGATATCACCCGCAATAGACTCCCAAAGCAGTACTCCGTGGTCTAATGTTAACGACACTACTCTTCAATTTCCAACCTTGAATTCCGATACAGAAGATAGCTGGGCTGACCTCGATCGCCTCAATCGTGAGCACCAAAGGGCGGAGAGCGGTGGATCAGACCTTACTTTTAATTCATTCGATCACTCTGGAACTCCCTCATATGGTGTCAGGAGTGTATCTTCTGAAGACTACATACATTAAATGATATATCCATTTTTACCTCTTATTCTTCAATTTCTACTTTTACTATTGCAACTGCTACTGCTATTACTACACGCTCAAATATATATAATTAAATGATCAAGAATGTGATTATAAATAATGTCAAACGGAAGAGATGGTAGGCGAAAAGAGAAAGAAAGGGATGTTTAATAAATTATTAAAAACAAAGCAAATATATGAAAATAAAGGTGATTTTTATAATTTATAGAAGCTATTTTTTGTACTTTTGCAGAAATTCATCTTTAAAGGCAGAGTTCTTGGGTAGAATGATAAAACTTGGGACACCATTTTGAACCACATACTGATCCAATGACAAGATCTTTCCCAGTGTGTGCTTCTTGCCAATCTTGATCAGACTAGGCTTGATGCCTTGGTTGTTTTCAAAATAAACCTCTACATTGTCAGGTGTGTAAGTGTGGGTAGTGTCCCAAGGTGCAGGCTGCTCAAGGATGACCTCAAGATGGTCCATGAATGTGTTGGTCTCATTGAAGGACTGGATGTAATCACTCTCTTTGTGCTCAGGGTAGAGAAAGAATACGGGCCAAGACAAAGTATCATTGGAGGCATCGTATACAATGTTTGCACTCTTACGCACATCCTCATCAACAACTTGAATCCGTATATTACGTGCCTTGAGTGCACTCTCCAGACCTTCCTTTGACTCCTTTTCCTTTTGTGCCTTTTCTTCTTCTGCTCTCTGGCGTGCAATTAACATGTCGCGACGTTTGGCGCATTGGGATTTGAGTGCTTGGACAGCAGTGTTGTTTGGATCTGTGGCCAGGGCGTGTTCGCAACAATCATATGCTTCATCCAAACGGTCCAAAGCAAACAAAGCACGAGCAGATCGATAAAGGGCCTTGACATTTGTAGGATTGAGCTCCAAGCATTTTGCACAGTCACGGATAGCACGACCAAGATTACCTTTTTATAAAAAACATCATATATACATATACATATGCGTGTATTGGTATAGGTATGAACGTGAGTGTGAGTGTGTATGCAGATGTAGATTTAAATGTAGATAAAGTGCGTACGCATATACAAGCATCATTTTTAGTCCGTTTGTTTGATTGCACTAGTTAGTCTTGAATAAATTTGCATAATCAATTTTTTTTTGGTTTTGTTCTACAAGACTTTACCCAATTCCAAGTTGACAGCTGCGCGATTAGCATAGCATGCCTCCATCAGTTTCTTGTCAGAGCAATCTGTTTCGATTGCCTTTGTGTAATAATCAACAGCATCCTTGTACTTTGGCTTTCCCTCTCTAAAGCAATCATTGCCTTGGTTCTTAAAGTTCTCAGCAATTTCTATTATAGTATATTATATTATATTTAACATATATTTAATATATACATATATATATGTATGTATATGCGTGTAAGTGCGTGTGGATTTAAAAATATCAATATAAGGTTTAGATGGTATTTTTTTTTTAAAAAAGAAGGATATAAAGAAAGGAAAAAACATATTAGACCTTCTGGCGTTCCATCATAGACAAGAGATTGAAGTGCACTAAGAGTATCGTTTTCAGCTTCAGGAAGATGAGTCATGAAGAGTGGGACATTAGATAAATCTCTGTCGAGATTTTCAGGGTCCATTGAAAACTCTGATTTGTGAGGTTTTGGGCCGACTACGTTTTCCATTGTAATTGCTCTTTGTTTGTTTTATATATATATTTACAAAGGAAGAATAAAGAAGATAATAAGAAATATTCGAGAGTTTTGGCTTCATTTCAATAGTCTTTAATGCGGACAAATAATATAATATAAAAAACAAAGTGAAAGACCAAGTGATACAAGCCACATATTACCGAACCCGTCGATTGAAAATTCTAAATTTTTATTAATTTCTGTTTACGCGGCGACGCAATTTCCAATGAAAGATTGTAAAATTTTACTGTTGACGCATATTGAGTTTGTTGTGTGTGCAACTTGTGCCATTCACCAACGTACGAGGGAATTGAGCCACGGCATATAAGGTTCCGATTGTTATTCAGCATCTGTTTTTTAATTTTTTATTAAAGTACCATGCCAATTTTTATTTTTTTTGCTAATGTTTTGTTTCATTTTGGTTATATAAAATAAGCTTTTTAAAGTACGGTCGTTTAGTATATTCCTTTTTGTAACTAGAGTCCTTATTTTGGAAAATTTGTCAATTCCCTCGACAATTCCCTCGTACGCTGGTGAATCGCATTGGTCAGAAATATACAGAGCCATTCCAAAAGAGATTTCCTAATTTGAGGTCCGTCCTTTCTTCTTTACGCACTACCTCATTTCGTTTTTTTCTCAATCGCTTTAATCTTATAAACATGTCCACCTCAAATTCAGACAATAAAGAGAAAAAACCTCTTTAAAAATATATACAGCTTTCTACGGAAGAAAAATGGATTATGGCTGGAATGCACAAGGCTGGGATGTTCATTCCTGAGATTGCTCGACAAGAGAATGGTGCTTAGATTCATTCACTATATTATGGAGAGATGTAAGAAAACCAATTCTGTAGAAAACAGAGCTCGAACAGGAAGACTAAGGCTGCTCAAACTCAGAGGCGAGTGACACCTTTATAAGATTTTGAAAAAAATAGATGCGGGAACTTGCTGAGATGTTCAACATGCCCATCTCCAAAAGTACTGTTCGAAGAGCATTACACAATCCAGATCTGAACAGCTGTATTGCATTGGCCAAACCTTTCTTAACAGAGGCTAATATGGATTCACGGAAGAAATGGGCTACGGCACGAAAAAATTGGAATGAAGAATGGAAGACTGTGATCTGGAGTAACGAATCTTGGTTTAGCCTTTTTAAAACCGATGGGCGAACCCATGTGTGGAGAAACCCTGTTGAGAAGTATGATGCTGACTGTGTTCAGCCAAGGGTATAAGATGATGGAGGATTAGTCATGGTTTGGGGATGTATCTGGACAGGAGGTAATGGTCCCCTCGTAATTCTTGATGGACACATTAACGCAAAAAATGTATATAGAAGTCCTTCAAGAAACATTCATGCCATTCTATGATAGGCTGCCTTACAAGGAATCTAAGCACTACTATTTCTAAGAAGACAATGCCGCGCCACATAAGGGCAGTTTTGTCAAAAAAGTGTAAAGAAAACTTGGGTAGAGATGTTCTTGAGTGGCCTGCCAAGAGTCCCGATCTCAACCCAAATGAGTACCTCTGGAATCTTTTGGGCGATTGTGTGCGTTCAAGATCCTCTCAACCAACCACACTGAAGAAGTTAGAGGAGGCTTTGCAAGAAGAATGGAAAACTGTAAGCCTGAATGTGTGCGAGAAGTATTGCCTTACCCTACACAAGAGAGTGAAGGCAGTTATAAGAAACAAAGGTGGTCATATTCCATATTAAATAAACTCTCGAATTTTTGTCAGGCGAACTGGATAGCCCAGGACTCATTATTGCTAAAGCATACAAGTATTGGCTGTTTACATGAATAGTAAGAGACATGTAAAGGGGGTATAGATTTTCATATTTTTTGGGGGTTCAATTCCGGAAATCTCTTTTGGTACGGCTCTGTATTAATTGACGATTGTGAAGTCTAAGCGCAAACTTTTAAAAGTTGGCTTCATTCAAAAATTCGCTAAACTGTTTGTCAGTTATTTCGCTAATGTTATGTCCACAGTGTACGGATTGCAAATATATGAAGAAAAAGGGTATTTGATAATTATAAATTTTATTATTACAGAAAATAGAAACGCTACTCGAGAGCCTATAAACCTATCTAAGGATGAAAAAAGCCAACTAAAATTGTAAAAGGTCAAGCTACAAAAAGTTATTTTGTTTTTGATAAATAATATAGTTTTGTATTTAAGAGCATCTTTGGACAGATGGTATAAGTTCACAAACCTATCTATTCTCCAAGGCTTCCTTATTGTATAAAAATTTACTTTCCTATTTTTTATTATACAATTGTATATTAACTTTTACTATTATACACAAACCTAATATTTCAAATAATAAATGTTGTTTTGTTTCTTGTGTTTTTACTCTACTATTCTTGTTCTTTCCGCTGAAGTTTTCAGTCCCGCAGTTTTACGTTTTTTGACTAATCAGGACACATATTATGCATCCGTTTCTTCATTGTCCTTAACATTCAATACCTTAAACTAGAAGAATAGTGCGTAATGGGAATGCCTCAGGGAGGGACGATACCTACACCCAAGTACATTCAAGCAAAGGAAAGCTATATATATATATATAGGATTATTTAATGGGAAAACTTTAGGAAGTGGTGTTACTTACGTGCAATACTTTCAAACGAAAGATATATATATATATTTCTTAATGAGAATGCCTCAGGGAGGGACAATACCTACACCCAAGTACATCCAATCAAAGAAAAGTATATACATATAATAAGAATGCTTAATGAGAATGCCTCAGGGAGGGACGATACCTACACCCAAATAAATACAAAAAGGCTATCCTTACGGACAAGACGATGGGACAAGATTTCGAGGAAAAGATATCCATCTCTGACGTCAGAGATGATTAGTGTAACAATCCCATTTTTTTTGGGGGGAGCGACTAGATAAATGGTTCTTCGGATTGTCAATAAAATCACTGCCCTTTTTTTACTACAACATCAGCGCATAATTTTTTTGACATTTAACATGAGCAACATCAACAACACCAACAACACCAATGACCTTATCATTGTCAGTGAGACTTCTTCCAAGAAGTACGATACTGCTTTGACCGAGTTTAATTCTATCTTTCTTGTTGGAAGACAATTTTCTTCAACTGTAGCTGTTTGTGAAGCTGTCAAGGCATATGGTGCCACGCATAATATTGCATTTTCCACCATGTTTTCATCAGAAACTCGCATAAAGATGATCTGTAAGCATGTGGGCGAATATAGAGCCACTCGTAAGGCTGCAAAGATTGCTTTAGAAACCTCTGCCAGCAAAGAGAGTCCCCTTCCTGGATGGGAAAGAAAACGTGTCAAGGATACACAAAAGCATGGCTGCCAATGCTTTGTGTACGCCTCTAAGAAAAAAGACGGAAGAGTTGCTGTGCACTCGTGCGAGGCACAACATAACTATCCAATTGAGGAAGATCGTAGGGCATATGCTATGCACCGAAAACTTTCGCCTGAGGCCATGGCCCTTGTAACAAGACATCTGGAGAATAACGATGATGTATCAACCATCTTCAACAGTTTGAAGATATGTGGATACATCAATGTCGTACGTCAAGACATTGAGAACATCAAGCAGCACTTTGGAAAAGATTATGAAGGAAAGGAGATGTTCGGTTTTATTACCACTTTACAAGACCTGGACTTCTATATCCGCTATACTGTTGATAATACAGATGACAAAAGAATCAACATGGTTTTCTTTGCTCACAAGGATGCAATTGAGGAAGCACTAAGAATGCCTGAGACGATAATCATCGACGCTACATATAAGACAAATAGCCATAGAATGACATTTGTCAATATTGTTGGTACCAGTAATGTAACTGGTAAATCTCGTGGAACATTGAAGACATTCCCTATTGCTGGTGCTTGGGTAGAGCACGAAACGGTTGAGAATTATCTCTGGGCACTTCGTTGTCTCTGTGATGCAGTTTGGCCAGATGTCGAAGACAATAACAGTGGCAATAGCAACAACAATACAGCAACAACAACACAAACACAAACAAACACATACACACCTCTTCTTCCTAATGTGTTTATAACTGACAACGAGAAAGCATTGCGAAATACAATTACCTGTGTTTTCCCTGAGTTGAAGCAAGTCTTATGCTATAAGCATATAAAAGATAATTTCAAAAAAGACTTGCTACCGACGATGAAGGGAGAAGAGAGCAGTGAGAAGAGAGAGCTTTTGGAGACTTTGGCAGGGTTTCTTGACAAGATTGCTTTGAAGTGCGAGACGCCCGAAGAAGTAAAAAAAGAGACAGATGGGTACCTTGAGTTCACAAAGGAGAATTGCAAGGATCAGGGGAAAACCGCCAGTAATTTCCTTGAAAGGTACATATAGAGCCATTGAACTTGACAAAAATGGCTTATTAATTATAAAAAATTGGTAATTTTTGTATAATTTACTAGAAAAATGAAAGACAAGGAGAACTGGGTAAACATGTATGTTTATAAATACTCTCACTTTGGAAATCGTACCTCCAACCGCGCAGAAAGTGCACATGCTTCCCTCAAGCATTCTCTTGGTACCTCTTCTGGTAAATTGATGACAGTGACACTAAAAGTGAAAAAGTGGTATCAGGAACTGGTAAGTTTGCATTATCTTATTTTATTTTATGTGTTAGTTGAATAAGTTCTCTAATTATAATTATTTGCTATAATATATTTGTATATTAAATAGGTTGATGATCGTAAATGCAGATTAATGACAGAGTGCCTTGGAGAGAGCACAGAAGTTGTGTTTGACAAAGTCAATGGAGCGAGACTAAATGACATTTGTCAAAAAATTAGCCACTTTGCAATGGACAAAATCAAACTAGAACTATCAAAATCAATCATACCTTAAAAATTGACCAAAAAGTGCAAATGCCTCTTACATTACAACTATCTCCTACCATGCTATCATACACTCGCTACTTTTAATATAATTCCAATCTCTCTAATTCCAAGACGCTGGAGAAAAGATTATCTAGGAGAAGATAATACATATAATAGTTATAACATTATTTTCTCATATAATATATAATTGTATATAGACCACTTGACAATTAACAACGCAGAACCAGTATCAGCAAACATTGCTAAAATAACAACTATATCGCCTCAATTTGATCACGATCTTGAGCTTGTTCATGAAGGCTTTCACAGTACACACAGCAAACAAGAACAAATAGATATACATAATTTAGTAAAAAACATACTAGAAAAAATGACCAAGCAGAAACTTGAGGATCTTAATGGTCCAACAATAGTGGAAGCCATCAAAGGCCAACCCAAAAATACAAAGCGTAAAATGATTGCATTAGAGCACTGCATTGAAGCTGAAAAAGAAAAAGATACAAAAAATTAAAATAGCAAAAGAACAAAAAAAGTGAGTATTCATTTATAATACATTACCTAAATCTATTTCACTCAAGTTTTGCTCTATTTTCTAGAAAACAAATATCCTCAACTCAAGAGCAAAAAGCCTTGCAAAATATCACCAATCTTGGCTTGCCAATCGATCACACAATATTAACAAATCTTACTATTGCTCCTAAACATATAACCAAAGTCTTTTCTCCTGAAGCAGATGGCAACTGTGGATACCGAGCAATAGCAATGGAGATATATCAGGACCAGAAGAAATGGCTTGAAGTTAAAGAAAATATGCTAGAAGCCTACTTAAAATATCAGCATACATATTACCAAGGAAGAATGGAAAATGGCAACATGCCTGCATCCACAAACCCGCTCATAATCATTCTCAAAGACAAAAGATCACCCCTCCCACAGCAACATTGGTTTGGAACGATTGACCATCCACAACTTGCAGCAGATGTGTTCAATAGATCAGTAGCTGTATATTGGAACACTCCAAGAGAAACAGGCGACTGTCTCTTCGTTCCATTAACTACCACACCAGAAAAATTCGAACCAATAATCATCATCTTGTACATCAACCACTTTCTCCTTGCGAAACGTAAACCTATCAGAAACTTTACTTGGCCAAAAATAAATCCTTTCCACAAAGCCATAGTCAAAAGATATGGCCTGTTGTGGGGAGAAAATAAAGCAAAATATAATATAGACGAAAGAATTCGTGAGAACTTGTGTAGGTTGTTTATTTCAAAAGAAAAGTAAAGAAATATAAAATTCGATTGTCTTTCTACACGGAACTATCTACTGATATTTATATGTTTTTCTAATTTGTAATTCAGTGTGTGCTTAAGTAATCTTTATCACGATGAGTCATCTTCCAGGAGTATTGTTCTTCTGGAAAGATCCGGAAAGACCAATTGATATGATACTTCTCCAGTCAGATCAGTCCAAGAGTTTTGGTAAAGAAGAGCATTTATGCTATTGGTAATATTTTAGTATTCCGACCCAGATACTCGGGTAATGTTTCATAATATTAGATAGTTGTAGTTGTAGTCTCTCAATTAAGTATTTGTATAATAAAAGAAATATGTAGATGAAATATAATGATGCCATATATATAATGTATATGTATTTGTATATCCCATGTCATGGTGATAATAATAAATAATCAATTATGTGTATGATGATCTGTGTATTAGATAATATCATAAAGGGAGATCCGTTTGACTGGAATAGCTGAGGATATTATTTTATCCTTCAGTCTTACTCTCAGATTCAGCAGTAATCAATACTCATTCACAACATTATCCTCCACCAGATTCAACAATACCTTTTGTTGATTCGGCAATAAAACATTTCATTTACTATTTCATTGTCTGGCCAATTGCTTATTTTATTATAGTCAATCATGCACATAATTTTTGTACTTTATGGAGATCTACACTGTAAACTCAGCTTTGTGGATTACGTGTTCATTTTTTGTTATTTTAATTTTTTGTTGCTCTTCTTTTGTGTAATCTTTCTTCTCTACTCAAAGTGGTAGGAAGTGTTCTTTTCTTGTGCTCATCGTTATTGTTACTTTTACCATTTAGTCTTGAAGTGTGAACTATTTTCTTTTTTGAGGATGCACTTTTGTTAATCAAGTCTTCAGCTCTCTCATTCTCTAAACGTTCCAACTCTCTAACTTTCTTCCAATATTTTTGTACAATTGTGGAATCGGTAAAGTCTTCAGCCTTTTGCCATGTATTAGTGCGTTCGCCATAGCCAGCCCATTTGACCAAATATTCTCGTTGACCAGCAGTACCACGATGATCTCGAATGTCTTCAACTTCGTAGAGCTCATTCTCAATTGTTGATTCATCGATGGTGACCATCTTGAGTTCTGAGGGTGTATAATTTCGGTGTAACAATTCACCTTGCTCATCCTTTAACTCATACGATCCTCCTTTATTCTTTCGAACCACTGTATATGGACCTTCATAAATAGGTGCCAATTTATTTGATCGATGTGGTAATCTGACCATAACGTGTGTTCCTTTGGGGATGTCGATTAGGATATTTTTGTGATCATATTTCTTTTTTAATTCCTCATTAATCCTTAACACACGTTCGTTAATGGCAGGGAATATAATATTTTCCATATGATCAATCTGCTTCTCTAGCTCATCAATTGTAACTGTGGCTTTTGGAAGAGAGTATTTATCTTTGTCACCATACTCATCAGGCACATTGACTCTGCGAGCATACATTAATGAAAACGGCGCACTTAGTGTTTTTTGAGGAATATGTCTATTGATACACAGCTGAACAATCGGTAGATAGTGACACCAGTCATTGCTGTTCGCTCTCATCATTTTACGTACAGTATTCTCTGCAATTTTTACACTGGCTTCGGCAATACCATTTCCTTGTGGGTGATATGCTGTCGAATATCTTCGATCAATCCCAAGCTCTTTAGATAGGCTTGACATTAAAGAGTTTCTAAATTCCAGACCATTGTCACTTTGCATTACTTTGGGAAAACCATAATCTCCAAAAATCTTTATCAATGCTTTAGCTATTGTTGTTGAGTTCTTGTTTGGCAGTGGTCTCAAGATAATGTACTTGGAGCATACATCAACCAGAACTAACATGTACGTGTGTCCATCCTCTGATACAGGGAATTCACCGCATAAGTCAATTGCAATATGATCAAATGGTCGGAATGCTACAACATTAGTCAATGGGTGATAGCCTTTCTTGCTAATATTGTGCTTCTGACATTCAGGGCAAGAACGAATAATCTCTTTAGCCTCTTCATATATATTAGTCCAGTGTAAGCCTTGTGAATGAAGATCATTCACTATAGCTTGACTTCCAAAGTGACCAAACGAATGTGCTTCTTTTAGTAAGCCATTACGCTTTTCTTCAGGAGGTGACATATAGTCGGACGACTCTGAAGCATTTTCGACGAGTTGCGTTGCAAGTACATTTAGCACTCTGTCTTTACTATATTTTTTCTTTTGAACAATAACTCTGTTTTTAGCTTGAAAGTCATTTGTTCTGATTTTTCTCAATCCATCATCCTCCACCAGCTTGTCACTATCCTCTGGAGGATACAAGCGGCTTAGCAAATCAGGTAGTTTATTCAACAAACCAGGAATATGGACCACTTTAAAATCAAAGTCAAGGAGTGTCTCAATCCAGCCAATCATCATCGGATTAGCGATTTTTTGAGTGTGGAGATAAATGAGTGCTCGATGATCAGTAAAAATTGTGAACTGTCGGCCCCACAGAAATGGACGGAATTTTTCAAGCGCCAAAACGACTGCATATAATTCTCTTTTAGTTGTGCTCCATCGTCGCTGCGATGGGCTTAAGGAAGTTGATACAAAGCTGATATATTTATCACGCCCTTGTTCATCTCGCTGAAACAATAAGCAAGCTGCTCCATAAAGGGATGCATCTGTGGCCACATACATTTCACGTGACATATCTGCGTAATGAAGAATTAAATCTTGGTGCAATATGTCTTTTAGTGCTTTAAAGCTTTTCGTCTGCTCATCTGTCCATTGACCAGACACATTCTTGGCATGACTCAAACGTGAAATAGGCTCAGCTACCTTCGAAATCATAGGAATATAATCTCTGAAGTAATTGATCAAACCCATGAATTGCTGAATCTGTTTCGCAGTTGTAGGAATAGGCCATTTGTCAACATTTGTCAACTTTCGCTTATCAACCTTGGTGCCTGTCTCATTGACGACAAAACCAAGCAATCTCACTGAATGTTGAAACCAGACACACTTTTCCGAGTTCAGAATCAACTTCGCGGATGACAATTTTTCAATAACTAATTTTACGTCTTTGACATGCTGTTCAAATGTTTCACTGGCAACAATACAATCATCAACAAAATTCTGTACACAGTCAATCTTATCAAATAAAGTAGCCATGACATGTTGAAATTGTGAAGTAAGCATCTTCAAGCCAAAACAGCCTTTAATAAAGCTATACTGTTGCCCATCTAAGTGAGTGAATGTCAGTTTGTGTACATCCTCAGGTGCAACTTTGAAACGATGATACGCATTGGATAAGTCGAGTGTGGTAAAGAATTTCTTTCCACTTAAGTTTTGAAATATTGTTTGAATTTTTGGAATTGGATAATTGAATGTGGGAGGTAGGATCTGATTTAACAATCGCACATCTAAACACACTCTATGACTGACAATCTCACCAGCTTTGTTTCTCTTTGGAACAAGCAACATTGGACTGTTGAAGGAAGTGTTGGTCTTGGACTTGACAATAGTTCCTGTCTCAAGCCATTCTTTTACTTGCTTGTCAAGTGTTGGTCTTAGAGCGTGCGGTATAGGATACTGCCGTCTGTAAGCCGTCGCACCTTCCTTAGTAGGTAAACGAATAATAGATTCTGATAAAGGACAATATGACTCAACGGGAATATTCTTATTTTCCTCCAGTGATGCTTTAATAGAGCTCATAAATTCTGCTCGTTGCTGTGCTGTGCCAGCTGGCGAATTATCAGGTTCAAACTTTTTCTCTTTATCAATATTTAGATTTTCATAAATGGCGGCATAGTCTTTTGCATTATCTGAATGGACATATTCTCCTTCAATATCATATGCAACATTAATTAATCCAATATTCATCTTTGCCAAAATATCTCTTCCAAGGAGGATATCAAAATTAAAACCCGTATTAAACTCTAACACCTCTGGTGCATGCTTAAAGGTGATGCCATTTATATATTTAAAATTTAAAGGATCAGTTTTTCCTAATCTCTTTGTACTACTATTCTTAGACAGAAAATTAAAGGAACCAATTGAAGAATTTATTTTTGTTATTTGTAAATTGTTATTTAAACATTTCAAATTTATAAACGTGCGGGAACTGCCTGTATCGATCATCCCGATTAACTTCTGGTTCTCTATTATGATTGGAGTTACAAGATTAAACGCATCATTAGCTTTAATTCTTCTCTCAATTCTGTCAAGTAGGTACTTACATTCAAATGATATTTCCTCCATGTCTTCATCTATCCTGTCCTGGATCGTCTTGAGCGTCTGCTCAGACTTATCCTTTGCGGGAGACTGGGATACCATGAGAATTGGCTCATTGTTCTTGCTTTTGCAGACATGACCATGGTAGTAGTTTTCACCACAACGTCTGCAAGGATTGCGACTGTTGGAACTACTGGCTTTGTTCTTGCGGTTGATCAAGGTAAAACACTTGCTGGACTCATGGGTCGGGTTTTTTCCATGGTGCGAGCAGAAAAATGTCTTCTCATGCTTGGTTATCTTGTTGGAGTGGTGAAGCTTCTTTCTGGGATGTTCCTCGTTATTCTTCTCAGGTTGCCCACGGGAACCAGGAATCAATCGGGTCGCCTCAGCATAGAGCCTGTTGTCATCCCCAAGGATGTCTCTGCCGATCTGCGTGATCTGCTCTACAGTCCAATCACGCTTGGACTCCCCATTGGGACCAGAGCGGGCCATGGTAACTCTTACCAGTGTTTGCACTGATAAGGTCAGCGAGGCAAGGAAGCGATCAGCGATGCGAGCATCGTCTTTGGGTAAACCAGCATTGTAAACCGCACGGAGGAACTTCTTCGAGTAATCACCGATGGACTCAGTGTTCTTCATCATCATTGTAAAGACCTGGTCTGTGAATCGCCGAGACACCAAGCTGGAACCATGTCTTTTGTTGAAGCATGATTTCGCCGCCTTCCAATCAATACACTTCTTAAGATCCATCTCTACCCATCCGTCATCAGTGTGAGGCAGGCAAAGTGGGAGGAATTTCTTCCAAACTCTCTCGATGTCCAAGGAAGAAGACTCGATCACATTCTTGAAGGTACGTAGGAAATGTCCAACTGATTCAAAAACCTCTTCATTTGGGAAGGGCTTAATAATACTGGAGGCCAATTGGAATTTGGGAAGATCTCTTCTGTTGAGAGTCAACCCTCCTTCACGGTCAGCTCTCTCTGTGTTTGTACCAGGAGAGGCAAGCATCTCGCTGCACTTTTCAAGGCTAGTGATTGCCAATCTTGTGCGCTCGATCCTGCGGAGTGCATCATCAGCTGCTTGCTCATTGTTTGCTACATGAGCAGCGCTGAAGGCCTCGATGTGGTTGCCCAATTCAGCCTTGAGAACGGCCACACAGGAGGAAGCAGTTGCTACTTCTCTACCAACGGGAGGGGAACCAGAACCAGAAACGGAACCAAAACCAGGGGCAGCATCCGGAAAGAGGACGGGCTCACTCAAGTCAGAGAATAATTCATCCGCAGACATGGGGGACAAGGTAGCCTCCTCAGGAACAGGGGTCAAACCAGCGGGAAACAAGTCAGCAGGAGAGTTCATTGTAGTTCACGAAAAAAAATGTTGTGGGGAGAAAATAAAGCAAAATATAATATAGACGAAAGAATTCGTGAGAACTTGTGTAGGTTGTTTATTTCAAAAGAAAAGTAAAGAAATATAAAATTCGATTGTCTTTCTACACGGAACTATCTACTGATATTTATATGTTTTTCTAATTTGTAATTCAGTGTGTGCTTAAGTAATCTTTATCACGATGAGTCATCTTCCAGGAGTATTGTTCTTCTGGAAAGATCCGGAAAGACCAATTGATATGATACTTCTCCAGTCAGATCAGTCCAAGAGTTTTGGTAAAGAAGAGCATTTATGCTATTGGTAATATTTTAGTATTCCGACCCAGATACTCGGGTAATGTTTCATAATATTAGATAGTTGTAGTTGTAGTCTCTCAATTAAGTATTTGTATAATAAAAGAAATATGTAGATGAAATATAATGATGCCATATATATAATGTATATGTATTTGTATATCCCATGTCATGGTGATAATAATAAATAATCAATTATGTGTATGATGATCTGTGTATTAGATAATATCATAAAGGGAGATCCGTTTGACTGGAATAGCTGAGGATATTATTTTATCCTTCAGTCTTACTCTCAGATTCAGCAGTAATCAATACTCATTCACAACATGGCCTAAGCGACAACTCGATCATGTATTAATTACTAAGGTATATATTTTGTACTTGAATTGGCATTGATAATATTAACATTGAATATTTTATTTTTGTAGTTTTTTTTTTTATATATTTTATCTTTATTTATTTTTATATCAACTTTTATCTTTCTATCAATTTTTATCTCAATTGTCAACTTTTTTTATAATCAATATTTTTTGAAACTTTTACGAAATACTCGGATTTGACCCCCCAAAAAAAATGGGATTGTTACACTAATCATCTCTGACGTCAGAGATGAAAATATTGTCCTCGAAATCTTGTCCCGTCGTCTTGTCCATAAGGATAGGGCAATGATATGGACATGCAAGAAAAATTAGGGTCAGACATGCAAAAAAAGACCAAAAGGGAGAATTAAACATGACATCACCTATAATTGACTTTTAGGAGTGTTACCAACAAATTGGACACTGATAAGACATGCAAAAGCGAGCAAATTGAAGAACTAGACGTGACATCACATATAATTAGTTTTGCATGTTACACGCATTTTTTTGGGGGTCAGCCTTGATATTTACACTACGGGAAAAAATGGCAGTTTTTTGCTTTTGTGACTATGTTTTCGGCCTATAATAATTAAAAAATCACTAAAAATCCAATTTGAAACTAGAAAATCTCTGTTTTTTGAAAAGGTTGACAAAAAGCAAATTGACTACCTAAAATTAAATCTCCTGATAGACAAAAGTAAGCTTTAACTACAGACTTTACATTTTTAGTAAATGTAGATTGCATTTGATGACTATTAAAAGTCAGAAGAAAAAGAGAAGAAAATATCTAAACTTTCTGCTGAGAAAATAAAATATGTTAAGACAATTTGAAAAAAAAAATGTATTACAAAAAAAAAACAAATTATAGGTCTGCAAGAGAACCAAGTGACAATTTTGGGCCGCAGTTAAGCTCTGACCACACTATATATGTTGTTGTTGTTGTTGTTGTTGTTGTCATTGGGCCAGACTGCATCGCGGAGACAGCTAAGCACCCAGAGATAATTTTCTTCTGTCTCATGCTCTACCCAAGCACCGGCAATTGGATACGTCTTTAAAGTGGTACGAGGGTTTCCACTCACATTGCTAGTACCAACAATGTTGACATAAGTCATTCGATGACTATTTGTCTTATATGTGGCATCAATAATGACAGTCTCAGGCATTCTTTGTGCCTCATTGATCGCATCCTGATACACAAAGAAGACCATATTCACTTGATTGTCTTCTGTATTACCGACAGAATACCTGACATGGTGTTGTATCCAACATAATCGTAGATTCAAATAGAGCGCACAGACAATAAGACAAAGACATATTGAATAAGCGACCAGTATCAATTATACATTATTTCTCACACTATCATTAAATAAAGAATATACCGATAACAAGGTCACACACCTTAGTCAACATCACTAATCACTCAAACAAGAGCGTGGGTAATAACTTAACAATATATTATCTATGATATAAGAAAACAGACATCACATGATATACTCATATCATTATCCTAAATACACACGCAATGTCTATATAAACTCACATAGCAAATAGCAATAGAAGATCATCTCTCTTTTCATCAATAAACAAAGTCTCACCGTACTTCTCGTCTGCACTTTGTTTTTCGTTCTTTTCTAAAAATATAACATTTTTTACGGTGAACTCTTATCACAATCAAAACATGTCTTCCGAAAACCAGTCTCCCGCCCCCAGTGTTCAGAGCAGCCTCAACACAAGTGAAATCGCAAGCAATGAACAGGCCAACAAGTCCATGTTGGCTATTACCAGACTTAGGGATCTCCTGGCTGCTGCTTCCATCGCCCTAGCCGATGCCATCGAACAAAACCAGCCTGAGGACACCAAGAATCAAATAAGGCTGACAATTGCGGCCACAGAAGGCGATCTGGCTATCCTCATGTCAGCACATACCCATTTGCTTCGTTCTGGTCCTGCCCGCGCTGAGCAAGTTGCTCCCCAATCCCGTGTTGTACCTCGCGAGCTACCAGTTCTTCAGTGGCAAGGAAACGAGTGGGACAACACCCAGAAGGTCTACTCGTCCATTGAAGAGTGTCTGGACAAATTCGAGGATGTGCTCCACTCATACAGTCTGGACCTTAATGTGGACTGGCACCGTCTACTCCCCATTGTTCTGTCAAGAGAACAGCGTTCCTGGTATGACAACTACCTTCGTAGTTCACCCGAGCTTCCCTGGTCCTTTGTCCGCGACGCCTTTATCAAGGTATATGGAATCAACGACCTTGAGCGTCAAGTACAGCTCACACATGAGCTGATGCTCATGAGAATGAGCCCTACAGAAACCGTCAGCAACTACACGGACCGTTACCAAAGGGTTCGTCGGGAAGCTGACGTGGCAGACAACATGCAGGCAGCCATTGCATACACTGCCACACTTCTGCCCGAGCTGGCAAGACAAGTCTCCTTGCTACAAGTCAACATGCCCAGGGAAAAACGGGACACCATTGACAAGGCTGCTTCCCTGGCCCGGTCCATCTATAGCAAGGTCTTTCTGATGAGCTTGCATAACGACCCTGTGCCCAAAGGCCGCCATCTCAGCCCAGAACAGACGACCCGCATGTCTGCTGCCACCTCTTCTGCCCGCTCCCCTGGTTCTCCCCGTGAAGCCACACAGAGCCGTGAGCGCTCTTCCAGCAAGAGGTGCTCGCTCCATGGCAAGGGCAGCCATGACTCCGAAGACTGCCGCATCCTCAAGAACGCACTGGCAGCAAAAGGGGGCAATCGGGTTGAAAAAGCCCCCTACATCAACAAGTACGTTGGTTCTGCTCCTTGCCGTTGGTGCGGTGAAGTTTGGTCCCACAAACATCGCTGTTCTTCCGTCGCTGGTTCCTCCAGCTCTTCCAGTTCTGCGTCTGGCTCTCCCAGGGGCTCTGCTCCCCACTTCGCCGTCCGTTCTGCCCACACTGTCTCTGACGACAGTTCTCCCTCAGATGTCAGCACATCTGAGGATGATCAGTCCATGCACATGGACTTTGAACAGTGCTCCCCATGTAAGTACACGGGCACTCACGTAGATCTCAGTAAACGGTCTACTCACTCCTATCTCGTTCCTATTTCTTTAGAAGAGGAAAAACTATGGGCACTGGTAGACACCGGGGCCACCATCAGCTCTGTCAACACCAAGCTCTGTAGCAAGTTTGGGTGGTCAATAATTCCTCGCAAAGGGAAAATCGTGTTGGCCACTAGTAACGCTATAGCTCATAGACTAGGAGTAACAAAACCAATAAAAGTTTTTTATAACAACAAACACATTACACATTCTTTTGAAGTTTTGGATCTCGCTGAGAATATAGATGTTAGTATTGGTACAGATTTAATGCCAAGCCTTGGTATTCATTTACTGGGACTAGCAGAGAGTTGGTACGGTTCTAATACACCTCAGACCCCTACACCCATAGCTGAAATAGAAAAGCCCAATAATTCACCAGCTGGTACACCCACTGAACATTCTCAATTCATGAAGGCTCTACTACCCTTCATTAAAGCCAATGAAGCCATACCCATCACTTCATTTTGTACAGTTAAGGAATCTATTGTACGACTACCAACGCCCCCAGGTCAAGTAGTCTATAGACGACAATATCCTATTGCTTTACAACTTGTTCCACTGATGGCCAAACATATAAACCAATGGCTTACTGATGGCACCATACAAAGGGCACCCGTCAATACTAAGTGGAACAGCCCACTTACATTCGCTCCTAAAAAAGATGAGTTTGGTAATCCCACAGGCAAGCGTCCTTGCTTAGATCCCAGAGCCATCAACACTCTGCTACCTGACGACAGATTCCCTTTGCCACTCATCTCTGAACTCTTTCACAGGCTACGGGGTGCAACAATCTTCACTACGCTAGACCTCAAGAGTGCCTTTCATCGATTCAAAATTCATGAAGACGATAGACACAAGACTACATTCACGTTTGAAGGCAATCAGTATATGTTTCGAGGATGTCCCTTTGGTCTCAAGCCATTGTCGTCCAAGTTTCAGCGAGTAGTCAATTTGATTTATCACGATACTCCATATGTCACTGCATTTGTCGACGACATCGTAGTTTTTTCCACTAACATGTCTGACCATGTTAAACACGTCCAAACGGCTATTCAAAAGCTCACGGATGTCAATCTCATTCTCAATCCGCAGAAATGTCACTTTGCACAAACTTCTGTATCGTTACTGGGTTTTACTGTAAGCACTAGAGGTATTGATCTTGATGCTCGCAAGGTTCACAATGCTACCATGTGGCCACAACCCAAGTCTGGCAAAGACATTCAACGCTTCATGGGTCTCGTCAACTATTTTCGTGAGCACATTCCCAACTTGTCGCAACTGTCTTCTCCTCTGGACAAACTACGCAATGCTGACTCACTACACGGGTTATGGACAGAAGAACAAACGCAAGCTTTTTCCAAGCTCAAAATTGCACTTACACACGCACCAGTCCTAAGCCACCCTGACACAACCCAACCATTTCTGGTTGCCACAGACGCCTCCAACACAGGTATTGGCGCCGTGCTCTATCAGATCATAGACAACCAATATCGCTACATTGGTTTTATGGCACGGTCACTTTCCAAATCTGAACGCAACTATCCTGTCACCAAACGTGAACTTTTGGGCATCGTTTATGCTTTGACTAAATTCCATAAGTTCTTGTGGGGTAACAAGTTCACGTTGTACACGGATCACAAGGCTCTCACGTACCTTCACACGCAAGAAATTGCCAACCCTATGATGATAAACTGGCTTGATGTACTCTGCGACTATACTTATGACATAGTCCACCGCCCTGGCATTGACAATATATTGCCAGATGTTTTATCGCGCCTTTTCACCTCGGAAAAACCGCTGGGGGAGGGTAAAACCGTAGAAATCTCTACGAATCATCGAATAAAGAACACACAAAATACACATGCTATCCAACGCATGCACAACACAGGGGATATGATAACACCACCTATCAAAGACAGACAGCATCTACTCAACCAAGCACATCTACTCGGCCACTTTGGTACAGACGCTATTGTCAACGCTATACATAGTGATGGACTACACTGGACTAATCTCAAGCAAGAGGCAACAGAAACAGTAAAGCGCTGCTTGAATTGCCAACGGTTCAATGTCTCAAAACACGGCTATCATCCGCTGAAGCCTATTACAGCCAGTCAACCAGGTGAACACTGGGCCGTAGACTTAGCTGGCCCATACACCACCTCGCACAACGGCAATCATTACATGCTAGTAATGGTTGACATCTTTTCCCGATTCTGCATGCTCCGCGCAATTCCAGATAAGACATCTTTAACAATTGCAAAACAACTCATTCAAATCTTTTGCGACTTCGGCCTACCCAAGGTTTTACAGTCAGATAATGGTACCGAGTTTGTCAACGAACTCGTCAAGACTTTCACAAATACAGCAGGAATTGATCATCGGCTTGTAACACCCTATCATCCGCGAGCAAATGGAGTTGCTGAAAAATGGGTACACACAGCCAAGGAAGTCATCAACAAGAGAACACAGGGAGCAAAGCGAGACTGGGACATATACATCCCAAGCACACAGCTAGCCATAAATAGCAAACATGCTAAGCTACATGGCACACGCCCATTCACTCTAATGTTTGCAAGACAACCAAACGATTTTGCTGATTACAGAAAAACAGAGAGCACGCACAACGCTCCTAACAGTCTACCAGATATGAAAAAAAGAATTGAACAAATGGAGACTGTCGTATTCCCAGCAATCTGCGAACGCATCAAAGCTACACAAGCTGCTGATAAAGGAAAACACGACAAAGACCATAAAATAATAATGGAGTTCCCGAACGACAGCAACGTGATGATAAAGAACATATTAAGAAAGTCTAAGACGGACCCAAGATATGAAGGACCATTCACAGTCAAGGGCAGAACAAAGGGAGGCAGCTACATTTTGCAAGACGAAACGGGAGCACTTCTATCACGAAACATCCCACCTTCGCAGATAAAGCTGATCTCACAAGATACTGTTATATCTCCAGATAGCTTTTACGAGATACAGGCCATCATTGATCATCGTCAAGAAAAAGGCGACTATCTTTACAGAGTGCGCTGGAAAAACTATGCACCAGATCAAGACACTTGGGAGCCCACAAGCAATTTCAACGATCTGAGCATAATTGACAAATATTGGCAAAGACGAGGTCCAGAAAAACCCACCAATAAATCTACAATTATACATAACAAGCGTACACATCCAACACAAGAACCTACACGCTTTAGCAAATGCATACGCAAATAAAGACATTTGCTCTCATACATGTACATATACTCCCCTAAGCAATTCAAACGGTTGTTCCAACCTGGAGGGGGGTAATGTTGTATCCAACATAATCGTAGATTCAAATAGAGCGCACAGACAATAAGACAAAGACATATTGAATAAGCGACCAGTATCAATTATACATTATTTCTCACACTATCATTAAATAAAGAATATACCGATAACAAGGTCACACACCTTAGTCAACATCACTAATCACTCAAACAAGAGCGTGGGTAATAACTTAACAATATATTATCTATGATATAAGAAAACAGACATCACATGATATACTCATATCATTATCCTAAATACACACGCAATGTCTATATAAACTCACATAGCAAATAGCAATAGAAGATCATCTCTCTTTTCATCAATAAACAAAGTCTCACCGTACTTCTCGTCTGCACTTTGTTTTTCGTTCTTTTCTAAAAATATAACACATGGAAGTCAATATCTTGCAGAGTGGTGATAAAGTCAAACATCTCCTTTCCTTTTTCCGATTTTCCGAAATGTTGCTTTATATTAGCAATGTCATGGCAAACAATGTTTGTATATCCATTTATCTTCAAACTGTTGAAGATGGTGGATACATTGTTATTGTTCTCCAGATGCTTAACCACAAGTGCCATTGCCTCAGGCGAGAGCTTGTGATGTATAGCATATGCTCTGCGGTCTTCTTCAATGGGGTGGTTATGCTCTGCCTCATGGGAGCACACAGTGAGCTTTCCGCCCTTCTTGGTGTTGGCATACATGAAGCAAGGGCAGCCATGCTTCTGCATGTCTTTTTTGCGCTTTCTCTCCTATCCAGGAAGAGTTTCACCCATAACTGATATTTTGGAAGCAACCTTCTCAGCTTTTCTGGTATCTCTATATTTGCCAGAGTGCTTGCAAATCAATTTGATGCGAGAGCTTGATGCATATTCAGTAGTGAGAGCAATGTTATGCTTGACACCATATGCCTTGGCAGCTTCTCGAACAGCTACGACTGAAGAGAATTCTCTTCCAACAAGAAAAATTGAGTTGAACTCAGTCAAGACAGCATCGTACTTCTTTAACGTCTCGCTAACAATGACAAAGTCGTTGGTGTTGTTGATGTTGTTAATGTTGCTCATGTTAAATGTCAAAAAAAATTATGCACTGATGTTGTAGTAAAAAAGGGCAGTGATTTAATTGGCAATCTGGAAGGTAATTTATCTGATCCCCCCAAAAAAAAATGCGTGTAACATGCAAAACTAATTATATGTGAAGTCACATCTAATTCTTCAATTTGCTCACTTTTGCATGTCTTATCAGTGTCCAATTTGTTGGTAACACTCCCAAAAGTCAATTATAGGTGACGTCACGTTTAATTCTTTAATTTGGTTGCTTTTGCATGTCTTATCAGTGCTCAATTTGTCAGTAACACTCCCAAAGGCCAATTACAAGTGACGTCACGTTTAATTCTCCCTTTTGGTCTTTTTTGCATGTCCATATAGATCCCCTAAGAATAGCCTACAAAAAACACAATATTTTTAATTTAAAGTGACGTCATCTTATTAAAGAAATGCTGATCAAATTAGAGAGGGTGCTGAGACGGTGTGCATAGTGGTTGGTGGCCACCTCTTTGTGGAGAATGATTTGGAGAAGAAAGGAGAAAGATGTGTGGATGTAGAGTAGGAAGAACGAAGTTGGCAGAGGAGGCCATTATCAGAGGAAGTTTAGTGAAGAATAATAAAGTACTTCTTTTTATCTCGTTAAAAACAATTTCCCATTTTTATTCATTTTGTCAGCTGATTCTACCCCCACACGCCTAGTCATAAATATTATTTGACGCATCCTAACTATTAGAGTGTACATCTATTGTCTCGTGAACGCATCCTCTTGAAGTAGTTTATGGTCCCTTGTTACCACACCTCCATTAAGGATATACACTCATACAAAAAAGTTTGGGCAAAATGTCAACAATTGGATTATTTTTTACTATTCTTGCTTTCTTTTACTTTTTACTCCTAAGTCATATTAATAAACACCTCATTTCATCAATAGAAAAACGATAAAAAAAAAGGTACCTCCCCAGGAGTTGTCAGAGTTTTTACGTGGAGACATTATTGCTCATCATAAGGCTAAGCATTCCATAGGAGAGATCAAAGACGTTCTTGACATCCTTTACTCAACAATTAGAAGCATCATCAAGAGATGGGAAGAAACTGGAACAACTGATCCAAAGCCTAGATCAGGTAGACCAAAAAAACTAAGCAATACTGATAAAACGGCACTTTGTTTGAGTGTAGGAAGCAACCTATTTGAGGTGTATCAGTCTCACCTAAGCAGTCTAGCACATGCTGGTGTAAACGTTTGTCTAGAGACTGTTTTTAGCTATCTCCAAGCAAATGGCTTTGGTTCTTACACCTAGTTGCCAGGCCAAGGTTGATGGCTAAACAGATGAAGAATAGACTAAGTTGGGCAAGAGCTAGAGCCAATATGACAGTTGAAGACTGGGGTAGAGTAATCTGATTGGATGAGTCCATGTTCATGGTGAAGGGCAATGATTCTGACGCGTCCGTAATTTGTAAGACTAGAGAACGGTTCCAGCAAAGACATATATTTCCTACAGTGAAGTTTGGGAAAGGTTCTGTAACGGTATGTGGATGTTTCTGGACAGGAGGCTCCAGACCTCTCGTGGCTCTTGAAGGCTCAGTCAACAAAGATGTATATGTCGACTGTTTATCCAATGACTTTGATCCATGGTACCAGAAATTAAATGAGGAACATGACACATTTTTCACCTTCCAAGAAGATGGCGCCAGCTGCCATACTGGCTCTTATACAACATGGTGGAAGAGTCATTGGCAGATCAAGCAATTTGACTACTGACCTTCCCATAGCCCTGATTTAAACCCAATTTAACATGTACGGAAGGCCATAAAAGACCAGGTTACAAAGAAAAAAAAGCATATATTAACAATAATAAAGATCTTAAGGCCTGCATCGCAAATGAATGGGAACAGATGGATCCAAAGTTTTGAGCTGGTTTTGTTGCCAGGATGTCTGATAGAATTAAGGCTGCAATTGATGCTCGTGGTGGAAACACCAGATATCAAACTTAAATTTTCTTTTCTTCTTTATAAAATAAATGCTATGTTTTATTAGAATATAAACTTTTAGATCTTTACAATAGATAGTTCAAGAGATATTTATGAAAAGTATGCCATGTATAATATCAGGGTTATAAAATACTATAAATTTTTCAAGACTTTTTTCATACGAGTGTAGAACCTGTGTTGGCTAGTAACCCGGATGTAAAGGCTATTCAACTTGAACGTCTCTTCTCGCAGTAGTATTATAAAAAGTTACATTGTCTCTTACAAGTACCCTACGTGTCAAGATAAAAAGAGATACTTTATTAATCTTCACTAAACTTTCTCTGTTAAAGCCTTCTCTGCCCCTTCCTCTTGCTTCTCATCTACACTTTGTTCTCCTTTTTCTCCAAATTCATTCTCCGAGGTGAGGTGGTCCCCAACCACCACGCACACCATTATCTGTATAATTTTTCCCCAAAAGTATCTTAAAATAAATTAATTTGTCTCAATACATCACCACAGATATTAGAAACCAAATATGGTAGTAAGTTGCACCCAAGCATTATGTGTGGTGATCCAAACACTTGGATGTTGGATTTATCACATATAAGAACATATTCATATTAGGATAGCATAGTAGCTATCATCTTGTCAGTATAAAATATATATAAACGATTAAGTAATCAGCCCAATAATTATTACAGTTAGTACTGTAGATAATATCTTAAAGATTGTTAAGATAATTATATCATACTACCGGGTAAACTGTGTCAGATCGATATGGAGCTAATTTAGTAGGAAGTCCTAAAGCTCTAGTATAAAAGAGAAAAGAATAGCTAAGAGCTAAAGAAGTACGATTTATGACTTGATGTCATAATTGTAACACCGACACTAGTTAAGCAGTAAATACACTCTAATAACCAAATATAGTAAAGGAAGAAAGCCTTAAGAAACTAAGACGTAATGACAAGAGCAGATTGTGTTTTCTTATAAAAAGGGACACTTTTTATTTATAAATAATGAGGACGAATATACAGTCTCAAAGTATTTCTATACGTCTCTATTCTCAAATATTTTATTTTTCTATTGTTTTGTACCTGAAATACCACATTATGATTGGTCTAGAAAATTTTCTTCTGTGTAATATCGTGATTTGAAATAAATAACATCCAAATAGAGAAGAAAATAAAATTCAAGTGATACAAAATATTTATTAAGGGAATCTGGAAGTTATTTGGAGTAACCATGAAATAACTTTGCAAAAATTTGAAAAAACACAGAGATTTTTATGAAAAAAAAATATGATCTGGAATAAATTCCAAACCACTTGAAAAAAAACGTAAAAAATTTTATTAACTATACTAAATTATACTAAGAAATAATAATAACTATACTAAACGATACTAAGAAATACTACTTCTAAACTATGTTGTAGTATTTCAGGTACGAAACAATAGAAAAATAAAATATTTGATAATAGAGACGTATAGAAATACTTTGAGACTGTATATAAGTTGTCTTTATTCATAAATAAAAAGTGTCCCTTTTTATAAGAAAACACAATCTGCTCTTGTCATTACGTCTTAGTTTCTTAAGGCTTTCTTCCTTTACTATATTTGGTTATTAGAGTGTATTTACTGCTTAACTAGTGTCGGTGTTACAATTATGACATCAAGTCATAAATCGTACTTCTTTAGCTCTTAGCTATTCTTTTCTCTTTTATACTAGAGCTTTAGGACTTCCTACTAAATTAGCTCCATATCGATCTGACACAGTTTACCCGGCAGTATGATATAATTATCTTAACAATCTTTAAGATATTATCTACAGTACTAACTGTAATAATTATTGGGCTGATTACTTAATCGTTTATATATATTTTATACTGACAAGATGATAGCTACTATGCTATCCCAATATGAATATGTTCTTATATGTGATAAATCCAACATCTGAGTGTCTGGATCACCACATATGTTAAATGATACCAAGAAATAATAATAATAGCTATATTAAATAATAATAGAAGATACTTGTTGTGGGGAGAAAATAAAGCAAAATATAATATAGACAAAAGAATTTGTGAGAACTTGTGTAGGTTGTTTATTTCTAAAAGAAAAGTAAAGAATGATCAAATTTGATTGTTTTTCTACACAGAACTATCTACTGATATTTATATATTTTTCTAATTTGTAATTCAGTGTGTGCTTAAATAATCTTTATCACGATGAGTCATCTTCCAGAAGTATTGTTCTTCTGGAAAGATCCAGAAAGATCAATTGATATGATACTTCTCCAGTCAGATCAGTCCAAGAGTTTTGGTAAAGAAGAGCATTTATGCTATTAGTAATATTTTACTATTCCGACCCAGACACTTGGGTAATGTTTCATAATATTAAATAGTTGTAGTTGTAGTCTCTCAATTAAGTATTTGTCTAATAAAAGAAATATGTAGATGAAATATAATGGTGCCGTATATATAATGTATATGTATTTGTATATCCCATGTCATGGTGATAATAATAAATAATCAATTATGTGTATGATGATCTGTGTATTAGATAATATCATAAAGGCAGATCTGTTTGACTGGAATAGCTGAGGATATTATTTTATCCTTCAGTCTTATTCTCAGATTCAGCAGTAATCAATACTCATTCACAACAATACTAATACTAAACTATGCTAAATTATGCTAAGAAGAAATAATAATAACTATGTTAAATTATACTAAGAAATACTAATAAAAAACTATGCTAATCCATACTGCTTAAAAAACTAAAGAGAATCAAATTTGCTCAAGTTAACCATGTAAGTGATATCATTAACTTTCGTTAAATCAACCTTACACAGAGGCTCGAGGTTAGTCAGAAGAGAACACTCACTAGTTAATTCTACTTAAAAAAAGTTGTTTTTTCTCTCCTCACTCGTACAAGCAGTGAGACAAAGAAATGTAACCATAGAGTCTGAGATCATTCTGATACTAAGACTCATACCATTCGTGTTCTTATAAACAAAAACAGCAAAGGAATTATCCTTCAAAGGTCCAATTTCACCAGTGTTGTTGTTGTCTGCAAGAGGCTGTGATCCACCAAGAAATAAGTGCCGGAAAGTTTCAACATTGTTGTGCTCAAGACATTCTGCAATTTCACTTCCAGGGTATTCTCATTAGCCATTGTTATTAGTCCAGGAACCATCATCAAAGATATGCTGCATTATTGTCTGCTTCAAGTTCACGAAGCAGACATTTCTCAAGGTGTTCAAACGATTGGTATGAATAAGATGCTCGCGAATGCTTGTTAAACTGTTCGCCTTTTTCAGTTTCATAATTAAAGGCTGGTCCAAATCGTCTAATGTCGTTGGTCAAATGGTTCAAGAAGTGGACCTTTGGTTTGTTGCAGAAAGGTGTGTAGTCGTCCTTTTGAGTCAGTTCCTTCTCTTTGGTAGCAACCCAGGTATCAAATTTATGAAGTTTTTTGATCAAGTCGTTCACAGCATAATCAACCTGAGCAAGGTACTCTTCAAAATGGGATTCAATCTGTCAAACAAATATCAATGAACATAGTCAACCAAGTTCAACAAAGCAGGGCATAATTAGTTTTATTACCTCATCATTAGCAAAGTCTCTCAGAAAAACAGCAGGAAGAGTCTGAAGCAGCACCTTGTAGTCTCTACCAAGAAAAGATCCACAGTGTCTCAAGAGCCAGATAAACCTACAAGAAAGTCTAGTCATCTGTTCACGTTCCTTCAAGCTTTTGGAAAGCTTCTCCAGTTTGTCTACGTGCTTCTTGAGAGTAATCTTCACTAATCTATTGATCAAGTATTTTGCAATACCAAGTAGAATCGCGTAAAGAATTTCAACCATTGTATCCTTCAATGGGACAAATGATTCCAAGTCCAATAAACATCATGTGGAATGGTCAATGAAACTGAGAGCTCTTGCATTCACAGGCTTTCCAGTGTTCAAAACATCAGGCATTATCATGGTTCTGTTGTTAGTAGAATTAGCTAAAACATAGTGTTCCTTCGTTCTTTTGTTATATCTTTTAAGATAACATTCCATCTCTTTCAATGGAACAGTTCTTTGGATCAAGATATAATGTTTGCAGCAGGGATACAACATTGCAGGACCAAGTATATCACAGAGCTCAGAGTGACAGGGGGTGTCAGCTTCGATCCAGAGTAAGGAAGCCATGAGCAGAATGTATGTGTTGTCCTTGGCAGAGTACACAACGATGTCATTCTTGAGTTTCTTGAGATATCTGATGAGTGCCGGCAGAAAAGACATACCACTAACAACATTCTTCTTTGGGATGGCCAACAGAAATAGTATATTTGCAATAAGCAAGCGTTCTTCATAAGACAGTCCAGCTAACTTCATGGACCAACTTTCATATGGGTTGAACTGCTTTGACTGGTTACCAGAGGTGTCATCTGTAAAAAGAATTATAGGAGCAATTCTCACTTTGTAATACAAACCAGAATTAGCTACGTGTGCACTATCTAAAACAAGGCTTTTAAAACAATGATCTTTATACAAAAGATCATAGCAATAATTGCTCAAGCCAGAAGCAGATGTAGGTTCACAAGAAACATAAATCGCTCCGAAAGCTGTGAGGTCAATAGTGTCCAAGTCTTCAACTTTAACATCTTTTGTTGTCGAGTCCAGATAGTATACATTATTTTGGTCAATTGTAGCTAGATATCCTCTTGCAAAAGTGGAGCGGTTTGCAGTGTGGAAATCTTTTACCAGGAATCGTTTGTTGTCAGCAGCATCATACATATTCATTACAAGTTCAGCCCATACATCAACATTGTTGATGGTGAGCATTGGTTACGGTATAGCTCGTGTTCTCTCCATTTTTCACCTTGCTGTAAACTGATGGATTAGTCAGAAGTCTGGTCAGGCAAAGATGTGATCTTTCCAGCTTTTGATGGATTCGCCATCAGAAATCGCAGGTGTACAGATGGTAAGTTGATGTAAGCAGATATAGGCGTGAGGCTCAATTCAGGGGCATCGACTTTTGTAGAAGGAAAGACAGGGATTCTGTTTTTCTTCATCTGGTGGTAGTTCATAAGGGCATTCAACTTAGGGAGCTTGAATGTTCCTTGTTCAGTGGTGTTGGCCTGGATTTTGCTGATCATGTTCATGGCAAACAGAATCTTCTTCATCATTCTTTGGAAAACCATGTCATTGTTGCCATCAACAAGAGCACAAAGTACCATGGTCTGCAAATCAGGAAAAGGGTGACATCCTGCAATAGGACCTTTCATGATCTGTTCTATGATATTGGCAGGGTCAGTGTTGGTGTCAGTTTCAGCAGTGTCAGGATCATTTTCTGCATCTAAGGCTTTATCATCAAAAGAAGACATAGAGTTAGTAATTGAGTTATAAAAACTGTCATGGTCTAATACATCATATCCAAAATAAGGGTTAAAGACTTGATTGTCTTGAAGTCTCCCATTATACTCATTGTCTTCAGCTTCAGTTTCATCCTCGTTGTTAGAAGTGTAGTTGTGTTGTGTAAACGTCAAAATGAATTGTACCTTCGATAGGATGTACTGCTTGCAGTAGTAAAGGACTACTGCAAGTAGGTACATGCGAATGCATAATCTTCTTCTCTATTATCTTCTGTCTGTATCTCTGCTCGTCTTTTATTCATATAAATAGCTATCACTTCTTTTCAATAAAAACATTATCTTTCTATAGTTCAAAATCCCTTCTCTCTGACTAGTTGCCTAAACTAGTCACTTGCTTCAAACTCAATTGCTCATAGTCATTACAGTTGTACCGGTTGATTTCAGCTTCAGTCATTAAGGGTGGACAGGTGAAAATATTTTTATTATGGGTTTGTCTAGGCCTTGCGCATTTTAGCATAGTGGCAACCCAAGAGAGCTGCAGCAGAAGAAATAAGAGAAAGAACAGAGATATGACTGATAAATCTAGCTAAGGGGAAGAGAAAGAATAATACAGGTTAAAATAAGAGAGACAGAGAGGAGGGGAGAAGACAGGACAAGGAGAGAAGACTATAAGCAAGCTTATTTATCCTATAACCATGGCAGTGGCAGTGTCAATGGCACTGGCTTGGGGGCCAGATGGAAGGTTTCGGTCTTCCAGATACTGCTCAAGGCAGACTGAAGGAAGGCGAAGAGAGCTACTTTCCACTGTACAAAAGTGCCTCATGACACTTTTGCCCAGTGGGGCAGGGAGGCGAAGGCAGAGAGCAAGAAGACGATGGCAGTGTAGCTTGTATGCAAGCTGTTAGTGGTCCTGCACAGGTTTGTGGGCATGTGCCGGGTCAGCAATGATCCAATGGTTCAAGGGATCAAAATCTGTCTTCACAGACACGCCAATGTCTGCGAAGAGCTGGGTGATCTTGTCCTTGAAGTCATTGTGCACAAGGAGGGAGAGAGTGCCACGTTCCGGGAACGAAATGTCCAAGACACGGGACTGTTGGATCTTAAATGTTCTCAAGAGCTTTTGTACTTGGGAGTACTTGAGGTGGTGGTTGCAGGGCAGGTATACAAACGCATATGCAGATGGTCCACTTTTGGGTTGCAGGGCATGGGTGGCTTGAGCAGTGGTGAGCTTGGGCTGGTTGGGTCTCTTTCCCATTGCCTTCTTGGCAGCAGCCAAAAACGTGGTGGGTGAGGGTGTAGGGATGGTGACAGGACCATGTGCAGAGGCTTCTGCTGAAGAATTCTCAACAGGAGCAATCTCTGTGGGCAGGAGAGTGGTGGTGGTGAAGGTTGAAACACCAGGTACTTGTACCTGAAGCTGGGGTTGGTTGTGTAGGAACTCTACGTGCTCATTTGCAACGCAAAGCTCCTTGGTAAGAGCACTGTTCTGTTTTTGAAATGCAATTGAGTGCACTACAATTACATCTATCTTGCTAAGCAGAGCTTTGTGCTGTTCTACGTGTATGGCTGCACATGCAAGTGCCTCATCCAAAATGACTATTAGCTGAGCATTCTTGGGGCTGCAAAACGTTTGGCCAGCCGACGATTTTGCCGACCTAGACTGTCAAGAGGGAACTGTCTTGAAGACATTCGTGTTGGTGAATCCCTTTGGACTCATGGCAACTAGATAAAACAGAGGTTACTTAGGTCAGCAAAGTTGGTGGGACAGGGATGGGAGTAGATGCGTGGTTGATTGATTGTTTTTGAGTAATGGGGTTTTTTAAGCAAAAATTAGCTTATGCGAAAGAGTTATATTAAGGGTGGACAATAGGAATTTTTTAAAAAAAATTCCATTTTTTAAATTCTTTTTAACCTAATCAAATCGATTTGCTATTATCCTACAAAAATGAAAAAGAACCAAAAATAAAAAATTCTTTTTATCGCAGTCTGAATATAGTATAGATGAGATGAGATGCTTTAATTACAAAGATTTTGTGTAATTTACAATATAATTAATATGATTTTGACATGATTTTTTCTTTCTTCTCATCTATTTTTTTATTTGTGATCTATAAACTATGTCTGTAAACAAGAATATTGTTCCTAAAAGCAACATCAGTACTACTAGTGTATTTGCTATACAAGCTTCTGCTCCTCTCCATGCATCATGGTCTAAACCAGATGGAGGTAAAGATAAAATGTTGAGTATTGGACGACTGCTCTATTTTCTGCTTAAAGATGGACGCAAAAACTTGGAAAAGTATCTTGGTGGAACTATCAATGGAAGAATCTTCAAAGCAACTAAGTCTGGGGTCATCAACCAGTGTAGCCAGTACTTCCTTGAACAAGGAGTTATAAGAACAAATAGTCAGATCAAGACTTGTGTTATTTTTGATCTGGGTTGTTCTTCCAATGCTATAACACAGCCAAAGTTGGTCAAACCCATTGGGAATTGTAAACAAAGATAAAAGAATAAAAAAAGAATAGAAAGATAGATAACTTGTATTGAATGAAATAACGCCCTCTTTTATATCTTTTCTAAACCTACTCAGCCATTATAAATGTCTGTTTCAGTTTCTATTCTACTTTTGTTAAGCTATGTGCTTTCTAATTCTTTTGTGAGCAAAAGAAAATCACTTCAGTCATCATTCTCGAAAAAGAATTCTGTGTAATCGTCATCCTGATTGGCTGACAAGAATTCAGGCACAACACTTGACAACTTGACAAAAGTGTTGTTCCCAATCTGGGTTAGTCTTCCTTTTACTATAACAAAGTCAAAAGGTCAAACCCACTGGGGATCAAGGAGTATATGTAAAATCAAAGAGAGGATAAAAGATACTTTTTATTGGTATGAATTGAATTGTCTTACATAGTTTTCTAAGCTAATACTATGCATTATCCGCAGTAGTTATTGTTTATATTTAATTAAAAGAAGAGTCATTATACTGCGGTTAATGCTCAGGAAGATGTTACAGCACATAACGAGGTACTGTGGTTAACCATCTTCAGATTTTACAGATTCATCAAAATGTTGTGCCTGAATTCTTGTCAGCCAATCAGGATGACAATTACACAGAATTCTCTTTTGAGAACGATGACCAAAGTGATTTCCTTTTGCTCACAAAAGAATTAGAAAGCACATAGCTTAACAAAAGTAGAATAGAAACCGAAATAGACATTTATAATGGCTGAGTAGGTTTAGAAAAGATATAAAAGAGGGCGTTATTTCATTCAATAAAAGTTATCTATCTTTCTATCCTTTTTTTACGATTCCCAGTGGGTTTGACCAGTTTTGGCTGTGATATAGCATTGGAAGACCAACCCAGATCGGAAACGACAAGTGTCGGACATTATTTTGATGAATCCGTAAAATCTGAAGATAGTTAACCGCAGTACTTCTTTATGCGCAGTAATATCTTCCTGAGCATTAACCACAGTATAATGACTATTTCTTTAATTAAATATAAATAATAACTACTGCAGATAATGCGCAGTATTAGTTTAGAAATCTATATAAGACAATTCAATTCATATCAATAAAAAGTATCTTTTATCCTCTCTTTGATTTTACGTATACTCCTGTCGGACATTATTTTGATGAATCCGAGAAATCGGGATAATTGACTGCAGCAGTTCTGTGTGTCAAAGATACCTCATAGATAACGAACCGCAGTAATGTCTTGTAAAGATTAACCACAGTAACATCTTCTGAGCATCAACCGCAGTAAAAGGACTTCTCTTGTAATTAAATATAGTATAATAGTTTACTGCAGATAATGCGCAGTATTAGTTTAGAAAACTATATAAGACAATTCAATTCCTATCAATAAAATGGACCTTTTATCCTCTCTTCGATTTTACATATACTCTCCGATCCCCAGTGGGTTTGACCTTTTGACTTTGCTATAGTAAAAGGAAGACCATCCCAGATCAGGAACGACACTCCTTGATCCCCAGTGGGTTTGACCTTTTGACTTTGTTATAGTAAAAGGAAGACCAACCCAGATCGAGAACGACACAAGTACAAAAAGTACAGTATATAGCCCAACGGGGGGGTCGAACCCCCAACCTTGAGATTAAGAGTCTCACGCTCTACCGATTGAGCTAGCCGGGCGTAGTTGTATGTCACGTGTGTTACAAGCAAGTGTGAGGTTGGCCGGTTCTGGTGAGGGATACCGGACGGTGGATTCCTTCGGTGGTTTGGTCCGGCGGGGAGCCGTGACGGGTGGTACCAGACTCGTGGGCGTTGACGTCGACGGTGAGTCGACCGAGTGACGTGTCTCAAGGGACAAGAGTGGTCCCCCAGGTTTCTTGGGAAATCTTGCTCCTGATACCCCTATACCCAAACCCCCCAATATAATCTCATTCCTTAAAATTAAAATACCCATCTATATTGTCACCTTAGAAACACCTGTCACCCACTAAAAACATTATACCTCTTTCTCCTAATTTTATACACTTCTTTATTGCCGACATTTATTTTACACTATTTTTTATTAAATTTTATTAGATTCCATTATTATACTATTATTATATTTTTTTACTTTACTTTACTATATCATTATTATATTATTACTTTACTTCTATTCTACCTCACTATATTTTTACTTTATCTTTATTCAATTATTATATTTTTACTATACTTTTATTTTACTCTCTCTATAATTTTCTATTCTACTTCTACTATCAACACCAGTTACATATAGTAAAAATTTTCACTTGACTTTCTTTTCTTTTCCTCAAAAAATTATTTTAACCAAGCATTTTTGTTTATAAAAAGAATAACCTTTTCAATCAATAAAATCATCATTCTATCCTTGATCTTATTTATTTTTATCCATTTTTATCATTATTCTTTATTTATATATAGTGTCCTTGTTCTTTGGAGTGTTGTTTGTCGATTTTGATATATTTCGTTTCTCTGTTTTTCCTTTTCTGCCTTTCTCAGACTTTGTCGTTGTCACAATTTCCATTTTAATCTTCTTCCTATTTTTTTTACCTGTCTGTCACCAATTCTTACCTGTCAAATTACCCATTCTTTTCCATTCTTATTGTATTCTTCTTCTTGTATTTTGTAATTCACATTACATTTATTTGCCAAGTGATACTGTTACAATCAACAACAAACAAACATATTATGCATCAATGTATTGACATGTAGTGTGGTAATTTTGTTGGCCTAAGTCCAAAAACCAAATTCTACCAAGTTCAGACTTTCTTTTGAAAACCCCTTTTTATTTTTCTTTAGAATTTTTATTTTTAATTTTAATTTCTTTTTTCCATTTTCACAAAATCGTCTTTTTCCAAAAACCAATTTTCTGAAAATTAAAATCTTTTCCCTTTATTTTTCCCAAAATTGTTTTTTCTTTTTTCTTTTTATTTTTGTTGTGGTGGTTGAAGTTGAAGAAGTTTTTAAGAGGAAGAATTGAAGATTTGAAATTAGGAACAAAGATTCATGAGAACTTGTGTAGGTTTTGTTTATTGAGAAAGATTTTGTATCAAAGTTTGACCAGGTTCCTACACTGAACTACTACTGCTATTTATATTGTTTTGGATTGGGAAAATTATATGACTGGGGTCAGGTAATCGATCCTATCTGAGCCTTAATCAGAGCAACGTGATCTTGAGATAATTAATGTATGATTAATTATATAAATGTGTGTAGTCCCAATAAAGTATTAACATCAAAAGTAAATGTGTTTATGAGTTATAATTATGCTTATAATAATCCACTGATGTATCTCATATTATGGTAATATCATCATATGAAATATAATCACTATCATGCATGCTAAACCTGTGTGTTAAATAATAAAGTAATCGGTAGACACCTTTGACTGGAATAGCTGAGGCCTTATATTATTTCCTTCAGACTTATTCTCAATTACAGCAGTAGTCAATACTCATTTACAACAATTTTATTCTTGCGCACTAAATGTGACACTTCCTCTCAAACACTACTTTATCAAAATTGTTAATTGAATAGTTTTTTTCTTTATTTATAACATACTTCTTTCCGATATTTTTCTTTTCTTATAGTTATATATTATAACTTCATCTATTTTTTCTTTCATGACAAAATATTTACATAGTTATTTTTCTTTATATTTTTATTCATGATTATCTCATCGAGTTTTATCTAGCCTATTTTTGCCATATATTTTATCTATAAAATGGTATAAATATCTCTGTTGTATCCAACATAATCGTAGATTTAAATTAAAAGTACAGACACTCAATAAATACGTACATTGAGTTACCGACAACTAGTAACGATACTAAAAGATATACCTTCCCTTATACAAAGAAATTACGTAAAGAACATACTAAGACAAATACTAAGACTCTAGTCAATAACACTAAAAACATAAGAACTAAATCATAGAAGATAATGGTAGAGAAACAGACATTACATGATATCATCATATTATCACCAAGCTAAATACAATGTCTATATAAACGCACAATACTAATAGCAATAGAACAGCATCTCTTTTCTGATTCTTGTACTTCTTCTAATAAAACAAAGTCTCACCGTACTCTCGTCTGCACTCGTTTTATTTTATATCTTATTTTTACCTCATACATAACAATCTCTCTAAAATCAATCAATAAACAACTGTCAAATTTTTCTGATACAAGTTTTCTTCAAAGACACTGTCTATTATTTCTGATCTCTCTTGTGAAATTTCTTCCGTTTTATTTATTTTTCTGTCAAGTCTTTGTGGAAGATTGACAATTCCCTTTTATTTTATTATTTTGTCCCAATTTCCCCTTTTATTTATCTCTTAATAAATTTATCATAGTAAATTTCCGTTTTAGCTAAATCCTTTACTCTATTAAATATTTCTTTCTCATAGTTAACTCTTTAGAATTAGTATTATTTACTTCACTTCTTTTAGTTTAACTATTTCTCTAATCATTCAAATTATTTACACTCTTATCTTAGTGTTAGTTTCCCTTTTTATTTCTTTAACTGGTCTATTTGATAACAAATAGATTATTTTATTACCTCAATTTATTCAATATCGAACCCAAACCCTCAATTCCTCTTTTAAATTACACTTCTTATATACAATTATCTTTTCTTGTACATCTTCTACACATAAAAACATACCACACGCAACAATACTGACACAGGGTGCTATTAAAAATGGTCAGCGGTCAACAAAATTTTGGTTGTCCGACAGTGTGGTGATGTTGCAGAATTTTTTGTAATTCTAGAAAAATTATATTCTATTATTATTATTTTGATTTTCCGATGGCGGCCAAGGCTGAATAGAAAGCAATTTTTCTATTTGTAGAGCAAAACACCAATAAGTACAACAAAAAAGCATTATTCTGTCAACAATAACTTCACACAGCCACACATTGTATCTTATTTTCTTACTATATTTAACTGAATAAATCAACTTGGAATTAATATTATTTTTATTATATATTCTTACAAGCATAATTATCTTTATAATTATGACGTAATAATTATTTTATTTTATTTGTACTTAATAATAGTAAAGAACAAATCACATTTAATAGATTGTTAATTATACAACTTTATTATATTTTTTTATAATTTTATTTATTTAATTATTTAACAAGTCAATTGCAAAACTATAAATATTGCAATACTTGCATTTAATAAATATTGATTTTTCTTTGTCTTATTTTCTGACAACAAGTTCTCTTAATATTTAATGCTGTTGATATTTTACTTGTTTGATTATCTGAGTATATTGAGTCAAATCTATCAAGATTGATCAATAGTACTGTTTTTCTTTTATTTTTCTTGTATTGATTTTATTATCTTTAATTCTACATTCTCTTTTGAGTTTGTCTTTTTCTCTCTTGTGGAAAAGAGAGGTTATTTTACATCTACTAACTCATACAAACCTCAAAAACAGTGATAACATCACCTGTCAACATTTACCACAAATACAAGCACCACACGTGTCAATACTATCACGTATGTTGTAAACAAGTCAGATTTATTCAATTTCTAATGAAAGGCACCAGACGGTGGGTCTCTTCACACTGCAAAAAAATGCCCGATTCCCATACGTGATAGGATGTAAAATTCTGTGTGATTTTTGAAATACATTCCGAATATTATACAACAATTCTCAGAATGATAGGAAAACTAGCTACTAAATATTAAACACCTAGATTCTATGGATAGAATGGGTCTGTGCGCGGTCATAGAGTTCTGTTATATCTCATTATATCCGAAACCTTAATTGAATTCCGAGTTTTTTTTTTCTAGTAAAACGTTACATTTATTTTGTGTATTGCCTATTTATTCTTGTTTCGGACTCATTCAAGAAGGTGTATATTTCAACAATCTTCTGATGATAGCTCAACTATCTTCTGGCAAGTATCAATCTTATTGGATGGGTACTCCATTTACAATTTGAATTTCATTATTTGATTGATCAAAAAATATACTTCTTGTACTTTTATTTAAAAATAGTTCACGGGAAATAGTTTACAAATGGGTTTTTATTTTATTTTATTAAAAAAATCTCAAAATAGGTTCTCTAATAATCGGCCTTGGATAGTTGGCATTTGGTCTGGGCATTTGATCCAGACATTTGACATTGGGTCTTTGTTTTGCATTCTCGGTTTTGGGTTCTTGATTTTGGGTACTGCGATTCTACTTTGATCATTAATAATATCTCTTACCTTTCGGGATAAATAAATGGGAATACTGCAATACCTCTTTGAATATTAAGGGAAGGGGCAGAATCTTGGGATGACCAAAATCGATTTTGTCATTTTCAAAACATGTGTGTACAGACCAGATTTATTCTTTGGAAATAGAGGATCATATTGCTACGGATAGCATTTATATAATTGTTGGTGTACTCCAAGTATTCCTAATAGAAAGGGAAAAAAATATGATTAGTATGAGAGAATAATAATTATAAAGTCTTGCTTACCAGAAAAAGTGATTCTTTGGCATCCTTTTAATGCGTGCGTGCAAAAGAGAGATAGAGAAAATCTAATAAATTCAAAATGATAATGAAGAAAGTATAACGTTAATATAAGTGATTAGAAGATATTCTATTAAAGCTTACCATGTTTATTTCCATCATTAGCTTTTGATGGTTGTCATCATCATCGTTTTGCATCTAAAGATTAATAAGCTGATGATTAGCATCGCGCAATAAAAGTTGTTTGCTTTCTTATTCACCTTTGTAAGCCAGTGTGTTATGTTAACTCGTGCAGGAAGCCCTACATAATAAAGACGATAGAAGTTTTTTAGTGTTAATAATCATGTAAAATAAAGTAAAAAGAAAATATTAAGTATTTACCATAGTGTAGAAAAAGAAGCAAAAGTAAACAGTATAAGAGAAAGAGAGAGAACAAAAAAAAAGAAAATAAAAAAAAAGAAAAATAAAAAAACAAATTGTAAGAGTAGTGAATAAGCTCATTCTGTTCTCAGAATTTATTAGGGTCTATTATAATTTAAAACGTGTGTCCCTATAATTTTTTCTTTTGTTGCTGTACACCCAAGAAGTATTGGGACATATAAATACTACTTCTATTTGCCAGATTATTATATCCTCCCTCACATTTTATTAGAAACCTCACATACTATTACTGTGCTTTACCATGTATGTTTGTATAATTAAAATAATATTTCATAATATTCTTCTATATATGCTTTATTTATTTATATTTATTTATTTTTTAAAAAATATGTAAATATCTGTAGCATGCCTTCCAATGCCACTAGAAAATCAGGACGCAAAGGCAAACAGAATGCCCGAGGAACACTTAGCCGTGTTGCTGCCGGCCGGATTGAGCAACGTGAGATTGCTCCAAGAGTATCGCCACTTGCAGCTGGTCCAAGTGGGGCAGAGGCTCCTGGAATGACTGTCGAGTCCCTAACGCAGGTTATGGCAGCCATCAACATGATGTACGATCGTACTGTCGAAGCCAACACTGGAATTCGTTTTCTGGTCGATGCTCACAACCAAGCCATTGCCCAGCAAGCTCTTGTTGCATCTTCTGTAACTCAGGGAGTAACTGCCGC